CATTACGATAAAACACTATCAATGTATTCTTCTAAACATCTACGTCAACCTATTGGCTACGGATATTCGGATATCCACAGACTGAAAACGAAACATGAATAAACTATAGGCATTGATGCTGAAAGAATATTTATTTTGATACGCAATTAAGCAACGTACCACGGAGTTAATGCAATAAATTGAACTGGATAATAATGCACTATAAGAAACCATGAAGGCCAAGGTTCCTGGTATTCCTATGAACTTAATAGCCCATTAATTGATTGAATGTCTTTTAATCTAGAAGGAGTAAGGACATAAGGGATTAGCAAACAAATTATCGTTTTAATTAGTTTTTTTTGTCACGAAAACCAATACTATACTTAATTCTCCCTTATTTGTTTTGTTTCTGATGTAAATTACGTCAAATTTTTAAAATCAGTTGTACTACAGCATTTCCTTATTAAAATTTATTACACATTTCTACCACAGTCTATGTGACGGAAGAACAAGAAACAATGGAGCATAAAAATTAACAATGGAATCGTTTAGAAGTGTGCTTTTTATTAGACAAAGCGAAAAATATGAACTGAAATTGAACTACATATAGGTCTGTACTAGGTAAAAAAGTACAAATGAAAAACAATATAAGTAACTATTTCATTCTTTTTGCCGTTGCACATCTACTACTTTTTGAATTATTAGTTTATCAGTCAGTGTTATTTTTAGTAATAAGTTAATTGTTCACGCACATAACAATCGCTCTTACTGTTTCGACAATCTACAGTAGATAGGTGCCTAAAATGCGATAGATTGTTTAAATTAAGATCCTAAAAAAACTCCTAGTAGAGATACATATTTAAATAAAATACTTGTAACGTTTTTTAATTATAACGATTCAACGTGTCGGGTAACTTGCATCAGACTCGTTTTATTTGAATAAAACTAAAACCGTTAATACTGTTTTATTTCAATGTGTAATACTGGCGTAAACTACAGACTATAATGGGCATACATATTCCAACAATTTATAATCAAAACTACAAAACTTGCGATATACCTACTTATAAAAAATTCACTTAGACTTAAGTATAACTACGAATTGTGACATAAGGTAACATTGACCGTTAAAACAGACATTTATAAAAAACAATACACATATATGAAATTCGTATTCAAACCCCTTTAACTTAATGTCATTTTCGATTGTTGAAATTGTAAGTATCTAAGACGAAAATTCATTTTATAGTATATAAATTAAAAATTATCAGGACTTGATCCGGCATCCTCAGCGTTTCCATTGCGCTACCGAGTTAAGGACTTGGGTAAAGTCCTGCCCGAGTCGTATTTTTTTTGCCATCATATGCCATGTGAAAAATATTAAAATTTTCAAACGTTCATACAGCTATTTATAAAATTTGGGCCTCACGGCATTTATTTATAGGTATCATTACACAAACTTGTGTCAGTCATCAACTCAGATAACATATAGATTCGCAATATCTCAGTAGGTATTACAAGGAAGTCGCCATGCTAAGCTCCTGCTATCTATAGAGTTACTTCGTACTTGAAATTCTTTAAAATCTCAACTGCGATAAAATAATCCATTATACATGATAATATAAATGCGGGTATGTCTTTGTTTCACTATCCTACATTCAAAAATTGTATTCAATTTAATTTGTTTTTGAGGAGTTATTTACATAGAAAAAATAATTAATTTACAATTGAGATTGGCGTATTTTTTAAGTTATTTTGAGAGCTAAATAAAAATACCTTGCATATAGGCGTTATATGAATCAGTTACGTATTTTAAATGAGTATTTTTCGTTATCAAGTCATAAAATTAATATGCAAGGTTAACACACGAACAGACAAGGAAACGCTGTAAAAAATTATGACATAAATATTTGCAACAAGAACGCAAAACAAAGGTGCTATAGAGGTTTATAAAAATACGTATATATAACTTTGTAAAATGTGGGATCCCGTTTCCCCGTAGTAGTAGTCCAATGATATTCTATATGTAATATATCTTCCAGGGAAAACTATTTTGTTTTTTATATGATCAAACCCTAGTCCTTTCTCACTTGACGCATTGCTAAGCATTGATTTTTAGTAGCAGTTAAGCATTAATAAAATAAAAGACACTTCAAAAGAGAAAATCTTTTAATTTAGAATATTTTTTTTACTATGATATACTAAAATGCTAGATCGACAGAAGATAAGTTTGCGTGTAACTAATACACGTCAAAATAACCGGTTTCTAGTACAAGAATCAACAAAGCAAAACTAAGTAAACTCAACAAGATAAAACGGTCCCCGACAACCGGAGTTGTTGCAACCGAAGCGTCTCAATTAAAAATGAGTTCGTTTTAATCCGTCAAAAGTGTTTGTTGACTCGCGCTACAAACTCATAAAGATTTGATTACTCTGTCTAATCGTGCATTAGGCGGGATTTTGTGGTTTACGATTTGGAATTTTTATTTTATGTGCTCTTCGCGTGTTCGTCTCGTGTTCTTCAGTATAAACATATTAATCAACATAACTAGGTCAAGCGTTCGTCCTAAATCCACTCCCGATATAGGAATTACGAATGAATGAGCTGGTTGTAAAAAAAATGTTGCTTTTATTTAAGTTATATTTACGACTCTAGGTCGAATTCAAATCGATACTAATATTATAATGAACAGTTTGTTTGTTTTAACGAGCTAATCTCAGGAGCTAGTGGTTCTGATTGAACAATTTGTTCCAACTCGACCATTTATCGATGAAGGCTGTAGAAAATTCACCGGATGTCACTTATGAGAGCGATGAAATAGTGAGAAATGTGGAAACGGGCATTCTTCATTTTTTTTAAATTATTATTCTATAAAAAATCGAAATAATGTCCAGGACAATATATGTCTATATTCTTTAAGATTACCTAACAAGACCCGTTTTATTTAATCAAATTTTGGGCTAAATACTTAATATGGCAATAACGGCTTTTGTTATACTTTAGTTTTTATAGTTACGACTCCAACCTCGCCATCTGCTGTTCACATTCGGTTTCAAATCACATTGCATAAAGATGAATGTCAAAAGTCAAAAGTTAAAATTAGAACAAAAAGTTTCTCCAAACTTCTGAAAGACAATTTTATATAGTTTATTGTATAAAATTTACAAGTAATTTTAATTGATCTATACAGAATTGAGGACAGTAATTATTAATTAAGTTATTACTCGTACATGCAACTTGCAAGGTTGGCCCAAGCGCATCAAAAAATGCGCAAGTTCGTTTTTGTACGACAAATTTATGCCATGGTCAACCTTACTGCGATCGTCGTTCACAACTGTAGCCTGATATTCTGTAATCAGTAGAGCTCGTATTTTGTTACAAGAGATACCAAAATTGCACTTTGAAACAAATCATACTTATTACATAATAAAAATCATGTTGCGTCATAAATAAATTGTTATATTTATTAAAAATATTACGTTTGAGATACTAAGTCAAATACTGCCTATAGTTTACGCGAGTAGTACACATTTAAATAAAATACTTCAACGGTTTAAAACGCGATATATTAGTTAAACTTGTTTGAAAATTATTTTTGACTTCGGCCCGACGCTTCAGATGCTTTACAGCAACCGTGGTCACGGGGAGACTGAAGTTAAAAATTATTTTCAAATAAGTTTAACTAATATATCGCGTTTTAAACCGTTAGTGTCTTATTTAAAAGATAGTATATTTCCTTGATTTTATATTGTAATTTAGCTTAACAAACACGCAAAATGTCGGCTAAGTGGGAATCGGATTCTCGTGCACGGGGTTCCGTACCATTGACATTATTTTAACAGTTCATTTGATAAAAACGTAGAAAAATGATTTGTGAATGTTTTTAGGGCGTTCAAAAGCCTTTAAATTTATTGATATTGGAGAAAGAGCGGAGGAAATCGCTTTTCATGTTTGGGACGCTACTTAATTTATTTGGTTTTGTTTTTAGTGTTGATAGTTGTTTATAGCAGTGAAAGAAATACATAATTTGAAACAATAGTCTAGACTAGACATTTTAAACTTCTATCATTGTTCTTCAGACACAGCCAGGTGATAGTCATATAGTCCCGATTTATCCCTTTGATGTGGAACTCTAAAAACCAATTATATCAAACAATGTTAGTCTACTCTACATTCACAAGAAATATTTCTTGAGGCGTTCAAATATTATAAAAACCAGAATTCGCTCGATTTGTGAAGATGGGCAATGTCTTCAGAAAAAAATATTTTTCCTTATTCTAAAAATACAAATAGTAATTAATGTCACTTGTACAAATACATATTTCGACGTTCATATCTAGCGAGTTTCACAAGACAACACAGTTTAGATACACTATACTTGGCTAAATATAGGCTGATAAGTTTTACATCTTATTACTATAAAATTCCTGACCCACTATTTAATTGTTTGTGAATGTGTATTAAAAAAAATAAGTAAATAAAACATCACTTACAACACCTACTATCTGTTTCGTAACACTAAAGTAATTTTCCATGATTTCATTGACTACTTATATTAAATCTTTTTATCATTATATTGAAGACCGGGTATAGTAATACTCGTAGTTACGTCATAGTTAAGCGTTAAAAAGCAAAAATCTTATCTAACAAAACCTTGAACTTTGTACAATATCTACATGATTTTACTCAAATATCTTTTTCTACGTAAGACAGATCAGCATAGAACTCACCAGACCAGACTTTCCAGACGCTACCATTAGACCAACGAACCCGACAAATCTTATTTTGATATATATTTACAACCACAGCTGGAAAAGCCCTGAAGTTTAATCGCGTATCGGTTTCAGTCTGTGGATTTCCGAATATCCAAAACCAAAATAGGTAGACAGTGCATCTTGTTTAGATGTTATATGGCTGAGGTATTTAAGCTACCATCGAATTAACGCCACGCTGCGCTATCTTCCTCTATCTTAGTATTAATGGGAAAGCAAGGAGTTAATCAAGTATTTTAATGTTTCAGGAACGGATGTGTGTCCTATGAAATCAGTGGTACGGCGTATTGGACAACAGCTTTTCGCCGCCCTAAGCACAAAAGGACTAGCGATGCTTGTCAACCACGGTATTGCCGAAGAAAAGGTAATTTTACTTATGTTGATGTTCGAAATTTAGATATTTATGTCAGGCTATACATAAGTCAACAAATGTAGTGCATTTATTTTTAACTTAGTTATGCAATACACAATTGCTAAAAAAAACAGAAAATACTTTTATCTATACTAATATTGTAAAGCTGAAGTTTGACCGTTTGAACAGTTGGAGCAAAGAAACAGTAAGAAATATGAAAAAGAAGATCAAAGTAACTCCTTTTTGAGTACGTTTCGTTAGTGCGCAGCAAAAGCGGTTCAAGAAAATCATTCTTACATAAAATATGTTTGAAATTTTCTTTGTATGATTAAACTTTGGCAGTTATGTATAAATAAAACAAATTAAAACACTTGTTGGATGTGCATTTTATTTTTATATCGTTAATACTTTTATCATAATTTCCAGTTGAAAGCCGTTTATGCAGATTTGGACAACTTTTGCGCGCTTCCTGAAGGCTGTCAGGCCCAGTATCTTTGCAACCCTGTGAGTAAGCATGGCTACGTCCGCCCGGGAACTGAACAATTCGATGACACTAAAAAGGCAAGTCTTTACATAAAACACTTAACGGTACGAAACAATACTTTTATTTACCAATAGACAATGTTTATATGTATCTATATTTTTGGAAACTAGTAAATGAAAATTTCTAATTAAACTTTTAACTGCATTGACGTTTCTAAGTTTACCTAGCTACCTACCTACATGAAAAAATTACTTTTCATTTGATTTGATTTATCAGTCCTTAACTTATACCGACTAATATTATTATTATATTTAACTTGTTCGTGATTTTTATTCGCTGTTGGAATATCAAAGGGGCACGCACCTCTCAGCATGACTTTTTTTAATTTGGGTAACAATGAACCTTATATGTATTATTCCTAGGTCTAACATATTTATATTTGGTTATTCCGTTATTTATCAAGCTCTTCAGAATTGAACATACTCAACTCACGTGGTTACGTAAAAAATAATTACGTTGGTTCACATTCATTATGTAATTCGAGATCATTAATCATTATGTCGTAATCATTATAATCAATTAGGGTTATACATAAATCCATCATTAAAATAACTCAAACGATATTCTGTAAAAGTTGACAATCGTCAATATTTGAATCGCAAAATTATGTAACGTAAACCTACCTAAAATAAAGACTTTAAAGTCAAGAAAATTAAAAATATTAAAAAACACGTGTTGACGTGTAGGACACGTGCTTGGTTAGAGCAAAAGCACGAAACGCTATAGTTGCCGGTTTAAGTCCTGCCCGTGTCGTATTTTTTATATTTAAACACATATTTTACCGCAGATAGAAATCTCTCTCTCTCTCTTATGATGAAGTGTCTTCACGAGAAACAAACTCATATAATAATATCCCCTGTTTATTTTCTGTTACAATTTCTCGATATGTTTACTGCAATAGAATCGTGATACCAACATTAAAAATTAATATTCGATAATATCGACGCTTATTGAAAAGGGTGCTAATGATTTTCCTTTGGTTATTCCAGGAGCTACGTCACTCGTTCAACATAACCACGCTGTCGGCCGCCTCGATGCCTGCGCAAGAGGAGGTACCCGACTTTCCCTCGCACACTGTTCCGCTCGCTCACGATCTTACCAATTTGTCGCGTGTTCTTCTACAAGCTTTGGCTTCTGTTTTTGGTAAGGAAAGGACTTAAGACCTTATGGACTAAATATGCGCATTAAATATTCATAATTAATATGTTTACTTTAACTTAAAGGTAAGCATAAAAGTAGTGAGAATCTGTTGAAGAAATTTTTGAATCGCAGGCACCTTGGTGTACAGGTAGCATTGTGTGGCCAATCAAATAAGGGTGGGTTCGATCCCCACTGGGTCCAAAATGTTTGTAATGAATTTAAAAAATTTCTACATCATGTTGGGTTGGGTTGAAATCTGGATAGTAAATGGGTGGTAGGAATACCGAAATTATTACAGGGTTACGAACCACCGCCGTCCACAGATTAAAACACCCGGCCTGAAGTTTATTCGCGAATCGGTTTCAGTCTCTGGATTTCGGAATATGGTCGACAGCACATCTTCTATAAACTTTTATATGGCTGGCGTATATTACTACTGTGACTGTAGTTACGCATCTTAAAAAACAACCAAAGATAATTGACACTAATTTAAAAGGAATCAAGTATTTATTTTAAATACTGTCTATAGTTTACGCGAGTAGTACACATTTAACTAATTTATTTTTTTAATTATGACTAAAATATATCGCGTTTTAAACCGTTAAAGTGTTTTATTTAAATGTGTATTACTCGCGTCAACTACATACAGTATTAACTAAAATATATCGTGTTTTAAATCGTTAAAGCGTTTGATTTAATGAATCTGTTTAGTTAGAGGCTAGTAGTTAAGTCAGACTATGGCCTGTCTGACTAAAACTTACCGTTTCCCTGGGATTCAAAACTCTCACTCTCAAAGCCTAACAAGCGATGGAGTCGGTCATGTGGCACTACCCTACCCGAAATACTATTATTAAGCATTAATTTTAATATCACTTTAGGTCTTCCACCATCTGCACTATTGGCGTGCCACTCAGGCATGTTAAAAAGCGACGGCTGTAATCCTTCGTGCATGCAACTTCTGTACTACCCACCAGTACCACCAGAGGACAAGGGCCCTTGTTGTCATGATGCTATCGCGTACACTCGTTGTGGAGCCCATTGCGACCGTTGCACCTTCACTCTTGTTGCTCAGGATTCAGAAGGTGGTCTTGAGGTAAGTTATGAAGCGTAATATGGGATTTGTATAGAAGAAAAACCACTTTCAGAAATAGAACATTAGTTTATAAATAAGTTAAGCAATATATTTTGCGTTATAAACCGTTAAAAGTGTTTGATTAAATGTGTACTACTCGCGTAAACTACAGACAATACTTAACAGTACTTCGACGAAATTCTGCTTACTTTAAGTGATCGTAGAAGTGTGTCTGTGCCTCACGTTTAACTACGGTATATCTGTTAATTACATTTAATTTAAATAAGACAGGATTCGAACACCAGACCACATCACGCCATATTTTTACGACCTACGCTACCGTCAATGCTTACGTAACTTCTCTTCAGGTGAAATTGAACGGCAGTGAGAAATGGCAGTCAGTTGGACATCTACCCGGAGCTATTCTCGTGCAAACTGGAGAACTATTGGCTAACTGGACTACTAATCTGCTGCCCGCTTTGGTAATCAAGAAACAAACAAACATTCGATGTATTTAAGAAACATTTTACGACGAGTAGACGTGCAAATAAGAACGTACAATTAGTCCACTTTCTTTAGCTTATATGTTTACTAGCTGTGCCAGCAACTTCGTCCGCGTAGAATAGTTATTTTGGGCATCAAAATTTGTTTTTGCAAAGCTCATCCTCATCCCGCGCGTCCCGTTGTTCCTGTGTGTTAATGTTAAAAGATAGACATATACTCTCGCACTCTCCGCACCCACAAAGATGAATTTATTCCCTCGCTTTTTCCACATTTCCCACTGTTTCTTCGCTGCTATTGTTGCAGTTGGATGTTTAATAGCGTTCCTCAATAAACTTTCTAATCAACACTTAAAGAATTTGTCAATTCAACCCTGAGATTAGCGCGTTTAAACGTACAAAACATTCACTTTAACTTTATATATATAAATCACAATTACTGTTGCAAATAGAAATATAAAATAACATGTTTTAATAACAATTTTCAGATGCACCGTGTCGTAGTACCAACGGGAATGTACGCGCGCGCTCGTGGCCGCCACTGCGTCGCGTTCTTCTGCCATCCCGATAAGGAAGCTACAGTACCGCCCCTGAACATCACACCTGCGCCTGCGCCACCCGTTTTTACGCCCCACACACACCTTACTCTACACCATCGCCTTCTGAACGCCGCGCACCATATACAGAAGCGTTTCAGGGAAACGTACGCATGACTAGTACGCAGTAGTGGAAAAACGGCGTCACGTAAAACTTTTGGTTGACACAAATACCGATAGCTTGTGGTCTTTCATAAACGCTGAAGGCCGCGCATATTATACTGGGCCCTTTTTAACTGATGATGTGAATGCATAATGAAAGCCCACCCTGGGGAAATGGTCGTACCCAAACCCTTATACATTAAAAACCAGTTAGTAATGAAAATCATTATATAACACCATCTTTATGAAAGTTTTCAAACTCATCTTGTGGTGTTCGTCGTACAATGATTCAAAGTTATGCAGATGCTGTACGCGACCCTCAGCGTAGGTCTGGCCGCAGTTTGTCTTGTTTAAATGCAAACTTGATTTCTTTTACGTGACTATGTAAGGTCTTTAAAACTATAACAAATGTAATACTTATGTGTTGACTCTATTTTTCCACTATTAAAACGTACTGAAATACGTTGAAAACATTATATTAAAGGGTGTGTGTTGCGTTGATAATATAGGAGCTGTTTCACAATATTTATATTACAGTGATTATTTAGTTATGCACAATTTGTATTTTAACAAAAAATCTTGTACAGTATCTGGCACCAGCCACACCATATAGTATTTTTTGTAAGATTTTTATACGTATTTGTCGTAAGTATATAAGTAATTTTAAAAAATATATAATTGACCTAGAAACACAGACAGATTGACATTAATGGCGTCTTATATTGACACACCCAAACCGAAGCAATAATACCGCCATTTTTTATTGAGTAAATATTAAAACCTATAATTGATATTATATGTAAAGTCAAGATGTACAGACAGACTAAATATAGATACATAGCAAGGAATTTGGTCTGTGGCAATTGACAAGCAATAAGTAATTAATTAATTTGGGATTTAATCTGTACCGCCTCTTATCAAAACTGAAGAATATTGTCTGTATAAAGTTTGATGTTGTAGTAATAGTAAATTTAACAATTACAGGTACATTATGACATTCAAAAATAAAATAATATAATTATCAATTAAAGATCATTATAAACGATAACCATATTGTGACAAAGACTGGATTATCTACTTCTGACATAATTCGTTACAAAACGGTTTAAATCAAAAGTGAGACGGCTCCCCTTTTAGCATTTACTTGCCGAATATATAAGAATTGAGTGTATCATTCCCAATGTTATATAAGGCTTTATTACTTATGATAATTACTTAAATATAAAATGTGTACGCATTAGGGGCTTTTGCTTATAAAATGTCTAATTTTAATATTCATTAATTGTAATTTAGCAATTAGCGTCGTAAGTGCGCATATATCTTTTATATATTGTCCACGAGTTCTTGCTTCAGCATTTTTCTATTTTAAGAGTATGTATTCTTGTTGTTTATTTTTTTCTATCTCTCGCGACTATTGTTAAGAATGATTTCATCTTAATTAGCTCAATTTATTACGGAAAGTATTTAAGTACTTAAATATTACGGAAATCTTAATGTGGTTTTCCACGCGTAGACAATTGTAATGGAATGTTTAACAATTTGAGTTGTTCTTGCACTGCCAAAAAGTACTTAAAAATATTAAGCCACTATGACACGTCTAATACCACAAAGGGTATTGATTTTAGCCAAATTTTAGTAAGTACTTAATAGATATTTTTTTTCAAAGCAACAAAATTATACACATGTACTTATCTAAGCGAGGACCGACCTTTGATTGTTTAAATCAAATTATTCATATGTTCAGTTACGATTTTTTACTTTATTGGCTTATTTGAAAGATTTTTAAAATACTATAATTAATTATTTTTAATTTCAATAAACGATTAGAAAATGTCTTTTTTTTTCTTATTGACCCTACTATTCATTTCAGAATGACATATTAATCGAAGGGATGATAAAATTTGCCACTGTTCGATTTGAATTAAGTATATGTATTTTTGGTCTCTCTAACTTCAATTTGATGATTTTTATTTTCACCTTTAAGATTAAAATGGTGTGAGTTTAGAGTCTGTTTTATTGATCCTGAAACTACAAATAAAAACAATATAACAAGAACGCCATCTTGGCCATAAAATAAATTCGTAAATTATTGCATCATAATAATAGTTGGAACTCTCCTCTAGTAATAGTTGCTAAAAACAACGAAATTGTCGCTTAATAGTGCAATGAATTAATAATGTATTTTAATGTGTATTTTACCCATATTGTTTCCATAAATATGACTCAAAAGTTCTAAATTTATAACAATAGTCAAAAGCCGAATCTTTGCTTTACAAACGTATCGGTTTTCTTCACTCGTGTTAAAGTACAAGAAAAAGTTAAAGTACCCTTTTTTATTGAAGTATCGAAATCACGGGCTCACAAGGTGATAACAACACTGGACAACTACGAGTTTGCATACACTGATTGACATATAAAAATGTAAACTTGAGTTCTAATAACAGGTGTGAGTTTGCGAATTATTAAAAAATTATCCCCCACGGAGTTTCAAACAAAATCAAATCATCATTCGCATATAGGTAGGTCTCAGTTGGGGGGAAAGTCGATAGTTATTAAGTCTCTAAAGACGGCACGCAAAGCGGTAAATACGCTCTTAATTTCACTGCGACACAATCGCTTCGCTATTTTTGTCTTTTTATTTTGATATAGTTCGCGTGTGGTCGATCCCGTCAACCTTTTGGCGGGAAATACTATAATAGTAGTCGGCGTCGAGTAGACAGTGCAGCACTTTTTAAGTCAACGCAAATGTTGGAATTATCCGAAATTTCGTGAAAATATATGAAAAATACTCAGCGGGTGTCACTTGATGGTAAGAATAATATATACTATAGTAAAGTAGTGGAGAGAGTGTCTGTATATTTAATACTGGCAGGATAGAAAAAATTGTTTCAATTGCCTCTATCTGTGGTGTATAAAAAGATTATAGAAGTTAAAAACTGTTAATCTAAATTTTATATGTCAATTTACTTTTGTAAATATTTATCCTAAAAAGTCAATGCTGCCAAAAGGAATATTTTTATTTGCAGACAAAAGTAATTAGTAAAATCACAACAGTGAATCATTTTTTTCTCATTACATGTGTACTCTCACATTAAAAAATCCAGTACAAAAAAAAATAATATGTGATAAATTTTTATAACGCCTAGCGAAATTCTTAACGCAAAAATGACGTTTTATTTACTTTTGTATTTGCTAGCTAATGTATGTTTTAATATACTTTTTACGTTCTGAAAATAAGTTCTGATTTTTTAAGACTGCGTCATTATATTTTTACATACTATTCGTATTAAATTCTAAACGTACAACTAATAAAAAAAGGAATGATCATTGAGAGAGAACGTTTTATAAAGATACAGGGGTGAAGTACCAACACTTTCTATAATCAAATGGAGGTAGTCCTTTTTTAAATAAAAAGTAACTACATGCACAAAGCAATATTTTTTTCATACTCAAATTTAGTTACGTTTATTACAACTATCCCAACAGTTCCCAAAACTACAACGCAAAATACTTCGCAGAATGCTTAAACCTTCAGGAAGGTTATATATGATAAATTGTAATCTTTTCAAGACTTTCATGCGAGAGGTGCGTGACTTTCATGATCATCATGCGATTAGACGTGGGTTAGCTTCCGTTATCACTTTATCACAATCACCTACAGATATAACCGTCTGGTGATTTAAGCCGAAAATATCAATCTGCGAAGTTTTTTTCCAAAGACGAAACATGACGTTGTATAAATTGACAAAAACAAAACGATAAATATAGGTGGCGAGGTGAACTTGAACGCGAAAATGTATATCATATGCAGACGTGGACTTGTATTGTTTGAAAAGTATTTTAAAGAGAACAAAATACGTACAACGAGAGATAATATATTACGTCAAAATTATGTCGGGTGACACGACTCAGTTCCTAGATATAGCCACTCTGTTTAGTAAGCATATTCTTAACTTAACTTTTTTTTTAATGGTACTATATCACATCGTGAGTCTCATTACACTCCTTGCCAGTACTGCAGGCAAACTATGCATAACCCCGATTTTCAGTAACGCATTTAGAAATTTTAATTCTTCGACTATTTCATTATTTATAGGTAACATTCTTGTTCAGCCTAGTAACTGAGACTACTATAATACCTTTTTGAATCAAAATCACTTATATGAATATTTGCTAGCCGAAAACAAATTATGTGGTTTATTGCTTAGTAGTGAGTAAATATTAAAAATAGGGTCAGTCAAGCCAAAAGGGCGTTTTTCTAAACTTTTATTAAATGGATTACGTTAAAATTTAAATAATACTACAGCCACAATTGTATATTTCACGTTAATAAATAAGAAGTTATTAAGGTCGGTTACAATGGGCAAAGCTTTCAACGAAGCAGCGTGAATTTTAACGTACGTAACATACAATAACAATCAGATTGATACACGCTAATTTAATACTATATGAAATACTTATTAGATCATAGTATTAATGAATAAAGATTGGAAAAACGATTAAAAGTCATTGTAACTACTTTGTGTTAATGATCTTGTCGTATGAATATGTTTTATACAGTAAATATTCTTGGATGCAGTTCAGTTAGTTATAAAGTTAAGTTCGAACCAGTTTTGTTCAGAATAACCTCGAGTACTGATGGCTAGATTGCGACAAGAACCCATCCTAATGACCCCAACTAACTTGTAGATAAAAAAGAACAATCATATAATACATAGGGACTCGGTAGGACAATTGGTTAGGTAGCATCACGTGAATTTGTTTCAATCTAAATAGATTTTTAATTTATACATAGTTATTAACTAGTTTTCAAAGCGTAGAGATAAAGCGCACTTAAATCGATAAAGGATATCTTTACAGTCTTAGAAATATCGATATCAGAAATAATCAACATCAACATGTACACTTACACAACGTATATAGGTAACTTCATAACGCGTTACAAGAGATTGAATTGACCAGCTCGTTGGTCTAATGGTAGTTATAATACATTAATCACGGGTCGTAGGTTCGTTTCCCTATCGCTCTAACATCTTTCAATTTAAAAAAATCTGAAAACACAGAGATAATAAAGAAAAGAAGATTCATTGAGATTCGGTATCAGTTTGAAGATTTCTCGAAAGACAAAACAAGTCGACAGCGCGTCTCGTTTAGACATTGTTATTTTACGTTCCATCAATTGAACCTGATGCTTTTCTGTCCTCCTCTGTCTTGGGCACAATTATGAGTACTGCCTTTTTCATTTTATTAATCCTTACTAATATAATAAATGCGAAAGTAACTCTGTCTGTCTGTTACTCCTTCACGCCAAAACTACTGAGCGGATTTGAATGAAATTTGGTACACATGGTCTAGACCCTGACAAAGGACATGTTAGAGTAGGAGTGTGGTGAGGTGAGAGTGTTGCGGCAAAATAGCACTTACAACCATAGATTGGCTGCGATAAATGTGCAATTACATGGATTAATAAACAGCCTAAATAATTAAAAATTCTACCCCATGTCATACTATAATAATAATTTATGTATCTCATTGCAAATAGTTTAGGAAAATTTTATTCCCAGAAAGATTAAAACCACTTTAAGTTAAATACAAATGCTCGTTTTGAAATATACCTAACATTACAATCTAGTAGGAAACGCTTAAAAAAATAACATCGCTTTGTCCTGCGCGAGCACACAATTAGTTTTTTGAGCACAGTCTGTGTTCTGTCCGACCGAAATATTCTTTGTTTCTCCGTAATTCCAAGGCCACCTCTCGTACTTACCACAATGATAGGCAATTAATTGGTTTACCCAAGGAGTTATGAAGTTCGTCAAATTTATTGATATAGAATTTCCAAACAAACAAAAAGCAATATGAATAACGATAATATTCTTAGTGGACGCGACATGACTGTACAGTTTAATAAAATAATTGTTTTGCTAAAATGAAATACAAAATGCTTGGATACGAGTGGGATATGATAAAACATAACTAGTTAGATCTAGGTCTGGAGTCAAATGTAACGTCCAAGCAGTGATAATAAAAAACTAACGTGGCCAACACAATTTTTTGATATGTGTACCTTATGTCTGTGCGTACGTCCTGTTACACGAGGAAATTATTTGTGACTTACCAAATGCCCGACTTTTTCAATAATCCTTTTCGTCAGGGCCTGGTTTTTGTAACAAAAAACCACACATTAACAAACATATCTTGGTTTAATTTCCGGATTTGTCTGCCTTTGTGTTCCAGTCAAAATCGATTTATTTTTTATTTTAAGAAAACAACATTTTAAGTGTTAGTGTAAGTTAACAAACAATCTTTGTTCATTTTTTTAGCTGCATGGAAGACACACGTTTGGGGGAGTTTAGTTAATAGTTATAGATAAGGCTTCTGTCAGATACAAAACAGTCCATTCTTTTCCCTAAAGTTAAAACGTGGCGGTTAACGCACGAATAGGTGTTTATATCTATATAGATCTATATAATACTTTGTAAATTTTATTATACTTCACATGTTAATCCACATAATGAAATTATTTAAATTAAAAACCGATTTTATGTTGAACAACATTTACGAGAGAGGCAGGACTTAACGTCATCCACAGAGTCCCTAAAATCGATTTTTAATTTCTATATAACCTAACAGATAGGTAGGTAATAGATCGTGTATGTCCATTCAATTAGGATTTATATAATATCAGAAACTGTGTTAATAAGTATAATAATTTATCTATAAAAATATTCATTACGTCGATAATAGACGCGTCAGCGACAACAAGAGTCGGGAGATAAGGCGACCGGCTGAAACCGGCGCACGCACCGGCCGCAGGGGGCCTCGCGCCGCTCCACACATAATCACCTCGTGTACACACACATTCTCACTCACACACACGCCACCTGATAACGCCTGCTACTCGTTCAAACAAGAATATAATGAGCGCATCGTATTATGACGCAGAACTTTGCATTGTTTATTGAGCTGATGTCTCTCTAATCAAGTTTGTCTAGACAAAAAACTGAATAAAATTTACACAACTATTTTGTCCGAGTTCAATATGCAATATACAACAGTTACAGTAATCTGTATTGAAAAGTCCTCTTAAAGCTTATAAAATGTTGTATGGTTGTATAAAATTACGAAAATATCTGTAAGTCGGCGGTTACAGTATTCCTTTTGAAGCCTATAAGAATTTCACGTGTTCTAGATAAAGCAGAAACTTGCGAAATGTTTTTGCTAATAACCACCCAATCCCCAGTGAAGAGTGAGGTCGCGTCGTATAAACACGGCGATATCAATCACCTATTGAACTGAGGCCTATCATACCGGTATTAACTGGACACAGGCCGAAGTGAGCGGCTTCTGATAACATTACCACATTATTTACTTCATACTGAACTCTCGGTTCACTTTAAGCACACGCTAACGAGCTGGAACAATTGCTGCGAGTTTTGAATATCACTAAAACCGTATCAAAAAACCACATTCGCAGGGGAGGGCCGCTTATCAGTGATATATCTACGAGACGTTTTATAAGTAGTCAACGCGACTTCTAGACTTCATTTTACATAGCGTTCGCGCAGTGACCACTAGTGTTCATTTCGAGTTTACGGATTCATGCAAAATGTTGCTATTTCCATCGTGGAGACCCGAACTGCACGAGGGTTGCAGAGTGCCCAGGTGGATCTCGGCTGAGGGAATCGCGTCTTACGTAGCCAGGCCTGTTGCCTTACCAGCTCTACCGCGACAGGTGCTTCTTCGTTCATACACTCGGTTGCATCATATTATTTTCACTGATAAAGAAATGTAATTCAACGTTTGATTATTTCTCAGATTGAAGACGGCGAATCGTGCGGAAGTTTGTCTCCGGAAAGGCAAAATGATTCTGGATCGGACAACGACTGCATTTGCGAATGGAGAGGCTGCGGCGCAAGATTTGACACCGTCACGCGATTGTCCGCACACGTAGCTAGAAACCATGCGCACGCGCACGCCGACGGATTCTTCTACTGCTGTTGGAAGGGATGCACGCGTTCGGAACGAGGATTTAATGCAAGGTACTAAATTAAATACTAAAGGGGTCCTGTATTTTTCAGCCTTAATAAAGTAGCACTAGATGTAATAAATAATATGTTTCTAATAAACTGAATTCCTTATAGATACAAGATGATAGTTCACATGAGAATTCACACAAACGAGCGCCCGCATACGTGCAATCAATGTCAGAAGAGTTTTTCGCGAGCGGAAAACCTCAAAATACATCTACGCTCGCATTCCGGGGAAAAACCGTACGTGTGTCCATACGAGGTAAATATTAGCTACAAACTAAATATTTTTTGGTAACATGTTTAAATATTTTAATATAAAAAATGTAGTAAAAACTCTGTAACCTTTTTTCCACAAGAAAGAATTGTTTGTGGACAAGAGAAAGATAACATTATTTTTATTCGGTTTTATGTCATTACCATGTGTAAATAGTGCGGTATAATGTACTTTTGGGAGAATTTTATGGGCGGAATGAACTACGGAATCTGTACTATCTTTTCTAATTCTCTCAATGACAACATTTTGATAAATCCCGTGTATTTTAAGTAAATATTCTTGTTCACAGGGTTGTGGTAAAGCCTACTCAAATTCCAGCGACCGATTCAAGCACACCCGCACACACAAAGTGGACAAGCCATACTGCTGCAAAGCCTTCGGTTGTAACAAACGCTACACGGACCCATCGAGTTTAAGAAAACACGTAAAAGCCTACAAACACTTCACCAATGAAAAGGACAGTCCAAAACGAGAAACATCGCCACCGCAGAGATTTGGAAGCTTATCACCAATGCGAGAATATCTACCAATCCCTCCAACGTCCCCCCAGGACGATAGACTATTATCGCCTACCTTCTATCCCCCAGTGCCTTCAGAACCATTTCGAGCACCGTTGAACTACATGACAATGATGAACCCAGCTTATATTCGACATGTAGACAACGTCTATACTAGAGAACCTTCGCAAGATACTTTTGCAGAATACTCTAAAATGTACGACCAGACTTACAGGCACTATTACACTGTCAGTGGCGATTATCCAATTCTAAAGCCGATGGTTAAAGAGAATTACACTTACGAGAAGAGAATAGAAGATGTATCAATGAGCGATCAGGTCGAGTATTTAGATACTGCCAAAGATGAATACGATGAAAACGTGCCATTGAATCTGATGTGCGCTAAGCGATTGGATTGTAAACCAATCGAACCCCTAGTCAGAAACACGGAATTACCTTTAGACCTAAGCACGAAGAACTGATTGTATTTTTAATTAATATTAAAATTTTATTTATGTATGACATTATTTTATTTGTTAACTACCCTCCAAGTATTTATAAGAGCCGATGCTAAAAATACTATTCCCGTCTAGCGGGAGCCCTGCCAGCATGTTGGTGCTATTCCAAGGCTTTCCGCAATAGTACTCATGTACCCACCAGCTTGTTTCACGTCGGCGCGTGGTCGCGGAATTAAATATTTTTTCTGGTTTTCGGGTGCCTTCTTCTGCAGTAAAGTCTCTATATAAAGGGTTGGATGAAAAACAATCGCTTTTCAGACTTCTGCAAGGAGTAAACGCAATGCGATGCCCAGAGGAAGGGGACAACCCAAGCTAGTATATTCTATACTTTATATCAAGATATAAAGTATAGAATGTGAATTTTGACGAATAAATATAAAAACTAATTAGTAGTAATCATCGAGAAATCAAAAATTCTATTTTTCATTTAGTTTACCTTTACCATTACTACAAACATTGTCGATAAAATGTATCTCACAATAACTTTAAAAAAATACAACGATTAATTAAGAAAAAATCAGTTTATTACATCGGAATCGTACATGTTGATTACAAGTATACACTTTAATAACATATTACAATGAAACAAAAGCAATTAAAAATCACTGTACCCTAAACAATGACGATCATCATTAACCACGAGAGTTACAGTCTATATCACCTGTACCAGGAGACATGCAAGTCTGGCACTGTGATTGGTTCTGGGGCGTTGTGCTAGGTCCTCACTAGTCGAGCCATGCCCTCCGCGATCGTATTGAGGGCGGCGAGGTCTTTGCGAGCGGTGTCCATCAAGTGGGCCATGCCACGCTGTTGTAGTGATAGGAACTGCTTCACGTCGTCCTGCGCGCCTGTTAACGAATCAAAAATAAGAATAGATCTAAAAAACATTTTTTATGTTTAACCACAGTATCAACTATCTGGGATCATATGATCCAGACACAGTTTTTTTTCTATATAAGAGACACAATAGAAAGCTTTATATGTATATCTGAATAGATTTTTGTGATCCTTTCGAGTTTAGAAGGACTAAGAAAGCTAAAGATTAATATACTGTCTTTTTTTTAATGTATCAATTTTATTCGATTAAGTACATTTAAAAAAATGTACCGGCGTTGTCAAATCTAATTTATTATAGTGTGTGAAAACTATATTTTTTATACAAAAATGATTCGATTTTAGAACTTACCGGGATCCAAATGATATCTCTCATGAGGTGCGCCTGCGCTGGCGCTACGTTGTAGTCGCACCGCACAAAGTAACTCGTTCAGGCGACCCTAAACAATTAAAATTATAATATACTAGCTGTGCCAGCAACTTCGTCCGCGTAGAATAGTTAATTTGGGCATAAAAATTTGTTTTTGCAAACCACATCTTCATAAATTATCGTCGTTTTTTGCTTAAAAAGGTTCTTTTATACAACATTTTTGGTATATTGAATTTATAATAATTATCCACGTTTTTTCCACATTGTTTCAACGCGCTAATCTCAGGAACTATTAGTTCGAATTGAAAAAATATTTTCTGTGTTGGTTAGAGCACTGATCGAGATAGGCTTTAGGCTATGAAAATCGCAATGCGACCAGTAGGAGCGAAGACACAGAATCAAAGTCGAAGTCAATGCAATTTTTAATCAACCATTTATTTGTTTGAGTTGTATTTTGTTGTATTAATATAACAAAATTAATCTTGCAAACAATTATATAGAGACCAAGGTTATGTTAATTTGTATACCATGTAATGGTATACATAGGAGGTTAGTTGCTATAAACTTATGATCATCACATAAGTATACAGAAACAAAACTACATAATATACAAACGGCTAAAGTATACACTAACGTAGATTACGTCACGTATATACATTACTGAATTTATCTACACAGTCTAGACACAAATTTTGCTGTGTTTGTATACATTTTTATATAACCACACGATAACGTCACATTACGTAAAATTATCAGCTCCGCCATTATATCTGATAACGAAATTGCAAGTTGGTCTTATGGGCGATTTAAAAAGTGTTTTAAATATATAATTACAGGTACCTTGATTATGATAAAGGGATAAATCATAAAATTGTGAAGCATTACACCTAGGTTAGGTCATCTTAGGTTTTATAGCCTTTCCATTAATTTGCAATCCTTTTTTATTTAGGACAGAGGAGGATTCATTTTATAGAAAGACAAACACCAGGCTTGCTATTGCTCGTTGCCCAGCAATGTGTAAACATTTAAATTAAATATTTTTTACGGTTTAAATAATAATTTCTATTTCAACTAATTTTACCTACGGTCATTGGCAGCCATAGTCACGGGAGGTGGACGCGGGGAGGTTAAAATAAATTGTATATAAGTACTAAATATAACAGAAAGTGATGTTAACAACTTACGTTAAAAAGTGATTTGTTTAAATATATTAATCTTTCGCACTAAAGACTACGATGAAGGATCATCGAGAAATACTTAATGTTCATACTTTTACTAACTGACTTTTGGTAACTACTGACTTCAAAAGTAGTTATTAAAAAGACTCCTATAAAATCTTAATTTGTAATGTAAGCCTCTATAACAGGGATGCACAGACTTATTAAGACCACTCGGGCAAATCATGAACTGTTGGCGGGTAGCCAGAAGTATAGGTAATTAAAGACAATAAAGAATTGATAATGATGTATTCAAATTGAAATTTGAGTATTATTTTTGGTGTCGGCGGGCTACCAGTTACTGAAAGGCGGGCCGCGGTCAGTGCATCTCTGCTCTATAACTATACGTATGTTCTTCTTTGACTGAAAGCTCTGACGGAAAAAGACCGTATCTTACATAAAGATTATCCGTATCTTAATATTATAAAGCTGAATAGTTTGTTTGTTTATACGCGCTAATGTCAGGAACTACTGGTTCGAATTGAAAAATCATTTTTGTATAGGTTGGGAAATCTTATTTAAACAGAAGGAAATGTGGAAAAGACGGGAGCATTTATTTATCTTTAAGGGTGCAAAAAATGGTTCAGATGTATGTAGGAAAAAACTATTTTTCTCAAAATGATTGCTAAAACGACGCGGACGAAGTCGTGGGTAAGAGCTACAATTATAAATCAGAATTTGTTTACAAATATATATAAGGTGCGCAAAATAACTATTCGAAATGGACGAAGTGACGAGCACAGCTTAGATTTGGAATACAAAAATTTCACTTGTTCCTCGAAAAACGATACAAAACAATTCAACCAAGTCACGCCAATATAACGAAGCGAATTATGACAGAGGGGTTTTATGAAATCATTGTGCGTATGTTACTATATCAAACTAGAATCGTGATAGGCATAGCCCCAAAAAACCAATGTCTAAGCAGACGTCTGGAGATAAGCTGATAAGAGTCGCGATAAAGTACACGCGGACGGCGAGTGTTTCCGAATGTATTGGAAGGTCATGTGAATTTTCATTTTTCTTGTCACTGATGTCTGCTGGTTATCTCTCCGTCACATTACAGTATAGATACGGAATATTCTAAACAGGAATATGCATTTAATTACTTGATTGAACACGTATTAAAAAAAAACTATTTAAAACGATATACACGTCACGGGGAGACCACGGCTGCAAATAAGTTTAAATAATAAACATGTATCGCGTTTTAAACCGTTAAAGTATTTTATTTAAATGTGTACTACTCGCATAAACTACAGACAGTGTGAACATATAACTTCGTCTGTTCATCACGTCAGTACATTATAAACACTTTTAACGGTTTAAAACGCTAAAGTCAAATCTGCTTCATTTTCAGACCCTATGACTAAGGCATACGAAACGTCCGGCCGCAGTTAAAATAAATTCTAAATAAGTTAACTAATATATTTCAAGTTTTAAACGATTAATAGCGTTTTATTTCATTGCGCGTAAACAGACAATACTTAATTCAGTACACTGAAGTACTAAGGTACTCGAAGAACAACACGCAAAAAATATACGATATCATCATACGAGAACCGATTTAAGATAAGCATCCTAAATCTACACGGAGTGGTCTAATGTAACAGCTTCCATACAATGCGCATGCGCGATACACTCTTTCCTGTATTGATAGATCCATTTGACACTATCTCTTTATCTGTACTACGAAGCTATAAATACTATTTTTGTACATTAAATAAAATAATCAAACGCGGAGTGGTGTGATATAAAAAATGGACAGAATAGACAAAACGCCTAAAATATACTTTCTCTGTCTGTATGCACACGGTAATTGCCAAAAGTCAGGTGCAATATGTAATATTACTATCTGCTGCTCAAATCAATTTGAATCAGTACTTTCTGAGATTAGCGCGTTCAAACAAACAAAATGTTCAGTTTTATAATATAAGTATATTATTATATTACGATCGTTGTCCTCTTGTGAAAAACTTTTCCACTTGAAACATTTTTATTTAAGACTTAGAATATAGAAAAAAAATCCAATTAAAATGTTAAGTTATGCTTTTTTAGAAGACAAGGTCGTAGGGTGAATGAAGAGAAAACGTAAAGGAAAAAATAAATAACAGAACTTGATTTTTCAAAGAGAAGAATAGTCGAAGGCAGGAAGTTAAAAAAAACTTATCCGTGGCTATATTTTTGTAAAGACATTTTTATCTGTTTCCATATTAATTAAAAAAGTTGATTCTAGATTGAAAAAAATTACGACCCGATCAGGACTTGAACCGGCATCCACCGCGTAACGTGCCGTTGTTCTATGGATATATACGGAACGCTGTGAATACCGGGTCAAGTTCTGATCGTGTCGTAAATATTTTCAATCTAAAATCGACTTTTAATTTATGTAGTCCCATCATGTAAAAATATTAAGTGTTGAAAAGTTTCCATAATTTTTCGCTGACTACTTTGCTCGTATAATCGTGAATATATTTTAATCACGAAGTTCAGGTTAATTAGAGTTATTCTAAAGACCTGCACCATCTCTTCTATGGGGCAGGAGATAATGATCTATGCAAAGGCACAGCAGAGAGATCTTAAGAGATGGAAAAGATTAATTTTTCGACGAAAGTAATTCAGTTATCTTATGTAAAGTGCATATTATATACAAGTAACACGGCGAGACACAGCTTATAAATAAATGGCGCATCTAAGAAACTATCTAACAGCCTTCTGTCTTATCTAAAGAACAGAACGCTATCAGGTGTGATTTTATCAGCGAACATAAGGTTATATTTACATTATACAGGGGCGGTGCTGCCAGCTGGGTGGCCAATTCCTGGAGTCTTGCTCTCGCGGCTTCTTCCTCTGGACTCAAAGCTGCTCCGACACGTCCCAAGACCTCTTGGCGAGCAATTATCTGAAGACGGGAAAGCCTTGTCTATAGTTATAGAACATAATAGGTATCTAACTAAATAAAACCAATTCTAACGGCTTGAAACGCGACATACTTACATTTTTTACATACAACCATACAATAAGCGCTTCAATGCGGGGAAAGTTTGGGTTGAAGTTTAAAATAGGTAAACTAATGTAGTTCTGTTTAAACCGTTAAAATATTTTATTTAAACTTCTATTTAATTATGTTTTAATTCTGTCGATTAATATTTCTAAAAATGTCATACCTGTAATAGGGTATGTCTCAAAGAGTTAAGTCGCGCAGTGAGCTGCGCAAGAGTTGCGGCCGACGCGGCACGTCGCGTGCGCAACTCACTCAATGTTTCGGAAGCTTTACGGAGATAGCTCGCTTGCAAGCCGGATTCTGCAGTCTGACATTGTGCACGAAACTTGATCTGTAGACACATTAAAAAAATTAAGCCGAATTGCATATATGACACACGGCTTCGTCCAGAAACCAGGCTGAAGTTCTGGCAAACAATATTTGCAAAACTTTGTAGATAATTTTTATACCCAAGGTTTATCAAAATGTTCCAAATTATTATTTTTTAAATGGAGTTTTAAAATATATAGTACAACAAAACTTGTATAATGTATATTAATGAATGTATATAGTAGCAGAGTGGGTTTGAAATTTGTATGAGAATATCAAATATGTATCTATCAAACCTTCGTCGGACACCACTGTTAGTAGTGTACCTACTAAACCTATACAGAAAAAAAATGTGAATCGACCACTCTAGTTACTTTTAAATAAAATAACTTTATATATGCGATATTAAACTTATTTAGAGATTATTTTAACTACGGCTGGATGTTTCGGACGCTGTGCAGCAGCAGTGGTCATGGGGAGATTCGTTTTAAACCAATAAAGTGTTGTATTTAAACGTGTACTACTCGCGTAAACTACAGACAGACTTTTATTTGTACTATCATAATACAAGTTCTAATACAATTAATTTATAGTTAAGGTTATTAGTAGTTGCACAATACCTCAGAGAATCCAATAATCGGCACAGGAATATAATTTTCGGGGTCTGGATTGTCAGCTTGAGCTTGTTTCCATAGACGCATATCCATACCTGTTAAAACATATATATCTTACACAAAGTAATTTTGGGTCATACTTACGTATTTGGGTAGTTTTACGCGCGTATAGATTAGCATGTGTATAAATTAGCGTATGTATAAATTAACGTATGTATAAATTTACGCATCTATAGATTAGCATGTGTATAAATTTACGTATGTATAAATTTACGTATGTTTAAATTTACGCATGTATAGATTAAAGCGTATTTACGCAAGTATAAATATACTCATACATAAATTTACGCGTGTAGTGTAATAGCTGGGCTGCCATGCCGTATATCAAAGGGGCTCATCGTCCGTATGGCTGGGTCGGGTCGGTCGAACCGATCCCCACAAGGACCAACAAGATTTTTGAAGAATATTAGTCTTCGTATATGTATAATAGTGGTCGTATTTGAGGGCAGGAATGTCGTATGGATCCTCAGATAAAACGTTATTGAGTGTTAACCTGCCTCTCGACTACAGTCTGTTGATTTGTGAATGTCCAATGCCGAAAATCATTGTCTGACAATGTATTACTACGACATTTCTTAAAGCATGTCTTGCTATTAAATTTATATTAATATTGAGTTTAGTTGGTTGATCTAGATTTTTCTTACCAGGTGGAGGAGTTTGCAGGTACTGGTCGAGCATCTGCGATGTGGGTCTCGTGACAGGCGTGATGCTGGTGCAACCTGCGCCGTTCAGAGTATTTCGAGAAGCTCCAGCGTTTAAGAAAGCGCTTAATTCAGATGCGTTTATATGACAACCGCCCGCTCCTTTATCCACTACGTACACAACGACCTAAAACACAATGTATAACATCTTTTAGCAAAAAATTAAAAAAGGATTAAATTATTCAAAATTATAGACTTTTAAATCTATAGTTTACGCGGGTAGTATACATTTAAATAAAACACATAAAAGTGAAATATTATAGTTAACTTCTTTTTTATTTATTTTACATTATTAACTTATTTTAACCACGGCCCGACGTTTCCCCGTTACCGAAGATGCTGCAAAGCATACAAAATGTCGGCCTGTAGTTAAATTAATTTTGACATAAGTTTAACTAATAAATTTCGCGTTTCAAACTGTTTAAGTGCTTTATAAAAAACTTTTAAGTTAATCATTCTTATATGTTCTCTGCTGTGCCAACATAATTGTGTCTCGGTTGTGTATAGACGCTATTCACCAAAGTTAATTAATTCAACTACTAAAATGTTAACTGCAGCGGAAACTAAATAAAAATTAAATATTACCTGACACTTTTTATCTGAAACTGCCTTTACAGTTTCTATATTCACAGCAAGATTAGGTTTATTCCCAAGAAGACCAGATAACGAAGTAATGAAACCCTGCTGATTGTTCCTGAAAAGAAATGTGTCAAAATAAAGTGTACTAAACTTAAAACAAGGTTTGTGCAATGTTAAATGTATAGAAATACCCACTTTATTTCATTTTCTGGCTTAGTAAACATCATTGCAACATGACCATCCTTATCTTCTTTGCCTCCGAGTCTCGAATATCCAACTGCCTTGAAGCGACACAGTGGATTCTGCTCATTCAGCTCTAGTGGTGGTGCACTTCTATTGTAATACGCTTGCCCTGAATTGTATAAATAAAAATTAGTAAAACTTCAGTAAAAAAGTTTTGCAATGATTTGTAATTCTATTCGGGTTTTCAAGCTGTTTGGCTGTTGTAATGAACAAAAAGTTAGTCCATAGTTGTTACATCTCAACATTTTGTGATTATGTTCTAGTATTTTACAATAACATCGACCCAACAGCTATACAACCCAAGCTGTAAACCTTAAACCTGATTTTATTAAAAGATGAAAAAGAAAACAGGTGACAATATATTTTTTATATAATATTCTCAATTTATTAGGTTACTTTTTTGTTACCTATATGGTTGTATATAATAGGTAGTTCTGCATTTAACTTAATGGTTTGAAACACAAAATATATAAGGAGAACTGACCATGTACAGAAGTTTATTATTTTATTTTATATGGGGGACACCCTCGGCAGGATGGGTGATCAGTCCACGTTGTCCGCTGACCATTTCACCCATTTCCCCATTTATGTACAGAAGTTAATATGTTAACCAATATATTTCACAATCTAAGGCCTTAAAGGTGTAAACTACAGACATTACTTACGGTTGCAGTACAAAATCTGTAATAAAAGAGTCTCACCTGTTCCCCATTGAGCTTGTAGTAGATTCCATTTTGCTAACACTTGATCTCTGTCATCACCAAATACATTGCAATTAAAAACAGCAGCTACAAGCGCTTCATGTGCATTCGTTGGACCTTGGGGTTGCTGTTGCTGTAAAAAACAATTGAAGAGCATGTGAGACAGAATAAAGTATAAATTGATCGCAATATGTAATCAAATGATATATTTAACAAGGTCAATACTATACTTAAGATATGGTAAACATAAATAATTCATCAACAAGATTTACATAGCTACAGACACAAAAATGCAGTCTGTTTGTAGAAAACGGACAACGCAAAACTAATCCTACAAGACAACATTTGAATAACCTCATCATTCATTAATAATAATAAAAAGTAACTTATAGATTAACTAACTTGTTGTGGCTGTTGCTGTTGTCCAAAAGCAGAAGATGTACCAAGTCCGGTTCCAAAACCTCCAAACCCTGTTGTTGCTGGTTTGCCAAGGGTTGATCCAAAAGTTGACCCAGTCCCAAAAGAAGTGCCAAAAGTACTTGTCCCAAATGATGGTGCTGTACTACCAAATGTTGATGTACTTGCACCAAAAGGGGCATTATTAGCAAATGTTCCTGCACCAAAGGTGCTTGATCCAAAACCTGATTCATAAAGTTATATATATGTAAATAATAAGTATATAAATAATTTAAAGACGTATCTTTACATCCATACAGAACAAAAATTTGGTATTTACCAGTACTAGGTTTAGCAGCCGTATTTCCAAATGTGCTACCACCAAAAAGTGACGGAGCTGTAGATGCTGGTGTGCTCCCTAATCCACCAAAGGGTGCTGCTAAAATTGTTAAATTATTAGTAATTTATAGAAAAATAGGATAATAAGTACATCATGACGTCTAAAACTACCTGTGGCCGTTGTACCAGCACCAAAGCTTCCAAATCCTGAAGATATTGTGCTGGTACCAAACCCTCCAAATCCAGCAGTGCTTGTTGTAGCAGTGTTAGTGCTTCCAAAAGAGAACGACGCTGGAAGATATATTCATCCTCAAGTTTATAATATTTCGAGTTCGAGGCACTTAAATAATGATTTTGTTAAAGGTAGGTAGAATTGAAAAAACTCACGTTTTGCTGTAGATCCAAAAGGAGTTGCTTGAGCAGTTGCTGGTCCAAAAGAAAACGACATATTGTATATTCTTTAATCCAAAATATATATTTAAAGAGATATCCGTCGGAAAAATCTCTAATCACTCCTTGTAAAATGAAAACTCTTAATAGTTGTGTCTCTCCATATCAGCCTTTAAATAAGAATAAGGCAAATAATTTAAAATTTTATTTTTAAAACAAGACAGTTTATATTCTTTCATATATGTTTAGATAATTAAACACTAAGAAAAATAACTATTTTGTTAACGAGAAATAACCTCAGAATGTCGGAAGTTTCAATAACACTGTTTAAATTTTGAAAAGTCAAATTATACAAAATCGCATAAGGCACAGATAAATGACCTTTAACATACAGTTTAATAAAACACAGACTAATAAACCTGTCATTCAAGTTAGTTTTAAGAGAAATAATATTAAGTTCTATTACAATAATAATAATATTTTTTATGAATTAATGATAAATAAAAAATATGATAATAAAATGACGGATAAAAACAGAAAGGAGTTAACAATTGCTATCGATTATTCGATAGTCTTTAATAATCGCTACTCGTGATATGGACTTCACTGACGCAAGGATTTCTTTCGTCATTCGTGGATTAATCTGGATTGCTTGAATAACTCAAAACCACTGTACAGAATCTTAAAAGCATTTTCCACAAGACTTACTTGGAAATTATCTTAGAGAAATGTCGGATTGGGATACGGTAACTATCTTACGCAAGAAGCCTCCAAAGGCTTCAGCTTTAAAGACTGAACAGGCTGTTAATGCAGCTCGCCGTCAAGGAATCCCAGTAGATACACAACAAAAGTACGGTGCGGGTACTAATAAACAGCACGGAACTACAAAAAATACTGCAAAGCTTGACAGAGAAACTGAAGAGTTGAAACATGATAAAATTCCACTGGATCTCGGTAAACTAATAATGCAAGGACGACAAGCAAAAGGAATGAGTCAAAAAGATCTGGCCACAAAAATTTGTGAAAAACCCCAAATAGTAAATGATTATGAAGCAGGTCGAGGAATTCCAAATAATATTGTACTTGGTAAAATAGAAAGGGCAATTGGAATAAAACTTCGAGGAAAGGAACGTGGTCAACCACTACAGCCTCCTGGAGGAAAGAAATAGCGGGTTCTCTGGGAGGTGAAGACCTTACTCCGATTGTATTGTATTGCATAATATTTCTGATTTTTGTTGTTGAATGTTAATATGTGTATAGTTCATAACGTTGGGATTGAAACAATGAAATAAGCATTTATTTGTATGAATTCTGGAAATTTCTGTGTTGATTGCCAACAATTTAACTGTTAAATTTAACTATTATTAATATCAGATAGAACCATAAAATTTGCAATATTAAAACAATATTTATAACTAAAATTGTTTTTTGTGTTTATTTGCATAGATGTCAATTTATTTTGTGTTTGTATTTCATTAGATAATACTTGAGTTTAGAATTGAATAACATTAAAATTGAGTTCCTTGGTGGGAGCTTGGTAGCTGAGAATAGAGAAGAATTTTGTGTGCTTCAAGAGAAGTACAGAATGTATCTACTATCTAAGCACATGGGCCATGTTATAATTTGCTCTAATCACTAATGTTTGTGGTTTATTCCACTATCAAATTACAGAATACAGATGTCAATGTCTCAAGAAATATGACTGTTAATCATATTTCTTAATCTTGTAATAACACAGTGTATTATTTTTCATTAAGAATACGATTTATTCAGTTGGAAACGTAATATTATTATGTAAGATTAAATGAAGCCTTGGCTAAACTTAACTAAAATTGGGAGGATAAGACACTGAAGAGCAAAGAAAAATTCATTTTTCAACATGGCAACTAACTAGGCACCTATTACATGTCATCCTTACTTGTGTAGTGGATGTCATAAGTGGCCTTAAATTGTTAAATATTGAAGTGCAACATAAACCATAATCCTAGATTTTCAATTAATAGTATTTGTTGCGACATTAGATTACACAACAGAAAGTTGTGAAGGAAATAATTTACTAGTTACATATATTTGACTTGATGTACAACATTTTAAATATATAATAACACAGAATCAGAATGTCTTCACAAGACGCAGATGAAACTGAAGAAGACATGTATGTATTTGTTGAATTCGACGATAGTGTGAATATTGACAAGTATAGAAATGTTCATGTATTGGGTATTGATTCTGAGAATCCTATAGTTCAGTTGGATGATACTTTTTTTTTAGGTAGTAGTAAATTATTCTTTAATATGACCTGTACCTTCACTTAATTCCCACATACTCATGTATATGAAAATTAATTAAGAAATCCTTATTATTCTCCAGGTACTTATGAAAGTCCTCTAGGGACACATATGTTTTTTGAAGATGATCCATTTGCGCAAACAAATGATCCACTTTTTGATAAATTGCCTGAAAAAAACCTGAAATATATAAATAAATCAAGAAAAACTATAAAAGCTGAACATGTCTATGTCAAAGCAAAAGAAGAAAATGGTAAATTGATTATATATATTTTCTTTAAAGATGAGACTGAGAAATATATAGGTATATCATATTATAAAAATGTGATTTTTTTTAGAACAAGAACAACAGCAACCTGTAGATAAACAGAATGATATAAAGCCTGTAACGTTTTCATCAATTGCCGAAGCTGTAGAAAAGTTCAAAAAAGATTGGAAGAGGTCATATCCAGATATTTTCAATGATAATAAAGAGTAGTTTTAGTATCTCATTAAGAGTTTACCACTAATAATGTTTTCTACTAATAGTCTAATACTAAGATATTAAAATAAAATCAGATTATAGGTTTTCTTTCTTTACAAGACTTAGTAAAAGACTATTATACATGCATACTCGAGAGATAATATTTTATTTACCCTCGCATTTTTTCGATTCGAGTTTATAACATTAACATTCGATTGATCAACCCCAACGATAATCGATTATCGAATAGTTGGCAATTTGCTTATATGTGTATGTAGACTTCATTCAGATTCTCTAATGTCAAATAGGTTTGAGCTTACAGCTTGTAGTTATAATCTGTTGTCTGACGCCATTTTCTTTGTATCGCCATTTCATTTACGCAGTGAGATGGAGAACTAAGATTCCAAAGAGAGATAGAAAATAATAAAATAAATTCAGAATTTAAATGTTTAAAGTAAAAAGTTAACAGCAACCTTTGATAAGGTAAGATTATATCGAGTAATGGTGTTATCCGTAATCTTATAAAATTACTAAGGCTGGCGAAACCCAATACAGTTTTGAACAAATTCTAATAACTATATAATGGCGTCCGAGATTTACTTGAAGCGCGTCTATAGATATTCCGTCATCCTTTTCTTTCATTACATTGACACCACCTATTTACGGAGGTGTACACTACTTTCATCGAACGAATCTTTTTACGAGTAGAGTAGAACGATAAGAGGTATTTCCCGTTACCTTCGCACGATAATGTTTTGAAGTTTCTCTCGCCGCTTTCGTGGAATTTAGCCGCGCTTTTTGTTTTATTATCACAGAAGTTACAAATTTATCTAGTTTCTTTTACTTTTCAGCGCATTTCCTCGAGTTTTGGTAACCGACTCGTCTAGGTGGCATGTAAAATAAATCATCATGTTTACCACCAATACAGTGCAAGCTTCAACTGTCCCTACTTTGCAATATCAGGAACATACTCAAAAATCTCAAGGAAAAAATATTGAAAATGTACAGCAAAAACCAGCTCAACAAAATCAACAAACACAGCAGGTACTATTACTACATTGAAAGCTATAATTATATCTTTAAAACTTATTAATAGTTAAAGTATGGTCTTTATTATTATTTTTTTAGTTTAAACAATAAGTAGTTATATAGTTATTAAATAGTGTAAAAAGGTTTTAGTTAGTTAATTTATGTGTATGCTGTTATAAGGAATTTTTTCATTTAAACTTTAATATTTGTGATAGTGAAAAGTGATTGCTAAGTATATAAGTTAAAATATCTTTATCTGTTTTTTGCCTTCCCATTTATATCTACTTAGTAGAAAATTATATATGAAGTACTTCCATTCTGTAGGGAAGCGTGTTGTAGTAATTATTCCTATTGTCATTGCAGGAGTTCCCAACCTTTTGTTACACAACAAATGTCAATATGATTGGAAAAATTAATACTGGCACAACAACAGGAGCAGGGGCGGTAAACATTGCACAGTTGACAACTAGTGATGATAAAACATGTTATATAGCGCAACCTTTTTCATATAACTATGCCTTAGTCAATCAAATGCAGATTGCTCCTAATGGAATCCAGAACACTATTTCTAATATAAGTTTTAAGTGTGATGTTTGTGGTCTGATGTTTGGACATTTAACACTTTTAAATGCCCATAAAAGAATACATGCTCAAGATACAGGTAATTGTCTTTTATAATACTCCTATTTTAATTAAAGGTGTAAAAATCACAATCAAATTGGACCAAAAAACAAAAATTTTAAATAACACACTTTCATGGTTTAAACGCGATTACTACGGCCCGACGTTTCGGATGCTTTGCAGTAGCTGTGGTCAGGCTATAGTAAAAAACATTTTTTTTTTCAAGTTTAACTAATATTAATTGCGTTTTAAACCATGAAAGTGTTTTATTTACACATGTACTATTGTGATGTAAACTACAGAGTAATATAGTGTAATGTAAACTACAGAGAGAAATCAAATTATAACTTATAGGGAGAACATTGTATGGGATTTGATAACTATGTATATTTTTGTAATTCCAGACAACAATATAACAGTAGTAGCAACAGGGGTGAGCTCTGCAAATGATGTAGCTATGCCACCACATATACAAATACTCTCCTCCGACCCAACTGAACCTCAACAACATGTGCAACTGCAGGATAGTGAGTTAATAAAATTCATTTATTTTACATTTAATTATATCTTTTCAGTTAAGCGCATCTCTAAGCAAGAGATGCCGCCTATAGCAATCCTAGAAAAATATAATTTTTTTATTATATTAAATATAATTTATTTCATTTCAGCAAAACCCATTATACTGGACAAAATACAAAAGTGCATCACATGTGGTAATGTTATTCCCAACAATCCAAAAAGAAAGGGACCAAAACTGATCAGATGTGAAAACTGTATAGCCCAGGTCAACATTGAACACAGGCAAAGCCAGAGTAAGAGAAATATTCAAATTTTTATGTCGTTCCTTATATCTTAAGGTGCTTTTCTATATCTATCACATTGTAACTTATATACAAGTATAAAGCACCTCTAACGTGGAAAGTAATTCCTTTATACATATGGGAATCAAATTAGTGGCCACAGTGTGTCAGATGTCATTGTCGATTATGTCCTCTTGTTTGTGTTCTTCAATTTTTTAATAAGTTAAAATAATTTTTTTAGAAGGGATTAAAATTGAAAATTTATTTTAACTGAAAGCCACCATGTTCAACAACTAAAATTAATGTTTAAAGTGTTGTGTAAAATTTATTTGGTATTATACTTATATTAACAAATGTTATGTAATAATAATTAATACAGAAACAAAAAAACACACTTCAATATATATGTATGCATGATCTTTTCCTAAATAACCAATTTCCGAAATTGTGTGACTAATATTATGGTAACAAAAAAAACATTTTGGGATCCATCAGTGAACACAGCACAAATATTTGTGACAGAAGAGAATGTCAAGTATGAGGTGAGCGGAGTCAGCGGGGTTCAACCGAGTTCGGATCCTCTATCAGCTACCCAACCAAATCAGCAACAGCAACCGCAGAAACATTGTAAGTTTCACTATTAAATAATATTTGAATTGATAAGAGTCGAGATTTGTCTTTATTCTTTAATAGAGGCATTTAAATAGAGACAAGGAAAACTTGTAAACTTCTAAAAAAATGTCTTATCCCTAAGCTACAGTAGGTGGTTAGATAAAAAGATGTGAGCTTAATGAATAGTGATAGTGATTTTTATTTTAAAGTATATTGAATTTGAATATGTACTCAACTACTCACAAATAAAATATTCATAAGTAGATTGAGATAACACAGTGCAATAACACTATTAATATGTGACAATTTTTTCCAGTACCAGGTCATCATCCCGTCAAAAAGAGAAACTTGGCTTCAGTGACAAAATGTCAGAACTGCAATGGCTCCGGCATCATATTTGTAGGCGGCAGTAAAAACAAAAATAATCAACCAAACCCTGACAAATCCTACCATTGTAATATCTGTGGTGGTTCATTTTCAAGATATTCGTCATTATGGTCTCATAAGAAGCTGCATTCGGGAGAGAAGAATTTTAAATGTGGTATTTGTGGGATCGCGTTTGCAAAAGCTGTGTATCTCAAAAACCATTCACGAATTCATACCGGAGAAAAACCATACAGGTAATCTTTTGATTATGATATAACTAGAGATGGGCTGAGTACTCGGCAGGTTTTTTATTACAATTTATTTATAGCAATATATTTAGGTAGGTATAAGCCACCAGTGTTAATCCAAATGTATTTTTAGTAAAATTTAAATAAGTTTAATGAGTGATACAAAATCATCGAACTGATTACATAAATTTTTTTACTGCACTAAGCGTCCATAGCAAAAAAAAAGATCTTATTAAGAGTTTCACTGTTTATTATTAAAATACATTTCAGTAGATACAAATATGACTGCTAGTACATTTAAAGAGAAATATATACCGGGCTTTAAAAGCCTTATTTTATTCTCCTAGATAGAAATAAATGGGTCATCTAAAGAATGTTAAAATTAATACCTGCTGTCTATAGTTTACGCGAGTAGTACACATTTAAATAAAACACTTTAACGGTTTAAAACGCGATATATTAGTTAAACTTATTTGAAAATTATTTTTAACTTCGGCCCGACGTTTCGGACGCTTTGCAGCAGCCGTGGTCTCCCCAGCAGTCTCCCCGTGACAGTTCAAATAAGTTTAACTAATATATCGCGTTTTAAACCGTTAAAGTGTTTAATTAAAAATTAATACCTATTAAGATTGTAACTTAATAAGAATATCATAATTGTCAGATATATTATATTAAAACCGACTGATAATAACTTTCAAAATTCGCAGATGTAACACGTGCGGTATGCAATTTTCACAATCACCGCATTTGAAGAACCACGAGCGAACGCATTCGGGAGAAAAGCCATATGTTTGCGAAGTATGTATATTTGTTGACAATCTTGTTGGTCGAATGGTAGCAATATATGATAAATACGGTGGTAGCAACACTTAGGACCCAATTTAAATGACGTTGGTCTAAAATGTTCCTGATGGATATTACAATTATTATAAGATGCTTCTTATCTTAAAATTACATGAGTGTTCGGAGTTATAATATTCGGGGTCACAAACCACCACTCGCTCACTGATGGAAAACTCGTTTTATTTACGTTTCGGTTGTAGTTCGAAATTCCCAATTTTCAAACCTTATTAAAGTGGACAATCGAGGTACAGGGGTTTAATAGAATTCAAAATTATATTATACAAGTTTTTTTAAATCTACGAATATTTACGAATAAAAAAAGTATCTATTACTTGGTGCAAAGTATAAAATACAATGTAAAATATTTTTTCTTTTCGGTTAACTGAAGTGGGTTAATATTTGAATTGATTAAGACACGATAGCTCAATTTGCTTAGGGTAACTGCACCGAACGTGGTGAATGCCGTTTCGAGTCCTGCCCGTGTCGTAAAATGTATTTAATCCAAAATCGATTTTAGTTTTGAGTTATTATTTGTTAGAAATATTAACTTATATATGAATGTATGGTACTTATGGTTATGTGATATATTTAGGTGTGCGACAAAGGCTTCGCGAGACACGCTACCTTATGGAATCATCGGCGTATTCACACCGGCGAGAAACCTTACAAGTAAGATTTTAATGCTATATTGTATCTTGTTGTGCAAATTATACAATTTTTGCATATATAACTTGCAACATTTATCTAGCGTTTCATGTCTACTCGTTATTACTATATCTATCATACTGCCGCGCACAGGTCTTAGTGGCTAAACGCTGTTTTGCTGAAGATTGACTAGACTATGTTACTAAATTATGCATGATAGCTGTGTTTGACATCTAATTAACTTAGAAACACATTTGCTTCCAAACTCTGATCCGCTTTGGTATTAGAAATTGTCTCGGAAAAAATACTGAATAGTTTGACAAAGTAAATTTATATAACAGGTGTGACATATGCGGATCAGCATTCAGTCAAGCGGCTCATCTTAAGAATCATGCTAAGGTACACTCGGGAGAAAAACCTTTCAAGTGTGACATTTGTACAGCGGCCTTTGCAGACAGATTTGCACTTAAGCGACACAGGGGAATACATGACAAATACGGTGAGATAACTTGCGTAATAAAGATAAATTAAGTTATCTGGAATCGGTCAATAATGATGAATAAAGATGTTTTTGTATCACTTTGATTCAAGATATATTTATGACTTAGCTTAATCATTCTTATATTTTTTCTAAACAGGACAAACTGCACCCTTACCTTCAAAATTACATCAGAATCAGCTAGAACAGCAGCAAGCGACACAGTTGCAGACAATAGCCACCAACCAACAGCAGCAGCCTACTACACAACCCGCAGTGGAAGTTGAACACTGTCCAGAACAGACACTATGAGTCAAAATATTTCCTTTAGTTAAGACCCCCCTTGAATCATAGTATTTGAAACTAATGGTGATAAAAGTAATATTGGTTATGTACTCAAGGACAAATAAATTTATGTACATAAAGAACATTTTTACTATAGTATGTAACTTTATTTAAGATAAACGAAACGGATAACACAATGTGAAACGACACTGCCAGTTAATATAGCGCTTTTAGAAATTTAACTACTATGGTTATAAAGTGACCGGTCATAAGAAATATTGTGTAGCAATAATAAATTGTTAAAAAAGACACACTAAATTAACTACAGTAGAAACTCGATTAACCAAATCAATTGTTTTCGATTATCCGAATATTTATATCCGTAGTAATATTGTGACTATTAAAAATAACAAATACTTAATTACCGAAAACCAACTCATAATAAATTAAATGATAAGTTCAACATACATTGTACAAACTCAAATAATTCTTACCTTAATCGCGTGATGAAATATTTAGACACGTGTATATTTATAATTTCTCAACAATATAATGTGTTAAGCTCATTTTTATGTTTCTTTAATACTTTTCTGATGTTTATTCCTGTTTACTATAAAATGTGTGTATGATGTAACCAATCTCTCTTCAAGTCTTATCTTTCATATACCGTGGGGCCAATGCTATTTTACGCTTGCACCAACTCGACTTGTAATTATATTTCTAGTATATTACTCGCGGGGGGTAATCTGGATAATCCCGAGTCCGTATAACCGAGAGTCGGATAATCGAGTATCTAATGTACTGTGAAAAAATGTGAGTATAATATAAACACAGAGTAGTGGCCAGGCTTTTTTGTTTAAATTACATTTTACAAGGGTGTTACATTATATGCACTTGGTTCATGATTTCCAATATTTAATGAGCCTGTTTGCAATACATGAAAATGTCTGAGAATATTATTTCATAGCCATCATGTGTATAATTGGCTGTGTAACCTTATTTTCATCAACTGAATTTTATTATAAAATGGACATACATACCTTTTTTACCATGTAAATATAAGTAAGACTAGATTTAATATTGTGATTTAGATTGTAAAATAGAATGCGAATTAGGTAAATAAAATTTAATGCCACATAAGGTGTACATTTTGTAGGCAATAATTTCATATATTATACATAATTATATTTATGTAATGCGTCTTAAAATAGCATTTTTAATGAAATAAAGTACTGAATGTCGATGAGAGAAGTGTTTTTATCTAGTTAATATTCCACAAGAGCAGTATGTAATATACATATCTCCCAAGTAATGCTACTTTTAATTAAATTGCAAATAATCTATTATATATAGATATTTATCTGATAAATTATATTATCCAACTGACCCATAAGTCATGCACCTCAATGTTCTCTAGAGCTATATATTGTAATCATCACTAGCAGAGACTTAATAATTGAATTAAAACAATTTTTGTATAAATAATTGTATATTTTGATTACTTGAAGCTTAACAATACATGGAAACTTAAATTCATTGTAGATATAAGTAAGTGTATATATTTATTCGTAAATCCAGTTTTCAGCAGCGGGAGTCCATCCGACGAGTTCTTTTTCAGTAAACCAGAGAGCAATTTCTTTGTTAGCTGACTCGACGCTGTCAGAACCATGGATGATGTTACGTCCGACCTGAATGCAGAGGTCCCCGCGGATTGTTCCAGGTAAGGAATCGGCTGGGTTTGTAGCACCAAGCATTTGACGTCCAGTTTTGACAACGTTAAGGCCTTCCCACACCATGGGTACAACTGGTCCGGAGCTCATGTATTTAACTAGACCGGGGAAGAAGGGACGCTCGGAGAGGTCACTGTAGTGTTTCTGTAAAAGATCTTCTGATGGCCAAACGAATTTAAGCGCCACTAGTTTAAAACCTTTCTTTTCGAAGCGTTCCATGATGGTACCGACGAGACCTCGTTGCACGCCGTCCGGTTTCACCATGATGAAGGTTCTTTCACGTGGTTCTGCCATTTTTTTGAAAAAATAATTAGTTCTTGAGATAGGTTATTAGAGAATTGTACCGCACGGCAATGTGGCGTCGACCGGTCGATGACAACGACAGATGTGAAATAGGAAGAGGAAATGGTTGGGATATTGTAAGTTGTGATGGTAAATGTCAGTGGTGAATTTGTCAAAGTAAAACTGACATTAGGAATGACATTTAAAACTTTGCATTGGTCAATTAAAAGCGTTCATGAATATTTTAGAGAAAATAATAGTTGAAAATGACATGAATATGTAGGGTATGGATAAGTCCAAAAGTTTTGATGTCGTGATGATTGTTGTGATGATCTTGAATCTTAAAAAGAATCACGATCACTTTACAAAGACAAACCTGCTTTCCGGCCCAGTGTTGCGTACACAAAAAAAAGATGTCTATGAAACGAAAAAAATCTTTTATTTTATGTAAGTCTCGTTAGATTACCTACCTCTCGTTGTAAATATGTTAATCTTTGTTGTATATATTATAATCCATATATATTTGTATTTGTACAAAAAAATATTTTTTTTTGTGATGAAGAGGACAGAAAATCAATTACGCTTTGACTTTCGTTTTGTTGTTCCGGATATTAAGAAATCCACAGTATGAAACCAAAACGCGATTAAACTTAATCTAAAGAATTAAAGGAATATGGATGGCTTTTCATCTGAGGACGGTGGTTCGTGACCCGGACAAGTTTAGATATTCTCACCAATCATTTACTATCCAGATTGTTCAGACGACTTCTAACATGTACAAGATCTTTTGATAAACATATAATCGAAATGGTGGGGATAAACCCACAACTCGATTAATTATTAGCCTTTTAACGTTGACAGTAGCTGCCCTTAGCCCCAGTGTATTAGAATTTATATGATTGACGAATGTAGCTTTAATTTAATAACACAATGTTCTAAAACAGCAGTTTATTTCAACATTAATTTATTTACAATATTTCATTCTGTTACATCATGACATTACATAACACATATCTAGGTAAAAATTGTTTTGCTTGACCTTTTTTAAAATGATTATGACTGACATGACATTCTTAGAAAAATTAAAAAATATAATATATTTGAATTCTCAAACCAAGAGATAGGGTAAAATTCTTTACAAAAAGTTGAGAATATAACAAGGGGATTGTAGCCTGACAAGGTGTCAATGTCTGAATTTTCATTTACTTAATATAAATTACGCTTTTAAATAAATACGAACGCAATTATTCATACAATTTCATTGATAATACCTACTAGGTTTCATAATAGTCATACTAGATCCGTCAATAAGTAATTAAAATTAGTTACATCCATTGCATTAATACTAACAAAATAATTAAGTTCATATCTTCATTAAAATAAGTTTTATAAATAAAATAACTAAATTAATTAATTCATTCATTTAGAACAATAGTTTTTAAATAAGAAACATTCTAAAATTGTAAAACACATTTGACAGAGAAATTGAAATATTAAAAATTTAAAACCTTATTACCAAATGCCAAAATTAGACAATTTACGTTCACAGCTTACTACTATAGACCTTAATAGCTATTAACGGTCGTGGTTTTGATTCCCATTGGTTTCAACAAATGTGGTATACTTAAATTATTCATAATAAAGCTGGTTCAATGTATGTTTATCCATTTAACTACTAGAATTAAGGCGCTTCTTGCCCACGATACATTATCCTAAAGTATATATAAAAATATATGTAAAAACGAATGTCACTTAATAATATGGAATTCAAAAGAAAACCTTAATTGATTAACCTTACATTTCTACTAGCTTTTTATTGATAGGGCTGTTGGTATTGCTGGCGCTGCAAATGCTGCACGAGTGGGCCTTGTTGCTGTTGTTGCATTGCTAACATTTGCTGGCGCATGCGTTGTTGCTGTTGCTGTTGTTGCGTCATCTGTTGTTGATATTGCGCCGGTTGTTGCGGCTGCATGCCACGAGGGTAGGGCGGCGCTGGGGTGCCCATTCCACCCATTGTCACATTTGGTGCTTGCTGAAATAATTGATATGTTTTATTAACAACAAAATATATGAAAATAGCTCAACGCTGTTTGTCCTCGTAGAGTAATATTCTAATATTTGACATTCTCAACGATCAAATGGTGCAAATTAGGTAAAAGGTTGGTCTTCTACAGGCTTTAATATGCTTCTTATAAATGTATTTTTTTTTTTATATTAAATAGGTGGTAGGAATGTCACTTTTCTTTCTTCACTAGGCTTTCACAGCGTTCCTTGCTGTTACTCTAACCAATTGAGCTAGCGAGTCCTATACGTCATCGTCAACTTTTTTCAACCTATTGATTGATACATACACCTGCCCGTCTTTTTTTGTAATTCATAATCGATTCATAATTTCTATAGTGCCATAATGTGCATGTAACATGTGAATACTATTAAAATTTTCAAGTTCAAATTATGTTAAAATTGACACTGAAATGTAATAATATACCTGAATATACTGCGGACGAGCGTTTTGCCTCTGCTGTGCTAAATAAGCTTCTTGACTGGCGCGACCACTCATCATATTCTGAAAATATTATCATTATATTGACAGTCGTTGGTCCATTGACTACAATCTATGGCTAATAATCAACGGGTCTAGGTTTGGACTTCCATCGGATACAATATATTTCTAAATCACTATATCGTTTCTAAAACTTAAAACTCGTCTGGAAAATCTTAACATCTAATAGATAGTAGAAATATCGAATCCGTTCATTTAATTCAATTTATAATCGCGAGTAGTACACATTTAAATTAAACACTTTAACGGTTTAAAACGCGATTACATAACATTATATAAAAAATTGATTATATAAACAAGTTAAACTTGTTTGGATATTCTTCTATTTACTGCCCAACGTTTCGGATGCTTTTCAGCACAGTCAAATGTCGGGCCTAAGTCAAATAATTTTAACTAATATATATCGCGTTTTAAACGGTTAAACTTTCCTACTTTGTCGAATAATTGCTACAAAAATGATCGAAAAAAAAGCTCTACCACGAAGTGTTTAGTACCAGACACTAACCTGCTGGAAAGACTGTTGTCCCGGGAAACCACCCATGACATTACCACCCTGAGGACCCATAGACCCAGCCTGGCTGTTCATACCACCGATTCCACCCCCTTGGCCCATTTGGCTCATCTGTCCCATGGATTGACCCATCTGGGCCATGCCCTGCCCCATTTGGCCCATGCCCTGCGGCATTTGGCCAGACTGCCCAACGCCTTGACTCATCTGACCTACGTTTTGTCCAATGGAATTGACTCCTTGGCTCATTGGATTCACCTGTTGCCCCATTTGATTTACGCTCTGACTCATACCCTGCAATAAATACATGTATGTCTGCAGTTTACTAAAGTACAGTACAGTTTAGTAGTACACATTAAATAAAACACTTTAACGGTATAAATCGCGATATATATTAGTTAAACGCATTTGCAAGTTATTTTTAACTAAAGCCCGACGTTTCATTGGTTCGTTCAGTCTACATGTGACCACGGGTGAGAGGAAACGTCGGGCCGTAGTAAAAAACAGTTTTCATTATTAATTAATATATAACGCGTTTTAAACCGTTAAAGTGTTTTATTTAAATATATATTTTTCGTAAGACATAAATCTGCTATACACTAATATAAGCTTTTAGTTCATGGTTCAAGCTTTTTCAGTGTTACTTTAGTATAGTTCATGTTAATGTATGACAAAAAAGAATAATAAATAACTTCGATTTTAACTGTTAACACACCGGAAGAGACTAACCGCCCACGACACAGGGCATGCTAGTGCCTAGTACAGCCTAAAGCGAAAATATTTTTGGAAAATAAATAATTTGTATTTGTAAGTTTATAGCTTGGGATTTTTAGTCTAACCTGATTCATCATTTGCTGCTGTCCACCTTGCATCATCTGCTGTCCATAGCCGCCGTAACCTTGCTGCATGCCGCCGTACTGTCCACCGAACATCTGCCCGCCCATACCACCCATTTGTCCCCCCGCCATCTGCCCGCCAGTCATTTGCCCCCCGCCCATTTGCCCACCAGTCATTTGGCCACTACCCATTTGACCGCCGGCCATTTGATTTGCGCTCATCTGACCCGGTCCCATTTGTACGCCGCCCATTTGCCCCATAGGCCCCATGCCACCCATGCCGCTCATTGGGTTCATTTGACTGACGAAGAGGATATGACAATTCAAAAACAGGATACGACAAACAAAAACAAAGAAACATTTCAATAATATAGGAAATTGGACAAACCTTTGTTGCATCTGGCCCATTTGGTTCGGCTGCATCTGTCGCATACCCTGGCGTGGGAAAGGACCACGCGGCTGCGGGGCACCAGGGTAACCGCCACTCTGCTGCAAGTCAACGCATTGAGAATAACTCTGTTTTTCAAGACCCGATGTCACCAAGAATAAATGGCATTGATAAAAGTATCGTCTAGTTAAAACTGACTTGGCATTAAATCTTGGTGACTATGGGGCGTTAGCATTAATTCTTCGTTACCTGCATCTGGGTCATTTGTGAGAAGGGGAAACGATTTCGTAGCATGTTGCTCAGGGCCTGCTTAGAAGCACCTTGAGCATTCGCAGGTGGTGCCACACCGCGTGGGCTAACTCCTGCTGTTTAATTAATAAGATTAATCAGTTGGAAATATAAGTCACAAGAAATATGTCAATAAGGGCCGTCTCTTACCAGCCGGGTTATAGTAGTTCTGTCCCTGAGGCGGGAACCACTGTTGCTGTTGAGGCATAAACTGTGGCTGCTGTTGTGCTGCCATCCCACCCCCCATCGCTCCTCCTACACCATTTGTCTGTAAATTGTTATTAATAATTTTAGGTTGGTTATAATTTTTCTAATTCACTATTATGAATGTATAAAAATAAAAAAGAATACAAACAAATGATTTTTTATATAAAAAAAACTTTGTATAGAAAACATATTGTACGTATGTGTTTGAAAACTTTAATACTTCACATGTACATGATACATGCTAGATCACTTGTTTAGAGCAACAGCACAGAACGCTGTGACGATTTTTATTTTATATGTTTTTATTGTATATGTAAAATATACATTTTTATTGTTTCTAGATATAGAATCTTTAAGGTCAACTGCCCTACGATATAGTCCCGCTAAGCTAATTGAAGCATATTATAATTCATACATATTCGAATTTAATTTAATTTTACAGAATATGCTATTATATATTTGAACACCGGTGGAATACGTACGGGTGTGGTCGGTTTGGATTTCTTCATTTTATTCATCTTGCAGGACATCTTGCGACCCTTACCAGACCCGGTGGGGCTGGAATCCAAACTTCCATTGTCCTACAATTAAATGAAATACGTTTTGTTAATGTCCTCGTTGATCTAGTGAATTCGAAGTAAATTCCACTGCAGATCACGAGGTCTCGGGTTTGAACCCCAAGTCGAACTAAATGTTACTTTGATATTCGATAAATTAAATACTGTCTATAGTTTACGCGGGTAGTACATATTTAAATAAAACACGGGTTAAAACGCGATATATTAGTTAAACTTATTTGAAAATGATTTTTATCTCTGGCACGACGTTTCGGATGCTTGTAGCAGCCGTGGCCACGGGGAGACGGCCGAAGTTAAAAATAATTTTTAAATAAGTTAGTTAAACTTATATATCTATTATTATAATTATATATATCGCGTTTTGAACCGTTAAAGTGTTTTATTTAAATTCGGTAAATTGTAAAGCTCGCTAAGCTGTTTTCGAGAATGGTGGATCTCGGCTCTCAAACCCTTTTTTTATGAGTGAGGCGACTTGTGCTCACCAGTAGGATATTAAAAGCTTAAAACAATTCCATGTAGGACTTATTTTGTAGAAAATAATAAGAAAATCTAAAATATTCACCTGTTTGCTGTCGTTGTTATCGAGATCCTCAGGCGGCAATGGAAGTGGCTCCAAGTAATAACTCAAGGGTTTGACGAGACTGTGCGTGTGGTACTTCAATAACCTAAACACGTGGTTGTAAAGGGTCAAAAAGTCCATGAAAAAGTTTTGTAATTTTGTTTTATGAATTACTTGTATAACTACTAATACTAGTGTTTCCAGCTAGACCAAAGGTGCGCCCTAAGGGGAAGGGGGCCCCCGGCTTGGATCACTGTAACGCTAGGTAATATTTCTCACTATCTCATTAACATAAACGTTTGGGTTTCCTTTAGCTATAGTAGTAATAGCTAATAAACCATCTAACATGTAGAAACTTGTGCTAAGTGGTTAATAACAGTCGTCGGTTCGAGTTCCGTTCATGCCTTAAAAATAAAACTAACCGGTGAGCATTTTCATAAGTGAGTGGTTTCCGTTCGATCTTAGTCGCCGCGAAGAGCGTCCAAGACAGTGGTGCAGGATTCCTTCCACCCTCCACTAGCTCCCAGCTCGAGACAGATAACTTGTCCGTTAACCGGAGTCCCTAAAGATGAGTTGCCATTGTAATAAGTTCAAAAGGAATCAAAAAATCTATTTATTATTATTATTTCATTATTTATCCTAAAAATTTACCTGTTTCTTGTCACTGTCGAAGCTTGTAATTTTTTCACACGCAATAACCTGTCAAAACAGAATGAATTTAAGATATAACACGGCTACAACGTTTAAAATTGTAATAAGTAATTTTTGATACAGCTCTGGTGTTGCCCAGCTTACATTAGGTACGGGTACAAATCCCGAAAAACATGATAGTCTTCGGCAACAGAACACAAAAGTCTGATTAACTACGGTATTATAATAAAATCTATTTGTGCAACACTCACACAAGAAAAATTATACTCCCCTATACCTCATTAAGTAACGTTCACACTACCGAAATATATATTTTCTAAATAAGTCGATAAAGAAATCGAAGAGCTTATTTATAGACGTTTATATAATATATTTGGGGTCGTTGATTGGACCCCCACCAGGACTTCGTCTACAAAACATCAACAAACGGTCATTTGCCTTTTTGTGTCATAAACGTTTTTTAAGTGACTGTTTTACTTCTAAACATAAGCCTACCTCTATAGCGTTTTTGGAGAGTGGCAGCAACTGCCTGACGGCTTGAACGCTGGGACCGTGCCTATCCCCGATCTCCTTCTTCAACTTCTTCATGAGATTCTGGTAATGTTTCCTGTTGTTGTCGTCGCCGCCCTCCGCTAGCGTGGAGTGTATCAGAGTCGCTAGCATGTCGATCAATGTTGAGAACAAGTTGCTGCGACACAGACTACAATAAATTTACTGTAGATTGACAATCCCCTTGCTTGCACGCAGCAAGTCAGTACAGGCAAGTGCAATAATTATATAGTCTGTGACAAGTTGAACCAGTGAGATTAAAAGCTTCGACTTGCTGCGTGCATATATGATTATACACGTGGCATAATATGTTAGAACATGATAGTTTAATGTGTAACCACACCCATGACTCAGTTCATCATACCTTGCAATTAACGTTGCAGATAAAATGCTGAAAAGTCAACTTAAATCTTGTTAAAACATAACTTAAGCGAAAATCATAAAAAATATATCTTAGTCTCACAAAATAATAGTATGACCCCCCCAAGACTACGACTGAACAGTCATTAGAATCATCGGGTCGCAGTTTAAAATGTATTTACACTTAATACAGTTCGTGTTTAAAATCGCTTGAAAGTTTATTTACTCAATATCATTTTTACTGATCAAACAACTGTAAAAAAAGAACGAAATGTTGGCTGTTAGACAATACCAAGCAGATGTAAAACTTAAATAAAAAATTATTTACTAGCATAATTCGATTTTGAACGGTTCTAAATAAGCAAAAATTAACCTTCTTAAAAAGACAACATCAACACTATAGTTGTAGTTTAAAATTAAATTTAATAAAAAAGTAAAACCTTATAGCAATGAGAAAAATTAAGTTTTTTTTTAAATTTAAAATTGGAAGTAAAGTGCGTATAATGTTTTTTCTGACGTAACACAAACAAGTATTTTTACTTACCTATTGTTATAAGCATCGATGACTTGATGTGCGACGAGTTGTGTCAAAAGTACAGCCCAATCCGACGTCAACTGATAGGAACGTCGTATTGCATCGAACATCCCCCCGGCGAGCGAGAAACGCAGTTGTAGGGCTTCGGGCGCGGCCTCCTCTTGCCACGTGTCTCCGCACGTAGACCGCTCGTGATCACGGGCATGATTCAAATAGTGTTGTAGCTGGGCGTGAATTGAACTGAGGAGACTCTCCTGTCAAAAAAGGATAAATTATTGTTTCTGCTAGGTAGATCATAAAAACACAAAAAATCCAACGAAACACCCGCGTCTACGGCTGCTACAAACGAAACAGTGAATATAGTTGTAAACAAGTTAACTAATACATTTCGTGTTTTAAATCGTTAAATGTGTTTTATTTTAACGGACATGTAATTTTGATGGCCTCGTGCTCCGGGCAACGGGATTTTACTCATTTTTAATCAACGAAAGCAAAAGATACTTGCATGTATTCCCAATGAATTAGAAAACCAATAACTGTATTTATAAATATTGTAGCAAATAAAAATGAGTGTTTTTAATTTAAAAAAATAACTTTCCCTGGTGAGATGTTTTAAAGTAAATAAAAATCGATTAAAATTGGGCACTAGTAGGGCTTGGACCTGCATCCACAACGTCATATGTGTGCCATAATGTGCAATGTATGATGGTTTTCAAATGTTTTAAAGTGGAAATTTATAATATTATTACTGAATATAAGACCTTTTGATCGTCCTGATGTCGTAGACAGGTCAGTACAAGTGATAAGAGCGGTTCGTTAGCAAGTCTCAATGCGGATGCGGCGCACGCGCATGATCCACCACATCCTGAGGCACCCACGCCGCGCTTGCCACTGCCGCCGCTACCTGCTGATCTGCATCATAAGTAAGATATATATTAGTATACAAGTTGATTAATGAAGATCAATTAATAAGGAAAACGTAAATGTAACGAAACCTTTTCAACTGTATTAAAATAATAAAAAAATAAAAATCCGTTTATGGCCTTCCACACGGGGGTAAACGGAATTTTTGGAATTCCGTTTACCCCCCGGAAATTTTGTATGATTTGGACACACTTCTGTGTCCGCTTCACTGATCGGTTTTGTTTACAGTAAATAGTTGATCAGACGTGTACGTTCTGATCGACCGAAACAATCCAATCAAGGTAACAATACCTCGGGATTCAAAACCAGGAACTCTCGCGCTTAACGCTATGCAAAGCAACACGTTTAACAAGAAAAACACGTTAATTAATAAAACTAAGCAAAGCAGAAACTCATGTCTCCTACCAACAACACGTATACTAACCCTTTGTAACTGGGACTCTGATGGCTCTTGCAGTCGCGGTGTGATCCCCCTCCACTTCCACCGCTTCCCGAACAATTTCCATTACACCCCGCACCCCAACCGCTTTCCAATATCTGTTGTACAAGATACAATACAACATTTGAGGTCATATAGCTTCCAAAAAATGTATAGATGTGGACGAACAATACTCCTATTTTTTCCTATAAGAGCGTGCGTATTTTTTGATAACAATTGACATTTTTTATTACTGAATTTAATTTACCGATTTCATTAAAAGGAGGTTTTCAATTCAGTTCGTAAATATGCTTTTTTGTACATTATTATTATAAGAAACAGAATCCATATAAGTATTATGTTTGTTATGATTAAAATATTTCAGTAATATAATATTTTCTTTTGGGAACACGTTAGAAGGCCGGGTAATCAATCTACCATTTGTTAACCATTTCACGCAAAGCAATATATTACATTACGATATTAACCTGGCCAGCCTGTTTAAGAACACGTCCCTGCACTGCTGGGGGTAACTTGGCCACGAGTGGCGCCACCAACCACACCGACTGCGACCACTTGCTAGTGCTAACTACGCCGCGTTCCGTACCCATACTGAAAACAAGACGTTGTCATGGTAACCAAATATACTCGCAATATGTAACTAATAAGATATATGTAACCTATAGTTCCCGCGAGTATTGCACATAAAATAAACAGTCGACGGTTTAAATTTAACTAATATATTTCGCGTCAAAAACCGTTAAAGGAATCTTATTTAAAAAATACAGATAACTTAGGCAATTTCTTTAATTCATATAGATGTCTACTCTCTCTCCCTAATTATGTTAAAGTATGGTTTAATTTAAACTTTTCATAAATTTAAATTAGTTTCTTTTAAAATTTGTAACTTACCCTTATCTTTAGTGTTAAGTTTTACTTAATAATGTTTAATTTTTAATAATGTTATATTTTTATAATTTTATTAGCCTATAATTATAAATGAATAATTATATTAAAAAAAACTGATATCAAATTTCACTCATTTATAAAACAACAATATTTTTTTAAAGGTGCTTAATAGTTAATGAAAGAAATGTAACTCACCGGTCCTTATCTGGCGGGGGCGGCGCGGGTTGCTGGAAAACGTTGATCACAGCTCGGGCGACTGTGTCCAACCAGGCGCTTAGTTCAGACGAACCGCTCGGGAACTGCTTGAACATCAGCTGAAGATCCAGCCATGACATACGCAAGGACCACTGCTCCAGGTTCTAAAACATTTGTGATTATATTTCGTTTTTTTCTATAATGAGGATATATTTACACTTTAAAAGATCAAACAATGTTTGTCAACATTCGTATTATTTTCTGGGTTATAACCAGCTGTGTCATCAGTCCACGCCATCTGCCAACCACTTCACCCATCCTCCTTTACGGAGGTCATTGGGTTGTCCGACTCTCACTGTGTCACTTTAAAGCTTCCGGTTTCTTTGGACATTTTTGTCAGCATTGGTTGATAATATTTGACGATACAACCCAAAGCTAAAATAGGTAGACAGAACATTAGACGCTACAGTTCTATTTAGTCAGCGCTATTTTTTACCGTTTTTCAGAAATAAAACTCAGAGGGTATAAAAAGAAAGTGGTTGGAGGAGCTTAGGGCGAAACAAGGATGCTGATTGGTCGCTTGCGCAATGCTTGGTTTTTGAAGAAACCCGCTCTAAATAGGTGAATAAATGATTTTTGACTTTGACTTGATGAGACTTTTAAAAGCCAACTCGCTACCGGTCTGGTATCTGGTAGCGAGATGCATTGTACGTGGTGGGAACAATGTTCTTCGAGGACAGCTATCCAGCTTCTGTAGGGAGTCAAGATATTGCACCGGATATACGCTCCGAACAGTCCCAGTACATCATTTGATTCGGTCATGACCAGGTCGGTATATCCGAGAGGTCGGTGGTACCATGGAAGGAGGTGTACTGTTGTTCTGTATCGTAAAATGTATAATATTGTTATTTACCTCTAGCAGTCGTGTTATCATCGTCTTTTGATCAAGATCTGGGTGTGTGTGGCTGGCTGAGTCCGGATAACATATCATGTGTAGTAACCTGTAATTATATCATTATTGAAATGATTATTATTACAACTATTAACAAAGCTCACTGCTTGAATATGTGTAACATGTTATTTTTCTTCACGTCTTTTACGACGACGACGATTTCTCCTAAACAAATTCATGTCTGTAATACAAAAATGTACGTTAAATTTTCAACAAAAACAAATACATAAATAAATAAATAAATAAATACAAAAAGCAATATAAACAAAACAGATTTTAACTGTTTAAAACGCGCGAGTTAACTCAGAAAGACCCCCATGGGCGCAAGGTATCCGAATCATGGAGTCTTGTTTTAGAATTAAGTGTTTAGGTATTATAACTTATTTTAAACCGTTAAAAATGCCTTATTTTATGTTTTTGGAAAAAATATAACTAATGACAATCAATTCAAATGTCTGTTCCTAATAACTTACAATATAATTACAATATTGCGTGCAGTTTACAGTATTTGCACGTTTGAATCCAAAACGTCGGGTCACGTTACGTAAACGTTAACTGATATATTATCATATATTATATATTTTGATATTAAAACCGTCGCAGGTGTTAATCAAATTATAAGGGAACAATCGTTACCTTTGAGCTTGCCGCGGTGTTAGCATGTGGTCCAACAACATATCCGGGTGGTATAGTTCATCCGGATTTTGTAAGCATTTCTGTAAGACCCACTCCTCTGAACAGATTTCGGCAAGAACCCGCCTCGCTAACGACGACAACGATTGAGACGAATCCAGTAACGTTGACCCGACGCCGCCGTTTCCCCTATATCACCAAAAGATATTAAACAGAACAAAATCTTAAAGGTATACTTTGTCTAATATAGGATGATAAGCTGCAAACGTTATTTCGTTCTATGCAACTTTAAGATAATAAATACAAGAGGTATTAAATAATGACAATACTATAGTAAACTTGCCTTAACTTTTAAATATCAAACTTAAGATCTTACATTAGACAAAGTATAATACATAGAACAGGAATGTTATTCACATAAGGCAACATTCGTGATTATGGCAAGGAGTTAAGGTCGAGTATGTACAGGGGGATTCCCACCAATGACAAATAATCATACAAAAGTTTGTATAATTGTTTGTTCATTATCTTTTGTTTGCGCGAGGGTTATACATTAAATAAAACCATTTCAATTGGGATCATCAGTCAGCTTACAGTGTCCGTGAACCATTACTTCATAATCCGCGAATTGACCCGTTTAAAATAGTTTTATTGTGTACAAAAACATCTACACGAAAGCGACACGAGTACACATTTCGTATGGTTTTAGGCAGCTGCGTTATTATCTTTAGCTGTTTAGATTATTTGGTTTTTACAACGTCACAATGAATAGGGTAAATTCCATGAGTTTTGTGCTTAGTTTTGAAGTGAAGCTATAACAAAAAGGGGGGAAACAAGGGGAAGCTGAACCACATTAACAATAAGATCTATCGTTGTCTCTGTCTATGGTCATATTGTCTAATTAGACCTGTGGTATACAATAAGTGTAATTTTTAAAATACAGACAAGGACAACGATACTTATCTTCTATAAATCCATGACAGAACAAGAAGTGACAAATGACCACTCCACCCCAAATCGGTGATGAGAATATGAAGGTGCGCTAACTCAAAAAAATAAAGAAAACAAACCTAGGCGTTTTATGGCCCCCATTCATCTCTGTTTCTACCATCCTATGAATGAAAACATTTTGCTAATAAATTATAATAAGTATTCCTATTATAAGTATATTATGATACAAAGAATTATTCGGTCCATTTAAATATAATTAATATAACCTTATATTGCCATGTGTAAAATTTTCTTGTAATCATTAAACAATAAATATATGACTATTTCGGTTTTTTAGTTGTTTGTTCACTGTTTTTCTTCTCGCGAAGAAACATTACACTTCTTCTGATGATAAAAAACAGAAAACGACCATTTCTGGACTACGAAGACTTATCAAAAACGCTTTGCAGAATGGCCAAAAACAGCTTTACAATTGTATATGAAAAAATTTAACTTTTAAATGATAAAAAATTTACTTACGATAGGAGATCAAGTTGAGCGTCGATGGGTACTGTATCGCTCGTTCCTAGGATATGAGAGAGTTCACTAGATTTCTTTCCACTTGGCTTCGTTATATCCCTTGCCGTGGAATCTCCTACGACTAATTAAAAAGAGATCGAAGAATATTAGTGCATTTGACAGTAATTGGAATAAATTTATTAAAAAATAATCAAACAAGTAATTCGGGGCCAATAGCATGGATGTATGGGAAATCCCGCTTCACCCAGTGGGGCAAGGGGCGCACACATTTGTGTCCGTTTCGTTGATCGGTTTTATTTACAAGCAAGTAGTTGATCTGACTGCGCGCGGCGAGATCGAAAAAAATTTTGTTACGCCAGGATTCAAACCTAGGACCTATCGGAATAATACAAGGCTAGGTAATAACAATAACCATTTAGCAACAGAGACGGTTAATAGTATATACATGGTAAAAACATATTTTAAATATACAATAGTTAGAAAGGCTAAGTCTAGATATAAAGTTACTTTAAATTAATATTTATAGAATTAATTTTAAATTGTATGTAAATTTAGTTAATTCAGTGAATATCTTTTATTTACAATAAAAATCGATTTTAAATTAAAGACATTCAATATAGCGTTCCGTGCTGTTGCTCTATTACTGTTTCAATACATATTCGTATCTTTGATTTATTATAAATTATTTGTACTGACTGAGTATCGCCTTCAGTGTTGCCAGAACCGGTCCCACACCGATGTTCTTGTGAGCAGCAGCCAGAAGATGCCTATCACATGATAATCTTACTCCAGCCCCACTGCCTCCGGGTCCAGGTGACGTAGACACGCTGTATAGCCCTTCATATAAAAACAATATCATCATAATCCAATAAAAAATAACCTTTACTGGAAAACTCACATTTAAGTATTTACATAAAACACTTATAACAATTTAAAACGCGAAATGTATAGGTGAACATTTTTTAAATATACCAGCTAGTTTCGCTAAATACCAACAACGATGGAACAGATGGCGCTAGAGTAGCTGCTTTTACTTTGACATAAGAAGCACCCTCCTTTAGTCTCCCCGTGACCACGACTGATCAAAAGCATCCGATATGTAGGATCACAATAAAAATAAGTTAAATAATATGTGTTGCGTTTTCAACCGTTCAAAACGTGTTTATATTACTTAATTGTTACAGCATATTAAAACTCTATATTTATATATATCTTATTACTGCATTAATTAAAGTCGTTTATATAAAAAGTATGTGTGCTGTTTGTGTTCAGAAGGAAATAGAGTGAGTATGAGTGGATAAGATTGATCCAATTTCAACGGTTACTTAGGTAAACTAGCTATACCTGGCTGTGGTGTATCAACGGTTTTGAACAGTCTGAGTAGCAAGTGGCAAGCAAGCCTCGCCCCTGCGTCCGTGGAAGGTGCGTTGGGATTGTGATTGCTCGAATTGCCACCTCCACCTGCCTTCACAAGAGACGGTAGAGCTGCGTGCCGCACGAAGTCTTCGAGCGAAAAACAGTGTCTAGCTGCAAAATTACGTAGTAAGACATTTTTAAAGTACGCATAATTTTACCTAAAGAACTGTGCACAATCAAATCAAATCATTTATTCTACATATATAAATATAATAAAATAGATGTTTATGGAGGGACACCACTTAGCTTTTGCTGTACCTGGAAATAGGCACAACGCCGATTTTCAGTGATGCCCCACGCTTGACATTTGAAGTGGAACAATATACATACACCGGCACAACAAAAAATGTTAACATAAAAAAATAAAACAGAAAAAAAACAAAACTATGAATACTTTTTAATTTTTTATTCGTTTACATTTACGCGACTGAAGCGAAACAATCTATTATTTCCCTGTAATTTCATAACGCTATCTATGCTAAGCACTGGGTTTAAACATTATTACGGGGTCAAAATGACATACCAACTAAAATACATGTGAAGACAGCCAGCGCATCGTGAGCTGCAGCGTCATGCAGGTCTCTATGGTGCAACAGATCCGGGTACAGCGTGGGTGGCGCCGAATGTGGTGCTGAAGCGGGGTAATGCTGAGAGCCACATAAGGCAACTAGAGCGCCGAGCCACTCCGCCGCGAGCCCACTACACCACGCTGTCATCTCCGCGCAGAGCACACCCAACTCGTTTACGCTAATAAGAAATATGATGATATTTCAACTCGTGTCAAATATTAAGAGACATTGCCGGCTCCCTTCCCCTACCTTAATAGTACATAATGAATAAATTTATTAGGTTGTTGAATATACGAAAAACCGAAAGCATAATAGATATAAATTATATTAAATGTTTTAAACAGTCACAACAGTGACCTAGTTGGCGTACCTAACTGGGTATTTACTCACACTCAAATAATGTTATGGTTTTATTAAAAACTAGCTATGCCAGCGACTTCTCCTGCGTAGAATAGTTATTTTGGGCATCAATATTTGTTTCTGCAAACCTCCTGTTCAACTCAATAAGTTTAAGCTGTTACCGACGACGTCCGCGTCCCGTCGTTCTTGCAAGTTAATCTTTAAAGATCGACATATAGTGTTACGGACATTTTTAGAGATAATTTCAAGAGGAATCATTCTTTCATACATATTTCTCGGGTATCTTAAACCGCGTTCGCAGCGTACGCAACAGAAACCCACAAGGATGAATAGTTTTCCCCGATTTTCCACATTTTCGGTTTTGCTTCGCTACTATTAGTGTGATGTTTTATAGCCTATACTCCTACCTTCCTCAATGTGATGCTCTAACCAACACATTTTTTTTAATTCGAAGCAGTAAGTCCTAAAATTAGCGCGTTCTAACATACAAACAAATTCTTCAGCTTTATATATTAGTATAGATGTCTTACCGATCATTATCAACCTCTCGACATACAGCCAACATCGCCGAACATACAAAACTGTAGCGATTCGCCGGCGACTCGGCTACTTGACGAGCCCAGGATATTTCGATTTTACCTGTAATAAATTGTATGTATAATAACTGTTTTTGGTTTTTCATTACATTTGAAATTGACTTTTAAAAACATGTATGTTTGTGAGACGTCGTATTTGTGTGTAACATTGTATGAATGGGAATGTGAGTGTACATAGGAGTGTGTGTGCGTGTTATTGTTTTATTTGATTGATATTATAATATAATACATATATAACAATACTTGTACCTTTTCTAGGATTAGTGAAAAATTCACTAAGAAACTGTGGATTGTACGAGTGATTCGAAGGAGTAGGTTGTAGTGGTGAATAAAGGGCTTGTCTGAAAAAAATAATCATAATAGATTGAAATCGAAACAGTCCAGTATTAATATTATAACAATATGTACTCTAAATTAGATTATTTTAAAGAAGGTTTTATACAAACAAGATTTAATATTTACTTGATCTTAGGATAGGCATTAGCGAATGTGTCCGCGTGTGGAGCATGGAACAGATGTGCAGCCGCCTTATATAGATCGTGGAGTTGCGCTAACACGCATCTCTCTGCTGAACCGCAATCTCCGGGGTTGACAACACACTTCACAAGCCGACATAATTGTTCGAATACGGCTGAAGTTTGTTCGACGCATACTGTAATACAGAGTTTTCAATTTCTGACAACGAAAATCGCTCGTGAAGTATTTATACATATTATAACGATATCTTCTTACATATAATCAACGGGTCGTGGTTTCAATCCCCACCGGGTCTAACGTGATCCCAATTTTTACATGGACTTCGTCTGGAAATCTGGATATTAAAGTGGTAGGAATATCGAAATTCCGACCGGGTCACGAACTACCGTCCACAGATGAGAAAACCGTGCGGGGCTTACTCGCATTTTAGTTTGAGTCTGTGGATAATCCAAATACTAAATTGTGTTACATGTTATATGGCTGGGATATTTCACCTCCCTTCAAGTGGACTCCATGCCTGTCTGTATGTCTGTGTCTCTATCACAAAAAAACATACCAAATTATGACACTAATGCGTCAGAATTTAAAAAGATACAGTAACGTATTACTTACGTAATAAACAAGAGTGGTATCTCCTTAGAGCGCCTACTGTGTACAGTGCCAAAGCCGAAGTGTAGGCCCGGGGCGCTGCTAGCCCACTACTTGGAGCATTACGAGTTATCAACGCCACTTCAACTTCAGACAGCTCTTTTAGTATCTAAAAAAAGGTAACTTATTTGTAGGGGTATTATATTATATATGCTAAGACTTTAAAATGGGCAAAATTAAATAAGACACTTTGACGGTTTAATACTATATAAAATAATTTACAAATAAGTTTAACTAATATATATCACGTTTAAAACCGTTAGTGGTTTATTTAAATGTGTACTATTCTCGTAAACTACAGACAGTATGGTAAAGTTGTTATAAGGAAATATAATAAATTATTAATACGCAGTTTAATGCATACATTTAAATTTATATTAATTGAAAACAAGATTTATTATTGCGTTTGCGTTATTGCGTTATATGGAGTTTATTTTTATTTTATAAGATATAGGAAAGTATTGTCTGTAGTTTATGCGAGTACAAATTTTAATAAAACTCTTTACCGATTTAAATTCGGATTTGGATGCTTTGTAGCCCCGTGATGAAGGCTGCTATTAAGTGTTTTATTTAAAAGACATAAGAAATGTTTTTCAGAAACATTTTTATACCAACTATGTGTGTAATAGTTAATTTAAAAATCGAAAAGAAAATGAAAAAGTGTTCGATCGGGCTGGACGTAATACGTAATAATTTGTTGTAAGCAATAAAAAAATATTTTTTTTTACTGCGTATGACTCAAAACTACTAAACACAAGTAACGTTACCTGTATGCAAGTTTCGATAAGTCCGTGAACATTAAGCGCTATCTCCATAAGGTCCAGCGCGAACGCAACGTGTTCAGGTTGCGGGAGATAGGTGGTCGCACCGGCTGCGTACGCGGCCAACGCTTCGCATACGGCACCGCCTACCGCCCACGAGACCGCGCCTTGCTCGTACATTGACATGGACTACGAAGTATAAATATTTAGTGCTCTTTTTACTTTTTTATTTACCCAGCCATATAACATTAAAAGAAGATGAGTGGGACCTATAATGGCTTTTGATATTCGGAAATCCACAGACTGAAACCAAAACATGATTAAACTTGCCGGCTTGTTTATCTGTGATGGTGGTTCGTTACCCGGATGGAATTTCGATACTACTACCACCTGTTTAATATCGAGATTTCAAGAGGAAGTGCAATATGCAGGTATCATGCATGCATATTAGCCATACATTGCTACCACTAACGATGAGCCTGTCAAACACTCTATATTTAACAAGACACGATAAAAAATCAAGTTAAAAGCGAGATATTTGATCGCTTCATAATGTTATGATATAGTGGAACTATCAAATCTAAGACTATATATATAATAGTAAATATTCATGTTTACTCTTTTAGTTTTAAGCAAGGTCCTGTAATTAATTATTTATTTTATTTTATTTTTATAATATTTTATTTTTATAATATTAGGAAAACTTAACAGACTTTATAAAGATATATATTTGTTCATATGATACGCACCTGAAACTTCTGAGTTACCGCCTCAAAATTAAACTCGCTCCTTGAATGCTTCTTGATTTTACCGCCCTCCGCGACATCAATGGAAAACTTCTTAGAGAACAATTTGCAGATTTCTGCAATAACAAAAAAATTACAAATCTGCTATACCATAAGTTGTTAACTATAATAGTTTTTAAGATCATCAAACTTTATCCAATGTTGGATATTACGAATGCGATAGCGTTTGCGGCACTCTTCGTCTACGGCTAGACTACGAGTGCCCCAAGAGGGCCATAAGCCTTAGTTTGGACCACGTAGGTGTAGGTGCGAGCGTCGTAAATAACCCTGTAGCCAAAGGCTTTTATAAAATTGTCGAGGTTAGGTGCATTTAAATACTACAGCATATTATATCCTTTGGTCATCTTCTTAACTGCATGTTTAGCATCATCCCTCTGGCGACCAACGCCATACAACAGTATATGCCTTTGGTTGGCATCGTGGGGGGTATGTTCTGGTTCGGTTGGCGGCAAGGGGAAGTGCATTGTGTAGTGGTAGTGTCTTGATACTGTGCCGGTACTGTTCGAACCGTTTGAGCTCGTTGGTCGAATACCAGCTGTGATATAAATTAAATTAGACATCTTCCTCATCAGTGGCTCGCTAGAACGTTGCGGACGAACCCCGGAATAAAATATATATAACATCGGTCAGGCACAAAAATCTAATCAATTACTTTTCTGAGGCAAATATCAATGAGTGAAACGGGCCTTATGCCAAATATAGGTACTACGTTTGTTTGATACGAAGAAATATTAAAATTGATATTTTGATCTATATAAATAAAAGAAGATTTATTATTTTTATTCTTTGTTCACATTAAAATTTGCTTCAAACGAGAAATTTACATATGATTCATATGGGAAGGCCCGGTTTTAAGGTACAGGAGAGCAGATAAAGCCTAGTTAAATAACATTAAAGCAAGATGCGTTGTGTGACTTATTTTTACCTCTTGAAATTTACTACTAGAACGAATTAAAAATAGATGTAAATACCTGGAACTGACATTGGACCCATTCCAATAGCTTGCATACTGGGTATAGTCATTCCACCAGGTCCCATCATTGGCGAATTAACACTAAAAAGATCAGAATTATCTGCACTGATTGTAATTGTTTAAATCATATATTTGGACATGACGGCTTATATGTATTACGAACAGTAGCTCAAATGTTAGAGCAACCCTTTAGATATTGGGTTTGAATTATCTGTGTTACAACTTTTCATATCAAAATTTATTATGGTATCAGTATATATGAAATATTATAAGTTCATGAGTGATTATGATGAATTAATTATAGACCAACACATAGGTATAACACTTAGACGGAGCTAAATAAAATGTTTTATATCCTTAACAGCCTTAAAAGAGACCAGCACATTGGTACCTGTGCGATGGTTCACCAGGGTCTTTTGGACTGTCGGGTGCGTCCATAGAGTTTTGTTGATCCTCTTTAATGTGTTGCAATAATTTGTCTAGATCGTCGTCGATTTTAGAGTCGTCTAGGTCCATTCTTACATTCTCCTAAATAAAAAATAAAAAAATGATTATATGTTTTACTATGCCACTACAATAAAGGGTACAATAATGCATTATGTTATAAAGTTAGTTATATATCATTATTAAATACAAAATTTATATTTAACATGTTTTGTCTCTTTCAAATCCTATATACACAACAGGAACAACACGAGGAATAGCGTATTTTATAATGAGTACTGACAATAATAAAATTGTTGTATTTAAGTATGGAAGACAATAAAGATACATTAGGATCTATTAACATTAATTGGAAACAATATTGCGTGACCTCCTGTTTCACTATTTGGGGCATGGGACGGACACATATCTCCGTTCATTTCATTGATCTCATTTACATTTAATTCTGTGTCCTTGATCGAGCCCAGAACCCAGTTAGGGCAACTACGATTAATATACTTTGTACATTGATCTACTGAGACGGTTTGGAGCGATAGTGTGTCATCAAATACCTCCATCTTGGGTTTGAGGTCAATGCCGGCGAATATGTCGTCATCTATATTATGGTTGGTACCAGCACTGTTCACTGGCTGGGCTACAGTATGGCCACCAGTTCCTGAAGTCACCGTAGGTTCCGTTGGAGATATCAAATCCCCTAAAAATATAAGTATACACAATTAAACATTATTTGCTTGACAACATTTTCAACAAGTATTGTTGTTAAATATTGTCTTTTGTTTACGCGAGTAGTACACATGTTCGAATAAAACACTTTAACGGTTTAAAACGTGAAAAATATTAGTTAAACGTGACCGACCACGGCTACTGCATCCGGAATGTCGGGCCGTAACTAAAATATTTTTTTAATAAGAATAATAACTAATATATATTATTTCGCGTTTCAAACAGTTAAGTGTTTCATTTAAAAGTAGTATTATTAATTTTGAAAACTGTTAGCGGTCATAAATAAAAATAAAGCATTTATATTAATAATATTTATTTGTAGAGTTATATACTTTGAAAGGTCGCAAGAGTCAAAAATTTAATTAAGTAATAACATCTTTACCCCTTGATATTAAGGTGCACATATAAGCGTCGTGAGAGAACACGTCGCGTCGTATCAGCTCTCCAAATAGATGCACCAAATTTGCGAATTGTTGTCTGTTACCTGGCGGCGCGTTTGGACTTTCATCTGTAAGAAGTATTCCTTTTGTTTTCATGATAATACGCACCAAAATATTGACTTGTATGAGTAACAGCCTCGCTAGTCTCAACTGCAGATCAAGGGTCAAATCCGGAGGAGGCATCATTGGAGCTCGGAGAGACTTTAAGCCACCTCTATGTTATTGGGGATAGTCCTTGTAGCCCACTAAGCCGTATTATGCCCTAATAGTCTAAGCTTTTAAAAACTTATACTTTTGGAAATAATAGATTGTGCCTTACCTAAGACGGGGGCGTCGTTGTCCAAAAATCTCAAAAGCAAATTTTGAAATATCGGCGGTCCACTGTATAGTCCAGTTGCCGAGCTGATTGATTCTTTGTCGTCAGAACCTAAAAAAAATATCAGTGAATTATCTCAAATTATACAGTAGTCAAATAAATTTTCCGAGTGATTCTTACGTATAAAAACGACAAAGGTCGAATTGTGAGCATGGGGATCTTAACATAAAGAGTGCTTTAGTTAAGGTAGAACGCTTTTACGGTTTAAAATGCGAAATATATTAGTTAAACTTATTTGAAAATTATTTTAACTACAGCCCGACATTTCGGATGCTTTTCAGCAGCCGTGGACACGGGAATAAGTTTAACTAACGTATTTGTTTTCCTTTTACTTTATACAAAGGCTGGCTGGAAGAAATCGCCCTAGGACATAAGACCGCGTTTACACTAACTATTTTATGTAAATAATTGATTTAGTATTACTATATTTGTATGTTATTTGTTTGTGCAATAAAGTGTTTTATTATTATATTTCGATTTAAACCTATCACGTGATTATTTAAATGTGTACTAATCGCGTAAACTTCGTCTAAAAATCTGGATTTAAAATGGGCGGTAGAGGAATATAGAAATTCCACCCGGGTCTCGAATGAGCGTCGACAGATGAAAAAACTATCCAGTTTAAACGCGTTTCGGTTTCAGTCTGTGGATTTCCGAATATCCAAAGTCAAAGTAGGTCGACAGTGCATCAAGATGCAGGTTAGGTGTTATATGGCTCTATTATATGGTATTATTGTAGGTGAGTGTACCACATGCTTGTATGTCCTCCTCTATCTGACTAAATTTGAAGATACCTTGATGTTCGTGATGGTGATGATGATGCTGTCTACGATCGAGCAGAGCAGCCGCCGCCATAGCGCGATGCTCACCCCAGCGCGCACCACAAACCGCCCACTCGCATAGCACACGAACCACAGAGTATGAACAAGCGTACTCCTGCGACACAAAACAAATTGTTTCATACTTACGAGGTTAACTAAAATTCTAATAAGGGTATTGTTAAAGATTGCAAAAACGAAAATAAATAGAAAAATATTTCGACTCAGGCAGGACTTATACTGGCATCGTCAGCGTTCCGTGCTGTTGTTCTACTATTAATATTTTTTTTAATTTTTTTTTTTTATTATATAGTGCCTTCATGTCCAACACAATAACATGTAAAAAATAATAAAATTTTCAAATATTGTTAAAGATGTTTATTTCTGGTTTTTAGATACAGTAAGTAGTGATAGAAGATTATTAGTAATTTAATTTATGAATAGAAATAATTTAATATATCTTAATAATATAATTCTGAAGTCGGTGTCCCGTAAATCACAAAACGTAAATCATCAAAATCGATTCAAAAACGACGAAGATATGCGCGGACATACTTAACGCTTAACTTGAAATTTTTTTTGGCGAACTGATCACATACATCCAAAACGCAATAACTGATAAAAAAACACTCACAGGATCTTTGGGATCTTGGCTTCCATCTTTGACTGGCGATGTACAATTCGCAAAAACTTCCTTATATAAAGTGTCCAGGTTATTATTTGGATCGACACGGTCGAAGCAATGACGATCCAAAGCTTCAAGTACGGCTAGCACTCGGGCTAAAAAGAAATATTTTATTAAAAAGAGCTGCGAAGCAAGCTTGTATACGAATCACATTAAGATCCTCTTTTTTTGAAGTAGGTTAAAAATATAGACATAAAAAATACACCATAGTAAGAGCAAGTTACGTCATATAACAGATACAAACAAATTTGTTTAACACACATTGCGCGTTGTATATGAGGCGTGGTGTAGAACATATATCAATGGCCGGAAATGTACTTTAAACACATACAAAAAGAAACTTTATCTAGGTATGGATAATAGACTGTAAAATGTCATAATGTAATTATTGCCATACAATTTATTTCTAGAAGGATTATTCCTTCTAGAACGTCGTATTTCATCTAGCTTTGCAAATAATGGTTGAGTACAATAAATGAATGTATTTTGTGTCGCAGTGTTAATTGAGCTAACATTTCCTATATACTGTAATATTCACCTTGTGAACTAGTCTGCCATTTATCTGTGCACCATTTGCTTTCTGCCTTCTTGCTCCTCGCAGCTATTTCTTGCTCAGCTTCATACACCTGCCACATTAATCAACTACATTAATACTCTTGGTGAAGTGCTAACGTTAGATTTACGAATGATAATATTGTACATTTACATATTTTATATACATATTATTTTATATATAAAAAAAAACTAAATGTAAAAATCATTTTATTAAGTGTATTTTAGAAAAACATTCTTCTATAGAATACTGTACCAATTTTCTGTGTTCTTCAGTGACTTCCGAATCCATATGAGGCATGGGTAGAGCAGATGGGGGTAGGGGCAAAATGTCTAAGGGTGAACCTTGTAATGATGACCCACAACCAGACCAAACCATGGCTGTCGGGCACTCTATACATATTATCTAGAAAAAATTATTTTCATTAAAGAGATACATATTTAATAATGCTGATTTTACTACTACAACAGGCTTTCAAATGTTCTCTTTTACACAAATCTATAAAATCATCTAAATGATGATGTCTAATAAGAATATTAGGCCTTATTCTCCTATTTACAAAAATGCTTTTGTGTCTATTTCACTGATCACTCACATTTATCAAGAAACTCACCTGAAGTATAGTCCCCAGTTGTACAATAACATCTCTGTGAAAAGGGCAGTTGAGTATTTCTCCAAAACCGACTTGAACTGGGTTAAGAGAAGCAGTGATCACTGCATTTAATGTTGCTTTTGTATCACGTCCAAGCGAATCATTTTCCTCTTTCACTTGTTCCAGAGGCTGAGATGGGTTTGGGGTTCCTATTGGATTTGGTGTTCCTATTGAATGGTTTGGATTCGGCGTCCCCATCGAGTGGTTTGGATTTGGTGTGCCGTGGTTTTGGTCAGCAGGCGTAGCGGAACGTTTTATTTGGCTTACATTTGGTTTAACATCGTTAGTGGTTTCAACGGGCGAAAGAGGATCCCCATTTGCATCTATAAAGAAGAAACAAATAACATTAAATCATATTCTACTGAAGATTGTAAGCTATACTACTACTAAGACAGTAATGCATATATTAAAGGGAAATGAGGGGACTTCCCTTTAGTTCTTGGGTAAGGCCTAAATAGTCCTCATTGCAAAGTTACTTACCTCCATTCTTTTCGTTCTTGGTAAAAACAGCTGGTTGGTTAAGCGTACGCAACGTGGCCTCGGAGAGTACAGAACATATTGCCGCGCATTTCTTGGCACAACTGGAAGCGAGACGGCGCGATAGACCCTCGCAGCACACAAATTCGCACATATATTGTAATGCCAATGGAAGGAATAACCTGAAATGTATTTTTGTTTAAAGCAATTGACTAACTGAGTGAGCAGGGAATTTGTTGGATTTTTTATAGACGTCGCATGGTACTTGAAACCAGTATGCTACATGATTTCTATAGCGGTTTTGATTAATATTAATAAGAATTGTAAAATGTTAATAAATTAAATAAATGAAAAATAATAATAACAAAATAAATAAAAACTTAAATTCAACATAAACACTAACAATTATCAGAAAATATAAGCATTCTTAAATTGAAAAATTTTAGAATGTAATTTTCAATGAAAAAGTAACGGTTTAAAACGAATAATATAAAAGTTAATTTATTTTAACGACACCCAGTGAAAAAAACTTTTAAAAACATTTGTGCTTTCTTTAATAAGCTACACGCAGTTATTGAGTCCCTTGTAGTGCAACATTTCATAAAACTTATAAAACTCACCTAAGTAGGCCATCATCAGGTGCTCTTTTGTCTAGTAGCTCAATGATCCATGTGAGAAAATCATGTCTATCTAACAATCCTTCATCTAATAAATACTTAGCGAGGCGACAGCAGTAATTCCATTGTTTTAGAGCTTGTCTCCAATCTGTACTTTCTGATCCAGGAGTAGAAGAACCTAGTACTGAAATACCATAAATATTATTAACACTGTATATACAAATAATACTAGTTCTAAATTGCAAAAATATGTTTTTATCCATATATATGGGTAATGTAGAAGCAAATCCTTTCTCTTAAATCCTAATAATGTTTAGATAATTTTTTTCGCATATATACTTTAATATATATAGGTGTATATGTAATTATAATAAAAGATATTATTTAATTTAAAAATCGAAAATAAATTAAAAAATTTTCCATACCGGGGCCCCCCGGGGGGGGGGCCCCAAAAAAAGGGGGGGGGGGGCCAAAAACCACCGGGGGGAATTTTTCAACTTATTGATACATGCACCTCTCGCAAGTGTGGTAAAATAACAGGGGGGGGGGGGGGGGGGGGGAAAAAAAAAAAAAAAAAAAAAAAGGGGGGGGGGGGGGGGGGGGGGGAAAAAAAAAGGGGGGAAAAAAAGGGGGAAAGGGGGGGGGGGGGGGGGGCGGCCCCCGGCGGGGGGGAAATTTTTTTCAATTTTTTTTCGATTTTTGAATGTATATAGGCCTTCATGTGCAAATAACATGTGAAAAATATTAATGTTTTCAAAAGATATTATTTACTTACAACTGGAACTCCCCGGAGAATGCATAGAATTAGACAAAGTGGAATTTGGTGTTGAACTGCCAGGTGGGTGTCCTGAAGTATTATGGCTTGGTGTCCCTTGGCCTAAATTGTTACATATTAGTAACTTCTTTTAAATAAACCAAATTGAGTTTTACTTTAAATAGTATACATACCAGACTGAGATGGTGGAGTCTTGTCCGAAATATTAACTGATCCACTTTGATAATATTCTGCCAACTTAGGTATTTGATCTTTCAAGAATTTTATTAATGTTGTTGTCCATTCTAAAACAATTTAATATTAATTATTAAAGCCATAAAAAGTAATCATAAGTATATTTTGTAAACTTAAATAGATTTTATATAATCACACAAACCTGTAGTAGGATCCGGATGCTGACGCTTTTTAATTTTAGCTTCCGAAACAGCAACAGTATATGCAGAACTTAATTTTATAAACCATGCAGCTCTTGGCATTGCCACTTGATATTCAGTCAATGTTATAAATATTTCCTCTTTCTTATTAAAATTTGGTGCTTTCTTTGCCAATATGGAAAGTGGCTTACTGCCTATAAATAATAAAAAATGTTACACAGAAACAAAACAAAAATAATATATAAACAACATACCAGCTAAATCCTTAAACCACGCTTCAATTTGTGGCTTTGTACGTGCTGTGGCTGGCCAGAAATTATCTTTGGGATTCACTTGCTGTCTCTTTTTTCCACAATCAGGGAGAGTATTTAGTTCTTCTTTTTTGGATAATATGCCAGAAAAAAATTGACCAATCTAAAATAAACATACAAATTAATTTTGCTAGATGGTTTTTACTATGATTTGGGGTTTATAATAATCCATAAATTACCTTTGTTGCAAAAGCAGAATGATTGAAATTTCTAGCTGTTCCAAATTCATCACTTGATTGAGGAGTTGTTGTGAAGCCATGTTTTACATTAGCAGATGTAAGCTCATCTTCCTTTTGTCTCGGCTCTTGAGGGTACACATCAGGGGGACCTAGTCGAGGTCGCTTTAAAGGCCGTTTCTCGTACATAATCCCCATATTGTCGGAATAAAAAATACTATCTGGTAAAAGACAAGTACAATATATCAAATAGAAGATTCACTGTTTACACAAACATACTTATTTATGCTCGTACTTGTCATTTAATGTACTTGAGTTATTCCATAATAAAATATTTTTTCATAATATATATAAGAACTTGTAAATATTAAAAATTTCATTTCATTTTAATTGATATTAAGAGTCGTACAAAATAAAACAAGCTTTTAAATGACAAACTATGACAAATGACAACTTGCAAATTATTGACTTCTGGCTATTTGTTGTTAAATTTGACAATTGACGATAGGGATTCAAACAGATTATACAGCCCCGAAGCACAGATATAATATCATACCTGCCTGTTTTATTTATTTATTATTTTACATACAAACTATAACTCATATTTAGGATTTGAATGAAATTGTGGTTTTTACTAAGTGAATTTGCGTTAGTTCTTTAGTTTTTAATATATAAACTAGTGTCTCAAAGTGTTGTTAGTGTGAATCAATGTAAACCTTGTGAGAAAATCACGATATCATGAACATTTTTTACACTACTGAAAGTTGCTACAAAAACCAGTAGGATGCGTATCAGGATAGATGGGATCTAACAGAAGAGTTTGACGTAGTAACTGGGCTTAAACAAGGAGATGCGCTAAGTCCTATGCTGTTTAATCTCGCACTAGAAAATGTCATTCGCCAAGTAATGTCGTAGGTGTGCGGATGAACGGACAACAAAAGGTGATTGGATACGCGGATGGTTTGGCCTTCCTAGGGCAAATGAAACGAGACGTGGAGCTGTCTGCACAAACTGCAATATTAGGTCTCAGAATCAACTGGAGAAAACTGAATATCTCCACATAAAGCGCTATAAAGATGAGAATGACAGAAACGCGATGATCTACGAAGAGGAGATATGAAATTGACCTGGAGGAACTCGGTGTCTCCGAGGGGCAAACCGTTGTGGAGGCCAATACCCACTTTGGGTCGCTGCGCCAGCGGAGTAAGTACCTAAGGACTGTTTCGGATGTCAAATATTCATATACCTAGCTTAGTCAGTCACGTTAGTCGAATGCTTTATTGGAAACGTACCTATCTTTTTGCGTTTTTGTCGTATTTTGTTTTTTTACAGATGTTTTTGTAACAAAAAACGCTATACTATTATTCTATTTACATATATAGTAATATTTAATAAATATTGATGGATTTAATAAAACTCATAACAAATTATTTAGCAAGAGATTTATAATTTCTTACATATCTACAATTATTCAGCATTGTAAATTTTCTAAAAATATTTTAACTTTAACACAATTTTATGTCATGGCACTTCTTTATAACCGCTACATTCTTTTAAGTTTTTCTTAAGCTTTATCCACATCGTCACTCGGGCAGCATACTCCAGCATATCTGTAATCAAATGTTAAAAGTCAGCATGTTAAAGATTGTAAATGTTTTTCTTTTTTTAAGTTATATACGTCGTAGGTATACATGACATCGACGTACCCGTTGCCCACAGTACAGTATAATTCTTGATACTGTTGAGAGGTGATGGTCTTGGCAGAGCGGCACCGAGTGATATACACACACGCCCCACTGACGCCACCTCCTGCTTTGTCACAAGTAGAGTCTTCACCTTCAGTCACAGTCTGTAAAATAAATAAGTATGTATCCACCATACAATCTACTTCGCGCATACGTTATATTTCTGAGTACAATCAATCATTGATTAATTTATTGGAAGCATTGGCATTGGTCACCCTTAGGCTCCTTAACCCCCCGGGTCAAAATCCCAGGGAAAATGTTTTTCGTTCCAGGATAGCTTAAGACAAAGTAAGTCTAAAATTTAAAAAATATATTGTTTACTAAAAATATTTTTAAATAAGTCTTTAAAGATTTCTGTCGGGCCTATTCCACAAATACATTATATGTACTACAAGTGAGCTCTTGATCTGTGCCCCGTTTGACCGAAATTATTTGTGAAACGGTGGGTAACTACACTTACTTCTCCAGTTTTATACAACTTAAGGTCCACTTGAGTACCGTTGACTGACAGTTTTAATACGTCCGCGCTAGCGTCAAGTAAATTTTCTGCCCAACCAAAATCTTGCAAGTTATACTTCATTAACGGCGAGGCAGGCTCTGCCTTCGGTAATTCCACTTTAGGTGCAGATGTTGTAGAAAGAGCAGGTGGAGCGCCAAAAATAGACGAGACTGGAAAACTGTCCATATCTGTAAAACCGCTCAAGAATTATGTTAAACTGAATAAGCAGAAAAGCATTCTATACTACAAATATATTAAATGGAAATTGTACTACTACTGCTACTGTTATTTAATTATATATTTGCTATTCTAGGATAGAGTCACAGATCAAAATATATTGAACATTAATTTATTAATTTAAAAAAGTTGGCGGTAATTAAAATCGGCGGAATCACTTAAAAGAATTAGATTAAATTTGCAAATGTATTTTTATCTTTTGGAGTAAAATGGCGATAGCATGGTTTCTTATTATGACATATAAACAAAAGTTTAATTCGCTGGCAGCACCACAACTTAAAAGGCTGGTCATGTGACCAGATGGTCATAGTGCCAATACCAACCTAGGTCATAGGATGAAGAGGTACGGAGGGAGTGTTTGTAACTTGGTTGATGTCGAAATCTTGAACCTAGAATCATCGAGCAATGAAATTGTTTGAAATCATCAGAATTCGTAAATAAAAGTGATTTGAATCCGATATTTTTTTTTTTCAAGGAATATAAGGGAAGGTACTGTTTGTAAAGAACCACTAGTAAAAGAATAACAGAAGATATTCTCACTGATGGAGTTCTTTTGTGCGTTCTTTTCAGATATATTACACCTATCACACTTACCCGAAAAATGCTGCGCTCTTGGAAATGAGGCGAAACTACTACGCAAATCATCTGCATTAGAAAAGACAATGTGGTTTAGGAAAAAAGATCATAATCAGAGTAATCTAAAGTAAGCAAACAAAATGATATTCCAGAAGGTGCACTCTCCAGACCAGAACTGGTCGTGCATAACGCATATACCAAAAACGTTTGTGATGTTTTGATTGTGTTAACCGAAATGTAAGGTGAATGTAAACCTGATGAACAATGATGACTTCAAGCAAGACGTGTTTAAATCATGCTATCGCCATTTGAGAAGTCGTTAAACCCAACGAAAGATCCTTAAACAAGTTTCGTCAGTAAAAGGTCAATTTTAAAAGATCAAGTCAATTCAAAATTAATCCTACACAGCCAAGGATTAACAGATAAAACATCAACATTTGGTTTATATTCTTCGCAGTGAAGTTAGGTTAATTATATTTATTAAAGTCAGTATCTATACTATCAATTTATAGTGCTTAGGGCTATTAGAGTAGCGTGTAGGAATAATTCTAAAAATTCAGTCATCATGAATGAATGGCATCTTCAAGAGGTTTTTGACTTCATTTTTCCCAAAGATGATATTCACCATTTACTCTGAAATTGATAGTCCAAATCATGCTCACCAGCGCGGTCTTCGTCTTCATAACGATTATCTATTTCTTCTGCTTCTATATCATCGAAAACAGGCTCTTGCATCGGTGGTCCCGGAAGGCCTATTTATATCACAACATGCGTAAGTATCTCTGGGATGGATTTTGGCATTTAAATATAATCGTGGTCTAGGTAAGTAATCAACAGTTGTGACGTCAATTTATATTCCCAAACAGTTTTAGTTTTAAATAAATGTAGGTGACTCATCAAAAATACATGCATATTCCCAACTGTTAAGTTTGTCGTGGTCGAAATGTATTGTGAAAGAGTTACACTTACCGAATTGATGTTGCAAAGTTGCGATGGGTTGAGAGAAGGATACCGCCGACAAAGCGTTAGACTGTCCATAACCAGCCGAAAGACTTGCTAAAGAAATTGAAAACGGTTAACACTCTAGTCTAAATTGCTTTTTTATCTGCAGTTTACGCGAGTAATTCAATAAAACACTGTATTGTAAAGTGCCGAAAAATATAAGTCCTCTATTAAAATAAATTATATTTTAATAGAGGACTTATATTTTTCGGGGAGTTAACTAATTGACTTCGGATGTTAAACCGTTAAAAGTGTTTTGTTTAAATTGTCTTTTGAAATTTTACTCTATAATATTTCTTTTTTTAATTATATGTTTTAGTCGTTGAAGCTATAGTTATTATATAATTAGTATTTAAAGTTAATAATTTTGTTAAAAGTATTACTCACGTGGGCCATATGATCCGAAAGCAGAATATTCTGGACCTAAAAATAAATAAACTAAAATGCTTTACACCTTAATTTTAAAAACACTTTAACGGTTTAAAACGCCATATATTAGTTAAACTTATTTGTAAATGATTTTTAACTTCGGCCCGACGTTAAATATCAATCACCCCGTGACCACGGCTGCTGCAAAGCATCCGAAACGTCGGGCCGAAGTTAAAAATTATTTTCAAATAAGTTTAACTAATATATGGCGTTTTAAACCGTTAACGTGTTTTATTTAACCTTCATTTTAATTTTTTTATGATAGAGGAGGACAGACAGGTATGGAAGGTTAAATATCACAGTTATATAACATCTCAATAGATGTGCTGTTGAGATCTTTTGGATTAACAGGAATCTACAGACTGAAATCGAAATGCGATTGAACTTGACTTTCATTTATGGACGGTGATTCGTGACCCAGACGGAATTCGAATTATTACCAATTTAATGTCCAGATTCCCAAGTTCAACGTATTTCAGAAAAATTATATACTAATCAGAAATATGTTGGACTCGGTGGAGATCGGACCTCCGACTTAGATTTTTGCCATAAAATAAGGAACCCGTGTTTACTTGTCAGCCACTTTGAATATCATTCATATACCTACTTCGTATTACGTATTACGTAACGCAACATAACGTAACACGCGTTGCCAGTCTTTAAGGGTAAGAATAAACAATAACATTTATTATACAAATTAATAATATTTATATTTGTATACTTACGCTGGTTGTCTACAGATTCTGCATTGACAGCATTAGTAGCGTTTGGCTTTACTACAACCAGAGACGTCAGCGGGGTTACAAATTCGTACTGAAAAAGGTTAATTCTATGGAATATTTTAGTGTTTCTATTTTGTGCTATGATTATTTAATTAATAAATAAAGAAGAAGCTAACGGTTTAAAAGTCGAATTATATATGTGAATTATTTCTTTTACGTCCGATTTGGATTGTATACATTATTCGTCTTAGTAGGATTCCAGGGAAATCGATAGATGGTCAAACGTAATGAATATTGCTTCTACAATGTGATTATGCTTACCTTCAAAGCTATAGCTAAAGCCCTTTTCTCAGGACTCTTCTCGGATTTGTCATCTGAATCACTTGCGTCCTTTTCGTCCAACAATTGCTTGATCGTGAGGTACGCCCACAGTCTTTCGAGAGGCATGTATTCATTTTTAGTGGTGCTTACTGGAATTTTAGGCAGGATCGCGTATTTTTTCTGTAACACAAAGGGAATATTCTATTATATAAGAATCATTATAGCTAATGTTTTATCTGTAGTTGGTATATATATATATATAAGATTAACTTTTAACAAATGAAAATCTAAATCTAAAACCAATAAGAGTCAATTTCTTTATTACTAATATATAGTAATAACTTAAAAATCCAATTAGCAGATCCCCTTTACATGATTATTTTATTAACTAATACTAAATTTCCTAAAAATCACAATATTTATTACTCTACTAGAAGTTTTCTTACCTTTCCTGAACCATCATCAACAGCGCAGAATCCATCAACTTGTGCCTCGATCACATCAACATTATCTAATACGCGACCAGCAACGACTACTTCTGAACCGGCAAACACTGCGTGGAACTTGCTTCGTGTCACTGAACCCTCTTTTACCTACAAAAAGGTGCCCAATATTCATTCTAATTTATTCTTTCTCAGGTGGGGCTGATCAACCCTCTCAAATGAGGTTTAAGGTAAGCTTTATCGCCTATCGTTTCTTAATATGTGATAAACATGTCGGAGTAATTATCACCTACTTTTATCCTCCGAATCTGTTATGTATAAACTCTCCATGAACGATTTTTTAGATTCTTTAATTTGTGTTTTTCCGTATAAAGTATAAGTTTACCTGATCTTTGGGATACGTAAAATGAACATTGGAGAGTAGGGGCGATGAGACTTGCTGATAGAAATCGCGTAGCTGCAGTGCTGCATCTGCTGCCTCATAGATATGCCTCATGAACCCTTCGTTACGCAGAGACAGTTTCCGGAGGAAATTGCGGTCCGCGTCTTCGCCTAAAAATATCATCCTTATTTAAATATAAACGGTTATTTTTTGCAATCTTGGAACGGAATTTACCAGAGGTTTTGGATGAATTGCTCTTAGGATATTTAATTATATTGATCGCCTACGTAATTAAAGCTGAAGACACAAAAATTACAGTGTTTCAGTCGGACAGGGCATTGCCTGTAATGAAACGAACATAGAAACGTGTTATCCCCATGCCCCATAGAAATGGTTGGTGTCTACCGAGGAGATCCATCTGGCAACAGCATGATCAATAAAGAAGTTGAATTATTACTCAAAGCTTCTATGTGTAAAGATTGAATGTATTTTGAAGCTATGGTAATTATTGTAATCGATCAGTATTACAGTTAGAATCGCATCACAATTAATTTTCAGTGTTGTGGATAGATGATATTTTGAACATCTTTTAACTCACAATCCTACGTTTATTACTTAAAGTACAATCCATTCGGTTTATGAGCTTTTATCTGAAAAAATACGATATATTCTTACCGAAAGCTAAGGAAAATATAGACGCTTTCTTTTCTCCATAGTTCTTCTCCGAGAGATGATTTATAATTCGCACTGTGCTGGTCTCTCCTTCAGTTGGGTCTCCGTCCGTAAGGAAAATTACAATTGGTTCCAATTCTAAAAGAATATCAATATGATCCATATATAGGCTAATATAAAGGGAAACGAAACATTTTTATTCAATTCAATGCATTTTTTTATTAGTTACGTCACTGAAATTATAAAAATTTTACTGTAATATTTTTTACATATTCTGATGGCTAGTGCCTTAAATAGGTAGATTAAAAATCGAAAATATATTTCTTTCTTTATCATTAAGTTCAGTTGGTAGCTCAATTGGTTAGAGCAACAGCACGGAACGCTGACGATGCCAATTCAAGTCCTGCCAGAGTCGATTTTTTTTCAATTTATTTACTATTTTTCATTATAACAATCTATTCAAGAGTAATTACCGTTCTTAACACCTTCATCAACTGTCAAAGCCTTTCCTTGTTCTGGAGCCGCAGTAGTAGAGTCGGGTTTGGATTCATTTGATTTAACTTTCCAGTCGACGCCTTTGCGAATTAAATCTATCGCTACGCTTAAAGCGCTGTGGATGTTTGTACCTGTAAAGTACATATTTTAATTAATTTTACAAAGCACTGTCTGTAGTTTACGCTAAATGAAATGTATGACTTAAACTTATTTAACTAACTTAAGAAACAACGGGCCGTAGTTAAAATTAATGGTAAATAAATTTAAATTATACATTTCGCGTTTTAATCCGTTAAAAGTGTTTTATTTAAATTATTTTACAAAGCTATTCGGGATTTCAATCTGTTATGAAATCGTAATTAAGTCTTAGCCGTGCTCCAGTCTTTGCTTAGTCAACGACACTATCGTATATTACCTCCAAACGACTGCAGTCTGGATATAATGGTTTTAGCTTTCTCTATGTTCTCCGGGGTGGCACGAGATGGCGGCACCAGAGCCGTGTTTTCCGATTGGTGAGGTTGGTAATTCCAGTAATGTTTCCTCTCAGCTGGAGGAGCATCTGCTTCCTTGAGATCATGCACCTATGGAAGCATTGGCATGTGTATGTTATTCATGTCATTTTAGTATTTATGGTCTATAAATACTAAAATGGTCAAATTACAAAAAAAAAATCTGACGATATGGAGAGTACCGCTGTGTAAAATTAACGCAAGAAGGTAGTTACATAATGTCACAAATCTATATTAATATTATAAAGGTGAAGAGTTTGTTTGTTTGAACGTGCTAATCTCGTAGGGGAAGGCTGTAGGCTCTAAAACACCACCTTGTGGCCAATAGCACCGAAGAATAGTAAGTAAAAAAAAGTGAAAAGGTCTCCCACGACCATCTACGTTACATCATGGTTATACGTTATGTCCACCATTACATTAACATCATAGTACATTAATGTACCAAAATTATCGATTAGTTTGTTACACATTTGCAAAAATGAATTCTTACCACGACGTCAGAGTTGAACTCCACGATGCTGAAGTAATCGCCAGCGTAGAGTTTACCCAGAATGGTCTGCATGGCCTCTCGCAGCTGATCTAATTTGTGACCCATCATAGATCCGGATGTATCCAGAACAAAGACTACGTGCTTCTTCAGAGGAGGTAGCGAACTTGGCGCTAAGAAGTGAACGAAATAGCCATCGTTTACCTAAAACGTAAATTAGATTAACCACATTTCCTCCTAAAGGGCCATAGTTAGATAAAAATTGTTTTCGGACACATACATGCACATGCGTATGCGTACAAATATCACCTACAATAAATACGAAATACAAACAATATAGTATCTTACATCATGAATTACCATAAATAGAATAACTTTCCTCGCTGGTATAACGGTATCAATGTACGGCTAATAATCAACGGGTTCCCCCCATCCCCACCGGGTCCAAAAGTTTTTTAATAAATTTATCAATTTTCTGAAACATGTTAGACCTCGTCTGGAAATTTTGATTTTAAATAGGCGGTAGGAATATCGAAATACCATCCGGGACGAAACGGCATGAATTTAACCACGTTTCGTTTTTAGTCTGTGGATATCCGAATATCCAAAGTCAAAATAGGTCGACCGCACCAGTTGTTTAGATGCTGGCTGAAGTATTTCATCTACCATCAAGTGAACCTTGTCGGTCCTCCTTAATAATTAAAAAGCCTACAAACCTTACCAGTGATTTTAAGAGTGTAGTGCGCCCGCGCATGTTATGTTTAAAGCAAAATGCACGAAAAGATATAAATATTTTTGTGTAATAATAAGATTTATTTTATATAACAATACTTACTAAAATATCCTTATTGTTTGTCCGGTCAACATCGTATTGGACAATAAATTGTCCGATGGTTCCCTCTTGATTGTCTTCTACGTTATGTTGGAAATAATATGGTCTGCTTGCTGCCGATTCCTTAGATTTGGCCTGTAATCATTTATCGATATAAAACAATTCTATCGTCTACTCTATAGTAATAATAAAAACTGTTATCGATATCGATATAAGGACAGTTAAATTTTGCTGTAAACTTACGGCTTGGACTTTTTTAAAAAAAAATTTAAACCCCGCCCCCCCCCCCCCAACCCTTTGCGGCGGCCCTGGCCATGAGGGTTCAATTTTGCTGATAAACTACGACTGGACTTGAAAAGACACATTAGTACAATTGGTAGAGCAACAGCACTAACAGCTACTAACTATCTTAGTGGGTTCGAGTCCAACCTATTTTTAAATCCCCTATGTAAAATAATCCTTCATTTATGTAAACTTTAATATGCACATAATATGTACGTTAGAATGATTTATTCAATAAAACGGTTTAAAACGGGAAATTTATTTGAAAATTATTTTAACTACGGCCCGACGTTTCGGATGCTTTGCAGCAGCCGTGGGCACGGGAAGTCATCGTCACGTCGACAGCATCCGAAACGACGGGCCGTAGTTAAAATGATTTTCAAAAAAGTTTTACTACTATATTTCGTGTTTAAACCGTTAAAGTATTGTATTTAAATGTGTACTCGCATAAACAACGGACAGATTGATTCATTTCAATTAAGTAAACCAACCGAATAAACATCAATAAGTCTTCTCTGCTCTATTAAATCTGGTTTGAAGGTGATCGTCGCTTCTCTATCATCATGACCTCTGTCTATGGCAGCAATAGGGTTCTCTGTAAAATATAAAATTTAAAAATGTTTAATTCTGAAGTTACTAATACGACGTATCGCGTGTATTAAAGTTTTTTTTGCGTGCGCTGCGAAAACGGTTCAAGAAACCAAAAAAATATCATGAAAAAATTATCTTTCTCTAAGACTAACTCGCAAGAACGACAGCACGCCGTCGACATCGTGGGTTACAGCTATAATCTATAAATCTGAATAGGTGTTTGCAAAAATAAATTATATTATGCCCAAAATAACACTATAATGCAGACGAAGTGGCTAGCTAGAATTTAAATAGGATTCTTATTTACAAAACCAACTTACGAGCATCTGCATCTGTGGCATCCACCTCGTTACCGGTTTTTACTTCCGGTACCCTCAAGGTTGTGATCTTCTCAGTTTCCTTGATGTGTACCGTGACTTTCAGCTTTGGCACCAATGCTCCAGGGTGCAAGTTGATAGCGTGGTTGTAGACACCATTGCGACGGACGAGTAATTCTTCATATGTAAGGTTGAATACTGCTGTGGTGTTTGGTTCAACGTTGACATTGACTGTAAAATGGTTAGAATCGCGAGCTCTGAAACGACAATATGTTTGCATGATAATTAAGCAATAGAAATCGTTTGTACGTTTAATTTAATGTATGTATGAGTTTGGGTGAGGGGAAAAGTAAAGTAATATGTAAGATATTTAAAATTATTATACTCTTTTTGCAAGTATACGGCCCTAAAGAATGGATAAACTTTTCAAAATGTTGAACGATAAATTAAGCCAATCTTTTGTCAACATAAGCTTTGCTACATTAAAATCTGCGTGTGATCACTTAAAATTTAAAAAAGGGGGTGACCTATGATATGTAAACAAATGTTTGAATTACACGAGTGATCTTCAATCTTATTTTTTTATTACCTTTAAAAAAATGTAAGACCGTACTATTTTGAATGTAAAGGGAGCCATTCGAAAGAAGCCAAAGAAGCTAGTCAAAACTAATAGTCATACAACTATTTAAAAATGTAAGAAAAAAATTATTACTTAGCGGAAACGTGTGCTGCACCGAATCCTTGGGAAACAGCCTCATTGTAGATTTGCTTCGCTTCTTCTTTTCCCTTTACGTAAGCCTTATACGACTTCCCATTCAATGTCCTGAAAAATAATAAAAAAAAATCTATACAATTTAAAAATCGAGAATAAATTGAAAAACTTTTTCGACTCGGGCAGGACTTGAACCGGCATCGTCAGCGTTCCGTGCTGTTGCTCTACCAATTGAGCTACCGAGAGTTTTAAATTGTATAGTGCCTTCATGTGCAATAACATGTAAAAAATAATAAAGTTTTTCTAATAAATCTTTCAAATTTCTTTCTCCTAAAATATTTTGCGTTTTTTTTTCAATGTTGTTTGTAGTAAACGCAAGTTTACAATATTGATTTTTTCTGTTTAAAACATAAATTAACCCCAATTTCGATCGAAGGTAATATTGAAAACATACGTTACAAAGTTAAAATATATTGTAAAGAAGTTAACTAATACGTTTCGCGTTTTAAACCGCTAAAAGTGTTTTATTTCAATGTGCACTATTCGCGTAAACTGCAGATAATATACCTAATCTCAACTGCAGATAAATACCTGATCTCTTTTAAATAAAACACTTTAACGGTTTAACCGCGATATATTAGTTAAAAGCCGTGGTCACGCCGCAAAGCATCCGAAACGTCGGGCCGAAGTTAAAAATAATTTCCAAATAAGTTTAACTAATATATCGCGTTTTAAACCGTTAAAGTGTTTTATTTAAATGTGTACTACTCGCGTAAACTATAGACAGTATTTACCTAATTTCTTTTTCTCAATACACAAATTAACTCCAATTTTGATCAAAGGTTATATTGGAAACTTACATTACAAAGCCACTGATGAAAGCTGTTTCTGGTAAGAGCATCCGGAAGACAGCTTCCTGGGAGCGCTTAGCGGGGTTCCGTACAGTCGTGACCACAGCTGTACGGGCATAACGCAACGCGATCTCAGAATGAACCCTCATTTCTGTTAGTTTAATTGGAGCGTTTGGCTCGTCTGTGGTGGGTCCTACGTTAGTTTCTGTGGTAATCTGTAGATTTATTCAATGTAGTATTATTAGTGGTATTAAACACCCTAAAAATAAAAAGTAAAATTACAAAACAATACGTACGTCATCTCCAGTGGTGACTATCAAGGGATCCTGAGTTATCGCTGCTGATGACACGGTTGCAATAAATAACCCGACGCATAGAAGTATGCATTTCCACCTCACATCACCCATTGTGTAGCACTGGAAAAGAAAGGTATCTTAAAAATGTGTCAGACAAGTGCCATGAATGGAGAATTAAAAAAATCACAGACTGGATTCGAACCGACATCTACAGTGTTGCATGCTGTTGCTTCCAGTTAAGCTATCGTGTCCTACACGTCATCGTCTTTTTTTCAATCTATTGAAACACCTCTCACGCAATACAATTTCAACCTTAAAACTTGCGTATTAAACTCTTACGCTTTGCAGCTTCAAAAAAATCAATCCAGTTTAAACAAAACATTTTGAAACGGTTTAAAACGCGATATACATATATTAGTTAAACATTTTTGAAAATTATTTTAATATATATCGCGTTTTAAACTGTTAAAGTGTTTTATTTTACTGTGTGCTACTCGCATAGACTACAGAAACAATTTAATCAATTAAGAATAAATTACACTGTTTAACAAAAACTATTTTTTTTTAAATCTTAAAACTATTTTAATTTAAGTACATAAAGCCATCATGTGTTAAAGTTATAATGTTTAAACAAAGTCAAGTTTAAGAGATTTAAACATAGCAATTCTAAGAACATTCGGATCTAATTCGTTGAAATTTTTTGAATTTAAACGCATCGTTATCATCAATTAATCGCCAATTCGTTTTTTAGTTACGAAACCAGTATACAAATAATAAATAGAAGCCAGGTTTTCCTCAAAATTTACCAAAAAAATTTAGTAATAAAATATATGAAGTTCTCGAATCATGTTAAGGGCTTGATAGATTTTTATGAAATTTATTTGCACCTCCAGTAGGTCTAAGAATCTACATATAATGTATATGAAAAGGTTTAGATAAGGGTTGTCAATTCCTATTTATGTCATTAAAATACATACTTTAATTTACATCCTTCTATTAGCCGCTCCGATTTTTCAAGTCATTTTCGTAAATAAATCATTTATCACCTCAATTTCAAAACCGTTTCAATAATTATTAGTCAATAGTAGGTCTTGGTTAGTTATCCCTGACTGTTTCTTTTTTTACTATACAATTTCTAGATGATGATATATGTCAGAACAACCTTAGCCAAGTCAGCTATTTGAAATAAAATAAAAAATCTTTAAACTATTAAACGAAATTTTCTGTATACAAACATGCATATGCAGAAAGAATTATTATCTAATCACTTGACTTTGCGGCGTCGTAATCGAGACCCCAATGACCTTGGTATTTCCAAGTTTAGTATAAGCTTAATATAAACAAAGTTAGAACTAACTTGTATACAGACGATGGGGAAAGAGAGGCTTCGGAGAGTAACAAACCGTTAACTTGATATCTTGTGTCAATACTATTTTGTTAATTGTGTTAATAAGAGTGTTAGCGTTCGTTACCAAATACGTTTTTAAGATGTACTTGCGAACTAAACGCTTATTTACGCTTAGTAAATCTATTCTAGTTCTAGGATTTGGAAAAACCAGACATGGAAAATGTTTTCATCCATACCTCTGCCAATATAAAACTTTACCATCTTATTATCTACTATTTTAAAATAGCATAGTCTACCTAAACGGTGTTACTTAATCGTATATATATGATTTTCTTGTTAATTAAAAAGTAAGCTTTAATTTGTAAAGAATAAAACGCCGACTGGGTTTTATAAACAGCTCGATTTACAACATCTCGAAAACTAAACAACGGTTTATTGTTTGAAAACCTGTTGTCTACTAGCTCGGTAGGAGAATAGGTCGTTCACGCCGAGGATCATATATCCATAAGAATCAATTAAGTATTCGTCATACAAACACCGCTAACTTAAAACTATCTTTAAGTGAATTAAATTACATGGTACGTCACTAAAGCATTGAATTTTAAATATATTACACGGCATGTAAACTACTGTATTTAATAAACATACAATATATGCGACAAACGCAGTCAGTAAATCTTGTAAAACGAACTAGTTTTCCGTAGGTCTCCTATGATCTATCTAGAAACTTTTCTTACCGATTTGTTTTTCTGTTCAATGAGATGATTGCTTCAATTGTGTAACGTCCCTAAGAGAATACTGGGCACTATTTATTTGCGTTCTGTTGTGGACGTGCGGTCAGGTCGGTCCGCGGTCGCGGAACTCGTTACAACACCAATACGTTTTCTTATATATATGTATCGCCTTGACTTAGACTTGCCTGCGTATATCTTCGCGTGCAATATAAGTTCTAAAACAAGAATTCGCCGAACGCAGAACTCGATAACGACTGGTACGATTATTATGGTTTTTAACCGACTTCTAAAAAGTAGGATCTCGATTCGAGCTTGCTTTTTTAAATTTTAATGCATGTTTCGCGGTGGCAAGCTGTAATATGATGTTGGTAGGCCAGAGAAATCGTCGAGGCGACTGTACGTTTCTCTAATACTGGTATTGTTTTGTTGTTACTTCTATATATTTCACAATATTATGTGAGTGAGAAAGTACGTTTTTGGTACTGGTATTTTTTCTTATTACAGTTTATTTGATTGCTAATTAAAAAAAACTCTTCCCACCGTGTACCTACACGTACAAACTAATAAAAACTAAGAGAGCGCGATAAATCTTGACGCAAATATGATATCTATGAAATAAACTTTACAAAAATATGGCGTTAAATTTTGGCGCTAAAATCTGACCGAATAGTTTTGCCGAATATTCGTTGCAAGTCTAATTAAAACCCATTAAAAGAACTGTATAAAGGTCAATACACTATCTGCTAAAACGTAAGATAACACGAATAATGGGAAAACACGCGATCGGTATCAAGTTGTTTTCCTTATAGGTACTTGTCGTAGCGTCTTCAGGGGAATCCGTACTTTTTTTCCAATTCCGTGAAATATGCGCTAGTGGGTTATCAAGTATTAGGAACTTTTAATAAAACACTATTAACGGTTTAAAACTCGAAATATATTGGTAGTTTGTAACTAGGATCGTGTCTACTGTTTTACAGCGGCCGAAGTCACGAAACTACGAACCGTTGTTAAAAAGGCTTAATATTAATTTTAACCGTTAAGAGCCCTGCGTTTAAAATAACGTTTTTCTGAATTGCTTAGAATTGATTTCTTAAGGCAACAATTCTGAGATTTGTTGATTCATTAAGGACAGGTCATTTGCAAAATAAACAAATCATTAAATTTGTACTTAGTGTAATTTTATTAACAAAATGTAATAAGTGAAATAAATAACATTATATATTTTAAAGAAATATGAAATTTGTACAATTTTTTATATTACTTACAGTTACATAAAAATTAATAATAATTAATTATCCAAAAAGATAAAACAACAATGCACCTTGGCAAATGAAATTTTAATATAAATATACATTTTTCAGAAACGTTAAATAAGTGCTTACAGATTGTCGTTTGAAACATTTTCTACAAAACAACGAGGTCGTTATTAAAAAATAATATGAATAATACGAGATGCATTTTGTAAAGTGAATCACAGAATGAGTGTCGCTGAAGGCCTTACAACTTAGGCGCGATGTCGCTAAGGCTTCTTTTAGAATATTTTATTTGGTAAATATTTGCAATAATATCACTTTTAAGTACATACAAATATATAGAGGTGCACATAACGCTTCTAGTCGTAACAATGGTGTTCTTTATATAATTAATTGAGAGTTCACTTAGACTTTAGAATTTCACATACCTACTATATTCGCAAAATGTAAGTTTTCAATATGTCTAGGGAATTAAAGTTTCCTTACAAAGATAATCAGGCCGTCTCAGCTATCGCATATGAATCTCGTTAAGATGTGGTCAGTTCAGAGGGAGAATACCGGTTAACCTAAGTAAGGAATATATTCAGTAATATATTAGACATCTTAACTAGAGTCATATCATCTAAAAAGTAGTACGAAAATAGCAGTAACTTATACAACTTATAATTTACAATTATCTACATAAATAGCTTAAATTATTTTACAAAGCTAACGAGTCAAAAACGACATTGGTGTCAAAAGAACATTGACAGACATCCCTACGTACATACGACTACGTTTTATAAATACACTGTATCTCTCTTAATATTGATAGAATCGACAGACGACACAAATCACAAAATATCATACGAACATCAGAGCCAGTACGACGCTCGCGACAGGAATGAGAATAAGGCCGCCGTAGACGGTGTCGCACTAAACTTGGCACTTTTTGAGTATTTTAATACGCTACGAATATATTAATTCATACCACTTAGCTCGCTCGAAGGTATCTACAAACTAGAGGAGGCACATGCTCAGGTCGACGAAAACGAGTTCGAAAAATATAGAAATAAATACCGAAAACTAAGCTACGTTCGAATTTAACTTACAATGTTGGCGGGCACTACGAGGACCAAGCAGAGTTTGGAGTTCAAAGTCTTATATCGTGGGTTGCGGCGGTGAGGAGGGCGGAGGCCGCGGGGCGACGCCACGCCTCTTCGTCGCGATCGCCCGGCGCGCCCTGTTCGTCGTCCTGAGTGCTGTACCGCTGCAGGGTCGGAAACTTCAGGCCGCTCACGATAAGCGACGGCCGAGTGATGCTCACTGTTGTCGCCGAGCGCTCGATGCGTTTTGCGTGTCCACCGCCCGTGGTCAAGTCGAGAGACTGCCCGCGCCCGTACAGCCTCGACTGCCCGAAGCGGGGCGTCAGCCGACCGATTAGATTGTCCTCCTTGCTTTTGCTCTTTGAACTCTGGTTATCTTCCGACTTGGTTAATGTTTCTTTCGGCTTTTTCTTCAGAAAAAACGGGGTGAAACGTTCGGCTAGCGGTCGAGACGGATTCGAACCGACGTCGTGCACGTTGGAAGTGGAGTTTGAGGTTTTGAGAGTTTTTATAGATTTCGATTGAGTTTTAATCGGGTTAGATTTTCTCTGCAGACTTATCCTAGAAAACATGCCGTAGTCCTCTTTTTCCTTCTTCTCTTGTGACTCTTCGCATTTGACCTCCACGTCCGTCAACTCGTCCTCGCACACTTTTAGCACGCAGTAGGTGTCTCTTTTAAGTTCATCGAGCAAGCTGTCATCATTCGAGACCGTGTCTATTTTGCTGATCGGACGCTCTTCTCGATTTTCCCCTTTGAACTCTGTAATATCAGAATTCATGTCTTCAGGGAGACTACTAGAAGTGGACAACTTTTGTAATACTGTCTGTTCATCAGTCTTCGCTTCCGCATCGAGGGGCTTCGCCTGTAACCGAACCCGCGAAGCGGTGTTGCCTCGCGGTGGCACCGCGGGCGGCACGTCATCTCCCGAGGGTTGTGAATGGCTCATAAAATTTGCCATTAGCTCGTATTCTTTACATCGATTCGACAAGTCATAGTCTGATCTCTTAGGCGGCGTTATTTCGGGTTTCGGGCGACGAACCGGCGGTTTCCTCTCGACGTCCACGTATTCGCAGAGGGGCGTGGCGGGATTGGTTAATGCAGGGCGCGAGGGCGACAGGCGTGCCGGTTTCGGAGGCCGAGCTGGTTTCTCATTAGATGCATCGCTGTCTTCAGAGGGTTCATGCTTGATACAGGACATGGTTAGGTACCCGCTGGCGGTTGACTTATTGGACTTGCCGGAGGAGCGTTCGTCAGCGAGTCGGGCCAGCTTGAGCGATTCGGAACTAGAGCAGAGGTCGAGTGAAGGCTGCAGAGGGAGCGCTTTGCCGTCCAAGTCGATAGTGGGAGAGGCGCCGCCTCGCCACGCTCGCCACACCACAGAACCACTCTCCATACCACCACCTGAACTACTCGTCCCAGTCGCGCCGGCTAAGTGTAAGTAGTTGTCGTCGCCAATTGGAGTTTGTCTGAAACAATGTAAGGAATTTTTATATTTGTATAGGGGTTATCATGATAGGTATTTTCGTGTAGGTATTACTATAGAAATGACCTATGGACTAATGTCTACCTCGGGAGCTATATTGTTAAACGTGTTGCTTAGCATTGCAAAGCACAAGAGGTCCCGGGTCGAATCCCTTCGAATCAATTGTTTTGTCGGGCAGAGCACAGAAGACTGATCAACTAGTTGCGTGTAAATAGATCTAATTGTGCGCGCCCCATGCCCCACAGGGGGAAACAATGCTACAATTAGCCTCTATATCGTCAACTTACTTGCTCCCATATTTCGTTTCTCTAAGCAGCGACCGCCTATATCTGCAATGCCGAGTCTCGAGGTCGAATATCACTTTTTGCAGTTCACGTATCGTCGCAGACTCCGCTTCTCGTTCTAATGCAGGTGTATTGTCTAAAACGATAATTGGTTTATCCTTATTACAGTTAAGAACACCTTTTTAAATAAATATAATAAGTAAATATGTGGAAACTTCGACATGCTAAAAGCTGTAATACAGAATTACAGAGATGTACAGACCGCGGCCCACCGGTCGAATACTGGTTTCTCGTCGACAACCAAAATAATACTCAAATATATAAATTATTTTTCAATTATAATGTATTATACTCAATTTTTTATTGTCTTTAATTACCTATACTTCTGGCGGCCCGCCATCAGGTTCACGACTTGCCCGAGTGGCCAGTTGTCTTAATAAGTCTGTGCAACCCTGCTGGAATATAATTACTGTACCTAACACTACTTCGCAGTAATATAAAATAAAATAAATACCTGGCGGTCGATGTAAACGCATGTCCACGAGCTTTATATGCGACATAAGCAACGCGTGCAGTCGTTGCAGGTCTCGCGCAGGATCGAGGCGCAGCGCAAGCGCAGTTGGACCTCGCACCACGCTGTCGTCGTCCCACTCGGCACCAGCACCAGCCCCTGTTCCACCCCCTGTACCCCCACAACCCTCTGCATCGGCTTCGCTGCGGCCACAACTGTATAATCATATAGAGAGCTTAGTTTTGACTACACTTGAGTAAAGAAATATCTTATGTGGCCTTTAAATGCAACGCTATGGCTCCTTAGTCAAAAGACATGTCATCACAACTATTGAAAAAATTGTTTTATATAGACCATTTCTCGAGAAAGGCTTTAACTGTCGAAAAACCGGGAAAATTATTCCTCAAGAAACCAAAAAAATTGTAAGAGAAGATTCCTGTTAATTTATCTAAAAAATATCTTATCTGCGTATGTATCTTTTAAGATTAACATGCAAATACAGTGTTTATGGTAATTAAATTTAGTCGAAATAAATGCATTATTGCCAACAACGTGTTAGTGTTGTATCGACATAATAATATTTATCTTGTGAACAACAAAACAACGTTTTCCGGATGTCAAAATAAGTCGCTTACCAAGTCCACTTCGTGTCGGTGTAGTACCCGCGATGTGGTGAGGCGGCGGGGGAATGTCGGCAAAGTGCGGACAGAAGCCGCACCCACTCAGCGCGCTCTACGCAATTACTTGCTTGCACAAAGAGTACGCGCTCGCGGTGGACTGTAAAGTTAAGAAAAATCTTCTATTAAATACTGTCTGCAATTTACGCGAGTAGTGCACATTTAAATAGAACACTTAAACGCGGACTTTTTTTTTAATTTTTTTTAAAAAATTTTTTTAACCCGGTGGGGGTAACGAAAGGGTTTTTTTGTTAGGTTTTTTTTTTTAAACAAAACTAAAATAACAAATATGATTTTTTATTTGTATTACGTATTCTTCATTCACTTAAAATGTGATGTATGTAATTGAAAATTTACATGTTCGTGTTGGATATAAAACGGGCTATATCAATTAAATCGAGTGAAATTATTTGTAATTTAATTTGAAGTATTCCAAACAGAATCCATAAGTAACAAAAACTATATAAGAGATAAATATGGAAGGAGTGCGTATATTATATAGACTACAAGTTTCTTTCTGTACTAATACTGTTGTAGCAAAAAATAATATTATATAATATTCACTCACCAATTAGTATTTTTTTCACTTATATATATGTAATTCAATTACAAAGTTAAGAATAAATTAGTGCAATAGGCTAAAACTTGACGGATTGCGATATTTATTTATATGCATGTATTAATATTGAGTTTATAGTAGAAATGTATAAAATTAATTAAATAATATATTTCATCTAAAATAATAAAAAATTTAATCCTTTTATTGAGCAAGTACTTTCACTGTCTATAGTTTACGCGAGTAGTACACATTTAAATAAAACACTTTAACGGTTTAAAACGCGATATATTAGTTAAACTTATTTGAAAATGATTTTTAACTTCGGCCCGACGTTTCAGTCTCCCCGTGACCACGGCTGCTGCAAAGCATCCGAAACGTCGGCCGAAGTTAAAAATCATTTACAATAAGTTTAACTGAAAATATTTAGTTTTAAAGTTAAATGTGTTTTATTATAAAAAATACATTTACATCTAAAATAATAATAAAAGAATGCATTTATACTTTATTCTGTTTTAAAATAATTTTGTGCTATATCTGTTTGTTACCTATTGACAAATAAGTTATTATTTCGTATTCAAAAGCAGTCGTTTATAACGACTTGCGCCCGCGCAGTTCTTACCAATTTGGAATATGTTGTTGGCATCGAGTGGCGCGCCAGCTGGTGGACAGTCCACAGGTGAGACGGAGAGTACTCCAGAGAGGGGTAACCTGTGCGCAGCAGCTTTTGCACCGCAACGTGACCACCACAGCTCCCCACTTGAAAAAAAAAACATTACTTATCAACTATTCGGAACAACTATCTAATTGACCACATTTCTGTACCCTGCCCGACTGAAAAACCTTTTTGTTTTTTGCAAATATTGAATCCAGAACGTCTCGTACTTGGGCAAATGTGCTTAACCACAAAAGCGACGGTTTTATTGCAAATAAGAGCATATATATATTTTTTTAAGCATAGCCCGAAAACGTCGGAGAGACTCGAGTTTGTCACTGTTCTAGGGCATTTTATTTCATTACTCCTACGTAGCAAATTTCGATGTGAAATAATGTACATAAATTAAACAAACCTGGTTAGTCTAAAATGACGCCGCTTGGAGTGCGTGTGCGCGGGCCGCACCCAACGCCTTCGCGGCGATCCGGGACCCATTCGGACGCCCTCCGACCGCTTAATCATTGTCCTGTTAGAATATTTTAATTTAAAATCTCATATTTACTAACTACCATAATGATAAAACATATTAATTTCATTTAATTTATACATTTTTGATGAACTCGTTGGTCTAATGATAGCAATTCCACCTCCACTAGTTACAACAGGTACCTAGGTGGTAGGAATATCGAAATTCCGAACGACCGCAAAGGGAAAAGCCGTTAGGTTTAATCGCATTTGACAAAATCTGAAGCTTATATGCTGGGGTATTTTACGTTACATCAAGTAAAGCCATGCTTATTTGTCCTCTTTTTCCGAAAAAAAAAAAAAAAATAAAAAAAATCTAATGCATGAAAATCTTTATAAGGATTACTATTAGCTTGTTAAGATAAGTTCCATAACACTCGACGATTTCCTAAATAAATAATATTTGTTACAAATAGTCACTAAAAGTTTAAAAGAAACATAGATAGAAGTAGAAATCGAAATAAAATATCTTACCACGTTCTCTCCCACTCGATTCGAAAGCAATAATTCAAAATACTTTATTAAACATTCGATAATGCATCGTTGAAAACAATATGGCAATAAAACAGTACAAAATACCAACCCTTCTTTGAGTAGAACCGATGTTTCTTGCACATTGTTGTTCTGCGTATCTGAACTGGTGGAGATTATTTCGAGGAATTGTTTTATTGCTTGCACCTATAATATAAACAAAATATACTATAGTAAGACAATTTTTTTTAACACTATCATTTTGTCTGCTATATGTTATTTACACATAATTTTTTTTTTCTAATTTCATTTTCCTTTTATGAATAAAATTATTTTAAACGAATTGAAATGTTATTTATATTTTAGTTAACGAATTCAATTTAAATAAAACACTTTAACGGTTTAAAACGCGATATATTCGTTAAACTTATTTGAAAACTGCGTAAACTATAGACAGTATTTAACGAATTCAACTTCGTCATGACTATCGTTTTCGTTACTCTTACACTAATAATAAGTAAAGTAAGTTTTAGTTTAACAGTAGGGTTTTGCTGAAAATCAGTGCTGTAGCATAACCGTGCCGGCATTCTTTGGCATCACTTTTATTCAAATTAATTTTGTCCTATATTTTTTTTTTGTAATTACATTTATCTTTTGAATTTCTAATGAATGTACAAAATGAATGCCAAATCAAAAGATTTGTTATTATTAAAAATAGTTTAACCGTACAAAATAAAAAATAGTAATCTTTGTATAAAAATAAACTTTAGTTAGTTGTATCATACTTATTAAAATAGTATTTTTCATAGTAAGCGAAATATATGATATAACATACATGTCGCGTCGTGCAGAAACTGCGGTAGAGCTCAGCCATGTACTCCTCCTTGCAGACCTGCTGCGCTGATCGGCTGCTCACCAGGTTACCCAGAGATTGGATTGTCTTTGATATTAGAGTCAAAGTCCGCGTTGTTTGCAGGTCCTAAAAGTATAACATATCGATTGTAATCCATTTGTAAGAAAACGTTTTGAACGGTTTAAAACGCGAGATGCACTAGTTAAATAATTTCAAATGTGACCCAAGTTTGGATTGCAGCAGCGGTGGTCAAATGAGCTTTTATTTTTATCCTCGTTACTCAAAAGGAAAAGATTAGGAAAGGAATTTTTATTGTAACTGTCAAACTATCGATCCGGGTCCCAATTATCTGATTTATACAGGGCCAGTTTCTTAGAAATTAGACCAAAATTTGAAATTTTGTTTTGCCAGAATTAAAAAGCGACATATGTATTTGTGTTATGATAAACCTAAAAAAATATGAAGTAAGACTTACAATTTGTTCAGTTGTGAGATCGAATAATCTCGGCCCAAGGATGGCAGGTGCAAAGAACCGAAGGAAGATGAAACCGGAGACGACTGAGTATCGAACTTCGGCGTTTTGGGGGAAATGCCTCGCGGCGCACTGACGCAGAGCGTCGAAAAGCCTGCACATCACTGCAGGGCATGTGCCGTATGAGGATGTGATCGCCGCGAACACCTGCAAAAATACATGGTGGCTATTATTTTTACGATACGTGTAAAAGTAAAAAAAAATATTTGAAGAGTGACACAAAACAAGGGAACATAACAATTAAACATGTAAAAAATAATATAGTTTTGAAATAATAGAAATCATTTTGTATTTAAAATAAATATTTTTGACAGTTCAAAACACGAACTGACTTACGTGTCCTACGCGTCATCGTCGAAAGTTTTCAACGTTACAATTGGTAAAAGTTCATCGCGTGTTGTATTTTTTTAAATTTAAAATCAATTTATAAATTATAAATTAAGCTTACAAATTTCATTGCAAGATCTTTTAGTCTAAATAGCAATTGTGACTTCTTACCCTCTCAACATAATCCTTAAGGTTGGCGAGGTTAGCTGCGATGTCGGCGGAAGGTTTAACTCTTGCTGGGTCAATCTCGCAGGGCCGTTTCTCGTGCAGAACAGCGGCCAGGGTGGGCCGCAGCACTGAACGAAGGTACGCGGCGCCCGTCAGCCTCATTGCTTCGTCCATCATTTTTGAAACGAGCGTGTTGCCGCGGAATATCGTCGTCGCGTCACTGCAAATAAGACATACATGAAATGAGGCTGATAGAGCCAGAGTGGCCTAATACAAGATTTTCATGGAGGAAAATAAAAATGCGCAATTAACGTAGGTGAAAGAGCATTTCTACTATTATTTGTTTATGTTCACAATTTTTGGTCACTGTGCTCTTGTAGATTAACATTTTTTGACTATAAAAACGCTTACTGAGATGCTACAAGAGGCGGTCTATATAAGAAGAGGTTCAACATAATTTAAAAATCGAAAATAAATTGAAAAAATGTTTTCGACTCGGGCAGGACTTGAACCGGCATCGTTAGCGTTCCGTGCTTTGCTCTACCAATTGAGCTACCAAATCCTACACCTCACCGTCGAATTTTTTCAACTTATTGCTACACGCACCTCTAGCAGGTTCAACATAATTTTATGTCAACATTAACGTATGAAATAAAGATTATAACAATTATATCTATGCAGCTATTTTATAATCAAGAAATTGTTATTTATTTTATCTGTGTCTTGCGTGTTAAATCGCTATAATACAGAATCTCTACCTAAAACGTGTTACACAAGCCAAAGTTAGATAGCTTTAGAAATATGGCGTCATGTGTTATTAATACTTCTGTTATCGACACATTTCACTTCCGATGTTATCGACAAGATCCAATTTCATTTACACTGTGGGTTACATTTGCAAACTAATAGAAGCTCTTCTCAGCACAACTTATGCGAGCTTAGTCATTTTTTATGACCAAGGTGGAAGGTAAACCATGTAACTTTTAAACCAGAAACGCTGTTGCGTTCTAAAAATCTACTACGGGCACTAAAAATCAACAGACAAACCAAAAGCAACATTTTGCACTGACTGTGTTATTTACTAACAACCCTTCAATCTCCAAATTTTTAAGACGAAGACTGATGCTTCGGAACATATCCAACGTCATAGGAAAAAAAAACCCCCCCCTCCCGGGGAAAAACCCCCGGGGGGGGGCCGGGGGGGGGGGGGGGCAAAAAAAAAAAAACAGCGCTTTTAAAACCGTAAAAGTGAACACGCAAGACGTAGTTTTTTCAAAAACCAATCATTTCTACTATTGTACCAATGAGCTCCGATTCAAGCCAAGAATTATATTGAAATCTTTATTGTTTCGAGCCTGAACCAAATCTCCAACCAAATTTTTTTATATGTATTTAATAATGTTGCAATGAAAATATGATGCAAATGACAGTAATTATGTTTATTGCAAACGAGAAAATTGCTCGTTACGTTCCCACAGTAACGCCTCGTATTGTTTGAGCTGTCAACACTTTGATATCATAAAAATTAGATCTCTAATCTCTATTATAACAAGAAAGTTGGGGTAACGTGCGTAAAATAATTATACTTGAAAGGCCGCAAATTTGTCGCTAGTTAACCCAAGGAATGTAACGTGTGAAAATGTTCTGCCTATATCACTGAACGATTTTATTTACAGACAAGTTACTTTTGGTATCCGCCTTACCGAAAATCTCTTATTATGTTTCCCTCAACATTCAATCTTAGGATCTGCGCACACGCAACGCATAAACTGTATGCATTAGTAGTAATAATAATATTAGTAAAATAGCATTATATCAGATGTTTGAAATATTAAATTTTCATACATCCTACAGGTGAAAAATTACACGTAAATTTAACATTTATTTTAAATTAAAAATAATTGAGCCACATTTGATACTTCGCGTGAGGTTCAAGAAGAGAAGGATACCGGGATACGGTAGCTCAATAGCAGAAAGCTGGTCGTGGGTTGACTGCCGTCCAGGTCACAACATTATTGCTATCTAAAATAATAATGTATTTCAAAAGAATAAAATATATAGAAGACTTACGTGAGAACAGAAATCTCAGCATCGGCGAGTTCTTTGACGATGGGAACGATGAGATCATGGTGCGTGAATAGCCTCACGAGAGGTTGCGCTGCTTCAGTCTTACTTGATACTATTTCTCCGAGTATGTACACAGCCGATGTCGTTATTGGCTGCAAGGACAGGGTGTTGTGTAGTATATATATATTATATAATCATAATATGAAGTAATGTTTATTTTTTAGACAAATAATAAACCTTTCAGGATTTACATTTTATTTTTACTACGGCCTGACGTTTTAGATGCTTAGCAGTAGTCCTGGTAACGCGAGGTGGGACTTATCACAGCTGCAGCAAAGCCAACGAATATATTACGCATTTTAAACCGTTAATAGGGTTTTATTTTACTCATAATAATAATTAAATAGAACACATTTGTCAGTTGTAATATTATGCTTCTATTAAAAAAAATGTGAAAAACACACAATGTGTACCTTCTGTTGTACACTTTTTAAGAAAAGTTCTTCGAGCTGTCGATAATGTTGCAGTGGAAAAACGTGATCGACAGTATACTTGAGCAATAACCGCAATGAGCCCAGGGTAGAGCTGCCGGCTGCGGACAAGCGGGTGCCGGGTGGAGTCGCGCCGCGCGATAGTGCACCACCCGCTCGCGATGTAAGGAAAAACCTGGAACAGCAAACTGTTTTGTGACTTCTGGAATCTTTAACATCACTCACAATATATAAGTTTAATCCGAGGGTAGTTGGAAAAACAATTCCAGTTTGAATTATTATATTATTTTGAAGACTTTTAGGCTTCGCGAATGCAAGACAATTGTAAAGAATGAAAGCAATTACCATGCACACAAAGGATCCGGCGCAGGTTGTCTTAACTGTAGCCTCACTTCTCCCAGGAACACAGGCGTGGCCGCGTCGTGCCATACTGATACTCTAGCTTCGCACGCTACACCGGCCTAAGAAATAGAATGATGAGTACCGGATATTGTATATATACAAATTAGGAATGTGGTCAATATTACCGTTTGTGATCCATCCTTATCCTTAGGGTCAGCCTCCATTACGAGATCAAAACAAAATATTTCGTCAAACTGGGGATTAACGGTTTTCTTTCTGGGTTTTGTGCGTTTCTCCACTCGCCGCCCGTTCGAGTACAACAGTGTAATGAGGGCGAAGGGATCGCACTGTCCATTCTTTGTGGTGAGCTCCGAACATTCGAGAACTCTTAATCTGATCGTGTCGGGGCCAACGTGAGCCGCGCAGTGTCTTTCTGGGTCCGACCAATAGTCGGCCGCAGTGGGGGAGGGCGATTCAGCCATCGTGTGCATCGGTGGTTTTGACCGTATCGCCCATTGAGCTCTGTCTTTCAGGCTTTCTGACCGGGATAATGCCATTGCAGGTTCCGTTGCGACCGCGGCCAGAAGTTTCTTACTGGTCGAACTGGAGCACGAGCCGAACCTCATGCTCTCCTTGCAATATTCTGATAGTCTAGTGAGATTGTTGGCTTTTGATTTCGTCGAGCAGCTGTCGGAAACGAGGTCCGGGTCGGGCGGCTTCGGGTCCATTCGCAATCGTTTCCTCGAATCCTCCATGGAGAGTTCGATGTAAGCTTTGCCCTGCACCTCAGAGTCCGCGTCCACTGGTCGCAATGAGAACCAATGGTCAATGTTGTTATATCGCTCCAGGTCCTCTCGTTTGATTGCAACTTTTCCGAGCACCTTGTCCTGTTTACTCGCTTGCTTGTCACGGTCGAACACGTATATGGATAGGTATCTAAATCTGCGGGGTACTTCAAACTGGAATTCTTCGCCGAAAAATGGACTGTAAAAAAAATTATAAGTTCAAAATTACATTTAATGGACTAGCTTAGCATGAATATTAGCCATTCGGTTTGGTATGGTAGGAAGATGCACACAACACTTAGGTATTGTTTTATATAACTTTGTTGTGACATTTTAGTATATTTTTCCATTGTTTCTTTATTGTGTAAAGAACGTGGTCATATGAACGAGAATACTGGGGGAGGGTTAAAAAACTTGCTAGTGATTTTATTCAAGTAGTCAGTATGCATAGTACATACGCAATTCGACGCAGATAGTTATATAGTGTATTTCGCCGCATTATCAGTAACTCGATTAATAAGTAGCCAAGAAACAAGCTCATGCTCGTATGTAACATAAATAATGTCAACGACACTAACATTGTTTTAATCAAAGACATTATTGTGAGCGACAAATGGCTACACCAGATTCGTTATGTTTTCTACGTTCTAGTTTCCCATTTGCAATACTCACACAACCATTGTTTCTTTTTACCATAGTGATGTAAAAACTATATTTATGAACGGGGACACATTGCACATGTATCAAACCCGAGAGGCTTGCCAGTACCACATTTTTTATTTAACAAACAGCAGGTCGTGAGTTCCACCCACCGGATGCAATATTTTTCTAATTAAATTATAATTTTTCCGAAACATGGTTTTCTTGTGGATATTAAATGGCTCCATATATGAAAAAATCCGTGAAGTTTAATCGCGTTTCGATTTCAGTCTGTGGATTTCCAAATATAATAGATCGACAGCGGATCTTGTTAGCGGTAGATATTATATGGCTGGCTTCACCTTCCATCAAGTGCTGATATCTCTATTATAAAAAACGTAGTCGTTCGAGTATTTTCTAATTTTACATAAGTTAGATAAAGTATTGTAGGTACAATAGAGCTAGTTTATCTAACCGACGACTACCCGAACACCTTATGCAGACAATCGAACGCTGGTTTAAAAAAAAATAGACTACACGAACTATAGATAAAGAGGTGTTATAGTCTTTGTGGACATTGTAAAGATTTAACACTGAGTAAATAAGCATAACACCGATCCGACAGCAATGTCTCCCGAAAAGTTCGGATATTATTTCCGACAGTTAAAGTGCAGGTGAGTATATGTTTGCCATATGTGGAGAACCGACAGACACCCGATGGCTTCTTCGCAAACCTTAAACGGTATTCAGGAGCCTTCAAGTAACCACGATCCTTATCATGCTGCGGAAGTACGTGGGCAAGCGTCGCTGTTGACAAAGGTGAAAGTTTTAACGCGCGCCTTTGTGAGGTACGTACCTACTGCGTGTCCGTGAAAATTCACAAAACAGTGGCCATTATAAAAATTAACACTCGCACGACGCGACAATGCGGGTATGATGAATTGTTTATCTTCGCCATACCATAATATATGACGCAGCTTTTCCTCCGTTCGGGGAAGTGATATTATTAGTGATGCGGATGGTGTTGTGTTGGTTTTGTACTAATAAACGAAATTACACGTAACTGCGCGACGGGTTGTGTCATTTGACAGTGAAATCACTTTACCCTTCGTTCAGACATTTCTGTGTCCGTTTCACTGATAGGTTTTATTTACAGGCATGTTAGACTTTCGCGTCTTGCACGACGGAAACAAGCTATTGTCTCTCCGGAATTCGAACCTAGGAATCGAGGCAACACGTTCAAAGAGCTACAGACGCGATCATTTGACAATAAAGTGAAGGAAATATAATGAAAATACATTCTGAATACACATACTGCATACGATAGGAGATACTGGTACTACTACAATTTTGCTACCAAAACATATTCTATATCTATATTATTTTACTTACTTCAAGTCTACTATCTACACTTACAACTTACGATTCGTGTTAACTTAGCCATAAGTTTATAAGTAAGTGAAAAAGTAACAGTGTTAACTCAAGACACATCCGGCGTTGGTATTAATAAACCGGAGACGGAACAGCCACCAGCCGAGCGGGGGCGGCGGATTACAGACGAATTCTTGATTATATCCCGCATATAAAAACTATGCCCGAAATATGCAAAAATATTAATAAAAAAGGTCAAGCGCAAATTGGACTTGCATTATATTTGTTGTATATGAAAATTACATCTATCAAGGATTACGAGTTACAACGTGATGGCAGACCGATGGACAGCAGTGACGTCATAGTAGGGTCACCAGTTTTGTAGGATTCTATACCTAAACGTACTACTACGTGAGAAGAAAAATTAAAAAAATACCACAGCCGCTGCAGTCTCGAAAGTAAGTAACGAATACTGAGCGTTTTTAAAACCGTTAAGTGTTTTATTCAGCCTTTCATTTATTTATTTTTATAGAGGAGGACAGTCAACAGCTTGGAGTTCCCTTGATAGTAGGTGAAACACCTAACCATAACGACATCTTAACAACATACGCTGTCGATCTATTTTGCCTTAGGATATTCGGAAATCCATAGAATGAAACCGAAATGCGATTAAATTTGACGGCTTTCATCTGTGGACGGTGGTTCATGTGTTCGATATTGTTACCACCCATTAATATCCAGATTTCCAAAAGAAGTCCGACATGTTTCAGAAAAAAATTAAATGGACTTGAAACACGGTAGACCCGGGGGGGATCGTACCTACAACCCGTTGACTATTGGCAATGCATACCATTTCACCAACGAGCTCGTCAAATGTGACAAAGATCTCGAGGCGCGGTCTGACGAAAAAAATATTTAGTACATATATCGACAATACGTAATACAGAAATCATAGCGGTGAATGCACTCGGCCGGTGGTTCATCGCTGACGATTTCACGCAACGAATAAAGATCATTTTACACATCGCACTGTTCCGGCCGTGGCGTCAATTTATCACTTAAAAGCTTCCGCTACTGCCGCTCTTCTCGTTACAAAAATATTAAGACGAAATCTAGTTCAGCGCGTTCTTATGTTAACCAATAATCTAAACGTCTACTTTACTAGTTTTATTTTAATAAGTACTTGTTATTTTGAATATAGAATAGTATCACTTCTTTTTTTATTGTTTCGAATATAGAATGGCATCATTTTTTTAAATTCCGTACTAGTAAATGTCGTACTTTATTGAAGGTTGCCGCCTATTTAGTTAATTGCTTTGTAAATTTAAATGAGGCCGCTAGAGGCAGAGTCGCCTAACTGCGATTGACTTGAGTTGTTTATATTTTCATAGTCTAATGTTAATCTACAAGCGCACAGTGACCGAAAATTGTTACCATAATTGTTACACAAATACTAGTACAAATGCATTTTCGCCTAAGGTAATTGCGTGTTTTTATTTTCCTCCTTATTGAAAATCATGATTTTTGTTATTAGGACACTCTGCCTCTAGCAGCCTCATATATTATCCTAATAATACATGACCACCTCTGTAGACAAATGGTTATGCGTGTAGCCTAGCATTGCGTTAAGCGCGAGAAGTCGGTTTAAATCCTGGGAAACAATCGATTGTGTCGGGCAATGTACAGAAGTTTAATCAACTACTTGCCAGTGAAACGGATACAAAAATATGTTCGCTCCATGATCGGAATTTCTCTTAATAATGCATAATATTAACGGACGACGTTTTCGTATATACAAATACATAATTTTCATTAAGAAATAGTGAATCGATTATAATAAAAAAAAAACAGTACACTAATAAAAGGGTAATTTTGTTATTATCTCATTGACCACCTTATGTTAAAAAATTGTAAATGGTATTTAAATTCTCGGTACTTTTGTAATAATACAAGTATACAAAGATTTTAATAAGGTGAGCTATACGTGAACTTACAACTAAGGTCAAGCGCTGAGACACAGTAGATGACAAAAATAAAAGAAAAAAACCAGTAACACACGCTCGAGCCATTAACTGTGAGGTCGTGCACAATTGAATTGCATAATGTATTTTAACACCGTTTCAACAGGAGCAAATATTATGATAAGGTATCGTAAGACAAAGAACCAATTAAGTGAATTCTTGGCGAGTGACGTTTCCTTCGATATCCGAAGCGTCCTGCTCACCTCCCGGGTCACAAAAATCTTATCAATTATTATTGTTTCCGTTTTATCGTGTATTGAACTGTTTAGTTTCCTGGTTGGTCTCTATAAATAAAATATGAAGCTTTTTTACGAAAGAGGTCGGATAGAGTTCAACCGTGGGAGAGGGCCCTATAACTTAGGTCGACCTACTTTTGATTGAGACAATAATTCCACACTGATTCCGAAACGAACAATAAATTTATATGAATGGACTTCAATATTCAAATTTAGAACATCAATCTAGTATATTTGAAATTAAGTAGTCTAGTTTACTCGAGTAGTACACATTACATTTAATGTATTAAAACACTTACGCGACGTAAATTTGTTAACTTATTTTTCATTTATTTTAAATGCCACCCGAAATGGTTTCGGATGCTTTGTAGCCGTCGTAGCACGGGGTCCTAAATATGGATGTCCTTCCAGTTTTATTTTAAATAAGTCTAAAGTGAATTAAGAACGATTATATTCTAACCGGTGGGAATAGAAACTGCGCATTGCCATACATATAAAAATTATTATATATACGGTACAAATTTACCGGTCATAAGCCAAGCATTGGAATGGAATGACAATTATACTCAATATAGCAGGTTGCATCCCTATAGCTACATATATAATATCAATATGTTACAGTTCGAAAAGCGTTCAATAGAAGGGTGCAACGGAAGGGACGTTCCGCGACGGCGCACGGCCGCCGGAAGCGCATCCGGGACGTGGCGCGCCACACCACACCCTCTCCGACATAATCAATCCTCCCCTTTCACGTATATACGGTATGTTGAATGGCAAAAAAGCGGCCAAGTGCGAGTCGGACTTGCGCACGAAGGGTGTGTCTTAAATATTTTGACTTGTTGGTGTAATGGTAGCAATGTATGGCTAATAATCAACGGGGCTTAGGTTCGAACCCCACCGAGTCCAACAATCTAATAATGTTTCTAAAACATGTTGGACTTCGTAATCTGCGTATTAAATGCGTGGTAGTATAGAATCGAAATTTCGTCCGGGTTTAATCCGGCCGCAGACGGAAAGCCGTGGAGTTAAATCATGTCTCTTTTTCATTCTCTGAGTTTCCGAATGTCCAAAAAAGTAAGTCGAGAGCGCATCTCGTTTAGATGCTATAGGCTTAGATATTTCACGTACTTGACTGTTTATAATTGTGTCTCTAATTTTTTATCAGCTACGGAACCCTAAAATTGTTTAAAAACATCGATCACACATACTCAGTCTAATACCATCTATATCCTCCAATTCTACGTAACACAAATATAATAAAAATAAAGTTCCATCTTATAATAGTTATAATGTAATGTGTTTTGTGGATGTAAATAAAAAAATGTTAGTTATTTGAAATTTATTTTAACTACAGCCCGACGTTTCGACGTTGTTTTAAACCGTTTAAGTGTTTCATTCAAATGTGTATCCTCGCGTAAACTGCGGACACGTCTTATATATATGAACGCTTATATTTCGGCGCATAATACATTTAATATTTTATCTATGCTAAAAGTTTATCAATCGCTCGTTAAGTAAATGATAATCGCCAATATTGGCCAGTCTAATGTATCTGCTTCCGGTTCGATAAGTATACCCGAATTGCCTTTTTATCAGTAGATCGTAAGTAATGAAAAGAATACATTTTAATAAAGCTGTGATAGACTTATTTAGAATAACTTCCCTCTTTAGAAGGGACACAAGTTTTTTATAAAACTTGGTCACAAGAGAACATGGCTGCTGCAAAGCATTTGAAACAATAGATCGTTTCGGTCGGGCAGGGCAGAAGTCTGTAAAACTACAGATTAATGAAGCAGACACAGAAATGAGTTCATGTGGATTTCGCTTATTAATTAGTATATTTCACGTTTCAAACCGTTTAAAGGGCAAGCAATGCTAAATTTGGACAAAACTATCGCATCATAAGACTGCAGTTAGCGGAACCTTGGCCCAATAAATCCAGCCGGCCCTTGCGTTCCCACACGCCACACGGCATCGACAGGAAGGCTGTCCGGAAAGGCAAACACGACAAAGGAGAATAACGTTCCAACCTTGAGTAAAAGATTAGATAACGGTAAGTGAACTGTTCATTGTGATTTGAGTGCAAACATTCGAGTACATTTTTGACGTTCGTCTAACTGTAGCAATGCATGGCTAGTAATTAACAATCCCCGTAGGGCTCAACATGTTTCTAATTTATTTATATAAAAAAGTACTGTGTGTAGTTTATATATTACACGTTTAACGCGAAATCTTTTAGTTAACATATTTAAAATACAATTTAACAACGATCCGACGTTTCGGATGCTTTGTTGGGAATAATCGAATCTGCCCGGGTTACGAAGCACCATGAAATGATAAATTCCGTGAAGTTTAATCGCGTTTTGAATATAAAAATTGAAATCCGAATATCCAAAACCTAAATAAGTCGATAGAACATCTTGTTGAGATATTAAATGGCGTAAAAGAGTACTTCACATTGTATCAATTTAACTTCATGCTTGTCTGTCCTCCTCCTCGTCTTTGGTCTAGTGGTTAGTAGGTAGTTAGTTAGTGGTTAGCCCAACCCAGGATTCGAACCCAACCAAAGATCCAGAAAAATAATAATTCAATGTTGGGAATTTTCTGGAATAATATCAAGTAAATTAAGCCACGTGTCCCGACTGACATAACCGTGTACCAGTATTCGTTGAATTCGCGCTTACGCAGCTCGTGGATGTAAGCATTTAAATCCGTAATCGTCTCTCGCGTAAGCTATGTATATAATAAAAGAAATTGTTATTCTTACTTGAGTGATCTCTCAATGGTGGAGGTGCGAAATATTTCTTCTTGGTCCAGCGACAGCACGCAGTATATGTCACGGGTGCAGGCGGCTCCATTGTTGCGAGCTGGTAACTGCTTAGCTTCACCTGAAAGTTATTCACAGTCAGCATAAATATAGAATTTGAACGCCCGCGGTATATGATTTTTAAAAATAGAATAGTTTTCGCTATTCGCAACTAAATACCCAAAAAAAAGAAGTGAAACCTATTTTAAATAAAGAACACAATTTCGAACAATATTCGCGGGCACATCTTTTTTAATACCACTTTTTCTGTCGAATCGAAAACATATACTAGTACAGTGGAGCGTCAATTATCCGAACGTCGCTTAACCGAATGACCGCTTATCCGAAAAGTATTAACGCGCGCGGTTAACGGTCCCCTGCCCGACCCAAATGATAGATATGCTAAAAAATTTCGATTGCCACGAATGTGATGAAGAGGTTCCACAATGGCTGGATATCGACGACGAAGATCCCGGGTACCAAATTATGCAGGATAGCGAAATTTTAGACCTCATGACTAATAAGGCCGACCCCACCGCTAGCATCACATCGACTACAAGTTCAGATAATGAAGATGAAAACGTAGTGAGTGCTTCTGAAGCATTTACTGGCTTAGATATTGCCTTGCGTTGGTTTGAAGCACAGACTGAAAGCGACCACTATCAAATAGGTTTTCTTAAAAAAGTACGTGATCTAGCCGCTCGTAAGCGGGTAGGCAAGCTTCGGCAGACGAAATTTCAAGGTGTTTTTAAGCGCTAATGGTACCTACCTAGTACACATATTTTATTATAAGATTACATATGTGCACTTTTTTGTTTATTTCATATTTGTCATTAAAGATATATGAAAATGTAAACATGGTTTTCATTTACCTGTATGTAAATATGTATGTCTGAATCAATATACATATAGGTAGTTCAATTAACCGAAAATACCGGTTTTCCGAACACCCATGTCGCCTAATTAATTCGAATAATCGACGCTCTACTGTATATAATATTATTTCGTATATAATATCCCAATGGCCAGAACCAAATTAAGCCTACATAGAATCTCAATTAGACCATTATAACTTCATGCCGTCCTTGTCTGGTCTCCTTTGCAATAAAATACATATATATTATTTGAATAATCACAAATATTATTTATATCATATTTTAAATGAGGTTGTTTAAAGACGATTATCTCAGAAACTACTGGATGGATTTGAAAAAATATTTAGATGTTGGATGGATCAATTATCGAGGCGTTAACATCTCGCGACCAATATGAGCAATGCGAGAGAGTGGAAAATACTAAGTAAATTATCTTTAGGGGCTTCCGTTGCGATCGCTGCAAAAACGATTCAAAACATAAAAGTATATGTACGAAAGAACAATTTCTCTTAAAATTATCAAAACAAGACAATGATAGTATCTTTTAAAATTACTCCAAAAAACCGTTTGATGGTATTGGTAATTTGGTCGAAATTGGAACATTATCACCAATTACTTATTGATCTTGCAAACAAAACAACGTTCGCCGGATCAGCTAGTAATATATACTATATTCCGGAACAGCTAGAGCAGAATAAATCGATTAAATCATAGTACGTGCAACTCGTAACAGGGTATATGAAGCGTGACCCAGCGTCACTTAACGAGGTGTCTCCAATTACACGCGCTATTGGACTCGCCTAGCCTCTGTCCGAGTGTCGTCATCAGTCATTTGCGTAAGTACTCATACGATTGTTTCAATGGCTCTAAACTTTTAAGCTCTCCGGACACACGACATTTTTCCTACAGATCGTTATATGAGCTCGCCGACATCAACAAAATGCCCGAATCCTTTAAATAAGCTAGTGTCCTGTGTGCGCACGGCTTAAACGGAGTATTGCCGAATGAGTGTACATTGCCTACCGATATCATTGGACGCTTGTATGCAACTCGACCTTGCTTCCGCCACTATCGTAACTTTAATAGTGCTCTATAATGTTGAGGTACCGAATGTTATTACTTAAATGTGAAAAGTGTGGGTACATTTATGTACACGAAATGCTGTAGTCGTCAATAGGAATTCCCGTTTCGTCTAATTTTCAATCCAAGAGATATAAAGACCCGTAAGGTCAGAGACAAATATTCAATTGCGTAAGTGTATAAAAGAAATATAACCTCGAAGAAGAGATTCATTGAAGCCAAAGGAATTAATGAACGGCATTTAAAGAAGGGTCCACTGATTGTGTAAGGACCGTGGCCTCGTCAGAAATGGCTTTATACGGCCGGACAAGGCAAGTCGACCATTACGTTACGTATTTGGCACATGAGGCTCAAAAATCTCGTTGTGCTCGTTACGGGTCCACGTTGACCTTTCCTGGCAAAACATTTAATGGCGGCTACTTAATGATTGAATTAAACTATTTTAAACGGGTTGAAACGAAATAAAAAGATACGGAACTTTCAAAAAGGATAAAGAACCTCACAGTTATATTTACTTATTATTATTATTATTATCTTTTTCTTATTCTTCGTCTTATTACTATTGTCTTTTTCTTTTGGTGACCTTTGTGTTTTGCCTTTGCAAAACTTTATCGTTTAACCTGGTATTAGAATCTCTTGCTCCTAAAGCAATATTCCGATATTAAAGTAACTAACAAGAGTGTAGGAGCTTCTAACAAAGAGCAACAGAAAACCAGAAAGTTAACAATTATCTTCAACACTACTGCGTTCTCCCACAGACCTATTCATTAGTTTCAACGTACATAGTATGTTTAAATAAACTTACAAGCTGTGAATTGTAAATATTTCTTAAGCAAATTTGATCTTTTAAATAAAACACTTTAACGGTTTAAAACGCGATATATTAGTTAAACTTATTTTAAAATGATTTTTAACTTCGACCCGAAGTTTCGGATGCTTTGCAGCAGCCGTGGTCACGGGGAGACTGATCTCCACTGATGAAACGTCGGGCCGAAGTTAAAAATCATTTTCAAATAAGTTTAACTAATATATCGCATTTTAAACCGTTAAAGTGTTTTATTTAAATGTGTACTACTCGCGTAAACTATAAACAGTCTTAAATCTGAGATCTTACTGAGAGACAGATATTAATGCTGTTTTTGTATGCCGTGCAAAGGTTCCCGTAATAAAAGAGAGAGATGGCTTTAGTCATTACAACGATAAGGTATATAATTGTTGATGTAAAAACCTCAATCATCATCAAAGCGACATCAAACGCCATCGAAGTGGATCGTGGGAGTGAAACGGGACTCTATAATACCATGAGCTCGTCTGAGGAAACAAGCAATCTGTACTCGTGCAGCACAATGGCGAATGTTTCCACACTTATGTGCGTGCTGCTTATTTCGAAATCGAGAGTAGGCGCCACACTTGAATGACAAGTACTTCCAACTGTATTATTAGTATAATTTATTTTTAATATTATACAATATTTAAGTTATCTTTGATCTATTTACATGTATGACATGGGACATTTTCAAATTTATGGGCTCCTTGGTGTACAGGCAATATATGGCTAATAATCAACGGGTCGTGGGGCGATCCCCACCAGGTCCAATATTTTTCTAATGAATTTATAATCTTTCTGAAGCATGTTGGACTTGTCTGGTAATCTGGATTAAATGGTTTGTAAGAATATAGGTTTTCCGTCCGGATCCACCACCCGAACCACCGTCGGTAGATAAAGACTATGATGATGATGACTAGACTTGTAATATGGCTGGGGTATTTTACCTGAAATCAAGTGATCCTTAAGGTTGTCTGTCCTTCTCTATCATAAAAAAAAATGTGTTTTGACATCACGCCAAAGGTCATGCCATGTTACGCCATGTATCAAAGGAATTATGAATTTAGATGTCAAATGGTTACATCAATTGTCAGTCACATCGCGGGAGGCTGACTGAATGACACGAAGTAATGAAATTGATGAATTTAAACATCACCTACCTACAGCCTTAAACTAACATCCTACGTTTGCTTCCTACACAGAGGGCGGCCATTGTATTAAAATATTATTGCGCTAAAATTGTTAGCGATGCTGAACACGACTCGCTTATAAGATTTATATTATACCTAGCTAGTAATGCACACGAGGATTTATTGCATTATTTCGTAATCAAGTGCGCTTCCCATATGTGCGACAGACATATTTGTGTGATAAGAAGCCTGTTTTACTCGACTGAAACTAATTATTATCTTACCCGTATTATTATTTTCCGAGATTCAAACCCAGGGACAGTTCCTAACCTCTGAGCAGCAGAAATGGTCAACATACAAGTAGAAATAACAAGGTTAATTTTATCTTACAAAATACAAATTGAACTTTGAGTTAAGTAACTTATCTACTGTATCGCTTTAAAAATCATCACACGATGATAATTAGTCACCGTATTTACAAGTGTGAAGTGCAATATACCGCAAATCTTATCTCAAATTTCTAGTTTTGAACTGATAGAGAACTGAATGGGAGTATAGATAGCTCGCGAGATTATCAAAGCAACGGCGCGAGTCGATAACGGCGATATCTGCGCGTTTTTCATTAACAGCGCACTGAGTTTCCATGAATGGAAAACGGCAAGCCCCATTCACGAGGCGACTCGGCGAATAAATCCGTCGTCGAGTCGCCATAGTACGCGAATGTTTGTATGTACCTCGCCGTCTCATTAACGACTCATACGTCACGTCACGCTAAACCATTAAATTACCTACTCGCTCATTTGCCCGCGACTTGAATGGCAAAATATTTTTCTTATTAAATTAAGAGATAAAATCTATATTGTAGTTTGACAACGGTTGTTTTTCAAACTCGCATCTGATACAATATCTTCAATACATTATCTCCTTTTCTGTAAAAGGATACATTTTGTCTCGTGGTAATGATAAAATGTAATACTTAATGGTGAAAAGACGAAAAGGCCCATACACTACTTATTTCAAAGACTGGACATTCAAATGTTATACAGATAGAGAACAGAATTAACTATTAGCTGTGGTTTACGTGAGTAAATTCAACACTTTAATGGATTAAAATTAAAGTATGCCTTGTTCTAAGTGCCTAAATTGTTATAAGTGTTTTAATTTAACCAATGTATTTAAATTGAATTTTACATATTCATGCAGCACTATATAGATATATTTTTTTTTAATTTTTTTTTTGGTTTATAATTAATATGTTAAGGATACATATCACCCTATCTACAGCCATATAAGGATATTGATGGTATTTGAATACTGGCAACAACTTAATTAGATCTTAGTGTATTTTGATAAAAGCTATATGGTTTAAGCAAATTTCTATCATTCTACATAACACTGCATTTTCTAATGGACTACATGTAAGTACCAATAATTGAATTATAAGCAGATAAACAATTAAAAATTAATAATAAATTTAAAAACAATATAATCATTTTTTTTATGCAATGCAAAATATTAATAATTCCTCCATAATAATTTTAAATATTTGGTACTCGCCATAGACACACTGCAAAGGTTTTACAACAAATTAAATAATTGTAATTATTATAATGATAAGCCTTAATATTTACTAAGTAGCCACAAAAAAGGCAACACTAGTCTTGACTAAATATGTAGTTGTCATTTTAGTGGCGAAGACTATGAAAAGTTTGAGTTCATCGGTTGCACTAACAGAGTACAGTGCTACTGGAAAATTATTACTCTGTAGTACCCACATTAAATGAATACTGCTAATATAATTTAATACTAATTGGTATAATGGTTCTACATATACTCTAAACTTGGCAATGAATATATCAAATTAATTGTTTTGGTAGACTAATTTTTTTCAACTAAATTATATCTATTAGTGTAAGTACTTAAGTAGTTACATAAATTAATAAAAGAAAGGTATAAATAAAAATCTCCTACCATACGATTTAAGATTTTTAAAATAACTGTAACACTGCTGTGTTGTAATATAGAACGTATTAAGTTTTATATTTATAAAACATGGGCTGTAATAAAAATTCTTCAACTGAAAAGCTTTGTAGCTAACCTAGATAATATATAATTATATTTATTGAAAAAGTACTATAAAATTTGATGTTACAGTATTTCTCAGCAAGCTCTAGTTTATTGTCTTAGGTCTATTATACGTGATAGAATATGAGAAGTGGAAAGGGTCAAATAGGTCACCCTGCGGAAGGCATACTGCATCCTTATCACTTCAGACACACTTACTCTTATCATGGATTTATATGCTTGTGATGTCTCAGGCATAAATCAATCATCTTTGTAGCGATGACTAAAAGATATTGCAATCTTTGCTAATTATATACTTATTTGTAAAGGGGCTTAAAAGTTGTAATGCTTTAAATGCATGTCTGCAAAGAATTATTTTTGTATAGGTTACAGTTGAAGTACTATATTGTGCAAAATATATATTGAATCTTTGTCAAAGTAGTAATATTGTTATTCCTGCACAACTATTGGAAAGTGGTTATAAACTATCAAGCTAATACATAATTAATGGGTTCCTATTCAAGTGACACCTACATTGTGCTATGTTATATCTTTAGGTAAATTTTAATAGTGGCCTATCTAATCTATTATGATTTTAGTACGAGTTCATTGTGTCCTCGGCTATTCATTCATAAATTACGAACTGTCAAACTGTCACTACAAAAACAACAATGAAGAACTTTGCTAAAATAACTTAACACGGCCATAGCTGTATTCATGTATGTGCTATGTAATTTAAAAAAATCGCAAACTCTTTTATGATCATTCCAAGAGAAATCGAGCAATGTTCTCTCACTTACCAGTTACCACCTGTTCACTATTTTAACTGTCAACAACACTATCCGTTTGCACCAATTACTCTGCTACGTTATTATTGAATACAAAAAATAACCACTTTTGAATAACATTAGCCTTTAAAACACAGTTAGAATTATCAATACATACCAATTTTTATTTTCAAACGTTCTTCTACTCGCACTTTACGCGTTTCGTCCGCCATGTTAAATCCATAACTGTTTATCTCATTCATCCGCTGTTATCTCTTTCGGAACGAGCCCCTCGGCCGGCTTGTCCCGCCACTTCCGGAGTGTCGTAATGTTCTACTTGAGATTGTAACAATTTCCGAAATATAATTTAAAAATCAAAACAAATTGGTATTTTACAATCGACTCCTATACAGAGCACGCATGTGCGGTTTGCACTCTATTTTATCAATGAATGCACTGAATGTTTTTAAAGTAATGCCACTTCTCTTTTGTGTATGCATCCATTACCAATGTTTAATACAATAATAGAACGTAGCACTGCACCATTTTAATAACAATATTTTATTTTCACAACACACTTGACACTGTACTCAATAAAATATTGCCTCATTGATGAAGAAAAATATGAATGGACAATGACGTCACATCACTACATTGCGCCTGCGCGTCGCGCGATTCCATCGAAAATAGAGAATAGTAGGTATTTTGTGATCGAATGACGAGTCATCGAAAGAACTTGATTAAAGTAAAACCTACCTCCTTGTAAACTGTCACGGTAAAGTAGATAATGTTAACTGTTGAATAATTCCTACAGATATATGATTTTGCGCTATCGATGCTTATAATAAAGTAAAGCAATTGTTAACTAAGAATAAAGTAATGGCTAATAAATTTCACACCATACGTATGTTATTTCATCAAAAGCGTAAATTTTAAAATATATATTAATACCATGTAACAGTCTACAGAAGCATGTAAGCGCGTAATGTGCGTATAGTCTGTTACTGGCATAATATTTAGAGATGTGTAAAGAAGAGAAAATCTAATATCTATTAGTAGTTTAGTAGTCTTAACTGTCCTCCAGTATTATAAAAAATCTTATATACTCTACAACTACGTAAAAAATACAATGCTCTTTTGTTATAAAAGTAAAATAAGTAGTAATCGATTTAGTTTAAATTAAATTATTATAATCGATGATAATCGAGTGTTTCCTTAATCGAAATCTTTACTTGGTTACAGATGATCACTGATGACGTTTTAGGTATGCGCATTACAGAAGTTTCTGTTTATTTTATAAACTTGTTATTTCTATAAAATTTGTTATTATTGGATCTAAGTTTATAGGTAATTCATATTGTATTACATCTTGAGTGCAAACATTCAAATGATTAACATTTGCCTTCATACAACCGACTTATTTCAAAAATATGATAGATAATTACCATCACCTCGACGGTAACGTCTTTTATATTTGCGAAAGTATACCGGGGCCCAGAGAACTAAGCACTGAGTATGACAAAATATTGGAGGATTTTAACTCTCAAATTATACACCAATGTAAATGTGATTCTTGTTTAGAAGACTGTCCATGTATTATGAAAAACAATTGTAAGAACAGCTTATGTAAAGAAACTTATTTAAAGATTATAAATAAACAGACTTTACCAGAGGCTAATGACATGGAAGTAATGGTTTCCCAAGTGGAATGCAACGATTGTTGTACATGTTCTTCCTCCTGTGAAAATCGGCTAGTTCAAAGAGGTCCAATTGAAGGCCTTGTTGTAAGGAAGTGTGACCATAAATGTAAAGGTTATGGTTTGTTTACAAAAAAATGCATTCCAAAAGGAACATTTGTATGTGAATATGCTGGAGAAATAATCACAAAAAGTGAAGCTGAAAAAAGGCATTCTCAAAACAGTTTAGATGGCAAAATTAATTATATCTTCTGCTTAAAAGAGTTTATTAATGATCAGATTCTTGAAACATATATTGATCCTAGTGTTTTTGGTAATATAGGGCGCTATATAAACCATAGTTGTCAACCAAATTGTACTATTATTCCTGTTCGTATAAATTGTCTTATCCCAAAGTTAGCAATTTTCAGTAACTGTGATATACCTGCAAATACAGAGATTACATTCAAATATGGCAATAACAATAATTTTAATGTTGGTCAAAACCAATCTTCTGATAGAAAACTATGTTTATGTAATAGTCTGAAATGTTTAAGATACTTACCATTTGATCCATAATTTAAATGTGTAAATTTAACTGGACCTATTATGTATGGGTTATCAAAGGACCTACTTGTAAATGTAATAAAAATTATTTACATTGTATATTTTGTATTTTTTAACGTACTATGTTTTACAGGCACACAGGAATGCTATCAATATTGTATTTAATTATATTATATAGCACTTGTGATTACACTGTTTCGAGTCTCTCTAATGACCTTCATACCCAAGGTAAAATTAATATTTTGCAGAAGTTGTGTCATGTTAAATTATGTTTGCATATAGTGGGGACAGTATTAAATTTAATACAAATATTTTCAGAATTACTCCTTTGTCGTAAATGTGGCACAGATGTGGTTGATTCATATTATTTATTCAATAAGTTGAGCCCTGGTGCGCATAAAATTGAAAAACAAAGTATGTTTGGGAAACAAAATGTTACAGTACAAACACTTATTAATCCATTTGGAATAAACTTTGAAATTATAACTAGTGAAAAGGCAAGATGCAAGAACATTGGTCCCGTAAGTAACAAATCTTTGCATTCAATGCCAAAATGATTTATTTTGAACAATGTTTCATAGAATAAATAATATCAATAACAGGTGTTATATTCTTATCATACACTTGTCCCTGCAGAGTCAAGGTGCAGATTCATGGTTTCCAGGATACACTTGGCAAATATGTGTATGTCCACACTGTGGACAACATATAGGCTGGACATTTACTCGTTCGGATTTAAATACTAATGATGAAGATCAAAATATAATTCTATTTCATGGCTTGATTTTAAATAATATTCTCGGAGAAAACTGTGAGTTTTATTACAATTATCATATATGACCAAGTAATTATAATATTTATAATTTTAATTTTGTTTTTAGTCACGGACTCACTTATAATGATGCCAAAGATGTATAAAATGTAACAAAAATTTGTTATGGGAAATGCTATCAATACATGTACATACTATGAAGAATAAATGTGATTTAATATTTTTAAACTTTATTTCACACTAGAAAAAAAACCTCTTACTTAAAACCTCTTACTGAAAAGTCTTGTTACTGTTATCAAAGTAATACTTATATCTAGTTATTTTATTTTTAACATTATAAGCTTTAATGCTAATCTTTTATATCTTGTTAGCTTTACTATTTATTAATTAAATAACTGACTGTTAACAGAAAACAGTTAAGTTATAAATAAAACATATTCTTACAAAATAAAAAAAAAACTCTGGGAAGTACCTATACATCTGTATGTGAAATACTTGAATCCTTTTTTAATTTAGATTTGACACAGTCTAATATTTAGGTAAAGAAATATTGTCTGATTTTGTCACATACCACCTGCTTTCTATGCAAATAACCATTTAAAACATTAGAATTAAATGATTTTATTTATACATAATATGTATATCACTGTTATTTCACATTATCCAAATTGTCAAATGTATCATCAAAATGTTTATGTTAGTACAAAACAATGTAACAAAATGTTTTTTTATAATATATTACATATTTAAAGTTGGTTAAATGTACTACATCAACTATTATGGTGAAGATAAAGCAAATCGTTGATGCAATGGCTGCTTGGTAGTTGCCGGCATCAATGTGACGTTTACACCGGGAGGTGGTTCTGTACTGTTGTTTCCCAAGTTCTTCCCTTGGATAGCAGCTATTTCTTGTTGTAATTTAGGGTTCAGGATTTGTTTGTTTACGAAATTCCTACCAACTCCTCGATTATTCCCTCTGCCCCTTCCTCGACCCCTGGTTTGTGTTGATCTTCTGCTAGAATTGGATCTGTTAGTCTTGTTAGATCTGTTTGAACCTACAGAACGTGCACTACCAGGTCCTCCTCTTTTGCGATAACCTCCATATTCATTATTTAGTTGTGCTAAACTTTGCTTGTTTAAATAATTTGTATTACCAGCACTGTTACGACGCCTCTTCACAAAATCGTTGGCCACACTCACTGTTAGTTGAGAAGCCAAGCCATTGAATGAATTATTTCTGGAGCGAGTAAATGTCTGAGATCTTATTACATTGTTCTGTCTTTGTTCTTGCATTATTTGATCAGATCTGAGTCCCACATTGCTATATCTATTTCTGGTGGATAAACCACCACCTCGTTTGGCTATACCTCTTTTAGCAACTGCAAATGGCTTGTAGTTGATATTCATATTGCCTCTTTTATTAATGAGTCCAAGTCTACTGTGCACACCACCACCTTGCAAACGAGACATGGAATTTGACCGTCTTAACCTCATAGAAAATCCACCTGAAATTAAGAATACACCACAATATTGTTGTATAAATTGTATAAATAGAAAAAAAAAACGTTTAGTAAAATTTTGTAAATTTTTATAGTTCTGAAGCTAAAAGTGAAAACTTTTAATTGGCTTTCTGATATTTAATATCCTATAGTTATTAGCTGTAAGTTTTCCATGTCTGAATAAATAAATAAATACCTCTATTTGATCTATTAGATCGTACTAGCTGAGGCATTTCAGACAGATTTTCAAGACCTGCTCTGCCTTTGGGAGTTAAACTCCTTCTTTGGGAGCGTGACCTCGCTCTCGAATTAGATCTGCGGCGCTGTTGAGATCGTGATCGATTAAACATGTTGTTTTTTGGCTGGGGTCTGCCTCGTGATTGAGACCGACCCCTTGTTTGGGGTCCACGAGATCTAGATCTGGATCGTGACCGTTGCTGTCCATTTGGTGTTCGAGATCGGGACTGGGAACGTCCTCGACGATTGCCTCCACGTCCGCCGCGCCCTCTCCTACCCCCTCTTCCTCCACCGCGACCCCGAATAGAGCCGCCGCCTCTTTTTGCCTGATTTTGTTTTATGATTTCATCTAAAAGTATTTGACATACATATATAACCTTAAAGTGCTTACCCTGCTTTTAAAATTTCTAGAACAACAACTGGTTTAGTGTGTACAGCTATAAAACAAGGACGCACACTGTAATTTATTATTTTGGATCATAGAAGGGAGTATTCAGATTTCATTTATGTATATCAGATACTTACCCAGAGACATATTTACTGTATCTCCCATTTTACCGCTGTATCGTGTAATTTTTTTGATATGTTCAAACTTTTAAGTTGAAAGAAAACAATAACATACGATTACTGACTAGCTTGATAAAAGGGCTAGCAACTAGCTAGACCCGTTAAAAAGAAACTCAACTTTATTTATAGCTTTAAATTTATGTCATTATTTCAAACTAACACTAATAAATTAATTCAATCATCAAATCAAAGATGGACGAAATCACAGATTATGCAGTGTAAAATTTAACCACAGGAAATGAGCAACTTAACACAGATATTGTATAAATACGTTTGTTGTAACATAGTAATTATAAATGTTTGTGTATATTTTATTTGCAATATCTGTGGTATTTTTTTATTTTCATGATACTGTGGTCGCTTACATATGTGTCTGATACTGATTGTTATCATACAATAAAACAATATTTTTAATTTTACTGTGTTATTGCCAATTGTCGTCACACAATATTTTGCCTTGGAGCTTTGGGTGGAAAATTTAATTGTGGTTTCAATTTCATTTTACAGAATATTCATCTTGCAATTGCTCGGTGAAAAGTAAATAAAGCATTTATCATTATGTCTTTCTTTAAAAACGTTACATCAGGTTTTAATATGCGTAGCCGTGATACTATTCTCAAAGAAGCATTAATAAATAATTTGTCGGAGTGTGTTAAAGATATACAGTACAATAGCCAGTTTGAAGAAAATTTTCACAGTGTGCTAGGTTCAACAGAATCAACAAACACGCTATGCATGGCTTTAGAGGCAGTTTTCCTTCACGGCTTGAAGGACACCTTCTTGCGAAAAGCTAAGAACGTGATATCCGGCGACCCAGACTACCGTCCACAATCAAGTTATTGGCCACTTATTTTGGTGCTATCCCATCGTCAAAATATTGATCAAATATCTTCATTGCCCCAAATAAACACTGAAATCGGTCAATGTCGGGCATGGCTTCGGATAGCCCTTAACGAATGTTTATTATCATCATACATGTCTACGCTTGTAAAAAATATATCAGCTGTTAGACCATTCTACAATAAAAGCGCATTTGTTTGTGATTCTGAAGTCTTAGAAGTAGCTCAGAAAGTTATACAAGGATTAGAAACATGTGTTCAGTTTAATTTACCTACTAATTCAAGCCTTTTGAACCAATGGCCAGATGAGGTATTGATGCAAGCTGGCATTTGGATACCAACTATGAAGGTAGCCCCTATTTCCGCAGGGTTAGATGTTGCCAGTACTTTAACAAATGTAACGGAACCCAAGTTGGCATCAACTCCAAAGAAAGCAGTAAATTTGACAGGATTGGGTAAAATGTGGGCTCTGAATGAAGATGAAGCTCTAGATTTTATATTATCAAAAGATTCCGGTCAGGGAACAAGTTATGACAAACTTAACAAGCCTAATGAAGTGGCCATTATGGATTCTACAGTAAATGACGAGAATAAACTCGATAATGTTGGGGTCGCAGAGGAATTAAGTGAAATTAACACTAGTGACGAAATACAAGATTCTACACAAATATATTCTTCATCAGTTAATTCAGAGGGCTTTGTAGCTCCAAATGACATTGTTATTACTGGAAATTCATTAAGTGGGAAAGGCTGGTCCAAAGATATAAATGATGACAGTGAGTCTATCAATTCCAATTCTTCTCATGGAAGCAGCATGATTAAAACTCCAGAGCTCAAGAGCCTGTCCTCACTAATAGACCATTCAAATTTGTATGGAGAGGTAAATACTAACACTCCTAATTTGAGAGACATTATGAAGGATATCCATAAGGAACTTAAGATAACATCTGAAGAGAATGATGATTCCAACTTGGCAATAGAAAGTAATATGCATGAAGATCTTTCTTTACAAAGCTTAGATTTTGAAGTTATCTCAAATTCTACAGGCTCCTTTTCAGTTAATGAATTACAGAAAATGATGAAACAGTTGGGAACCCTATCCAGAGAACATGGACTTGATAGCCAAAACTACCAATGTCGTGGCTGCCAAGATTTGTTAGGCAGCACAGTGTCAAAAGCAAAAGTTTGTGGCTACACTGGAGAATATTATTGTTCAAACTGTATGGATCCAAATGTGTTTATAATTCCTGCCAGAGTTATACACAATTGGGACTTTAAAAGGTATCCTGTTTCCAAAAAGGCTGCCTTGTTCTTATTGGAATTTCAACATCAACCATGGATAGACATGAAAAAAATTAATCCAAAAATCTATGCAGGTGTGTCAGACATGGCAAATTTGCAAGAATTGAGAATACAATTAAATTTTTTGCGGGCATATATCTTTACTTGTAGAGAACCAGTTATTGAGGAATTACAAAAACGCGTTTGGCCCAGAGAATATCTATATGATCATGTGCATTTATATACTATATCAGATTTAGCTCAGATACCAAATGGATCTCTAGTATTGCAATTAGAGAAAGTTGTTAATTATGCGAAAAACCATGTTATGGAATGTTGGCTTTGTAGCCAAAAGGGATTTATTTGTGAAGTTTGCAAGGATACAAAAATATTATATCCCTTTGAAACGAGTACTACATATAGATGTAATGAGTGCTCTAGTGTATTTCATGCAAAATGTTTAAATGAGAGTTTCCCATGTCCAAAATGTAAGCGAAGACAGGATCGAACCAATGATTCCTCATTAGTGGATGTACTTCACAGCTTAAAGACCAAATAAAGTGAGTAGACATGTATATTCTCATGGTTCTTCTCACTAACAAAGTCTTTGTGCGTGACCAACGTGTAAAAGAAATTACGGTTGGAACATATTTGTGTTGAAAGTGTTACCTGCTGGGCTATACTGAATTGTATGTAAGAACTTTTTGAGAGCTAAATATTGTGTTTAGTGCCCTTATATTCTCACATGTACAGACAATGGCAAATATGTTAAGTCTTATCAGTCAGAATGATAGTAGTAATCTCACGTATCATTATAGTGTATCTATCTAGACCATTATACCTATTGTACTTACAATTAAGATTAATGAAATTATATTAAATAAAAATCTATTTAAATTATTTGACTGCAACTTTTATTTTTGTCAAATAAAGAATTTTTCGAAATAGTTAAATTTTTTATTTATTTAAAAATATGAATTAAAGCAAGGATATTCATACAAACACAAATTTAATTTTGTTACTCTTTACTTTAATCTTGTAAAGTAATGCCTTAAATATTATCAGAATATAAACTATGTCAAATGTCACATAGCTTATTTACAATACTATCTCGTTCTATTTAAATTTAATATATCACTCAGAAAACTATCAACATGTTCTTTTCTATTATGTTTACCTTTTTTACGGCTAATGTCTGATCCTGCAGTGGGTGCCTCTAGTGAATATTCTTGAAAACACTCGTCTAGAAGTTTATCTGGTTCTTCTTCTTTATTTTTAGGCTTTTTCTTTGATTGATAGCTAAGCGAATTCTTGTCAAACTCTAAGGGCACAATGCCAAGGTCACCACTATAACGATTTTTTGCTATTTGCAAATATTTCTTCCCTCTCACCGCTGTCAAACGTTTATCCTGAAAATGGGCCTTAACTCAATTTTCGCTCAAAGCAACATCAAAGAAGTTAGTTAAATTTTAACAACATATTCACCTGAATGATTAAAACATTGTCAGCTTCTTGCGATGCCTTGGCACTTCCAAATATTGAGCTCGTTGAAAGGTCTTCCGAGTCGCGTTCCTAAATAAACAAATATATATGATTACTGAGTATATGGACTAATTACACGCGCAATCAAAATAACTTTACTCTTTCTTTACATCTATATAATCATAATATAAAAAAGGCGTTTAGTTTACTAACTGTTAATAATTGCCCTAGAAGGAAAAGAACAAAAAATAGTCTAAATTATTATTTTATTGGCATCTCTACGGTAGGTATATATTATGTCTTCTACTTAACAGACATTGAATATTGATCGAGATATGTCTATCAATCAAAATAGACACCTATTCGAATGTAAACTAAGCAATTAAAATTTAAAACTGACCTATTATGTCGTTAACTTTTAGTCAATATTCGATAACGACATGTATGTTTGTATACTTCACAGATATGAGGGTTAGCGTATTTAAACTAGACTTGCACGAATTTCGGTTACTATTCGGTATTCGGCCTATTCGGCTGCTTTTATTATATTCGGCCGAATACCGAATATCTACATATTATTCGGCCGAATAACGAATACCTAAATAATATATTTTGTCATAGAGAAATAATTGGTAAAATGAAAAATTAAAATCGATTGCTTACGTATATACTTATTCATATTTTTGTTTCTGTTATAATCATATAAGTAGTCATTGGTACATAATTGGTGGAACCCTCACGAGGAAAAATATATACTCATGCTAGAGAAGATCCAAAAAGCCTTTCTGCGGTTTCTTTACAAACACCAATACGGTTTTTACCCCTACTTGTATCCTACCTTGTTTTTATTAGAAGTTGCTTTAATTCTCTTGTAAGTCGCAGATCTGTGGGCAATTAGTTGTAGTTGTAAGTTGTTTCGAAACCAAATCGATATACTTATTGAGGGAAGCCTTCTGTCGACTGTTTGTACGAACAACTATGGCCAGCTAGAAGACACGATCTCTTTGACGTCCCGAGAGGTCGCATTCTGCTCGCGGTTTTCGCCGATACCACGAATTTTAACCTCACTCAACGCTCTCCTCAAGTTAAGACCCAAATGTGATCTTTTCGCAGATCATGGTCATCTACTGAGAGAATTTCTGATTTTTAAATTTTGTCCTAATGTAATTGATGATACTCTATTGTTAAGTGTAATTCTAGTTACAGAAGTACACAATAGAATATTGGATAAAATCCAATTAAGAAGTGGCTATGCTGTTTTAATTGTCTTTATAATAAATAAATAAATAAATAATATATAATAGTAGTAATTGGTACAAATAAAACGATAGTTAGAACAAAACAAAGGAGCGCGAAACAATCACGTCTGTACAAGTTTTTGGAGCAAAAATCCAGCCGAATACTTTTGCCTAATAGGATGTGGGTCTCCGAAATTGGTATTCGGTATACTGCGAATATACTATGTTGAAGTCTAATTTAAACAATAGTTGTTTACAAATAGATTATTTATTTTTTTTTTTATTATTATTTTCGATTTTTAGATTTTTATTGATAAAACACAGCAATGCCTCTTTGTTTGTATAGTACGTGTATTAATGTATAAGACAAACGCATGAGAGAAGTAAAAAAATAATGGAATTGCAACAACTATAGAGTACGGACAAACGTGAACGTCACTTGATGATAGGCGTTATACCCAGGCACTGCGTTCATACTAGAAAAACCAAACTGTATTCTGTTAAGTGCAGTTGAATCAACTAGCCCTTACTCACGGTTGACGGGCTCGATGGTGTAATAGTAACAAAGTATGGCTAATAATCATCGGGTCGTAGACGTTCGATCTGTGGGCATTTCCTGACACATGTTGGACTTCGTCCGGAAATCTGATTATTTGATGGTGGATGGAATATCAACATTCCGTCCGGATCACGAACCACCGTCCTTTGGAAAGCCGTGAAGTTAAATCGGTTTCAGTTTGTGGATTTCCGAATATCCAAAGCAAAAGTAGATCGACAGCGCATCAGGTTTAGAGGTATTTCAGCTACCGTCAAGTGATGCTTGTCTGCATGCTCTATCATAAAAAAAGTACTAAATTAACTTGTTAAATTTTCGCCGAAAATTCATTTATATATTATTCCAAAACTTTAATATTTTTTACATGTTATTGCAGACGTTGATACGCAAGTGTTAAGGTTGAAATTACATGGCGAGAGAGGTGCATGTACCAATAATTTGAAAAACTTCGACGATGAGGTGTAGGACTCGGTAGCTCAATTGGTAGAGCTACAACGCGGAACGCTGAGGACCAACACGCCGGTTCAAGTCTTGCCCGAGTCGAAATTTTTTTTTTCAATTTATTTGTATTAGTTTAATTTTCGGCGTAACTTTTTTAATAGAAATAAATTACATTACATACCTTTCTAGGGTGCATAACGAGTGTAACGTGACAATGTCTCGCAGTGGCGAACGTCCTAAAGGCCGCGATGACAGCGTCTTGGCGTAAATATCGATCTCCTTCGCGCTCGTCGCCTAATCCTAGCATGAACTGGACGTTGTCCACTATTACATGCGCAATGTCATGCATATATCTTGCGTGCTCCACTGCCTGTATAAGAAGAGAAATATATTGTATACAGTAAAAGCTTTTTATTCGCGGGGTATTTATGGAACATATTCCATAAATATGCCGCGAAAACAGTGACTGTTCATACGGAATGGTAATTTATACGGTCCGTTCCTATGTAACAAAATAAATAAAAAATTGAAATTTTTAAATGTTTTATTAATAATCTTGGAGCTTAGGCAATCTTTTGAAGAATTTAGTAATTTTCTCTTCCTTGGCAGTTTTTAAAAGCTTCTTAAATTCAGACTGATAGACTCTTAAAAAAAGACTTCGTTCCATAGACTAGGCTAGTAATAAGATCTACTTATGCAAATAAGGCAGCTTTTACTGTTGTAATACGATGACGCTCGTGAAATAATTGAATTTAACGCGACATTACCAGTCCGTTTTAAAAAATGTATTTATTAGGTGACTTCTCAGCCATACAGTAAACCTGGACAAGAAAATGTTTCTTTGACTCCCTTTTCTTAAATAAAACACTTAATACTTTGAAGAGGGAAGGGAATCTATATCTTTTCTCACAACACAAAGCAAGTATATGTTTTTAAATAAAACAAATGAAAAAACTTCGGCCCCACGTTTCGGATGCTTTGCAGCCCGTTTGTCTCCCCGTGACCTCGGCTGCTGCAAAGCACCCAAAACATCGGGCCGAAGTTTTTTTCATTCGAAGAAAAAATCATTTTCAAATAAGTTTAACTAATATATCGCGTTTTAAACCGTTAAAGTGTTTTATTTAAATGTGTAATACTCGCGTAAACTATAGACAGTATTTAAGTGTACGTTTCTTTAATGAGTGTCGTGTCTGTTTATGTGTGCTGCATCTTTAAACCAATCTTAATCTTTATTTATTTTTTATGTTTATAAATAATATTTTTCACAGCTACAGGACAGCTATTTAAACAACTAGGTCAATAATCTTAAATTACACGTTTAGAACCATAGTTAGAAAGTTATAGACCATATATTATATTGTGTTAATGAACTTACTTCCATGACAACTTTGATCGGTTGCTGTCCATGGAAAGCGAGATAGAACATCGGCAGTTTCTGAAAGTCATCAGCAAACTTTGAAAACTCTTCGAGGTTCTGTTCCAAAGGAACGCCAGCAAACTGCTGCAGCATTGTACGGGCCAGGCGGAAGTTACGGATTTCGAAACTACCCCATAGTGTTGTTACCTGAAAAACACAAGCATGCATTTGACTTCGATTGAGTCTACATATTAAAAATAAATATTAGATTTTAATTGTATTTATTAAAAAAAAAATATTTAAGGAATGTTTCCTCTTTAAATACTGTCTATAGTTTACGCGAGTAGTAAACCTTTAAATAAAAACACTTTCACGTTTTAAACTGTTTTATTTAAATGCTTCCTCTTTAAACGATAAAAAAAATTGTCCACAATTGTATAATGTTTATGTCTTAAGATTCACTTGCAAAGATGGCGGGACGCGGACAACGTCGTCGCTAAAATTTATCAAGATAAGGAAGAGATAACTATTCTACACGGACAAAGTCGCGGCCACAGCTAGTTAAGTAATATGAGCTAAAAGTAAATTACTATTTAAACAAGAACATCCGTGAAGCTAAAAAGTAGTCTAAATTATGATTTGCACATGTAACAGTTGTTACAAACTGCTTAATAAATTAATATTTTAAAATTAATACATATAGCTTTCAATACTGACACCTTGTTGTGCTAAGTCAAGAGACATCTCCGCGCATAACGTGGTCTTTCCGCAGCCAGTTGGACCTGTAATTATGGTCAGTTCACCACGCCTGTGACCGCCTAGTAGACGTGTTAGCGCTGGAAATCTTTTCCACTTTACACCTCGAACCTGTGAATACAATTTAATACATCATACATGGGACATAATATATACAGGTATGAACAATTTTTGAGCAGTAAACATCAATATTGTAGGAAACGGACAGGTACAAAAGACATAATTAGGTTTTATAGTTAATATTAAACTAGTAAGTGCTTTCTAGACCCAATTTCATAAATGGGAAAATCATTAAGAGTCTCATGTGAGTGTGAAGTTGAGTAATGCTTTCAAAGACATACCTTGTCAATATTTGTAAGCTCAGCATAGACATCATCTCTCAGGGCTGCAAATGTAGTTATTGATCTGTGTGACGCCGGTTTAGCTTCAGACACCAATGTTTTGAGTGATAATTTAGCAACAGCTGCTTCCGAAGCGGTTACTAACCCATCCGTTGGTCTGTGAAACGACAACAATTATAAGCCAATCATATAGATTTTATTGTGAAAAGCTTTAATAGTTTTCACATGTTTGATTATATTTAAATTTACATTTACCAACAACCTATTGACATACCTGACAAAAAAGCAGCGATCCTCACCCAATTTCTCAGAAACAGCTCTCATATTCTCCCAGTCACCCCACAAACATAACTTTTGATAGTTTTCCAATACAGGAAGTACAACAGGTGGTAAGCTACAGTTACTTAACCATATTAAATTACCTGAAAACTTAATTATATTAATTGAATACCGACTTCTTTAACTGAATACTGTTTTCTCCTAACATATTTTTTTTAATGATCTAGCATAAAATTAATCTTGTTTCAATGAGTAAAAAAAAGTGAAATTCCATTTCCCTCTCCTTGGACAAGGGCGAACATATTTTGTGCCCGTTTCATTGATCTGTCCGTGTGTAATTACCTTTAATTAATTATTTATTAACCTTAAATTATTGACTTACCAGGTACTTTTTGTGCTGCTAAGTGCAGCACATCATGTATGCTAGGAACTAAAATTGCTTGTTCAAAACGGTTTGTCTTTTGCGCTTTACATAAAAATAAGCCACCTATGTGGTAGCCATAATTCTCAATTTTCTCTTCATTGCCAGCTTGTATTTTACGATACCCAACTATTATATTTAAAGTGTTCTTTAAGGGAAAATATAAAACTGTGTGGTCCTTAGAGACTCTAACATCACATAATACTTTGGGGGCCTCAAGATGGTACTGCAATATAACAAAGAAGTTAGCAATTTTTTTTAAATACACATGTAAATTGAATTACTCTGACTACTTACTGGAAATTCAAAAAGGCGAAAGAGGTCATGAGTTTCAGTTTCACTTAAATCTAATAATGAGCTTGTTTGCTCCATTACATTTTGCCAATCATTTAGAAAATGACTTTTTTCTTGGTGTAATTTTTCTAAGTAATCTTTAAGAGTTCCGTCCACCTTCGATTTTTTGATAAGCCTCTCGAGTGTGTTCCAATCACCATAAGTATTGCATTTTGAACACAAAAAATACCCTGGCAAATGAAACAAAACATTAAAAGTAACATAGTTAAACTATTCTTTCACTTAAAAAGCCGTAAATAATTATTATCATGTAGGGTACATACCGGTAGTCTTATTTATGAAGACTTTGTTTTCAGTTTTCTTCTCTCCATCACAGCATATAGTACATCTTGTAATGAGAGATGTGTACCCATCTTGCACTGCGAAACCTTTTTGACGCAACAATTTTCGAATATCAGTCACTGATATTTTAGGTATATCGTCTATCCCTACATTTTGGATTCCTCTTACAAAATTGGCATAATTGCTTACTTTTATATAATGGCAAAGTTTTCTGAATTTATAAAACTTTAACATTTTGAAAAAAATCATCAGAACGCATTATTAAAGTTTATAATGAATCAGGATTTATAAAAAGTGTAAACAAAACAAACTTATAACCTTAAAACACGCTCTTATTGCTTTATAACTTTAAGCTAATCTGTGGTCAGGTAAGCCTTATTGAGAAAACTACACTTTTATTTTATGTCTGTGCACGCTGTGTATCTCGACGGTATCTGTGGCGTTATTTTGGCCCTACTTCGATTTTTCTAAATTTATTATTGTATTTATAAGAAGATATTTTAGAAGAGCTTTTTAACTATAAAGGTATGGTGAATCTTGTGGATACCCTTATGATAAATACGGTGACGGAGGGAGCTATGAATGTTTTACGCAGTATCGTAAGTTTTTAAAAATTTCGAGCATGATAAAGCTGTTTTTCTATCCGTAGTTAGTTGACTTTGTAGCTGAGTCTTATAGTCGTATTTAGGTTTAAATATCTTATATTATTGTGAAGTGACTAAAACTTTTTACAGGGAGTATTTAAGAGTAAAACTATTGAGACACCCCCAGCTCCTATAATTATCAAAATGCCACTTTGGGAACTAGCACAACAAGCGGGACCTTTTGTCAGGCTCGCAGGACTGAGTGGTGCAGCTGCTGTTGTTCTTGGCGCAATGGGGGCCCATCGGACTTTTCCAGAGACAGAAGCCAAGGAAGATTTAAAGAAAATCTTTGAGACCGCCAATAGATTTCATTTCTTGCACACTTTAGCTTTAATAACCGTTCCCTTATGCAGACGACCATACATAGTAAGTTAAAAAAATACATATTTTGCAATAAAACTGTTTCAATCACAATTTAATGTTCCGGCAATTGTGTATAGTCATTAAATTCAAGGCATTCTATTGTTACATATATCCCTTTTATTACAGGCTGGGTCATTCTTCATAACTGGAATGGGTCTTTTCTGTGGCACATGTTACTACCATGCATTTACTGGTGAAAGAGCTCTTAGGCGCCTGACACCAATTGGGGGATCTTGTCTTATTCTTGGTTGGCTTGCAATGGTATTATAAAATTCTGATTGCAAGCACTTTTGTAGACACATGTTATATTTGTCCCCGGATAAGGTTTAAGTGGCATTCCATTTCAAAGTCTATTAGTAGGTGTTGTGTAGTAAAGTATGTCATAATTACATCACATTTTTAGTTGTGACTTTCTGTAAGTGTTACTGATTATGGTTAAAATTTTTACTGAGAAGAAATTTGTTTTATCCTTTAGTTATTATGTTATGTATGTCTTAGAAACATAATAATTTACAAAATTACAAGAGACGGCTATAGTCAATAGAGTACAATTTTGTTTACTTAATAAGTTTATCATTTGTAAATAATAAAATTATTTTTGTTTTATGTTTTGTTTTATTTATTGCTAAAACATGCTACACGAGCAAACATTTGTCAAAAATAATAATTATCGTCAATTGTGATAATGCGGGCCATATTCACTGTCACTGGGATTGCCACATGCGTCCAAGCAGGGGCGCAAGTTGCAATGTGTATCCTCCCCTCACTTTTCTTCTCAAACCCGAACCATTGCGGAGGACAAATACCAATCGGACAAATATCAGATGTGAACAGCCAGGCATTTATATCTCAGAAAATAGAACCGTTTACGACCTCTAGATTTTTTCCTTAATTGTGTGTACATGGCCATTGGCTGCTTATGGTTTTTAACAAGTGCTTTGTTGCTTAACGTTGCTGCTGGTGCAAAGCGCTTGCCGGTGCGCTGGCCATGGATCATCGTGACGATAGTTTCTTGTGCAGTGGATGTCGTTTCCGTAATTTTCTTGTCAAACTACTATATTTTAACCAAGACACTAAGTGGCATGGTAACTTACATTGGAGCTGCAACAAGCGGTCTGGGTAACGTCGTTCTCGACACCAGAGGACCTTCACTATTGATGATAGCTCTCTGTGCCAGATTTGGCGTTTTCTTCGTATTTAACATCGTCCTCTCAATCATCTCAACCAGCACATACTGAGAATCTGGATGATGCATTTACACAACTTAACGAAACTTACATAATATTAGAAGGCAGATCTCACACTTCGGAATACGAGCTAACAACTCCCGAAACAAGTTGAAATTCCACGTGTACATCGAAACGTCAACTCTTCATATAAATTTTGGAAATCCTGCTTCAATATCAGACCAGACGAATGGAGGGTAATTTCATTTTGTATTTTGTAGTTAAGCACACAATTTAATAAAGAATGCAGATATCACCATCGATGTCGTTGCCGCCCCTTGTCTCTCTATCGCTTCAAATCGCACCAATGTCGCCCCAAGTGCAAATTTCGACTCCGGCGACCGGCAATCAAGAGAGGTAGGATTGCAAAGGAAGTGATAGAAAGTCGTAAGTTTTCATCTATATTACTGTCCATAGACTTTTTGTCTACTGCTAGTACTATTTCATATTGTAATAAATGTAAAAGTGTGAAGTGAAAATAAGACTTGGCTTAAAGGTCCGTTACCAGGCCATTAAATATTAAAAAAAAAATCATATTCTACCATCACAATGGCACATCACTGTCTTTTCAATTATTTTGTCAATTTGTGCCTACCTCTTACCATTTATTAAGGTATTATTTTCTGAGGTAGGCACTTTTAATGTTAGTAGGTACGGAGTCACTACTTGTTTGTCCAAGGAGTAAATTTTATGACACCTGTTTTGTCACTTGCCTGTGAATGAATGCCCTTGAATTGCTAGTGTAGATTCGGAGAAACGGTTTACAGGGGTATAAATCCTAACATTTTAATCAAATAAATACATACAGGAGAAACTACGGGCTATAATCTTAATTATTACTAGGTTTAGTTAGAATTACATTCGTTATGACAATGACAATATAAAACACTTGAAAAACTTTATAGCATTTTTCTGCAAGAGAACTGTACTATACGACGCTAAAGACATACCAAAGGTCCATTTTACCACTGAATGGCAAAGTATGAAGGGCACAGGCGAACAATTGGCGCCTTTCAACCAACTATCTAGATAACCCCGACAGAAAATCCAGTGTGTAGCCTGAGAAGGCTGCCCCAGACCGTAAACCTGTGGTCATGTTTCGCAGGAACGGGGATCTGAGCTTCGCCACTCAGATTGTGAGAAAGGTAACCTCTCCAAAAATCCCCCAATCCTATGGTGTGGTACATGCCTATAGGATGTATGGCTGATGGGTTAACTCAGTCTTTAGCGACTAACCTCGAAATACTAGGCGACGTGTTGTTGCACAAATGCCTTCTCTCAGGAAAGGCGTCACCCTGGTAGCGACCACCTATTTCGACCTAACTCGTGGGAATCAGCATGATGAACCCAATCAAAACACCCTCACCCAGCGAATATTCCATCCTGGACTATTTAATAGACCACGGTCAGCTTCTCTAAGTGACATACCCAAACCTGATAACTAAGCGGAATTGAAATCAACAGATATAGCGGATCTAACTGACAACTCCTGCTCCCAGCAAGCACCTCCTCCCTGGCAGCGTGTGCTAAGTACTAACAAGCGAATCCCCACCAAACAGCACACCCGTGGCAGTATCAAACAGGTTTATACCCCTAGCCTCAGATCAGTCTCAAAATGATAAAAATCTACTCCCGAATCAGAAACCTAACAAACTTCCCCCTATATGGACTAGAAGATGTCAATGAACTGTCAAAACTAGAAACTGTATGCGACTCCAATCTCTTTAAAATAAGAATAGCAAACAAAAACTTGCTCCGAATTCTTGTAAATTGCTCGGAATCTTACAAGGATGTGATATCGGCAATAAGGACTAAAGGCTTGATAGGTCATACATTCACTCCAAAAGGTAAGAAAGCATATCGCATTGTTATAAAGAAACTACACTACACCACTCCACATAGTGAAATAATTGACGCTATTGAAGCTACTGGTAATAAAGTCCGTCCCGGGAAATCATTAACGTATGGGAGAAAATATTTTTGGTCTGCTCGAAGGAACTCCTGAATCATTGTGACATTATTCCAAAGCACCAGTTCGGGTTTAGGAAACAGCACTCCACAATCGAACAAATGCATCGGATTCATCATGAGATAAGACGGTGCTTTGAAATAAAACTATACTGTTCAGCAGTATTCCTGGACGTCCAGCAAGCATTCGACAGAGTCTGGCACAAAGATCTACTCTACAAAGTGAAAAATTAACTTCCCCATTCTCTATTCCTCATTATTAAGTCCTACCTCAAAGACAGGCTTTTTCAAGTGAAACAGAGGGATGCCAGATCTACGCTAAGAAAAATTTGAAGCCGGGGTTCCACAGGGTTCTGTACTCGGGCCCGTGATCTATGATATATTTACCTCAGACGTACCGGTATCTAAGAAGATTAAGAGATTGGCACTGATGTTTTACCTGATCTAGAAAACGTATAATATCTGGGCTTTATCTTAGATAGAAGAAGGTCTCACTTGGACCTATCACATTAAAAAGAAATGGGAAGAATTATAAATTATAGATTTCGAAACCTCTACTGGCTTATGGGTAGAAACTCTGGCTTGTCTACAGATAAAAAGCTTCTGATCTATAATGCCGTGTTGAAACCAATCTGGTCCTACGGACTTCCACTGTGGGGCTCCGCCAGTAAAAGCAATATCATGTTCATTCAACGCATGCAAAACAACATTCTGCGTACTATTACAAATGCCCCCTGGTTTTCACGAGTATCTTTGCGTTCCCACTATTCAGTCTGAAATTAATGCGTTCAAAAAGAAATAGGCCGATAAGTCTTTGGTTCACCCAAATTCCCTGGCCAATATCTCCTAAAACCTTCTGTAGTGACGAAAAGGCTGAAAAGGAAGGCAGTCGAGTCACTGGGTTTCGACGCCTAAACGTTATTCTCTTCCAACGCATCCGCTTGTAGACTTGCGTCTGATTGCAGATTAAAAAAAAAAATGTTTTTTGGTTTTTTTAACAGGTTGAAAGTAATTACTGGCTCGATGCCTTTTTAATGACTACGACAATGTTACCTTTATAAGCATGGGCAATAAAATGAAACAATGGGATACATATGTTTACATGGTTTTATTGAAATTGTTACATATTAAATTTTGCACTTTTTTTTAATTCCTTTATGATACTTAAGTATTACTCAAAACATACACCATTAGTAGTAAATGCTATGTCAACTCACAGGAGTTCACAAAAAGACTAACAATGGTCCTTTAAAAGTAGCTTACGAGACAACTATTATAATGAAACCAATGGTGACATTTGTGAAGACGGACAATAGCTGTTCCACACATTTAAAAGATATAGTCCACATCACACTTAGTACAGTACATATGGGGAATTTATTAGTATCTCTAATATTGATAAAGTAATTTACAAGACTATCACATTAAATTAACGCAAAATATAATTATTAACAAATTATCTCTGTAATCTAAGTAATTCTAGTCGAAATAAAATACAGCACTTTAAGTGTCTGTCACACGGTCGAATTGAACCACTCGATTGCACATTTCCAGCAGTCCGGGGGCTGCACACTGATTTAAATAGTAATTATTAATATCACTAACCGCATTCAAACATTTACACGAAATTATGGAGGTATGAAAGCATTAAACACTAACGACGATTTAGGAGAGGTGGAAGGAATGCTGTCCTTCTGAAGCAGCGAGTCTCAGTTTGGCGCGCATCACCTCGCAACTGCTGTAGTCCGGCAGCTTGAGGTAGTTCACGCACGTCATCACCGACGGCAGATACTCGTCCGGGTCTAGCGAGGACTCGAGAGATTTCCGGACCACGGTCAAAGGCGGATTTAGAGATTTGAAACCTGTAAAGAGATTTATGTTAAATTTTAAGTATTTTTGATAGGGCATACCACCCAACTAATATTCATACATTCATTTTAAAAATGTGCCTATTCATTTATTAGAACGACAGCAGGTGTTTTACCACTTAGTTGGACATTTTACATACCTATTATATATACATACATATAAATTTGGCATAAGCATCGGCTCAGGTAAGATCGGAATAACTTACGTCAGAGAAACAAACATAAAGACGTAGATTACAATTCAATTAAACATTATAACACACGTCTGCTTGTTCCATAAATTCATCATTTTTATAGTCTAATGTTACCTCCGGTGGGGAGTCGTGGGCTTCCTGTAACGAATTGTAGGAACAGCCGTTGTTCCTCGCGATTATACGACGCAAGGATGTCTATGAGCATGCGGATCGCGGGAGACTCCGCGTTAAAGCCATGGTCCGGTCTGATGCACTCCGCCAACATGCGTGGCTCCCAACGTTGCTCCCTGCCACCTGTGCCAAAAAATATTAGTAAAGAATATTAATCCTTTATATAACTAAGGTTAAAATAGCATTGCGCGAGAGGTGCATGTATCAATAGGTTAAGACAATTCGATGACGTGTAGGCCACGGTAGCTCGATTGCATTGTAGCTACTCTGAGCTTCAGCATGGAATGCAGTGGATGCCAGTTCAAGCCCTGCCCCCTGTCATAATTTGTTTTCACATTAAAATCGATTTCCATTACTTGGCTATTCTTGAAGAAAAAAACATTTTACATTATAATCGAAGACGTACCTAATGGGCTGCCACAGAAAACTTGTTCCAATTCTTCAGGGTAAAATATCTTTAGATTGCCGAGTGGAAATACTGATTCAAAGCCTTCTTTGAATGCGTCCATTTGTTTCGTGACACCTGTCATCAATATTAAATATTTTATTATACTCGTTCTGAGAATATATACAAAAAAGTACATTTTTACGTATAATTTATTTTAAAGAAAATGTTTGAGTCGGACGAGAGCGTTACGTGGGGCCTCTCAACGACTTCGTCAGCAGGTTTAATTATTAAAAATACTTGGATTCATGATGTAACTTATAAATTAATGACCTTCATAGAGGAGCCAGTGAGTGACCAGCGAGATGTAATGGTGTAAGTTATGTGCTGTAACGGGCAGGTCGCGACCACCGCGGCGCAGCTCCGTGCACCCATCGCCTGGAAGGATGAAGTCCAATCCTAGCTCTTCTATCGGGCACCCGTCTAGTTCCAATGCATTTATCTATAATAAAACATAGTATTAAATATCTTGTTATAATCGAAACACGTATATTGTTAGTTAAAATAGGCAAATCAACCTCATTGCATTGTTATGTGGGGTCATAATATTTAATTAGAATAGAATTAGAAAAAGATTTTTTTTGTCTATATTATAAGTATTTTCTTTCATAATTATAGTCCTTTTGAGTTTGGTATATATAATATAATAGCATACCAGTTAGTATAGCAAATAAAATAGTATTTTGATTTAAAATATTGTTTTTTAAGTTTTAGAAAAAAAGGCAAACACATATAAGTAATTTATTAAGATTAAAAATAACAATTAATACTTTCATAGGCGTATCATAGAGTACTGTCTGTTCGTTAAGTTAAAGCGAATAGTACAAATTTAAATAGACAACGTTTAACGGTATAAAACGCAATATATACATTAGTTAATTTATTCACTATTTGTTTAAAGTACGACCCGATGCTGGCGCCATCTGTTAACTACAATACATTTCTAGTTTTAAGCCGTTAAAGTTTTCTTTGAAATACGATCAGTCTATCAATTAGACTAACTAATAAAATCATAATAACTTAAAAAAATAGTAATAGTAAGTTGAGTTGCGCAAAGGCAATTAAAATATGCTAACCATTATAGACACCATAGTTATCATAGATACATACCATTTGATTCCTCTGCTCAGGGGAGTAATTGTTGTCAGCGGCGATTGTCTGCGCCCTGTCAGCGACGCGACGTAGACGGCACAGCGAACGCCACAGCTCCGGTGCTACGTGTCGCACGTCGCTCAAGCTCAGCCACTGCTGCTCACTGACAGCCCATCGATACATCGACACAGAGAGGGGTATGTCCACCTGAAGATTAATCAGACACATTTTTATTAATACAAAGGTTTTAAGTTATATTTTAGAATATCCCTATATAAATATTATCCGTAGTGTACGCGAGTAGTGCACATTTAAATAAAACGCTTTTAACGGTTTAAAACGCGATATGAATTTGTTTACTTATTTTTTACTAATTTACTACAGCCCGACGTTTCGTATGCTTTGCAGCAGCCATGGTCACGGTGGATCCGCCGTTAAAATAAATTATATAATATGTATCGAGTTTGAAACCGTTAAAGAGTTCTATTTAAATCCGTATGTGTAGTTTTTGATACGTTTAAATAAAATCTATTAGTACAGACTATTAGATACCCAAATGTCAGCCCCAAGCGCAGTATGGTTTCTACTTGGATTCAAAATTATATCTATTAGTGATACAGACACAAAAATGTGTACTGATATTGAAATTTTACTTTTGAACACAACTCACCATCCTAGAATCCATAACTGCCTTAGCCATAAACTTTCCGAGGAAACGGAACTTGGCTTTGACCCTCGAGAGGTGCGAAGCCCGAGCGTTTCTACCGATGGCCTGGGGGAAGAGGCCACACGGCCAAGTGACATAAGTCGCGTCTGGAGCTGGGGACGGTATTGAGGTCTCCTTTTCCAAGTCTGATGGTTCTGGTGATCTATATTACGAAAACAGTGAAATAAATTTACTGTACTCTAACGAATATAATATAGTGAATAAACACAAACTGAGAGACTACCTTCATTTGACGGGTTCGTTGTTGAAATGTTATCAAATAATCAACGAAAGTCTTAGGTTCGATTCCCACCAGGTCAAACGTTTCTAATCATTTTATATTTCTTCTGAAACCCGTTGGACTTAGTTTGAAAATCCAGTTTTAAATGGGTGATAGGAATATTGCAATTTCCTCCGGGTCACAAACCACCGTCCCCGGTGAAGTAGCCCTTAGGTTTAATCGCGTTTCGGTTTCAGTCTGTAGATTTCCTATTATCCAAAAACCAAAGACGTCGTAAATAGGTCGTCGGTTTTACCTACCATCGAGTGAACTCCATGTTTGTCTGTCCTGTATCATAAAAGAAATGTAATAAAAATTCTCTAAAATAACACCACCAAGTCCCCCCGTCCCCCCCGCACACCCAATAATTGTTAAGTGCACGTGAAGGTCTTACCTATCCTCATCTAGATTAAGGGCATCTCGGACGGACGATGCCAACCGAGACGCCGCATCAGACGATCTGTCAGAGACAACTGTGGGTTGGCTCTTGACGATCTCACCACCGAATGACGTCGGCTTCTGCTTAAAGTTCTCACTGCCGTGCCACAAATCGAGATCGGCCCGTTGCAACTCTTGCGACACGAGCGCGTAGAATTCTAATGTTGGCCCGAGACCGGTGCCTACTTCATTCTCGTATTGAATTTCGAGAAGCGCCTGCAATTTAAGATTTCGTTACAGCTGTGTATACAAAACGATATAGAGTATAGAAAAAGCCAAACGCTATCTTGTCATGAAAACAAATGAACAAATACAAATTGTCACAAACGGACACAGATTTGTGTCCGCCCCACGGCGGGATTTTAAAATATCACATGTCATATTTTCATTAAAAAAAATAATCTTGGTGAACAAGTGAACGTATACATCTATACTAGTATTATAAAGCTGAAGAGTTAGTTTGTTTGAACGCGCTAATCCCAGGAACTTTTCTTTTGTGTTGGTTGGAGCCTTTATCAAGGAAGGCTATAGGCTATAAATCATCAAATCAATACAAAAAAAAATGGGAAAATTAGTCATCATTGTGGCTACCCCATACCAAATAAACATATATGGGGAAGCATTCCTCTTTAAATGATCTAAAAACTACTATCTATCTTTTAAGATTAACTTTCAAGAACGACGATACGCGATTGACTTTGTTGGTTGGTTGGATGTCCAAAAGAATAGTTACTTCTCGGACGAAGTGCTGTCACAGCTAGTTATTTAATAAATATCTGGTTGACTTGGACTAGCAGAGGGATGTTACCTTTGAGTGAGCAAACTCGTGCATCACGTGTTCGGCTTGCCGCAGAACATTGTCGCGCTGTACGGTGCGCTTACGCCGGTCGAGACGCGGCGCCACTCGCTCCGTCTCACTCGAGCCGGCAGCGGGTGCGCCCCGCTCCCCGCCAGCCTCCAGCAACCGTTGCAGCGCGCGGTCGCGGTCAAACGAGACCACGTAGAACAACAGGTGGCGGCACTCGAACGGCAACACGAAGGGACTGAGGAAGTATAATTATAAAATAAGTATAATTTATATAGTTCTTTAGAATCTCCCTTCGTATGGTGTTAACTTACTTTTGAGGTTAGTGCTTAACACTTGTTTATACAACAATATTATTTTTCACGAAGCTATTTACTTAAAGCCACAACTTATTTATTTAGATAGTTTATTTCTTTGACTCTCATTTGTTCGATTATTTTTCTTATAAGTTAAACTCACCAAGCATAAGCAATTTTCTTTAACCAAGGCGGGAGATTTCCAGTCATGATCACGAGGGGATCTTGTAATTGTCGGTTAGCTTTAGCAGCGAGCTGAAAAAAAATCAGTCAATATTTATTGCTAAAATAATCTTCGTAAGACATATACTACCAAGGGTTTATTACACTACTACTTTTAACACAGATCAGAAACTGAGGGCCCCATTACCACATAGAAGATTAATTAAAGTGAAAATGGGGTTTATATATGGAATAATATGTTTATATTACCTTAGTATTTATAAAGTCTGAGTTGGGCACAAGTGGGCGGTGATCGGGCAAACAGGCAGCCCTGTATAGTGTGTGCCAATGCCGGGAGAGGGCGTGCAAAGCGCGCAACAACGCCAGCGCCGGTAGCGACGCATCTCGGATATCACCACCCCAACGGGGGATGCTCGCTGATCGCAGCATGATCACGAGGGAGCTCGACTGAGATGGCACTATTCCTTCTGTTAATAATAATGAAGAATAAGATATACAGAGAAGAAAAAACTATATTGTAACATTAATAAAATACACTATATTTATAAATGTTACTTGACTATAACTTAATTGTTTCTGCTATTTTGACGAATAAATGTATTAAATTTAGATTCTAACTATATCAATGTAAAATGGCAAAAAAAAATCATAACCGTCCATCTCGATTTAAAACAACAATTTAACTATAAAAACTTACCAGTCCATAGTAAATCTGGTTTCCGACGTGAAGACATCTTTGTAGTTTGTCCTTTGCCTTTACGCGAAGAGGCCGCGTCTGTACGTGGTTGTTCGCCGCCTTCCACGGCGCGATAGTATATCGTATGCGTTTGCACCCAGATACCCGCGTTAGCTAAGAAATAAGGATTAGGTCAAGGTTATTTTAGTTTTATAACTGTCATTAATTACAAAGATACATTTGTGTCTGTTACAATTTTATTAACACAAGTGACGGTAGTTTATTTTTCTGCAGTTTGACTAGTTTTAACCAGTATTTTAGTAACCGAATTTCAAATGTAGGATAAGTTAACGCGCTTTATAACTGAACCACGGGGAGTAGATCATAGAGTACTAATAATCACTGGATGAGGCAGTAAAAAAATACACTCATACAAAAATACACAAAAACCTACCCAGCGGCGTTTCCGTATCGGTATCGGCGTCATTTTGTTCACCAAACTGTCTCACAGCTTGATATACTGTCATGTTATAGGGGAGCACTGTGTCACCTATTAGGAACTCCAATTTGTGATCGGACCTAAAATGGATTTTCTTATTAATAAACGAAAATTTTTCGTAGTTAAAATTTCGAGAGAACAATAAAAAGTAAAATGAATGGGACCTTAATAATTATGGTAACTTATTAAATTATACGCAGTTTTGTTTCTTTCGTGTAAATGCAATTTTTATATTTAAAAAAACGAGACAATATCTAGTTGTCGTCTAGACTATCTATTATGTTACAACACGTTTGTTACCGAATATATGGTTTTTATGGGGAATCCAAAATTATTATAAATATTTACTCAGCAACGTGATGTGTAGTAGCGAGAGTATCTTCTACATCGTCATCCGAAGCTGCCTCGTCGTCTGTGAGGGGGCCGGTACCTTCTCGATTTCGCGCTTGCGCATAACCACGCTGGGCCAGATACCTGTATCAACAATTTTTAATAGTTGAAAATAATATGGAATACTGATTATAAAGCAATTTTTTGGATGATTGGAATTTCATTGTAAAATTTGATGGAAAAGTACGGTCTTTACTTTCTGACCAAATAATTAGCTTTAGTTTTTACTTTGTCGAAGTAACGAAAACACTGTTTATGAACTCACCGCTCAATAGCTTGCACTAAGGCTAAAGGATCTATCCGCACCACGCCCCCTTTCCATTGCTTTAATGTGCTGCAGGTGGGATGACGTTTGAGATCACACTGTTATAGAACAATTAATACAATTGAAAACTATTCAAAACTATTTTTCATAAAAGTATAAATAACCTACTTCGCAGAGTTCAAGCCCCTGTTAAACGCTTTAGTAGGCAAAACATTTAGTCAAATTAAGGGAATGTAGAAAAAACAATAATAATCAAAATAAAGAAATTACATTGTAGTTTATGTGTATCGCCTATAGATGATATAGATCAAATGTAGATAATATATCATTCATAAGTCAGTAGCTAAAACTATTTAAAACCTTATTTAGAACGCAATTTTTTTCTAATTCAAGAGGTTTTTATGTTAAATTCTATATGTAGATAGATAATTGTTTAAATCTAAAAACCGTTATACCATAAGCTGGTGGGTGTTGAAGAACTTGAGGGCGGATGTGGCGGGGCGCGCTGGTAAATCGTGTACTCGCACAGGGAATTGCTCGAGGTGGGACACGCACGCGTTGACCTTGCTCACCAGCGCGCTGAGCGCCCCAGCACCGCTACATGCGAAACCACCAATACTGCTCGCCTTCTCCATCCATTCGCTCTCACTGTATATATACAAAAACATAAGAAAAAAAAGAACAGTCTACACGACGAGAAAAGTACAATTGATAAACTTAGCTCACAGGCTACTAAAAAAAACCAAAAAAGGGTTGGTAGGGGTTGAAAAAGGTTGTACGGAAATTTGTGGTTTTTAAAGTTGAACAATGGTTTTTGAACGTTAAAACAATGAAACTTTTTCCTTTGGCTTTTTGAGAATAGAAGTGGGAGTGGGAGGGTTGCGGCAAAGTAGCATAAATTAATAAACAGCCTAAATAATTAAAAATTCTACCCCAAGTCACTATTCCACGTGAATGAAGTCAGAGTACACAGCTAGTTAAATATAAAGTTGAAGAGTTTGTGTGTTTGAACCCACTTATCTCAGGAACTACTGGTTCGAAATATAAATTCTTTTTTTGCTGTGTGTAGAGCATTTATCAAAGAAGGCTTTAGTCATAAAATATCAGGCAATACGGTCAATTTCCGTTCCGTTGCGAGCGTTGCGAAACCGTTCAAGGTATCAAAAAAAATTTCATACATTTCTCTTGAAATAAAATCTAACAAATGTTCGTTATAGTATATAACAATCTTTTAAGATGAATTCACAAGAACCGTTTTTAAAGTAATCAAATTTTGGCCGAAAAACTTAACACGGCAGAAGAACCCGTTTACTAATAAAGGATAATTATAGTCGTAAGGGCTTAAAGTAAGAAGCACTTGCTCTGAAACGAGTGGCATATCAGCGAAGACGTGCAGGAAGAGACGCAAACGGTCCTCGCAGGCGGCGATATGTTCGGCCGAGTGCCGGCCTTCGCCCTCGCCTTCACGCTCACTCTCAGTCGACTCCGAGTCTGAGTCCGCTCCCGTCAGGAATTGGAGCAAGGCGCCTATTACCCCGGAGTGGTTAACCTGTAGGAACAAAGACCAAAGACCATGTTTAAAATATAAAATACTGTCTGTTTACTCGAGTAGTACACGTTTAAATAAAACACTAACGGTTTAAAACGTGACATTAGTAGTAAGACTTTTTTAACTAAGGCCCGGCTTTCGCGGTTCTTTGTAACAGCCGTTTAATGGCGAGACACTTTTACAAGTTTAACTATAGATTTCCGGTACAATGTCGTTTAATGGTTTTATTTAAAAAGTATTGTAAAAAATTTTAGCTTAGTAAAAAAATTCTCACCTCGAATGGGGAGAGATCATGGCTTGCTAGTGTGTCTCGGAGCACAATGAGCGGATCAAGTGCCAGGTCAGCTCGACGCGGCAAAGCTGCAGCTAGTGCGGCCAGCTGCTGCAGCGCTCCACCCCCTCCACCCAACGCACCCCACTCTCGTTGCAGACGATTGGCCACGCATTCTATCCATTCACGAACTTTTTCCCTACAAGACAATAGTATTATCTGTAAGTGTCATTTAGACCACAAATATGCCAAACAAAATCAAACAGGTCACATCTAAGTTAAAGGTTAAGTTAGAACAGAAGCACGGAACGCTGTCTCTGCCGGTTCAAAAGATGAACGAGGCATGAAACAACCCAATCTAAGATCGATATATAATTTAAATTTGATATTGTGATGTTTTGACTTTGTGTGAATATTAGACTAACATCTATTATCAGTTGACAGCTATAGAATGTAATATAGGCAATTACATTTAGTATACAAAATCAGAAAAGGAATTATATACTTAAATAGTTATTTTATAATTGACTTAACCACGGATCCAGCATTATAAATGTGTTCTTACTTATTTTGTAGGGTTAAATTTGCAGAAGTATGTGGAGAGGCCAAAAGCCCAGTGTCCTTATGCGCGTGCGCATGTGGCGACCGACCCCAACGCGAAGGATTCAGTGATGACAGGAAAGAGGAAGTCTTAGATGTGCCGCCCATACGACTTGCAGAACGACCAGCTGTAGTAACATTGGATGCTAAAAAAAAATTATTAATTAATTACAAACTTACAGTATTTTGAGAGTTGTTCTTATGTAAAGATCGTTCTTGTATCCATGTTATCTCGAGATAGAGATCGTATTTTAGACGTGTAATTAATCGATTTTTTTTTCTTTTCATGTACTTAGGTCGGTATATGTATTGAGCCGGATGTGAATAGCGCAAACAGTAACTTATAATATTATATAATATGTAGTACTTACAGTGAGGGGCATTGCTAGGAGTTGGTGTTGGGGCCGGCTGACCAAGGGCTTGGTGTCCAAGAGTTACTTCCTCGCGAGTGCGTGGTCTTCTAGCTCCTGCTCCGCCTGAACGTTTTACAGCGCGTTTACGTTTTAACATATCCGCCAACTGCAGTGGACTACTAGACCTGAATAGAAGATATATAAATAGAATGGACATTTTAGAATCATATTAAATAATATTGTCTAATTTGTTTATTTAAATAAATATAGGCCAAGAAAGAATAAACGGGAAAATATTCTACCTGTGAACTGTGGTAGTCTGATGTGTTGATGCCGAAGTAGCTGGGCCGGCATCTGACATACCAGGTTCAGTAGCTGCAACTGGGAAAGCACAAAAATAGTTAGCACATAAACGAATAAAATTAAGAGTAGTTTTTAGTAAATCAATGCTTACGTAGTGTGCTTGCTATGAAGGAACCGGACGCAGAGAATGCAAGTGAAATGTTGTGGTCGAGCGACGATCCTGACGTAGAGGCCGGAGGTGACGAGTTACCACTTGAACGTACGCTAGCGCCACTAGGAGACTGAAAGAAATTGGCATTACTTAGAAACTTGTTTGATGATCTGTTAAACTTTGACTAAAAGTAATATTATGTGTGTATAAAATACTATTTAGATGTGATTTTGACATTTAAGGTATTTAATCTAATCTAGTGTTTATATAAGTATCTTATGAGAAGTAGATCTTCCACATACAAGTAAGTTCACATTAGAAGTTCCATCCAGGCGTCTGCTTCGGTCGTAGGTGGAATCCAAGGCCAATTTATCGGCTTCAGCTAAAAACCTTCGGTTGAATACTAGTAACCTAATAATACCTTGAGTTTCGCCTGCCTAGTGGGCTGGGGTGTTGGTGCTTTTTGAGCCAGCTGTGCCACTTGATGAAGCACACCTTCGCGACGAAATTGAGCGCCCATCTCTTCGGGCAAGCGCTGCATGAGGATTTCCGCCAACTGCAGTGATCCTACCACAATGCGCAAGTCGCTCGAAGCCATCATACCCGCAATGTGAGATGATATCACCTGAAAATTTTATTTTCAGTACTTATTAGTTGTTCATGTTTTATGTTATATTTTCATAGTCTGATATTAATACATAGATTTAAGGTATGGTAATAACAGATGACCAAACACTTCTTAACCAATATCAAAGAGATGTTTAGTAACCCTTTAGAAGTTTGTGATTTTGTTTAATTACATAATTATTAGTTAAGAAGTATACTAACTGTTTTTCAACAAGTTGAATGTACATGTGTAAATTATCCAATATTAGATAAGTTACAGGAAGTAAGAAAATTGTTAATGAATAAATGTTTTACCATAAATTACCTGAGTTTTAAGCACTTGTCGAAGTAGCTGAGCATCAGCATAGTAGACACAGCGGAGAATAGCTTTAAGTGCTTGCGAGCGCACGGCTGGTCCAGCAGAGCTCCAATACACCTCATGTAGGACCGCCAATAGCGCACGCACTAGAGACGGATTTGAACGCACCATAGCTATACGTTGATCTGTCATGAAAATAATAGATTTGAACTAACGCCCATGCTATTTTCATTCAATTAAAAATATATTTAACCTTACACCTTATTTTTTTAACTTACAAAGGCTACAACAAAATTGATCGATTTCATATCAGTGTCACAGTTAAGTATTTTTTATGTGTCCATTTACGTAAATTCATTTGGAAGATTTTTATCAATTTACCATGAAATTGTGTTTTTTTCTAAGTGAATTTGAGGGAGCTTCATTACTTTAATGTATAATCCAGTGTCTCACTGTAATTTGTGTGTTTGTTTACTAAAAATGTCAAGTTAGAAAAAAAACACTATACACCATGTTGTAGACGCACAAATAACAACAGTACAATATAAATTGTATAAATAAAGCAGACAGATATGTTTGTTTAAATGAGAAATTTCGTTACACCGTTTCGTGAACCAGGCACATATCTATCTATCATAAAATGCGCTGTCGATCTACGTTAGCTTTGGACTTTCTTATAATTCTTACCAGCCGGCGGGGACGATCCATCTGTGCTACTCCCGTGGGACGTGGCTGCGGTTGGTGGCGGCAGGCGTTGCACAGGCCGCGCAGTGCCGGTATGGTCGTTGAGTTGCTGCATGGTGGTCAGGTCCACGGTGTAGGAACGGCCCAGTGTAGCAAGACACACCTCCTCCTCACCAGCGCTCGCACCAGCCTCCAGCGCACGACATTCTGCCCAAGAATAAGACCGCCATACACCTATACGGGTGCAGGTTACATTCAAACTACTGTAATTTTTTTGTTAGGTCACAGCTGTCACTCCTCTTTCTTGACCGTGGTGACGCCGAAACGGTAATTGTCAATTTTGTTAGTATGTAAATATTTGTATAATATGGGTGTGTGATTAAAATATTTTTGTAAGACAAAGATTGCGAATCCTTTAAAAATATTGATAGTTCACACAGTACTTCACCAATTAACAATAATCGTAATTTTAGTACGACAAAACTAAGGATATGCTTAGGTTGTATATCTTCATTTGAAGATCAGCATCTAGTCCTGTAGGTACCACTACTTTTCTTGATATATATTTTTTGGATTATTTTAAGGTTACCTCTATCATCTCGCCACTGCCATTGGGCACCACGTTCGTTATTGGCAGACCACGGTCTATCTAGCAGAGCATCCACTGCGAATATTCCATCAGTCGGGAGTCTGGGCATCAATTCTCCAATCAGGCACGTGATCTCGTATAGTTCTTGCGGAAGACGTGGCAGTAATTCAACTTGCTGAGGAAAAAGACGGTATAACAATCATCAATTTCGAGGATTCTAAATCAGAGCTTATTGGGCATAACTTAATGCTAAAAACACTTGTAACGGTTTACAACGGGAAATAAAAAGTGTTTTATGTAAATGTGTACTTGCGTAAATGGATGTGACTGATTGTTGTTTAATTAAAAAATGTACTAGTCATAAGCTAGTCGCAATAAATGCTATAGTTAGCTAGCGAAATATAACACATATGTACCTCATTATGCACAGTAGAGCCTGTGAGTAGACAAAGTAGTGTGTCGGCGATAGAGCGCTGATGAAGAGCCAGAGCGAGTTGAGGGCACGCGGCGCACATCACCCATAGAAGGCGAAGTACCGTGATGAAGGTGTTTCCAGCTATCAACGGTGGTTGTACTACCAACTGTAAATATTAAAGAGCATATTACGTCGTCGTTTTTTTATGATAGCGGAGGATGGACAAGCTCTTCACTAAGAAGATTGTGTTCCCAAATTTTTGCTTTAGATATTTGAAAATCCACGTATGTGGACGGTGGTTCGTGACCCGGACAGAATTTCGATAAACCTAGCACCTATTTATATATTATATATACCTACCGCCTCTGGAGCCAAATGGTTAAACGTATTCACTAGGATTGCGTTAAGCGCAAGAGGTCCTGGGTTCCAATCCCAAGGAAAAATAAAATTGTTTTGGTCGGGTAGGGCACAGAAGTCTGATCAATTACATGCCCGTTAAAAGAAAGGGCCCCCCCCCCCTCAAGATTCGGATGCATTGTCTGCAGAAGGCCTACTCCACATAACGACGACTTTTTAAACCACTAAAATTAATTTAAATGTGTATTACTGAAGCACCACACAATCCTCAATTCAAAAGGAACTTTAATTACTATTTTAAGACACACATAAGTATTAGGTATATCTTTCTAAATATACCAAAAAGCATATGTTATAAACTCGACAACTTACTAGTTGTTGCAAGTTTGTGAGCAGTTCAGGTGTCGCGATCTCCTGGAGACGAGATGGATCATGTTGGAAGCTGTCCACGAGACGAGAGAACGCCAAGCACACGCACTCCACAGACTTCTTGTCTTGGATTGTTAATCTGTATAATGAAGAGCCATAGATAATTAATAAAGCACTAATTATAAATACAGTTTAGATTGTAGATCTAGGTACTTGAAGGTTTAAGATGTTTATTTAGGCAAGCAATAAATTTTCATTTAAGGGAAAATACAGTAATATACAGTACATAATATTATTTTTATATATTTGACTTACCTATTAGCAAGTAGTTGAAGCGAGTCTCTGACGAGGTGAAACTCGTCTGGAGTGAGATTCTGGCAGCAGTTAGCCGTGATGGAGAGCGCCGCACGTTGAGCGTTGATCGAGAAGAAATCCAGATACGTCAAGCAAGCTGACACGCCGCGCTACAAGAACGCAATGATTAAATTAAAAATTAATTTTAGATTATACAATAAAATACGACACGGTAGGACTTGAATTGGCATCCACAGTGTTTCGTACTGTTGCTCCAGCCAATCGAGCTACCATGTAATTTTTTTCAATCTAAAGTCGATTTTTATTTTTATAGTACCTTCATGTGCATAATACAAATAACGTGTTGAAAATCTGTAAGTTTTTTAATGCAAAAATTATATTTAAAAAAATATTAAGAGGACAATACTGCTATTGCTGTCTCTCTTCAAAGTCTGTGATCAACAATAGAATTTGACCGATCTGCTGTTTTTAATGATTTTCTTTGTACAGCACAATTGTATTTTGAGTGAAAATAGATTGTTTTTTTTATAGGTTTGAGATTTTATAGAATACTATTAAATGCAGTTGAAATTAATAAAATTGATACCATGAAACTAACTATTGAAAGAGACAGACTTACTTACTTTGAATTACAAAGCAATTCTTTTGGTGTGTTTAGGAACCAAGTGGCCATGGTACCATCATTTCGAATTATGAAAGTAAAGGACAGACAAAAGCTTTCTCTTGATAGAAGCCAATCACCCCAGCCATATAAGATCTAAACAAGACGCGTTGTCGATCTTTTTGGCTTTGAATATTCGGAAAGCTACAGATTGGAACCAAAACGCGTATAGTTTAATGACTTTTATTAATGGACAGAATTTCGATATTCTTACCACCCAATTAATATCCAGATTTCTAGACGACGTGATACATGTTTTCGAAAAATGATAAAATAATTAGAAAAATGTAAGAGCCGTTGGGGGATCGAACCGTTGGTTATTCGCTATATCTTCCTACACCAACGAGCCCGTCAACCGTGTTTTGACTCATATATAATTTCACACTCACCGCTTGCAGAATAGCTTTAGAATGTCTCCTGGAGAGCATATCCAGGGCTGTGAGCGACTGTTCCGCCACGTCCATACAAGTGATGGCCTGCAGCTTGTCTAGGAAGGCTGGCACTGCGAGGGCCACAGCTCCGCTACTGCGAGGTAGCGCTTCCAACATGTATGTTAGCGCACGGCATGCGTGGTTCATCTACATTATATAATACTAGTGTTTAACAACGTAATGTGGAAAAGAAAATAAATACTGTTTATCTTTAAAGTAAACAATGAAATCTGCTCTCGCTTTTAATTGTTTTAGATCTCTTTGCATGCAAGGCAATAATAATTACGGTCTTAATGCTCTGTGACAATACAAATTCTATATTTGATGTAAATTTAGGGTCATTTAAAACAAGGTGTTTGTATTTCTTAGATAAGATTTCTAGATTATCTCCCAGTGCATGTTTTTTGGCTTTTGCTGTTAATGCTTACAAATAAACGAATAAATATATAACTTGGGTTTTCCCTAAATTTTATAAATTTAAAAGCCAAGATTTTTAAAAATATCTTATGATTAAGTCCGCTTATAATATTGTTATTTAATCACGCATTTAAGTTTACTTATTAATAAAGAATACGAGAAAAAATAGAAAAAAATCGAATACAAATACTTTCATATATCTTACAGCATCATTTCTTTATAGCAATGTTGTCCATATCTTTAATTTAAATACATAAACGTCACATAAGTTTAAATTAAGTTATTTTTTAGTTTAAGCTTTAAATATGTAGTTAGTTGATAAGCCTCTTTGATATAAATAAATCTTTTAAGTAAGAATAATAGGTAAGCAATCAGAAAGTGGCCGGTCAAGAGAATGACCGACACTACGAGCTTCATTAAACTACCAGAACACAGAACAGCCGCTGGACGCAAGAATTTCACCCCATTATTTACGCAATACTTACTTACTAATAGTTAGTTAGTATTTAAAATAATAAATGGTTTTATGAGCGCTGTCTAACAGACGTACAGTAGGGTTTTGCTGGAAATCAGTGTCGTAGCATAACTGTGCTGCAACTAATGCTGACGCAAGACACGTTTGGCATCACTTTCATTAAATTAAATTTCATCTTTTTGTAATAGTTAATTTACTGTAATTACATTTACTTGTTTCTAACATTGTATTCAATAAATGCTAAATAGAGAGATCTTATTATTATTAAAATAAAACAACTTACCATATCAAAGTTATTTTCAGCGGCAAGCAGGTTGACTAAAGCCGGCACGACCTGCCGAACCGGAAAGCCTGCCAGCGTATCCTCATTGCCCATCACCAATAGTTGGCACATTTCTATCACCGCTTGCAACTGTTGGCCCTCATCACCAGTCGCCTGCAGTCCGGACAGCAGCTGCGCCGCTTTCGATGCCGCTGCTCAACAACCGAATTACCAAGTTTAATATCCATGTTGTCTGTTATTTTGGGTATCCAAATATATATTTATTTCTAGGGCCTATAGACATATATAGTAAATAGACTTTCTCGATAAATGCTCCAACCAATACAAATAAAAAATAATTTTACAAGTCGAACCAATAGTTCCTGAGATTAGCGCGTTTAAACAAACAAACACTTTAGCTTTATATTTTAGTAAAGATGATAAAAGCCCTTCTACGATTTTAGTATGGTTACGATTTGTTCCTTCATTCAGTATGTGAAGTTTTTACTGAGGTAATCAAAATATATTTCCTTTAAATAACAAATACGCACACACAATATAATAACTATTCTAATAAAATATTACGTATTAAATATTAAATAACACTCGCGTGTTCTAGGTGAAACATTTACCAGAATTAGCAGTGACTGTTCTATGCAAGAGGTGTTGCATACGGGGTCCAAGAGCACCAAGCAAGTGTGGCGGTAAGCCACGAGCTTCCAGAAGCGCCTGCAGTCTCCCCACTTCCCCCTCCTCCGAGGAGGATTCCTCTGCACCACCTGCATTGCTTCCGCCGCCGCTGCACTCTTCCGCCGGTGACGATGCTGTAAATAAGTTATTATACATTAAGTTTTAAAAGTTGGGAAAGCTAGTAAGTTTGAAGTAGCTTCGGCTTTGAGAGTAGATCAAGCTTTTTTGTGCAAATTGAAGACGAGGCGGTATTGTATTTTGTAAAACAGTGCCTGGTCAAGTCGATTCAAACTTCAAAATAGACTAGAACAACACCTACAATAAAAAACAATTAACTAAAATTAACTATTAACGACAAAGGATATTTTGTATTATTTCACATTCGGAATTAATGTGTAAAAATACACTATAGAATTAATATAATTGTATATATTCACTGTAATTAGCACACAATCTCTGGAATAATAAATCTTTGTGATATGAATACAACAGACAAACATATATTATTTACAATTTGTTTATCTCTTGTGCCAATATATAAATATCGTCATGAGCTTTTTTTTTATTAAATTATCATAATAACAGCAGTTATTGGCTTAAAAACAAGTGTAAAGACTAATTTCTTAAGAGATTAAGCGTGGGGTAAGGGTATACCTTTGCCCTTGGGCTTGGCATCGTTTGACGCGTTATCAGGCATCGACGCCGCTGAAGCTGACACCGGCGGCGTAGAAGATGTTGACGCTATAGCACCCTGTATAAGAGAGTATAATTAGAATTTTCAAACTTAAATCATAATTTGAATAGTGATATAGAAATGTGCTCACCGTGGTTACAGATTGCGAATGAGACCGGCCGGATGCACCGCCTGCGCTGGCGCACGAACCCAGACTGCTTTTACCTATTAAAAGAAAAAAAAATACATTACCGGAGGTAAGTCAAATGTGAAGCGCCATTAAATTTTATCTCAAATCCTGTAAATATGATTCATCCCGCAATATGAATTATAATTAATTACAGCCGTCTTAAATATGTTATATTTGGAATTTATTTAAACAGTTTTGCAGCAGCCGTTTTAGGTGCTTTGCAGCAGCTGTAGTCACGGTGGGACTAAAGATGAGGTTGTAACATAAATTATAAATATGTTTACCAATATATTTCGCGTTTTAAACCATTAAGTGTTTTTTTATATGTTAACTATTCGCGTAAACTACAGAAAATAATTACAATAGTCTTTTTTGAATATTTACATTTCTAGTAATTATAATCTGCATGGAAAAGTATAACTTTTTTTACTTCGCTTGTAATGTCGGTTTCGACACTGGAAGCAATCCAATTTTTGCTTCACCAAAAGACAAAAGGAATACCAGACCTATCCCACTCCTGAAACAGTTATGAAAAGTATGTTACCTCTTTTGTCCCGGCGTGTAGAGGACGACTGTGCGTGCGGCTGCGGTTGCGGCATGTCGCGCGCGCGCGCACGCCGCCCGCTTCCCGTGCTACTGCCTGCGTCCTCGCCCCCGCCCGACTGCAAAACCACGATGTTAAATAGAAAATTAAACTATCACCCATTTATTCGATTAAAAATTAAATCACATTAAATTTGGATTTGGGTATATTCAAACCATTGAAGGCCCTATAGGTGTATTGATTGATGTTAAAACAACCGAGTAGGATTTTACTTTTACTAATTTACAATAAATAACAGCAAATGCATAGACCACAAACCCCAGTACAAGAATTTACTTTGTTTCTTGGCATTTTTAACAATACCATATTACCAAAAAAGTCTATTGTCCAAATTAAAAAATCACTATAAACATCACATTTTTATCGTTGAACTTATATGCATGGCAGCTTTGGAAGACCAATGAAATTAATTTGTAACTGAATCATAGGCTCTAGTTTTGAGGCACTCACCTGTCTTTTAGACGATGTTTCCTGCCTCTGCCGTTGAGAGGTGCTAGCTCCTCTCGTCAGGCAAGCACCCAGAGTCGCACCCGTTGCAGCAGCGATACTCTGAAATATAAATGTAATTAAATAATAATTCTTACCTTAGGACACTCACAAATCAATGACGATACACTCTTATTTGTCAAGAGCATATTAGGGGAATAATAATTAATATATACTCACTCTTCTGGCGTTAGTTTGACGTAAGTAGGGGAGGTCGCGGGGAACGATTAACAACTTGCTGTCAGAGCTATGCGGTTTGGAGGAACTGGCTTCTGAAAGTGTACACAACCGACAACGTTAAGAACGTGTTATCGACCACATTATATTACGACTAATTCAACATCATTTAGCGCTAATCACCTTGTAAATCTTTAAATGGCGGCGGCGAAGTAGTTCTGCCGCGAATCTCTGCGCTTTTACGATCAGCTGGTGTCAATATCACCTCGTTCGGTGATACGTTTACTGCAATAACCCAATCTGTGAGAACTACGAAATTTCACGCTGTACTATTGAGAAATGCACTTGAACATATCAAGATAAGACATCTGATAAGCATTGTATCACAATAACAATTATGTCAACGTAAATAAGGCTCTATTCGTGATACTAGCAAATGACGTTTTATTTTGTAGTGTATGTTATATAGGTAAAATGCAAATACTATTGTTTGTTTATAAATATAGCTTACCTGTATTGTCGCTAACAACAGTGGAAGTGGGCGGGCCGAGATCACGATTATGGCGCTTTCGTAACAGATATGTACACGATGCTTGAGCAGAAAGTGCGTCGACTTTCTCCGAATCTTGTTCAGGGGTTCCTTTCTCGCTGAAAATGCTCTTGCCCGTTTCTAGTGCTTCTTTTGTACGCGTATCTACTTTGGGTTTCTTACACTCTTCAATGGAGAAGTAGGTGCTACTCTTTCTATTTGATAGAGAGCGATGTGATGGTCGTTTCCTTTTCTTCCCCTTCCTGCGACTGGTAGTGGGACTGTAAACTGAGTAATCGGAGTCTAGCAACTCAGTGACAGTGGATGAGCTGAACGGCGAATACGCGTAATCTCTCTCGTCTAGAGGCAATAATCCACCCTCAGTTTTGTGTAATGGCTGTTGAGTCGGGGTGCTTGTAGCGAACTGATTTGGCAGGCGATACTGGGGATGGATACTTGTATTATTTAGTACTTGCTCACAAACACTCTCGGATGAGTTAAGAGCAGTCCGTGAACGGGTCCGGTACGCTACACACTCGATTGCAGCAGATGTAGTCGATAAAGAATGCCTCTTCGATTTCTTCTTGTCATACGACAAAGTCCGTCGCCGTTTCGGTTGTTCGCCGGCGGTATGTCTCGGGGTGTCTCCGTGTTTAGATTCGGGGGTGTCGTATCTGGTTTCGTAGACGTCGGTTCCGTAGGACCACCTCTCGGAAATGGAATAATCAGATCTTGGTAGCGAGTTAACGAGCCGTGAACTCCTTCTTAGTTCGACGTTGAATGGTTCTGAATCGGGGGTCGGGCCGAATGGCTGGCGGCTGGTATGCGGTTGGGGCGACGTCGCGTTACGTCTGCTTCGACGACTAGAGCTAGCTTTACGCTCTTGACGAAACCACCGACCGCCCACCACCCTGCTAGGAGAAGACCTGCAGAGACACAATCCGAACATTGAATTACTTAACGTATTTTATATCCTGTTACTCTGATATACATGAAGCCTCATGGGGTGTACTTAATTATACACAAATAAATCTGATTTAGATATGTATATAATTACAAAAATTATTAGATAACACAAGCTATCTTATACATTAGGTAAGTCATTAGGCAAGACTCACTTTGGGTTAATGTGTGAAGTAAGTATTAGACAATCAAATCACATTGTCAGTAAAAAATTTTTTGAACTAAAAGTTACAGATTTCACATAAAAAAAAATAAGCAATATTATACTTGAATCATCAAATCTTTATAGATTTCTCTTATGTAAAAATTAAATCCCTATTTTGTGTATCTTACTGCACAAATACTTGTAATAGTATGAAATATAACAAATTTTAAACTGATAGGTATTTTATTTAAATATACTTGCATAGGCATAGAGTACAGACAATACTAAATATTTAAACAATATAATCTTGATATAAAGTTAAACTAATTTTTCACTTATCGAATATATATATTTTTTAAGTAAATCAATAAAGATTTAAAGTTACTTATAACAATATTCATACTAAGATTTCATTCATGCTATCAATTGCTCTCGTAGAATATTCTGTATGGAGGAATTTGTTGTTTAAATTACAAATTTAAAATGTATATGTGACATATGAAAACAAATTTAGGTCCCATAATGAATGTCATGACCATATTGATGTTAGTCATTTCCTTTTTGTGGCATGTTTAAAATGTTATGTGCTTTGTCTCTGACTAAGAAACATAATGTTAAGTGATTGGAAATCAAAAATCACTTCTAGTCAACATACTTCTAGTATACATCACTCCTAGGTAACAATAAATGTAAGTGAAAATCTTCTACAGTCTAACAGTGATATCTTATAACAGCGGTTGTTGTGAGCGTGGTTAAATGCTGTAGTCTAGTAGCGGTACTACCAGATTCATCTCTTCCAATCCAGGTTTCTACATACTAGGATTGTTTTTTTACAGTCAAGTATAACTGTACAAATCACAAAAATATGCCAGCAAGATTTTTTTCTATTGAGACAGTGTACAATGAAATATTAATCATAACTACCTAATGTCATGGAACACTTTTTGATCGCCTTTATTAGGCACCAGGATAGACAAATGAGGGAAATTCTTAAACCTAAATTCAAATCAACATGTATATTTTGATGACATTTTTGAATATGTTAAATATAACTACCCCCCCTCTAAACATCCATTGTAGCATTGTTTTTGAACATACATGTGGTACATGTGCATAAACCAATCATCACTATTAGATCATCGAGCCAATCCATCACCTAGATACTGAGCAGTTGCTTACCTGCTGGACTCTCTCGTGAGTGCAGAGTGCGACGGTGTGATGTGTGGCTCGGCCATAGACGACGCTGAGAGAAACGCGGCTCCTTGTGTGTGGCCTGCGCAGGCCGCCCGCGCCCGCTACCTGCCCGGAACCATGCCCGGGCGAACACTACACCACTGTCTATGCATCCACTATTGTCTCTCTTATTCAAAACCACATTACCCACTTGCCCACACAATCACACTATGCACTTCAGAAAATGTTTTTACTCTCCTCCAGACTATCTGTAACAAAGATAAAAGCACAATCAACAACAGAACAACACAGTGTTACATAAACATATCAATTATTAATTGCAACACAATACCTGCCACCGAAGCAGGCGTTCGATTATATCGCCAAAGGTCTTAATACGGAACACAATTTTAATCTTCGGATAAGTGAGAATCGTGAAATATTGTATTACCACGTTTCACGAGAATTATAATTGAAATGACACATCAAGGACGGCTAATGAACTAAAATTTTCGTCGTATTTTTCAATAATATTCACAGAACTCACAGCTGGCCATCTGTCAAAACTGATCAATGTTGCCAACTTTGAAATTTTACTTGCGCACAAGCGAGAAATGACATTATTGCCAGTCCACTTAATACAGCCTGTATAAAAGAATCACATAGATGTCGCTAGTTCTACATAGGCTATTTATGACAAACAACAATTGCGGTAAAATTAAAATTCTGATATACGTAGCGGAATAGCTTTAGCCACTTGTCGGATCGAGAATGTAATGATTCCATAACACTATTTAATTTATATTTAGTAAATCTTGTTTAAGGTCGGGAAAGGCTTTCACAAAAAACGTAATTATCAAAATCCTTGACATACGTGAAATAAATAAGTGTTACACTTATACATAATTTGTTTTTATTTAATGCTAGTAAAATAAAGAGAAATACAGGTGTCGCATGTAGGGTTCACTTTCTGCCTTATTCAAATAAATGCAAGTCAAAACCAGTTTAATTTATAAAAAGAGTATGTCTTAGAAAAGATGCATCACTGGAATGGGTTGCTTTTGTTGAGTTCAAACCCGATTGATTGGTAAAAAGAAAATCGATTTTCGGTCAGGCACTGGGTAGTGTACAGTCATTACATATAGAGAAGCATATATTATATATAAGCTTCTATGTATTCTACAAAGGTGGTATCAACCACATCCTCACGACGCTTAACATGTAAACAAAGATGTAGCGAGTAATCTCCAAAGGAAACAAATAACGACTGTTAGGGACATGATAAGAAGTAATATTTATTTGTATATTTTTTTCACAATAAATGTATTTAAAAAAAGCATTCATATATTTATGCAATTAAAATATATTTTTTTCGAAATATTCTCATTTTAAAAGGCATAATTAATTGAACCTCTAACATAAGACCCCATTTTAACATCGCGTAACGTAAAATAGACAGGTAAAAATATAAAGTTGATATCGGTTAAGTGCAATGTGCAGCGGCAGGTAGATAAATTTGAATATTTCCAATTCTATTTGTGTCTACCTGAGTACTGAATAAACGCGAGATTCTGGATCAATAGTGGGTGGAACAAAATACAGCTACGATTTTACACAAAAGGCTTGTGAATTTTTTGTTATAATTGTAATATTGACATGGGAACACAAGAACGTTTAAACACTGTCTATAGTTTACGCGAGTAGTACACATTTAAATGAAACACTTTAACGGTTTAAAACGCGATATATTAGTTAAACTTATTAGGGGAAATATTATTATAGGCGAGACCCCCCATCTGTCTCCCCGTGAGCACGGCTGCTGCAAAGCATTCGAAACGTCGGGCCGAAGTTAAAAATCATTTTCAAATAAGTTTAACTAATATATCGCGTTTTAAACCGTTAAAGTGTTTTATTTAAACAAGAACGTTTAATAAATGTATTTTGAAAACTTTAGTATTTGCACATGTAGGCATTATATTTAAATTAATGCGTGGATTTGCGCGAGGTGCATGTATCAATAGATTAAAAAATTCGACCATAACGTGTAGGACACGGTAGCTCAATTAGTTAGAGTAAAGCTCGGAACGCTATGGATGCCAGTTCGAGGCCAATTCGTTCGTTTTTTTTTTCAATCTATATTCGAATTTTAATTTATTTAAAATAAATGTATTTATTGAAAATGTATTATGATGGTGTTTCTTAATTCATATAAACAATATAAGTTGTACTAAGATATGTTTTGTTTTAAATAATTTTCGTAATTCGATACTGTCGAGAACAGCTGTGGCAGATGCGCGTTATGTTACGATTTCTCCTAACGCGATTGCGTAAATTTAGAGACAAATATTAGATTTCCCTCTCATAAGACTGCGGTGGGACTACAAAATATCTCGATCCGTCACCGTCTATCTTTATGCTTTTCAGCCTCAATAGACCATGCGGTTCATAGACCTTTACACAAGTTTTATTTTTACTTAACACGTCCAGTTATTACGGCTTTCGAACTCAGGACCGAGCAGCGTATTAGCTGCTTTATCGACTGAGTCCCTTATGCTTCACCGATTTTATGCAAATAATTTGTATTTATAGAAAAGCTCTTATATGTATTAACATTTATAATTATCTTATGAATATTCAAGAGAAAAAAAGATGTAAGTACATTTTTTTTACTCTTTCTGTAGCTATTCAGGTTAAACGTGGTGCATTGAACGCAAGACGTCCTGGATTCGAATCCGGGGGAAATATTACATTGTTTCGATCAGGCAGGGCACAAATGTTTGATCTAGTTGATCGCCTTGCTTGTAAAGAAAACCCAACAATGAAACGGACACAGAGATATGTTCGACCCAGCCCCTGGGGGATTTCACTTTTTGAAACAATCTATAAGTCTATTTGTTACGATGTTGTGTATTCAAAATAAATAATTTTAGTTCATTAGTGTAAAAATCAAAATGGTGTGGACAGATATTGTTTCAAGAGGGGCTGCACCCCAAGGCCGTGGGTCGACAACCCGACATCGACAGAACTGCGTTGGCACGTGCGGATCCTGCTGGCCTCGGTGCGAAAATCAGTATCCAAGACCCCAACGCAAAATGTGCTTTAGAAAACGTTAATATCTTGAATCAGTCTCATTATTTAATTTTAGAGGCAGAGTAGCCTAACTGCAATTTTATAACTTAATTTATTTATATTTTCGAAGTGTTAAAAAGTTAATCTACAAGAGCACAATGACCGAAAATTGTTAACATAATTTTTACACAAATAATAGTAAAATTTATTTTCGCTTAAGTGAAATGCGTAATTTCATTTTCCTCATAATCGAGAATCATGTTTATTTTGTTGAAGAATATGTTGAAAAATAATATGTACACAATAATGCTTGCATTGAGAAAACACAACGCTACATCTAAACTAAATACAATACAAATTATGCATGTGTACATATTTTAAAATCATTTTTAATTGAGTGTATATATGTAGGACTGTATAAAGAATGATAGATTAGAAAACAATGTTTTTAACAAATGTATGTATGTACTATAATAATACAATGTTCAGTGCGGTAAGGCAAATTTTCGAGTTCTTCAGCATTAGTTTATAATATGATAAAGCTGAGTCTAGAGTCGTAAAACTTAAATAAATTTACTGTCTCCACTGAAGTATACAGAAATGTTACTTGTAAAAACCAATTTCCCTACAATTCAGATATGCAGAAAAAAGCTAATTTACCATAAACTGTTCAAAATGAATTATAGGATACCGCTTTGGCTGTGTGATTTAACTGTGTTTTAAACGAAATACTATAATAATTGAATACGCACGATTTGACGGTTTAAAACGCGAAATGTATTATTTAAATGATTTTTAATACCACCCTATGTTTCAATACATGCATAACTTCAGTTCGTGGTTAAAAACAATTTAACTAATGTATTTTGTTTTATATCATGTTTTTACGGTACTAATGAGCGAAAGGATAGCAATTTTAAATCACAATATGAGATCAGATCAGCAAAGTCGTTGGGCCTGGTCGCGTTATAGTTTATTTTGATCGCGTTAACCGTTAACTCACCGGTTCAGTAGCGCAGAAACTTTTATAAAAATCGTCGAGTAAATGTTGAGCCTGAGTTGAAAATAACTTAATGCTTGCGTTTCCTAGTGAAGCGGTACGAAATTATATCGCATGGAATTTGAATTTCAATACAGTTTTCCAAGCATAAATGATAACATATACAAAAATGCGTCCGTTCACACGGTAATTATTTAAAATTTTAATAATATAACGACAACTGAAGGACCGATCGATGGTCTGGTGAACAGCCGACACTTTTCAGCAATTCCATCAACAAATAACATTCTTCAACCGAAATTTTTGTGTCGGACGCTCGCAACTTATCCGCTGAATTGCAGCATTTCTCCCATGCCTGAATAAAGACTGCATCTTAACCCGTTAAAAGTGTTTTATATAATCCTAATACTGTATTCTAACTTATTTAAACACTATTAATTAAAAAAACAAAACGCACATGCATTACTAACGACTAAGCGCCTCGCAGCATTCGTTTACGTCAACTTGTCAAGCTTTACCGACTTTGAGAATAGATTGGCCAGTATAAGGCACGATTGTGGATTAAGTATAAATGGGAATCAATCTGTTGCAGAGTGCAGTAACGGGGAGTCAACGACCGGCCCGTTGCAATCGCCCGCGCCCCCGCTTATACCGAAACACTCTTCTTTAGATCCCCATGGGTTCAATGACCTCACGACCCTTCGGTTTGGCATCACATAAAATTGACAACTGGGATATCAACGTGCAGATACAAAAATTAATGAGGACTATTGTTTACAATGAACGATTTTTTTTCAAACAGTAGACATACTACATTTAATACAACTTAATATTCTCTTTTATCACATCGCAAGAGTCACAGTTTATATCGATTATTATTATCGAATTAAAAAGTTCACTTTGCTAAACTATTTTTCCTGTAAAATAACAGACAAAGAAACTGGAAGAGATAAGAGTCCGGGGGCTTTTACTTTGTAATATAAAATCTACAAAAAAATATTCTTTGAATGTAACACTATAATATATATTATTATTCAATTACCACACGATAAGGCACATGAAAACTACAAAGAGACTAGACTCGAATTCACGACCAACGGCGTACCGCCCATGTACATCGAATTTGATAACTCTTACTCACTGTAGTTGAATTCAAACCGGACCTAGTGGCTGGACAATCCGATTCATACATTTTGACATTTAAAACAAACCTTTGTGGAAACGATGGCAAAATTACCTCGCAGCAGGTAATTATGCAAATTGACGTCTCTAATTAAGAGGAATAAAGACCCAATTTTACCGAGAATAAGAACATTAAATAATGTTATCAATCTATACTCTATCTATACTAATATAATAAAAGCTGAACAATTTGTTTGTTTGAACGCGCTAACCTCAGGAACTACTGGTTGGATTAGAAAAAAAAATTGAATTATTTTTGTATTGGTTAGAGCATTTAACGAAGAAACAGCGAATTTGGATGCTCAAGATAACGAATCTCGCAGACCAAGTCGCTGACACAGTTAGTGCCGAATAACAGTCGGTCAACTGTAATCGATATCATTTTTCTTCGTGGAACTAGTAATTGGGCTGCTAACTTGTGTCTTAAATATATTTTTTTCTTTATCCAATTATATGACAATACATATATGTTTAAAAACATCAACATGAAAGCGTACCATATAATTCGGAGAAAGTTATGGGTGTCGTAAGTGGAACTTGCGACGATAATACAAGACCTTCGTGGTCGAGCCAAAATACAAGTTGAAGTAATCAGTTTACGTAACAACTTTACGAAAACAACAGATACTGAACGAATACTGAGGACCTACTTATAGTTACTTAGTATTCGTTACCATTTGTAAACAACATTTATCACGTTTAATACGATCATTTTGTGATTCTAATAGCAGTTTTAAAATATAAATGAACAAACATTAATTCATTAATTAATTGTCCGACCGTAGTTAAAAATATAAAGTGAATCCGCGTTTAAAGCGGTTAAAATGTGTTTTTTTTGTTTACATCGTATTTGTACGTGTGACTTCTTTACGTAGTAAGCACAAACCAATAGTTATTAGCGCATGCGAGTTCATATAACGAGGAACAGGCTTCAAATACCGAGGCAGTATTTGAAATGGAAGTGAAATTTTAGATTTTTCCCGATCCCGAAGGTTGGAGAAACTACCGTCACCCCAGTGGTTAACCCATCAGCCCCGGTTATCGCAACTAATTTAGAGGCCTTAGCCCTTAAGGACCGCCTCTGGTTCGAATCCTAGGAAAAGGAAAATTGATATCAGGCAAGGCACAGAAGTCTGATCAACTTCTTGCCTGTTAGAGGGCCCTTAAAGACCAGAATCCCGCGCAGCAGAGGATGGGTCTAAACTATAGAGACTAGTGGAATATTAAAAGGTAAAACCTAACGTACTTGTACACGCGAGTATTTTATCATGCGACCTTGTCGGAAATTGCATTACGAACGCTACATTACTTAGATGTTACTTTGTAAGTATTGGATATGCAATATTTATTTGTTATAACGTTTACCTAAGCTATAAAGTCAGAAATCGTTGATCTGTACTGTTATTTAAATTATCAAAATCTAAGTATAATATAGAATCTTATATCCTTCTATTTGTAAATGCTCTGAAAGCACTGCACTTATTGCTTTACCATTATTTCAGGTTCGGCTTGAACAACATCGATTGATTGATTGATTTTTTAACACAAATTTAAAATAACTACTGAGTACATGTTCTTAAACATAAATATATGAATATGTAAAAAATAGTTAACCTATATAATATAAAAATCGAAAATAAATTGAAAAAATTTTCGACTCGGGCAGGACTTGAACCGGCATCGTCAGCGTTTCTTGCTGTTGCTCTACCAATTGTAGGACTCGGTAGCTCAATTGGTAGAGCAACAGCACGGAACGCTGACGACACCGGTTCAAGTCCCGCCCGAGTCGAAAATTTTTTCAATTTATTTTCGATTTTACAATTATATAGTGCCTTCATGCGCATGTAAAAAATAATAATGTTTTCAATAGTTAACCTACCATGTTAGATAGAGGAGGACAAAGAAACATGGGACTCAATTCATAAAAGGTGAAATAGTCTGGATATTCGGATATCTCTTTAATTCTATAACAGAAACATTTGTTTTACAAAATTAATCTGCCAACAGTCGTTAACTTAAAGGAAACGTTTGCGATATTAAGCATAACTGAACATAAAAAAAAGATAAAGCCTGACTGATCGTAGAATGCCAGCACGATTAAAATTGTTACTACTCTCGCTAATTGAGAATGTCATCAAACTAAAATATTCTATCTACTTTTTACGCTGTGTGGAGGTGCTGGCAGAAGTGTCGTTTATATCCTTAGTATAGCTTGTCCGGGCCGCCACAGCCCGATCGATAGAGGCACCAAGCGAGGACTGAGCCACCCTCCTACCTCCACTTTCATATATAGGAACCCTCTAGTTTATCTAACAATATTTTAGGGGGATTGAATGTAATTAGTGAATACAGAGGAACTGAATACACGGACGGGTTTCAAATACGACGGATTCCATGCGAAGAGCTGCGGATTCTATATCCGTTTTTGTTCTTTATTTTTTTAATTTCAATAGATATTTGTTATTTCAGGTGTTTTTTAATGATATGTTAACCGTTACAGGAACATAAGATGGCTGAGACTAAATATGCGGATTCGACACATTATTTTTTATATTTTAGGTGTAAAGTAATTTAATACGCTATATTTTGACATTCAGAAAAAAATATTGATTCAATAATAATTGAATAATCAATAACCGGAGAAGGAAAAATATTTCCTTTGAACGTGAAAGGGTTAGTAATAATATGACATGTTGCTATGTTGTACACATCTTTGTCATTTAGACTTTAATTTTAAGCCAAATATTGTATAAATAAAGTAATAACAAATTGATGCTTGGGATAACTGGGACTTTATGAAGTGTGATTTAATATAACGGTACAATAATAGACACAAAAAACATTGAAATGGTGGATTATGGAGTGTAAATATATAAAATTTTAACTTTTCATTTAAAAATAATAAAATATGAATTGTTTTCATTATATGTTAAATAAAAACTTCACCAATCCTAATAATATAAATGAATACACACACTGTTATTGCTATATGAGTGAGGGTATGTGATAAAAATATGAAAGTTAATTTAAATATACATAAATAGTCTAATATGCAGCTAAAACAGCTAAAGGAATAATGGAATTAAACAGTATCTTTTGTCTTTGTTCCACATGTATGTATAGTTGTAATGAAAATAGAGACAGCCAGTGTTGTACCATGACAACAAAGACATTCTCAAATTAAGTCATAATTCTTTTTTAGTTTACATCCACTAGCCAATGCTTTGTTTATTAGTTATGTTGAAAAGGTAAAAGAATATTTTGAGACTTTCAAGCGATATTTAAGATCAAACATTCACATAATCAAATGAGTCATGACCTAGATACACATAGCGATAATATAATATGCCTAATCTTTCAACCTAATTGGCATAATCAGGTCACTAGCAAAAGTAACATACAGTCAAACTAACATGGTTCTTATATAGATTAGTGATATAATGTTTTTAAAAATTTTTATGATTGAAATATAGCTGCCATTAATATGGCACACCAAAAAAAAAATGGGTAATTTGTTACTTTACAATGACAAATTTTCAAATCTAAACATTATTACAATGTCTTACAAAATGCTTACCTAATCATAGTGTACATCAAAAATGCTTGCAAGTGTTTTGGTGTAACTGCAGAATTTCTTTGTTTTTTTAGATTATTATTTAGCCCGAAAAATGTATACGGGTACAGCGTTGCAACTTCATATTATCAGTAAACATTTTTAAATATCAAGGTCTGTGATTTTTTATAACATTGCGACACTGAACATCAAGTCATCATCATTATTTAATATGTTCTATTATTAACAATTACAAGACGCTATTCTCATTTTACTTACGATTTCATCAATGATATCCAAGCAAATTATTACACACAACAAAATTATATTCCAAAACAATCCATGAAATCACTAAAATGCGACGTAATAAATACCTAAAACTTCTTGTGGTGTTGTAACTTATACGACGAAGCACAGAATCGATTTAATGTTTGTCATACCTTCAATTTCTCGGCACAAACTTTATTAACACGAATATAGACATATTTTTCATTTGAGAAAACACCTTTAGTTCAAATTGAATCAATTGACACTCTTCAATTTTGATCAATGTTGAAAATCCAAACACTTTTAGAACAAAAAACAGCTGGTCGATTCAATTTAGTATTTTTGTGTTTTTCGAAAATAGCAACAAGGGATAGAGTGTCGCAATATTATGTAGAGGTATCCCAGAGACTATATAACCTAATATTAACAACAGGTAACATCGAGCGACCACAAACTACAGATACGGGTAAAAAATAATCGCAAAAACCGGAATCGATGTTTTTAATAATTGATCGTAAGGTGATTTAAACTGGTAGAATATGAATTCTTGTATTGTCTGAGGAGTCTTCGATTAAATATTTTATTAATGTAATCGAAGTAATTATTGGTAAATAGTGGAAGTAAGTATGGTTTTTTAAAAATATATAATCGATTGATATAAAAGATCAATATTTTATTTTACATTGAGTTTATAACATACATTATTTTAAAGATTTCATCTATCTTTTGGTAAAACTTTTTAATAATGGTATGTAAATATTTTTATTAAACCCACTTTAATCAAGAATACTTAAATAATCATCGTCATTTGTTAGACATAGGTTTTTAAAAATATCCGATGGCGATGGTATATTTTTATCATCTACTGGAAGTAAATCAATAAGTTCTTCTATGTTGGAGCTAGTAGAACCATTGTCTTGGACTGGAATTTCATTCAACTTCATATTCGATTCCTGAAGATCTTTCGAAACAGAATCCGATATTAGATTGAAATTTTCTGATTCCATATCTTCTAACGATAATTGTGCACCAGTCCGCACCAGTTCAGCATTAGCTTCAGATATTTCTGCATAGAACAATTTATTTTGTCCTTCGTCTTGAGAGTTAGAAATTGAATTTGGAACAGCCTTTGTTTTCTTTTTTAACTTTTCTACTAAATCTCCAGATTTTCTAACAACCGTCCCGGGTGGTTGTGATTGACATTTATGAGTTCGCTGGGAAACCTGTATATCATATACTTTACATAAGTAGGTATCTTAAATAAAAATAATATTCATGAATTCCACGTATTATGAAGTATTATTTAAATATTATCTTCGCATGAGCCTGCTATAATGCAATTCGCATTTATACCATGAAAAATATATTATTCTAAAATGTAAACTTACCTTGTATCTAAAATTTTTTTCACATGCTGTACATTTATATGGCATGGCGCCGGTGTGTATCCTTCTATGTACTAAATACGACACTCTTTGCCTAAAACATTTACCTAAAAATAATAATTTTAAAACAGTTAACATATGTATGCAAGGCAAATCTTAAACGCTTATAGGGTAAACATAAGAACTTTTTGTATGTACTTACCACAAGTTTCGCAAGCAAATGGTTTTTCGCCAGTATGGATGCGCTGATGATTGTGAAGAGTAGATAACTCCTTGAATGCTCGACCGCAAAAATTACATGTATGAGGCTTGTCATCATTATGATAAAGTATATGTTTATGATAAGACTGTTGAAACGTAAATGTCTTATTACACTGCGTACAAGCATAAGGAGTTTCACCTAATAACAAAAAGTATATATAATTAAGATAAATTAGTTACCACATTTAAGTAAATCTCATTTTTTAAATATGCATTTAAATACTGTCTATAGTTTACGCGAGTAGTACACATTTTAATAAAACACTTTAAGGATTTAAAACGCGATATATTAGTTAAACTTATTTGAAAATGATTTTTAAATCCCCGTGACTATGGCTGCTGCAAAATGCAAGCATAATGTAATTAAAAAATTTTTAAATAAGTTTAACTAATATAGCTTTTAAGTAAAGTATTTTTATATGCATTTAGTAAAATAAAAGTTTATTATATCTATCTTTTTAAGCTTTAAAGCGTTTCTAACGTTAACGTACATTAGGCTTATTATTATTATGCTATATATTAAGTATTAAGTTATAGGCTTTTGTAACTCATTTTATTAAAATCAGTTAGTACAATGTACCTTAAAATTAATATTTTTAACCTGTATGAAGTCGCTTATGTTTCTTCAAAAAGTATTTTGTCGTGAAAAACTTATTACAGACATCACACTGCCATTGTTTACCATCGTTTCTAACGTAACTCATTGGTTTTTCATCTTCGTTGCTTTCTGTTACTTTTTCGCTACCTGCCTGCTCATTTCTTTCGATTTCATTTTTATGCATAAACCCGTAGTGGGCAACTCTCAAATGAACCATCAGCGAACCGCGCATTTTAAAGCTTTTTGAACAAAGGTGACAACTATATTTTGTAGGCGGAGAACATTGATCTTCTACATTATGTATTATACTATTATGCATTTTTAAAATATCCGAGTTTATAAACTGCACTCCGCAAAGGTTGCATTTATTTTCAGCCATCACAGTATTATCTGGTTTTAACGCTGCAGTTATAATTAACGAGTTGTTGGTGATATTACTATTAATAACTGGCATTGCATTAAGGGCAACAACTGGCAGTTTAGGATATATCTTAATAAACTTTACAGGTGCGGACGTTGATGTAGAGCATGATTTATTTTTAGGCGCATGCGGTCTACATTTCTTCTGTTTATCTATTGAAGTTTGCTTTTCCGAACTCGTTGTAGGTTTGAGTTCAGGTTTTCGTCGCAGGTTATCATTAATACTCTGTAGTATATTCACATGACTAAATAGATGTATTGTCAATTTATCTAGCCCATTCACTTCTTCTTGGCAAACGGGGCACACTATATTATTTGTGGATACAAAAATTAATCTGTCTTTAAGCGATTTCACTGTATTAAAAGCACCAGTATGTAAACAAATGGGGCAAGATATTGAAGCTGCGTCGCCACTCATTTTAAAAACTTATATGTATTTTATGCCGCTATAACTTTTCAGTCTACTGATCGTATGGTACTAATCCAAAAGCATTCCTCGTTCGAGTTATTTTGGGTTGATTACGTGTGTATATTTTTGGCTGGTTTTCAAAAGATTTTGCTTGTTTATGTTTTATCTGCGTAAAAAACACTCAAAATATTCGCGGATAGGTGTTTAATAGAATGATTCTAAAGAAACAATATAAAGAGCAATTAGAGAGAATAGTAAGAAGGATTTAACGTTTATAAAGTAAAGAAATCGTCCTTTATCTAATAAGAACTTAGTTGTTGTAATTATTATATGTCGTTGTATCCGTTATCGTCTCTTTTATATATTAATATTACAACTTATTTTGAGGTAATGCTTGAACTTAAAACCTGACCAATATAAAAAATTGTATAAAGATAAACGTAATGATAGTCATATAAATCAATTATTGTTTATATGATTATCATTACGCTTATATTTCGAGAAATAAAAGTACAGTAAGAATGATAGTGTATTAAAACTTTTATTATAATACAACCTAACGTAAAACTCACAAGAGTAACAGCACATCCCTATGCATGACAGAGTATGTAATTGCTGTTTTATGTTTTAACGACATTGGTTTTAAGTTATTGAATCCGAAAATAATTAGAAAATATTTCTCTATGTGTTATTACATATCTATAATATATAATAACATTTATTACATATTAATACAATAGCCAGGATACAAGAAAGTTTTGTCGTAAACTCTATGCAGTTCCAATTCGTAAATAAATTTTTACCGACCATAGACAAAAAATCGAATGTTGCATTCTTAAAATTTTAAAATAAGGCGGGTTTGACGATATTTTCTCATTTGCTCTAATTTTTAATTTTCTAAAGTACTCCTAATTCTGTTTATTTTAACATGAACGTTCAATAAAAACATATAAGTTATCAATATATACAATATCAAGGCGTGTTTTTCAAGAACTACCGACTTGAATACACATTATATGTCCACATATTGGCGTTGGTTACTTCGATCAAACAAAGCAGAATATTGTATCATATAGCGATTTTATATTCGTTAAGTTTCTTTTATATTAAATATGAGCGAAAGCAATAAAAACGTTCCTGGTTACATGGTCCAATTATTAGAGGAACTTGGGTGGAACCAAGGAACAAGAATTCCCTTGGCAAATCCTGATAACCAAAATCTGGAGACACTTCTTATTACTAGGTATGTATCGAACAATTAAAAAAGATATTTGAAAAAATTATGCAATCCCTTACCGTGTCTACCTATTCCTATGATCTGACTTGCTGTTTATATTACAATATTTTAAATTATACCATATTTTTTATTGAATAAAATTTTCATGCCTGTCCTTTTTATTTATTAAAGTACATAAAACAATATCTTTCAGGCAAAATGAAATACAGCGGTTAAAGGAATCTTTGATATCTCAAAACCAGAAACGGACTGATCTAAATAAGTACAAAGATCATGTTCATACTGAGTATCAAGAGAATACAGTAAGTATTCTCTTAGAATACTTAAATATATTTTTTACATATATTCTTATAGCTAATATTATTCTGCTATTTCAGCGTTTACTATTCGCTCACAAACAACAATTAGAACAAGAGGTCAAGTTACGCCAACTGTCCTGTAATGAAACAGATAGGCTGGAAAGAGATGTTCTAGACTGCAGCAAAGACACAAACAACATATCAAAGCGCATTGATAGATTACAATGTAATTATTATGATTATTGATAATAATAAAAGTCTTTATTATGACTACTTATATTATTATGAATAACTATATAATAACTAACCATCAAATGTTATCTAAAGTTAACAAAAAATAGTAATTGATTTGCATCTAATATCAGCATCTTTAGTAACTACTCAGTTTTGCTGTTTGCATTTTCTTCTTAAAAAGTAAAATTAATAATTTTATATACTTATCCATAGGCAGTATTGCTCGCCTACTGAAGAAAGCTGATTCCTTGAAGAGCGAAGTGTGTGGGGAGCGTGGTGCTTTGCAAGAATGGAGAGCTGCGTTGGAGAGAAGCTCTGGTGATATCACAGCTATTGAACAATTTACAAAACAGGATCTTTCTAAGGCCAAGGTTAAATATATTACTTTTAATTAATATAAATAGTGTTGTTATTCTATCATATATGTATATATCAATGGTGGGTTTAATCCCCACTGGGTCCAACATTATTATACGTCTAAGCCTTTTGTAAATGTGTTTCTGTGAACTTTTGTTACATTGATATTTGTTTTCAATAATTATAGGCCCTAGAGACCAAGAGGCAGAAGTTAAAGGTTGAACATGACAGCATACACGAGCGCCTTGTCCAACTCGTTTCTAATCTCAGTGCTGAAGAAAGAGCATGTGAAAGGATATCGGTTCAGGTATGGTCACTAATTGTAAAGATTCCACTAGCGTGCTGTACTAAATAAAGCGAACAATAACATATTGTAATAGAACTAAACAAAACGCAAGCAAATGTGCTACACATTATTTTTAGTGATTTATATTTTTAAAAGATAGAATTAACTCTTTTAAATAAAACACTTTAACGGTTTAAAACGCGATATATTAGTTAAACTAATTTGAAAATGGTTTTTAACTTCAATGTCTAGAATTAACTCTTTTTGAGAGGCGGACATTTATAGTCATTCCATGTGTATTTTTGTGCAATTACAGGTCATGGAGGGTATGGAGCAAAGGAAACAGATGATGATGATGTGGACTGCAGCTGTGGAGAACTTAAGACAACGAGACACTGATATACGGCATATTAGGGAGGTCCGATTTGAGTATTATTAAATATCGTTAATAACCCTCTAATTTAAAATAAATATGAGGGGTCTATACAAAATTCCATTATAATGGGTTTAGCTGTTTTGATGTAAGAGTGATTGCAACACGTTGTTTTAAAATCAAAATGAACAATTATTTATTCAGGTAAAGGTAAAGGTAACACTTAGGAATGTCATAATTAAAAACTATGAATTACATTTACTACCAGTCCTCAAATTAAGGGAGTTGACTAAATGAAAACTGGCGAAGTTTTTGTTACAACGCTTACAGAACGGGTTCCTCCAAACCCTAAAAATTGTTGACATTGTTTATAGGACTATGCGGTATTGGAAGCAGAAGCCAACCGTCTGGCTGAGCAGAGTCGTGAACAACAGTCGTTCTGTGACCAGCAACACGGTAACAACATGGAAGCGCAGAGGGAGAACATGGCGCTCGCTCAACAACTCAGCCAGATCCGTCTTGCGTATCAGGAAACGTACGACGAAAATGTCACTTTGGATAGCGAAGTAAGTTTTTTTTAGACCCAGAGAGGGGGAAAAATCACATATCGGTGGTGCCTTTCAGTATTATTATGTATTTTGGCCCAGAGCCTACAATACTAATCAGACGTTTAGTGTGTGACTAGTAGAAATTTAAATAAAACATTTTTAACAGTTTGAAATAGAATCGAATTAGATATAAGTTTATTCAGAAACGACACAATACATTTAAAAAACATAAAGATATACAAATACAGCTTTAAATAACTAATTATTAAATATCATAGAATAAAAAATTTAGGTGCCTCTGTAAAGGGATCCACTCAGCTACGTTGGGACTAATGTTTCAACATAAATATTCTGTGGCCCCATCAGAGGCCGAGCTAACACACGATATAATTAGTTTAAACTAAATGCCATACCAATAAACAGTCTAGCTATAGGTGAATTAAAAATGGATGGAATTAAATATGGAAATTACATATTTGTTTATATTTTGAGAGCTATCAGGCTAAGCTTAACAAATAAACGCCTTTTCTTGATACAAGTTCGTCGCTTACCTTCCTTTACTATTAGGATTTTCACTTATATTTAGTATTCGACAACAGCTCGTTAACTTAACAGTGCATTTTTTGCCACAGGTTCAAAGTCTCCAGCGTGTATCGAGCAACATGGTCAGCGGTTTGGAGAAACTGCACTCTGAAAATAAACAATTAATGGAGGAACAGCATCGCAAGGACGTCGCGTTGCAGGCTGTCAATAATAAGGTTCAAATATCATCAATATTTGTATAAGACAAGTGTTTTTTTTTTATATAGAGGAGGACAGACATGGGGTTCCCTTGCTGGAAGGTAAGTAACTTATAATTACCCCAGCCATATAACTTCTAAACAAAACGCGCTGTCGACTTATTTTGGGTTTGGATATTCGTTAGTCGTTAAACGGACAACATTTGATGACGTCACCGACTCGTGATGGCGGATCGTCGAAAACCGTTTCTCAATTACGACGGCCGAACAGCCAGTTATCCTAAGTAATATTTTTTGTTCCTTTTTTTTATTAATCAAATATAGTATTATTGTTTCTGTAGCTAGCCGAAATTACCTTTCCACGTTGAAGAAAGCCACGAACAAAGCTACAATACAATGATAGTTATTTTACATACCTATTCTGCTTTTGTTTACAGCTAAAAGAACTGAAGGAAAAACTAACCGAGTCGACTGATACATCCAAATCGTCTGAAAAGCGAGCAAAGGAATTGGAGGAAATATTGAATGTATGTATGATTATTCACTTTTGTAAAATTAATATTAATTTTATTACCTACAGTTTACAAGTATATATTTACTTAAAGTTGACATGATCTAACATTGTTTCAAAATTATTCCTATTATAAAAAATGTCAATTTGATACATTTTTTTGTAAATAATTTGATCGTAGTGCAAACCTTTGTATTTTCATTCCTTATTTGATATCAATAGGAAGAGGAACGCTATGCGAGTCAGCTGACAAATAATCAGCAACATGCTATGCATTGTTCTTTTGTGGAACAGCAAAAGCTATTGGCCCTTAAGAACGAGGAGAAGCTGTTCCATATGCAACTAAAAGGTAAATACATTTTACTTTTTTTTCTTTTCATTAGATGTTATGTGGCTGGGGTCCCCTTTCACTACGTCTTCTCTTGTCTTAGCATATCTGCCCACCTTTATCATAGAAAAATAATATTTACTTACTTTAGAAGCAGCACAGTAATAATTACGAACGCTAACATAAAATTAAGTAACATTAAAATATGTTTAAATTGCAGCTTCAAAAGCGATAATGAGTAAATTAAGCAGCAAACAGCGTAATGTCGAAAAAAGCTTGCAGAGCCAAAAGGAGTCGCTGTATGGGATAGTACGTAAAAAAATAGATCTTACTTACTCAAGAGCATAACGTGACGACATAATTAGTTCTTTGAGCTCATTTCGAGGACGCACATATATTTTTAAAATGAATATTACATACTTCACTTATTCTATAGCTATTTTACAAAGTGTTGTATTTGTACGAAAATGCTAACTAAATCTCCTACTCTTTAAAAACGTTCGTGGACGCAAATTGCAGAGTTATCAAGTGGAAACAATCGGCGCACGCGTCGCCCATATGGAAGGCGCAAAAGCCGAACGCGAATGTTCCGCTGAACTTGTTGAAAGAGAAAACAGGTCTCATTCTCTGTTTCTTTGTGCGCACATTGTGTGAAAGCCGTTTCAATACACATTTTCATCGTACATCAGTGATTAAACTCAAGCTTAAAATAATGTATGTAAAAGGAGTTAAAAGATTATATGTTTTGAGTGCTTTCTACCAGCTGTGGTTACGGGGGACTATTTTGCCGCTACCTCGTCCCTCCCTCTGGTATTTCATAATGTAAAACATAAAAAAGTTACCCTCCGAGGCCAAAAGCTCAGAAGTCTTATGTGACCATTGCTATGTTTATATTATAGTATTTACAGCAAGCTTAACTATATCTTATAATGAGTACACAATCACCAGGTTGCAGGAAGTCCGCGCCCGTCACGCAGCGCGTGTCGCGACATTGGAACGACACTCTGGAAAGTTGTACGACGACATGCGTCGTCTAACTCGAGAGTTGGAGTATAGAAGTGGGGAACATAGCAAATTGGTAAAAAAATTATTGTTATACTGTCCACAATTATGGGCCTGGATTTAAGAGTGTCAACTCCATTATGTCACTGCAATACCTCTTAATACGGTTCAGAATTAAACAAACATAGAAATGCGTCCCACGTATGGAACAGAATGCTCAAAGTAAGGAAGGGGGGGCTGCCTTATAATAAAAAACGGCCGGGGGGGGGGGGGGGGAAAAAAAGGGGGGGGGGGGGGGGGGGGGGGGGGGGGTTCCCGGCAAAGCAGCCCTTAGCAAAGATTGGCGCTTAAATGCGCCCTTAGTAATATTAATAAATGCACCAAAAAGTTACTCTGTCTGTCTGTCCCTGTTAACATAATCTTTCACCCCCCAAAAAAAAAGAAAAAAAAAAAAAGGAAAAAAAAAAAAGAAATTTTTTTTTTTTTTTTACCCCTTTTAAAAAGGAAAAAATCTATGTTAAAAAAACCAAAACTACTAAACGAATTTGAATTAAATTTATTTCGCCTCTCTCTATTTCCACTCGAAAATTAACAATATAATGTAAATATTTTATGTTTTTTATATAGCAAAGTCGTTTGAAAACATCGATGTTAAACGTGGAAGGCGGCGAGAAGGATTTGCGTGATCGTCGCGACATCTGGCGGCGGTTGCGCGTGGAGGAGGCGTTGATGCGCCTGCGCGTGGCCCACGCCTCTCGCGCGCTGGCCGGCCTCGACGATACTGCCTTCACGCTAGACGAACAACGCCTTCAATTGGATGCTGTGAGATATTTTATGATCATCGCATGAGACCCATATTTTTACCTAACCTGTATTTATCAACACATGATATATATTGTATATGTATAGCTTCTCTACTACTAGGTAATATAAAGATATTTACAGCGGTAACATTTTTTTTATGACATTGTAGTGTAGATAAATGTTTACACAGAAGTTTAACATCTGACAAGATACGCAGTACCACTACAGGACTAGACCCAGTTGAGTTTGGCTGACACCGAAACGCGAGTTATGTGCTTTTTCAGATCTGGGCGGTAGTTTATGACTTGCACGGAATTCAATTTCTACCACTACTTTAATTTCCAGATTTTCCAGAAGCAAGATGTTTTGCGAAATAAGAAATTAATTTTTAGAAATAACCCGGTGGGAATCGAACCCACGACCTGTCGATTATTTCACCTTCCATCAAGTGAATCTCGTTTGCCTGTTCCCCATTGTAATAGAATAAGTAACAACATCCAAAATCATTTTCAGGCAATGAACGAGCGTCTGATAGAGATAGCTGCGCGACGCGACATTTTTAGCGTGCAAAAGCGCGCGTTGTTCGAGGACATTGGCAAGTTGCGTTCAGATATACGCGAGCGGGAGCAGCGCATCGAGCAACTTATTAAACGGTTTAATCTCCCACATTAACCTCTTATATTACTGCCCTTTTGGTCTAGTGGTTAGAGCACATGACTACAGAAAACCAGTTCCCGAGTACGAATTTTAGGTTGGGTGAAGTGTTATTTTAAAGTTGGAATTTATTGAATTTATTATTTATATTTTTTTGTATTTTCTCGAAGGTTTAACTCAAACCACGCGCGGTTGACAATTATAGGATTTAAGATTAAATTTCTGTTGATTTAAAATAATTATTATACATACCTATAACCTAATAATAAACTTATTTTAGTTTAAGTGTGTAGTACACATTTAAATAAAACTCTTTTAACGGTTTCAAACCTGAAATTTATTATTGTCCCCCGTTTCTGCTCTAAAGCATCCAAAACGTAGTAAAAAATCGTCAATAATTTAATTATTATAATTCCCGTTTTAAACCGTTATAAATGTTTTATTTAAATGCAACCTATTCTTTTACGGATAACCAGCTACGACATATTCATCGCATCTTTGGGCAAAGACGAATCTGGGCAGCAGTTATCTGTTACTTTCTTCAAAATTAAGGTTAGCAAAATATGATATGATATAATATGATAAAATATAATATAGTTCAAAATGGTGTTTTTATAATACTAAGCTTACAGACCAACAACTTGTTTATTAGTTTTTTTATGAGCTGTTCTCCTTTTTAACAGTTTCATAACAAATTGCTATTATTTGCATAAACGTGTAATAGAGATATTTCCTGACTAAGCACTTCATAGAAGCTCAGTCCTTTAAGTTAAAATACTTAATATAATTTTATCTACTTTAAAAACTTAAATACAAAAGTCAAATATTAAAAGAAAAGCAAGTGAAACAATATTTTTCGCTTAGTTCGCAGCCGAGAGAGCTGAATTGCGCGAACGTGGGGCGGCGCTAGACGCAGACATCGGGCGGCGCGAACGTGACATATCCGCGCTTGAGGCGACGCTGCGAGTCGTGCACGCGGCGCATGCGCACTTCCTGCACCACGTCACACCACTCAAAGATGATAGTATGTGTCTATAGATTGCAATAAATAAATTAATTTTAAGTATTGTCTGTAGCTTAGAATGAGCCAAGGTCACGGGAGACTAGTTAAGTAATATTACGTTATAAACCAATTGACTGTTTTTAGGAAACATTTCAACACTTATTATACTTAAATCTTATGTATTCATTTTAACTTATCAAATTATGTATTTAAGTTAAGATTTTACGTTTTTGTGTATCTATAGAATTCTAATAAGCTGAAATAAAAGAAACATTTAAATACGGGAGACTTGAAAAGGAATGAAAATGTAAAGACATTATTTTGAATGGCATGCTTCATTAACGTAACTGTTACTTGTTCAGATTTATATTTCAAAGTTTAACCTTAATAAGTATTGAGATGTAATATCTTTTCTTTAAAATATTTTAGCTTTGAGTGTGTTTAAAATTGAATCGTGTTAACGTTTCATTTAAGTGGATTTTATTTTTATTTGGAAATATTGCGGTTCTGTATTCGACTTTTTCTTGTTTTCCTTTAAAAGGCTTATCCAAATATCATTAAATATTTATTTTTACAGCGCCAGAGATAGAAGAGCTGAACAGTCTATCCAAACAGTATTACGAGAAACGCGAGGACTTGAAACAGCTGTACAGCAAGATAGCAACGCTAGAACAACAGATCAACGATGCTAACTCGCGACTTATCTTCCTCGGGGACAAGTACAAGCAATTATCCGCAAAGGAGTAAGTTATTCATATTTTTAATACACACGTTAACGGATTAAAACGATATTATAGAAATTATATTAACTACGGCCAGACATGTGGCCAGTGGTCATGGGCAGTCGAAGAGAAAGAGTGGAGGATGTCTCTAAAGTCAGTCGTAGTTGGTATTTGGCGTACGAATTATATTAATACGAATATAAATAATTTCCAAATAAGTTTACCTAATATTTATCGCGTTCTAAACCGTGAAAGTGTTATATTTACATGTGTACTACTAGCATAAACAACAGACAGCTTTTAAGTTATTAATAATTATTAACTTCTATCATTGTAAAGTTTTTGGTGACGCCCAAATTTACTTGATATACATATGTGAAAAACAAAGTCATTAGCATAATGGGCAAAGTTGTAGTAGGCTCGACTGAGGCTTCTATCATTAAAATTTTGTGTCTATATTGCCTTTATAGAACACTGGCTGTATTAGTTTGCCCGCATCCGCGTTCCATGGTTCTTACGAGTTAATCTTAAAAGATATATTATGCTATACCAGACATTTTTTAGATCATTGAAATAGAAGTCATTCTTTCATAAATATTTGTTTTTAGAAACTTGAACCGCTTTCGTAGCGCACGCAAAGAAAGCCACAAAGCTGAATAATTTTTCACGTTTTTTTCACTATGTCTTTGCTCCTATTGGTGCATAGTGGTGTTATAGTCTAAAGCCTTTCTCGTTACATGCGCTAAACAATACAAAAAAATTCTTAATTCGAAGCAATCGTTCCGGAGATAAGCGCGTAAGAACAAATAAACTCTTTATAATATGTATTAGTATAGATTGGATTTTCATTTAAAGTACATATTATCATAAAAGGTCCGACTGTGAAAGTGACATGGAGGCAGCTCGTGCGCGAGCACAACGACAAGAAAACCGTCTTCAAAACGCTCACGATGTGGTGAAGGTCAATGCGCGGCGAGCTAAGAAATTAGTAGAAGGAGAGGAGGATTGGAGAATATTCCAGGTTTTTTTAATTCTTATATTTTCGATTCAATTAGTACTTTTCAATTTCTTCAAATAAAAGAGGCCTTATTAGTGTAAATTTTGTTTACATGTAGCTGAGAGGTTATACGTCGGTCATGGTTTTTAGGCATAGTATTGTGTTAAGCCCCAAGAGATTTGTTTCAAACCTAAACAAAGAAAAAAATTATATCCTATGGAATAAATTTACCCCATGTGCGATGTAAAGTATATAGAATGTTTTATAAATGCCGCCCTAAATGTAAACCTAAACATTGATCAAAGAATTCTTAAAAAATGTGTTTAATAAATTAAAAATAGATATTAGATTGGAAAAAATATACGATGCGTATTTTTTTTTCGGTGTTGTTGCGGAAAAATAGTAAATTTAAATTCAACGATGACATGTAGGAAACCGGAGCTCAAGTGATTAAAGCAACACCACGGCATCCCGTGGATGCCGGTTCGAGTTCTGCTCGTGTATAATTTTTTTTCAATCTAAAATCGATTTTAAATTTTTATAATGCCACCGAGCATTAAATGTTTAATTAATTAAAGGTTTTAAATATGTTTAATATTCTAAATACTGTAATTAGTCAAAGGTGATTCAAATTATTTGTTTATTCCCAATAGATGGCGCTTTGGGTACGGAACTACGCCGAGGCTGCGTTTAGTGCTATGCAAGCGCTCAATGAGCTTTGCACCTCTTCCCCGGATACGGCAGACCGCATAGGCACATTACTGTCCACTACTAATATGCAGGCGCATTTGTCACGCAATCAGAGACGACTAGCTACTCTTGTGCAGAGGTTAATTGAAAACTTGATTTTATTACCATATTCAATTTTTTTTTAATCATCCCTAAGATGTATAATAAAATATATAATTTAATTAGCTAGTCTTAAAACGAATTGAAATAACAAAAGATGCTTGTACCTATTACCAAATTTCATTTTAATAAATACATTATTCTGAGGTTTGATTTTTGTTTTGATTTAAATCTTAGTATAGATATACTAAGATTTAAAAATTTGAGGAGTTTGTTTGAACGCGCTCATCTCAGTACTAGTTAGATTTGAATAATATTTTTTTTCGTTGGACTATTTACCAAGAGAGGCTTCAGGCTATAAAACATCACGCTGCGACCAATAGAGGCAGAGAAATAATGGGAAAATCAGTCAACACCCAATATATATGTATAAAATAATTATGCTTCCTTAAACAATAAAAAAGTCCGCGACAGGAAATGTGTACCTTTAATACCAGAAACCATTTTTATGGTAAATCAATTTGGTCGAATATGTGGCAAAAGAACGTTATCCGGGTCAGCTAGTTAGTAATATTTAAGCAGGTTTCAATGTTTTTGACATTAATAATAAATAGTATCTCTACATATTCCTGATTTTTTTTACTAAGACAATTATGAAAAAATAAGTTATGTTTTGTTTTTAGAATCATAACTGACACAACGCCTGGTCCTCGTCGAAGGGAATCAGTTCAAGACCCAGATGGTAATCGTTTTTATTCGTACTGACTACGATACACGTCTTTTAGCTTAACATAATATGTAGGTATATGGGAAGTAACAACGTAACAATAGATGAGATCAAAGAACTAAGATCTTGTAAATAGACCAGAAGATTTGAAGGGTACGTAGTGAGATTTGGATAACCCGATATCTTCAGCAAAGGCAGAAAGGGCAATTGGGTGGAATAGTCAACATACAACACAATGATGTGGGCTGATCATCCGATCTTCAAACGGTGTCCTAAAAAGAAAATAGGCATTATGCCTTAAATAAAGCAATAAGTAAACTTAGCAGCCGTGGTCACGGGAGACCCGGCTGCCGCAGAGCTTTTCGGATGTATTGCCGTCGGGCCGTAGTTTTTCGCCTTTCGACTCGATAGCTCAATTGGTAGAGCAACAGCACGAAACGCTGACAATGCCGGTTCAAGTCCTGCCCGAGTCGAATTTTTTTTCGATTTTTAAATAATATATTGTGTAATTCTCGCGTAAACTACAGAGGGTATTTAATAAAAATGCCTTTTAGCGAAAAATGTTTCCTAACACTCCTTCCTAGCTTTTCTCTCTTATAGTTACAGAAAGCGTGTTTTCAAGTTCTACGGAATCAATAAGAAGTGGAGTTAGCATCGCGAGTGGATACACGAAGCGCTTGTCTGCATTTAGGCGAAGTCTGGCACCCAAAGTTCAGGAGCATGCGGTAACTTTCTTTTAGATATATATTTCTGAAGTTAGGCCGTAGTGATTGAGAGATGTTTCTCGACGTTATGCCATCACGAATCAGATAATGAGCGTTTTGTCGAAAAACCCAATAACTTAATATAAAGTCCACGGAAGTATTTACTAAATTGAAATATAAATAACTATAATATTAACACTAACTTCCTATGTAGCTTAGTTCAAGACTGGTTTTAATCACGATCGTACGTAAAAAGCCTTTTGGTCAAGGATTGTATCTCCTGATATGTACCTTAAAAATAATAATTCGCCCTACATTGTGCATCACTGCTTAAATATAATTAAATTTTAAATCTTTTCTTTTTCAGTTAATTGACGACATTCCAGAACAAGGTATGTATTCCGTAACCGTTTAGGATAAAAGGTGCAATTTGTTCCTGTATTTTTATTCTATGTTTTTTTTACATTGCGTTATTTTAATTAAACAACAGCTTGTGTGTCCTCACCTTTTGCTTTGTATATCATTTGTAAGAACCACAAACTAAGTTAATCTTATAACATGGGATTACAGCGCGCCGTTCGACTGTATCTCTTCGTGTTGTCACGCTGGGTCTAGAAGAATCAACTCCAGCAATGGCCCATCCATCCACCAGCGCACGGTCCAGAAAATCTTTTAGAAACTAACTTATTTTTTTTAGTTTAGTCTATTTTTTAGAAGTAACTTTTATTCTATACATAAAGAATCTTCAGCAAAATGTTACATTTTCAATATCTACGAGTAGATGTATTTTTCAAATTTGGAATTAACAGTATGTTTTTTAATTAGTATATATTTTAATTATTCAAACATAACCATTGATATTCAATTATTATGCTTGGTGTAAAAAAAAAACATTTTATTTCTACAATAATTTTATTTCTTTAAAAATTTCATACTAGAATTTGTCTTTTACAATAATTATTCTAAATTGTGTTGTGGCAAGAAATAAACATAATATTACATATCAGGTGGGTTAATATTATTGTCAATAGCTTGCATAAGTAGTTGAAAACTCGAGAAGGCCTCCAAATTATGCCTAGAGTTATCAAATATTAGAAAAACGTCTCAAGTCTACTAAGTATACATCCAATATCATAATTGAAAATTCTATAAGAGTTTTGCTAAATGTGATTTTTGTTCTCAGCACTGCAAATCTTTAAAAGTGGTTTTTTCTAAAAGCCATTGGATTTTTCTGCAAATGTATATAATATTGAAGACAAACAATGTCCTCAATTGTCATGATCTAATCTAATTCTTGATAATCTAATTGGACAGCAAGTTCACTCTACTTTTTCACAATTTTAAAACAGGTGTATTTTAAAAATATACACTAATACATATATATTGTTTTATTCCGTAATTTATTTACCAACATAATTTTTAATTAAGGAAGAGTTCTAATCTTTAACAGTGTGGCCACGATATATAATCTGTATCAGGTTCTTCAAATTGGTAAAAGATTTTTTAAATTCTTTTATAAGTACATTAAATTCATATTATCAAAGTTACAGGCATTGTCATGAAGTAAAAAGATAAAGAAATTCTACATTATAGAAATAGCCATAGTTCATTATCACACTAGGAACTACAACAATTATTGACACATTAAAATACTCATCGAGAAATAATTAAATTCAGGCCATATTTGTGTCTTAAAAGTATATACAATTATAATTATCTTTTCATAAAACATTGAATTCACTAGTAGGTAAATTTAAAATTGTATTATATAAATCTAGAACAATGTAACAAACATTTTTATATAGAAAAACATCATATAAATTAAATAAATAATGTAGTTTTGTACATTTGTTACAAATGAAATTTCACACCAGTTATTAGAGAGTCTGTCTGCTTCCTGTAATGAATTAATTTTATTTAAAAAGGTATTGACATCAAACAGTGATCATTGATAACTCCAAAAGTACAGTTAGGCATTGGTTTTATTCTAACACTGCTCATTTCTGCCACCTTTTATCCTTACTCAACATAAAGGATGTAATGGCTTGAATATGAGCTACCCAAGCCAAACAGCATCGGAAACTCTATTGAAAGGAATCCATGAAGACTCCCAGACTTTCCACAAAATTTTTCACTAATACTTGCTTGACACTTTATTTCACTACACAATGTTGGATACTCACTAACTTCAAACAGTGCTAGAATATCAAAATGTCATAAGTCAGGAAACCGTAGAGGATCTTCCACAAACTCCTCAGGTACAACAAACAAATGAGGGGGATTGTTATCACGGAACTCAAAACTCTGAAAAGTTATCTTAGCGGTAACTGTGGGTAAGATAGGTATATCTATTTTGACCGGAAATCCCTTTGGTAACTTCATGGCAATGAATTGCCGTAATTTTGCAAAGTGTTTAAATGGTGCTATTACTTCAAGGACATTAAGTAGCATGTCAACACTTAGTGGAAAGTCATCACTCATAGCCAGTGTTGCACGAAAATTCCGGGATGACTCTTTGTAAACTAATTCTCTCCCCAAACTTGGATATTCCCCTGGTGGTGATGATATGTATGTGTTCCAGTCTACACTACTCTCTGGAGGTGGATTTAATGAAGCTCGACGCACAGGCTCTCCATTTGTGTCTAAATTTTGAGTGTTGCCTCTTGTCCAACTCTCTATTATAGCTTTGTTCTTTTGTAAGTCATCTGTGGATAAATGCTCCCTTCTCTTTCTTGACTCTAAAACAAGACCAGTTATAGTATAAACATCACTTTTGTATATTCCTGCAACTGTTTCTTTACGGTCCTCCCTGAATATCCAGCCAGATTGAGCCCGTGAAAATAAAATGCCTTTTGTAGACATTTGAGCTGCCAAAATATCACTAGACATCAGAATGTCCACTTCATCCTCTATTTCATTTTCTGTTTCCTCATAGCGAACTCTTTGATAAACTTTAGCTTTATTATCTAAAACAGTCAGTGACTCACAAGTAGGCCTATCGCCTTGAAATATAAATGACAAGTCTCCTCTTTCCCACTTCATATCAGTAAAATCTACTAATGTGGTATCTAACCTGATTCTAGAACCACATTTATAGATTTTACACACATCAGAAGGTAGGATTCTAGAAACCAAGGGAACCCAAGAATGAAAATCCCATTTTAGCTCCATGTAGAAATCTTGTATTTGTTCTAAAGCTCTAATGAGATCTGGTCTTCTCTGCTCCATTTGCTCACGAGCTTGCTGTTTTAACTTTCGCACCAGAGATGAAATAGTTTGACGATCGCCGTAGCTTATAGCTTCTGCAAGTGGAGACCATCCCGCGAGGTTTTTAACTTTTACTGGGGCCCCATGTGCAAGCAATAATTGTATACAATCCTTACGACCTAACATCACTGCCAGGTGCAAAGCAGTGTTTCCATGTTTGTCTTTTAGAGTCACATCGTTGGAACGCAACAGCGATGACAATTTACGGACATCACCTCCAAATACGCATTCGTGAAGGGGAAAGGTGTTCTCTTCCTCATTACAGTTTGTATTGGACATTGTTTTGCTCGTATCTTTAACACATCACTCGTAAAGCGTAAATTATTTTATAAAGGTGATAAGATAAAATTTGTAGGAGATCAGATAAAGTAACTCCTACACAATCTTTTCAATGAATTCAGTATCATATCAAGTTAAACATTTTCATAATATGATCTTTGAAATATTAAACTGTTATTTAGAGTCCGATATAAACATTATTAAATTACATTTTTTTGTTAACGGTATTTTGTGATAAAACGATGAAATATTACTGCAAAAATTAGGACTATTGAAAATTAATCAAACACAATACTCAAGTCAGAATTGTCAAACGCATAACGTCAAAATCGACACTTACCACCACACAGATAATATATAACACTTACCATAATCAAAGTATAAATTGTACCCTGGAATACACCATTCATACAATCTATTGATGCCATTTTTTTATAATATAGATTTGTAGTCAAACTATTTATTTTTTAATATAATTAGAAATAAATAAAAATTTATTAAAATTAGAAATATTAAAAGTATGAAAACCACACATGTTGCCATCTATTTGACATTGACATTTTCACAATCTTTTATATAGCATTCTGCGAAAATAGTGAGTATCTACGTACTTGTATACTTAATGCACAGTCCAATATTGTTTTAAAATTTCATTGTTATTTTCATTCTGTGTAAATAGAGTACAAAATGGTGAAAATAACAGATCCATAAAAGTTTTTTTCCCCATCGTTATAGATTTGTTAGAAAAAGAATATGTAAATAATTGACTCATAGGATTGTCTGTCTGTGTTAATAAATAGGCACCTACGCAGAAAGAAAGTTTACCGGTTGAGTGCTATCGGGTTTTCGTAATATTGATCATTGTAAAATCGATGTATAAATATATAATAAAAGAGAAGTGAACTGACTATGTGATTAAGATTTCTTGCTTGATTTTATTTGTGGAAAGAATCCTAAGAGCAATATGTAAGTACATCGCAATAATGTTTATTTCTTATTAGTTTTATTCCTCTTCTCGTTGCTGTCATACGTAAGTTTCAAGCGGGCAAAGGTAAGTAATTTTTTTTTTATAATGACGAAATAGGTGGTTATTATTAATTAGAGTTATTATATTTTATTTATGTTTTTTTGGTCCCTAGAAAAGCTTCATTACATAGCTTCTTACTTCATAACTTATTACAAAATTTTAATTCTTGGTTTAAAAATTGTTTTTAATGCACTTTTTCTCAACAAGATTATTAAAAAATTATAAAAATTATTAATGTTATACATTAAAAAAATAATATACTGCTGTTTAAAGTTCCACTGCATATATAAATAATGACAACTATACTTGATTTCATATCAGTCAGATTGATAAAAGGAAACATTTGTAAGCAATTCTTTCCCGAGTTCATGATAAAAAGCAAACAGTTCAGATAAAAGTTTATTTTTAATTTGTTTGATAAATTTATAATGAAATGTAATAAACATAGGTTAGGATTGAAAACATATTTTAGATGATATTTTTGTCAATGTCACTTATTAAAATAGCATTAAAATATAAAAAAGAAATTGATACAAGTGCACTTGCAAGTAGTTTGTCATAAGAAGACTTAAGCTAATAAAAGAAGCTATAGTATTTTGTCTAAAAAATATTATATTTTACTTCATAAAAAAAATGTGTAAGCAAAAATTTGATACCTGTATTCCATACTTTGTATACATGTTGTAGTTTTTTTTAATAGCAATAAAATGTCTTGTGGTTATAACAACTTTAACAAAGTTAAAGAAAACTAAGCATAATTCAGCTTTAGTAAAGTATGTATAATTTAGCTATATTATATAACATACTCTGAATATTAAAGAAACAAAGATCTATAGATGTTATAAAAGTTATTGTGAGCAATTTATGTTTAGTTATATTTCCGCACAATAAATGATTCTTAAGTAACATATAATTAAAAAAAAATTAATGTCTCAGAGTACAGAATGTGTTAGATGTTTAATGAATGAATTGGAAAAGTACCGTCTAGTTTTAATTACATACAATACATTTGTACAAAGTTAATATCCATAAAGCGAGCAGTGATTGAGGGGGTGAGAGACTAAGGGGTGAGGTAGAGCGCCGTCGTCATGCGCCGCCCCCGGTCGCCCCCGCGCGGACACCTCTAGAACAGTTGCACGTTTCCAGCCTTCGAAGTAGACGTGTCCGCGTTGCCCCATACCAACGCTGCTTCATGCGATTCTCGTTCTCGATCGGTTCGTTGCGGCATGCATGGACCACATTAGATGCTTCAGCACATCCATTAAAGCTATTGAAAAATATGTCATTTTCATTTTGTCACAGCATCGCGTTTTGAGTGTTACGGTAGATTCATTTTATCATTCATTCCATGTTGTCTATAGTCTTATAGTTAGCACTGGTCACTAGCAAGGCTGAATTATTAATTCAATTGGATAGATAATTAGCAGTCAATCGTTTTTATAATTTAAAAGGAAAGATGTACTAATTGTTATTTTTAATGTTTAAACTATGGTCTATACTTTGTACTTATTTATTGAAGATGTTAAAGCACATTACTACAAATACTTATTAAACGTCACGGTTTGCTTTTATAAGTCTGTTAAATTGTTTCACATTGTTATTGTGTACTTCCAAATGTCCAGAGGTAATTGGACAATGCATCTTGTTTGGGAATACCCATCAAGAGACTCCAATCATTTGTCTGTCCACGACGTTTAAACAGATCAATTGGGAAAAAAATTAATTTCGGAAATATCAACAATTTTTACCAAAGTATTTGGTCGACTATACTAAGTCTATTGTTTTCTCAAAGGAATGAAATATGTTCGCCGAGGTCTGTTTTATAAGATAATAATCGATACGCTACTTTGTCCGCGAAAGTATTTATATTGATCGTTTTCCTGTTCGCATCGTTCAATGCACGTTAAATGGCACTAAACTAAACTACATTTGGCAAAAAAAACTTCGTCACGGCGTTTACAAATAACTCATAAATATATGTTGTTTATATTCGTTTAGGAATGTTGTCGTGGTACCATAGGGTTTCGGGTTCAATCCCCACAGGAGCTACATCACGGCCTTCAGTTAGTGGATTTTTTTAATATCTAGAACCAAAAGTAGAGTGCGCTGTCATTAAATGTTGTATGGCCAAAAAATTTGACCGGCCCCTCTATCATAAAGAAATGTTAAATTCATTGATCGCATAAATACCTACTACCTGTCGTGCTTCCCAGGAAATTAACATGTCGCCTGTTGTAGGCATTCGTTCCCCAGAGAATATAGTTCTAACGAGCTTATATTGATAGCTCTTCCGTTCACTGTTAGCTGTGTTTGAATCAATATTGTCGAGATCCGATTTAAAACATAATCACAGCATATCGAATGCTGCAGATTACATTCTCTGATTTGTAATAAATAATCTATTCATTTAATGGCTATGCGGAGTTCTAAACTGGTTTAATTATACCCGATTTAAAGTCGTAATTCTGGCCTTAGATTTTAAAATTTAAGAAAAACACATAATATTCTTACTTTTGGTTGTAAGTACTTAAATTTATTGCCTTAGTTCGTCTTCCTATTAAGTTATAAGAACGCGTTCCTCAAAATCTTAAAGCAACAAATAATACAGCATTGGATTCTATTGTTTGTTTTTATTTTTTAAGTAGCGAGGCGCGTGCACAGAGCTCGTTGCCAAGGTTACAGGGTGGGTACGATCAGCTGGGCTTACGTAAGGCACGCGGCCTAGAGGTGAGAGGGGGGAGGAAGCTACCCCGCTGGCGGAGGTTAGGGCCGATCGATACCTGCTCGTCTCTTGCTGAAGCTCTGCCTCTAGAATTTTAGCTCGATACTTGATTGCTAGCTATTTTCTGATTGTTGAAAATGAAAATAATATAAGATTGCTTATATTTGTAAAATTAATACTGTTCTAATGAGAAAAAGTAAGAAAATTTGCTACTCAAATTCACCAGCAAGGTAAATAATAATAAGCACATAACGAGCAGTTTAAAATCTAAAATTAATCATTACTAAAAGCAATTACGCCTCATTAATTTTGGAATTTGTTTTTTTTTGGACCCACCAAACCGTTCTAAGAAGTGCCGATAAAATCGTGATTTGGCATGTGTTCGCCCGTTCCTGGTATAGGTCAATTAATGTGCCACCTCGTGACCTTTGTGACCCGTCGACTTCAGTATAAATTCCACAATACTTCGAGGGAGGGCGTTCAAGAATGTTGCATCAAAGTCAATGAAGAGACTCGGACGGAAGTTGCACAATATGAATGTTTCGTATTTGACATTGCAATGGCACCGTCTTGTCGTCTTCCGGGCTCTAATTTGATGAATGCTTCTCAGAACTAGACTGAATTGAGATTTATGTCTAGGGAACTAGTTATTTTGCATCGTAGTAAATGGTTACGTGTAAAAAAGTAGCTAAACGTGCTTTTTACAATCTGTAAGTCTGAACTCTGACACTTCTATAATAGCATTGTTTGAAGCTACAAAAAAGGTGTTATTATCCGACGCGGGTAACCAAAATAAAAATATAACTAAGTAGAACCCATTCTCGTTTATGCATATGGTGGTGGTGTATAAAAGAATTTTCGGTTGCTTAAAAGTATTTCTAGCTTTCTTTCTTAAACAATTATATATAAAATATATAGGAACTTAAAGAAGACGTTCCTATGCACCATTGTAATTTTATTAAATAAAATCGCATAAAACGTCGTTTAAAAAATAAAAAAGAAAAATAAACTTCAGCTTACAAGACATAATAAAGCAAAAAGTCTTACTTTGAACTCGTCGAGGAATCGATGATATTCTATATCTAGCTAACCACAGGTATTTAGTACAACCCTGAAGGTATAAAAACATACATCTATGTAAGGACAAGAAAACAATGAATACTTTGTAGGTACCTATTTTAAAATTATCGTCAGTTTGTTATGTGTAACTTAGACATACTTAAGTTAAACCGTACTTCGCTGTCTGAGTTTTCGAGCGGTTCGGCCGAAGTTATTGAGAAATGGTTCTCGACGTTACGATATTTGATTACCATAAAAACGGTTATTGTTTTTTAATCTTAAAAGATAAACATGCATCGTGGCTGACATTTTTGGATAATTTGAAGAAAAATAATTAGTTATACATATTTTTCTGAAACGTTTTCATGGCGCACGCAACGTAAGCCTTCAAAGATGGGTAATTTTCGCAATTTTTTCCCATTGTTCCTTTGCTCGTATTGGTAACACACAAATAATTTTTCAATTCGAACCAGTAGTTCCCGCGATTCGCGCGTTCAAACAGTCAAACTCTTCTTTATAATTTTGATATAGATTATAATCATATTCCAATTGACAATAAAATTGTCTCACACAGGAATATGTATTTAAATCAATGTTGAGATATTAAGCACGACATCATATATTAAATTACCACATTTTCCCACATACCGGCATCCGAAGCAATGCATAATTAATTTTTCACGCCCTTTTGTGAATTCACCGGCGCCGTCTCTCGGCGAAATGTACCAACGTAATTTAACTTATGTTTCTCACATTTAACTCTTGCACACATACTTAACAGTGTTAGTCGTTGTTGCATACATATAACAATAATTATAAAAAATTAAATTCAATGAAATACTTCTAAAAACAACTTTTGATTTTCGTATTTGTGTATAGACAGGTTGTTAGTGGCAGAAATCAGTCGAGTGACATTTGCTAAAACATAATGCAAGGGAAATATTTTTATCATAGAAGCTAGCGTGGAATGTAATATGTATAGCTAATAATCAAGGTGTCGTGGGTTCGATTCCCCCGTGGTCCAACATGTTGACTTCGTCTGGAAATCTGCATAATGTTAAATGGGTGGTAGGAATATCGTAATTTCGTCCGGGTATTGACCAACAAGTTTGATCGCATTTCGGATTCAGTCTGTGGATTTCTGAATATCTAAAGCCAAAACAGGTCGACAGCGCCATCTTGTTTACATGTGAAATGGCTGGGGTGTTTCATTAACCATTAAATGAACCTTATTCTGTACTCCTCTATTGTAAAAAACCTGTGCAAGTTTAAATAAAACACTTTAACGGTTTAAAACGCGATTTATTACTATATCGCGTTTTAAACCGTCGTAGTGTTTTATTTATGCGTTTGATAGGAAAAAATACTACTTTGATATTATTAGGTATTCGTTTTTACTTTTTTTGCTTTATTTAAATGAAACCAGTGTAATTTATTTTATTGGTGTGCACAAAACATTTTCGTCCATCACCCGATCTGCTTAGTGATCAGTATTGAAATGATTTGAAACTGTATTCTCTTTTGTCAGTGCAAACGTGACCCACTTCGCAATTTAAAACCGAACGTATATTTCTTTGGGTATACAGTTTTAAATTATTTTTAGCTGCTGTAGCGCTGAAAGTCACCGCTTCGCTTATTGTTTATTTACGCGGCTTTTTCTGTTGCTTATGTTGCAGCGCGAGTTTTAGTGCTGTGGTGTGATGTTAAAGTGTGGCTGCTAGTGAAGTAGCAGGGCGATGTCGTCGCCTGCGCGGGCGCCCGCCGCTCCTATACCCCCCGGCGCGGGTTCCCTCCCACCGGGGCCAGGGCCGTCCCGACAAAGATCCCTTAAAGACAGACTCAAGGATGGCATTACGGGACCATTCCACTGGCAGTAAGTACTTCGGATCTCGGCACTTAGGATAGATATGCATGTATGTATCACCACTGTATGAAAAGTGCACTTACATAAAATGCAATTGTGATATAATAGCTCTTATATTAGTAACGCTTATACGTTCAGCAATTTACACCTTACATACTTATAATTAAGATTCACATTACAATACTATTATTATTTATTTTTTCAAAGACTTGCAATATTACCGTTGTATAATGAAAGTACACACTATGTACGTAGGATTACATTTTTTTAGTATCATTAGATTCGGTAACAGCTAACAGGAATTCAAAGCTCAGCTATGAACTTTAAATCTGAACGCCAACTTTTCTTAGAATCGACGCGCATGAAACGCGCAAACACTTTTAACAATACTATCTCTACGCATATTGCCTTCAGCTGTAAACACTTACCTCGACTAACCTTTGCCAAACGCCTTATAAAACAATTTATAAGACTTGGTAAGTTTTGAAGCATGTTCTGCGTTGAATCATTCTGATGGAAGGATAATTGTAAAATGGGTACAAAACAGGTTTTATGCTATGCTATCAAAAACTTACGCAAAACAAAATAGATATTGACCCTAAAGCTAAAAAAACTTGATGAAAACGATTTTTCATTGATTTTCTCTCAATATCATTTGAGATATAAATAACACTCCAAATAGTTTTTAAAATATACTACTCAACGTCTGTTATTATAATATCATGTTTCAATGGAGTTTCAATTTATGAATACAATTTATTTACGCCTTGAATCATGAAATATATTAAATTTTATTTTTAACTACGACCCAACTTCGTCTTCTACAAAGCTGCCGAAAATAAATTATTAATATATTTGCGTTACTTGTAATGGTTTAATAATTAACCTAAAATTAACCTTTTATTTATTCCGAATATTTACGAATATAATCATTATGAAATATCTCTTGGTCTTGGTGGTTGGCTTCCATTGCGCTCTATAGCTACCCTGGTTCAATATGGTCCAAGCAGGAAGTGTAATTGAAAAATGTTTTGCGTAACTATAGACACCTAATGCTATTTTGTCTCGTTATCATATCGCCTACACTGTCTTGGTATTACGAACCGCTGCATGTACAGCCTTGACCGATATTAAATGTTTAGGCTCGCAACATTATCATCTGAACAGTAGGAGGTGTTCCTCCCGCCTATTGTTTCTTTTGTCCCACTTGCTGTTATACGTACACCACAAATGAGATACGACTGTGCTGGAAATAAAGTAGGCCTTTTATTCGTCTCCACAGCGATCTACTTTAGACGGTAAGAGTATATATATTTTTAATTATAGAGGAGGACAGACAAAACTTAGAAATAAGTTGGACCCGGTGGGGATCGAATCACGGCCCGTTGAACATTACTACCGCCATACATTGCTACCATTGAACCAACGAGCTCATTTAAATAAAACACTTTAACGGTTTAAAACGCGATATTAGTTAAACTTATTTGAAAATGATTTGTAACTTTGGCCCAACGAGCTCGTCAAAATAAAATATAATATAATAAAGATGTTTCGTATTTTTAAATCAGCCATTAGGCTTAACAATATCGAATTACAAGAACCGTGAACATGGTGTGCCCGACTGACCTGACTTCCGATCGCAAAGTCGATACGAAATGGTGAAGCAAAAGATTTGATTTACATAATATATTTATACCAAAAATAAAGTTAAAGATTGTGATCGATAAATTTCATGTGTTCTGTATTTTAGCCTGCGTAGTAGATTCGGGGTCTACTTCTAGGTTTGTAAACTATTAAAAAGTCTATATTAATGAAAAAATACTTTTGTTATGTTTACCCTCAGCCTTGGTTTTTTTAACAAGATATGTTAGCTTTCCTAATTTTGAATGATTCTAGATAGTGTAAGTGCCGAGTCAAAGATATCGTGAAAGTTGACAATGTTTATTATTATAGTCTTCAAGTATGCCTAATCTACAATTACTGGGTAACACAATCTTTTCGCAGAATGAAGTGCCTATGTGTGTTTTTGTTGTAATGTGTCTGAAAGTTGTCAGTGATCGATTACCTTGGTGTGTTTAGATTGGAGTAAAAGAAGAGATGATCACTGCTATGGCCTATATAACGCTCAATTCTAAATATCTGAGTAAAGTATCTGGCACGTTGATCTAATGGTAGCGATGTGCGCCTAATAATGTATGGGTCGTTGGGTTCGATCCTCACCAGGTCTAACGTGTTTATTATTAATAGCAAATATCTCTGAATTTGTCTAGAAATCGGATAATAAATGAGTAGGAACCAGTGTCTATACAGGAAAAAGAAAATAAAGCTTACTCACCTTTCGGTTTCGGACTATGGATTTCTGAATATGCCAAAAACGGTGGACAACACGATTCGTTTAAATATTACATGCCTAAAGTATTTCAACTTCCAGGTTAACTGCATGCTTGTTTATCTTTCTCTATAAGAAAGCTGGGTTAATTTCCTAAATTGCTTATGAGCTACCCGTGAAATCTTTTCATGGACGAGTCAGCCAACACGTGTTTCTGCTTTCAGTGCGTCAGCGTTATGCGCGGTTCTGAGGTATTTCGGTTTCACAAATTTTTGTGTTTTCCATCGTAAAAAAAGATTGGCAGACTATGAGAGCATTAAAGAGCGTAGTGTTGATAAAATCGTGACAAAGTGGAATACACGAGGCCGTGTCGTATTGAACATGTAAACATGTTGTCACGCGCGACCCGCTCCGCACAAAGCGCTCTCCTTTATCGTTCGCATACCGCGTCCGAGCCGATTTCACAGTATTAGAAATGTCACATCTGTGTCTATTTTCCCTTTCTATATTTACACATCAATGCTAGATAGCCTGATTAGCGATGTATTGTTCAAACAATTCCGCAGAATTCAATAAGCTCTTAAGAAACACCTCTGCTATCTATAAAGTGAGACGGAAATTTTCATCTTTTATCATTTTCATGCAAATCTCATATGACATAATCTAAATACCTATTTCTGTGTTTTGTGATTATTAGTTTGTAACTGCCAAATAATATTCCTTCTGTTTTAACGAGAAATTTATATGATGCGCAGTTAAATGCATTCTAGATTACGTCAAAAGTATCTGAAAATGTTGTATATAGTTTTTGTATTGAATTATATCATTATATTTATATAGTATTTAGTAAACACTGTCTATAGTTTACGCGAGCAGTACACATTTAAATAAAACATTTTAACGGTTTAAAATGCGTTATGCGTTAAACTTATTCTTTTTTATTTTCTTTATTGCAACAGCCATGTGTCTCCCCGTGACCACGGCTGCTGCAAAGCATCCGAAACTTCGGGCCGAAGTAAAAAATTATTTTCAAATAAGTTTAACTAATATATCGCGTTTTAAACCGTTAAAGTGTTTTGTTTAGTATTTAGTAGCTAGATTAAATAACCAAAAAACGACAAAAGATATTTTCATGATCCAAGTCACCAGCCACCTTTATATACAGGTACCTATCTAGACAGCTACATTTTTACCTGAAACCCGCAAAGCTACTAATCATAATCATCTGATAAAATTTGATACAGTAATAGATCAACTGTTTTATCAAAAGTGACATGACTACTTGTTTCATCGTGTTATGTATATTTTTCCTGGTTATTTCTCACTTTTCAAGAGAATTTATTTTCAAAACAAATAATTCTAAATTTCTGCGCATGCGCAGTTGCATTTGACGGTTAATATGAAGAGGAATGTATAATTGAATGATTAGCGCCGGCGCCAGTTTGACACCTCTCGAGATGATGCTGACCAGGCGCATCCGTCCTGTGATGTTTCACATCGTTACGTCGTTAAACGTGATATGAGAGCATCCCGTTGCACTTTGCTCCAAGAAATTATTTTGATGCATTTACGTCAAGTGGCTTAATTGAGAGCCCTTGAATTTATCAGTTCAAGGTTTTCTGAAAATGTGCCATTTGACCGGGTTTTCATCTGTTTTCTCCGGACGATTGTTCTTTACTCGGGACCTGGGATTTTGATATTTCTGAAAACCCGGTTCTATACAAAGAAACATATTAGTGTCTTCATAAGCCTGTTTTTCTTTCCTTAACGTCACTAAATAAAGTTTAGTTAACGAGTTAGGTATTTTACACGGCAACTATTCGAAATTCAAATCGATTCCAAAAATATGAAAGTATTTAATCACATTAATTGTTATTATCTGAAATTTACCCTCGAAACATAATTTTCATGTTCAGAAGATATAATACGATATCCCTGCTCTGAAAAACGCGTTACGTCACACTTTATCTTATAATGCGATAATATTGTGATATATTTTTATTGATAAATCAGTTGAAATTAGTTTGCAGACTTCGAAGATTGCTGAAATTGTCAGTTGTATGTGTTGTGTTCTGAGTACTATGTTAATTGCCTGGTTTTAGGAGGATTAGTGAAAATGAGTTTTCTGGATAGATTTAGGTATGTTATCGTGTTTTTTATTTATCTCATTCGTATCTGAAGTAGTAGTGACAACATGACAGTATTTGGAATTTTTTCGCAATTTTGCTATGGCATACATACATGCTGTTACCCACGGCGTAGTCTACGCCCCGTCGTTGTAGCAGGTTAATCTTAAAATCTTAAAAGACATATACTGTCGGACATGTTTTTAGATCGTTTAAAAAGAAATCATCCTAGCTTACAATGTTTGGTTTTCCTGATCCGTTGTCGCAGTGCACGCAACGCTCTCAAAAATAATTAATTTTCGTCGTTTTTTTTCACTGTTTTTTTACGCCTAATGGTCGCCCAAGAGAGGGCCGAGCAGTGGATCAAAACGGGCTGATACTGATGATGATGATGGTCGCCTCGTGATATAGCCTCTAAAGTCTTCTTCAATATATATGAACCCAACGCAAAAAGAATTGCAATTCGAACCAATACAAATGTATGGGCAAACTACGTTTTCCTATTAATTCTATATTATATTGTATTTATTTATTTATTCTAATTTTGAAGTTAACAATGTTGTTATCTCTTAAGAAATAGCTACATTTTAAAATTGGACTGCCACGAATATTCTACATACAGCTTGAAACCGGCGGTAGTTATTTACAAATTAAACGCTTTTCAAAAGTCGAGCTACTCGGATGTTCTCGACCTAAATAAGAAGTGCTTGACATTTAGACAAGTAAAATCGAATAGGCTCGCGCTTAAACTAACAATTTATCCCACTTTACTCTGATTGCCGACTGAAATTGCGACAAATTAATTAACAGGCGAATAATTATCTTGGAATATTTCGCTTAAGTTATGGACTTTGATCCTCAGAAAAGTCCCAACGGTAATGGAGCCTTTTGCTTTTTGCGATTTAATATTTTCAGTATGTTTTTAATACTTTATATCCCCCAGTGAAATTCAGGAACCAAATAGTGACGTTCCTAATTTAAAACTCTTCTCGGTTAAACGCCGCTTGCACAGATTACTAAGACAGCTTGCTTCAATGTCCTACAGTCCAGAGTTCTTTCTTATATCCTCTACGCTGGTGGTGCAGCACTAAATTTGTGATATTATGAAAGTACTACTTAAAATCAAGTTTTATCAACAGTAGCGAATAAACATACATATAAAGATAAGGCTAACTATGACTTAACAAACGGCTTTTGCAGTAGCAGGTATAGTAAGATAACAAGTAAAGAACGATCTAGACAATTAACCGAGTCGCTTACAAACACTGGACCTTTCTTTTTGAATTTTTCAATTTTAATGTTCATAAAAACTATGTATATTTCTTTTATCTAGTGAAGCTGCACTTCTTCAATCATAAGTTTTGATAGAAATAACTGCATATTATGGTGTTCGGTTCAACCGCAAGTAAATGCTATATTAAAGGTATTTGCCGATTTGTTAGCAACGTACGCGCGCACGCATTGAACGCACCACGTTTCTTGATATCCTCGAAAATTCATTCAATACATACGGCGCGTACTGGTAAATGTGAAGTTTCACATCATCATCACCGGTTTTACATCATCACCGTCGTGTGCGGCTCGTACGTTGCTGACCAATGTGCGATCACCTTAAATAAGCATAATATTCTTGCACAACTTGATTTATCGCGCTTGTAATTATGCGTAATTATTTTTTAACGCACGGCCAATTGAGCAATTATTTTGGGTTCCTTGGGAATAAATCTCAGCATGTTATATAAAACAGCTTTAATAAGTAAAATCGCGTACTGAATTCGTTTATTTTACCTGATATTTTGGATACCATACAGCGTCGTAGTATGATTAAAAGTGGTAGTGGGTTTTGTAATTTTAATCCCATAAAAGATATACATATAAAAAAGAGTAACCCAGTTCAAAACAAATATTGTGCTTAGCTTGGCCGTAAAAAGAAAAGATATCTGAATAGAGTCAGATTGTATGCAAAATCCAAATGTTATAGGAACAAAATAATATTATTGAACAAATAATAAACTATTTTTTCTTATTGATATGTACAATAATTGGGTTATTTAAAAAAGTGAGAACTCTTAAAGTTACAGACGGGTCAAAAGTTCCATATGGTGGTATGGGTGTAAAGATACTCTTAGCGCTTAATTTAACCCTTGCTTAAACTCGGCTTGCCACGCTGCCGTGTGTCTCTTAATAATTTCTTACCGACAGCTGATTTGAATTTCACTTGAATTAAAACACTTTAAAAACTTAGTACATTTTTGTATGTGTATAAATTTAGTTTATTATATTATATACTTGGCATAAAGCGAAACACACTTGACCGGTTTTTCATCTCCTCGCGGCGGCACAGTGAACGTGACTTATTACTGAAACGATATATCTTAAAAATCGATCTTTTTCACGGACACAAGTAAATTGGCCGCAAGTTTAAGTTTACGAAGGTCGTACCTTAAAATAACTGGCCTTGCATAAAGACTCGGTACATATGCTGTCCTTCTGACGCATATGCAATATAACAATTGATAAACAAATGCATCAGACGCGCTCAGATCGTAGGCACATCCAGACATTGTTTGATAAACATCATTGTGTTTTATTAGCGTAGATATACTTACGTTTGCTTACTTACATTACAATCAATAAACAATTAATGTTATCTACGTTTAAATGATTTCGTTCTTACTACTGCAGCGGCACTGGATAGGTTACTTCACGGCCGCGAACTATTTTTGTTCGTCTGTTTTTACGTACGTAAAGTTCTTTTGAATTCTAAAATTCGATTGAATAGAGATAATTAATGTAAAGCAATTGGTCAGTGAAAGACTGCATTTTAGGATTATTTTTTATTTTCGTCTAGTGATCTGCATGTGGACAATCGGTTCCAATACAAAATAAACATTTGACGGTCTTGTCGGTCTATTTAGCAATGTATAGCTGTCGGTTGGGTTTCCCCATCCAAATGTTTCTAATTTTTAAATTTATAATTTTTGAAACATGTTGGTCTTCGTCTGGAAATCTGGATATTAAATGGGCGGTAGGAATGTAGAAATTCTAACAACCGTGGATTTCCGAATATCCAAAGCCAAAATGCTAGGCTGAGGTTCCTATACTACCATCGAGTGAACCCCACGCTTGTCTGTCCTCCTCTATCGTTAAAAAATAAATGAATAAACATAAAGCTATGATGTCAAATCTTGTCTTATTAAAAAAACAAAGAAAAATTATAACATTAAAAGTGCATCATACTCTCGAATGGCCTTTCATATTTTAAGGCTTTTAGGAAACTAGGGGATATGTTTAATGGCTAAAATGCACAACCAGTACATCTAGTCACACGTCACAGTCAAGTGCACCGCGTGAGTCGCCACGCGGTCAGATGTTACAATAATTAACGCTGTTAAATAGTTTTGCCATTCATTCTGACCTCGTTCGCTCGAAGCTTAGCGACTTGAGAATACCGTTGCAGATGGTTTCCTGCACCGGTTGGCCTCCGTTACTCATTCATCGGACAATACAATACTGATAGTAGGTGATCGGTTTAAGGTTACCCTGCATTGTGCGAGAGAAATGCGAACGTTGATGAATTTTGGAAGAGCTATTTGAGCTGTGTACGTGAGTCGTCATACGCAATACCATTTATAGAAAACACTTAAACGGTTTAAAACGCGTTTTATTTCGGATCTGTCGTTTCGGGCGCTTCAGGCAGTAGTTCAATAATTCAAATAAGTTTAACTAATATATATTGCCTTTTAAATCGTTGAAGTGTTTTATATAAATGTGTGACTACTGCGTAAACCAACTATTTAATTAATTAATTTATTTTAACTATGTGTGGTATTACAAATGCAAACATATAGTTACTACCTAGTTTTACATATTCGTCTAGGTAAAATAATACACCGCTTCTGTAAAGACATGGTGAAATGATATGTGATATAAACTACACCTTAGACATGAATTTTCACATACTTATTTAATAAGAACAATTTTTTTTTCAGTGATAGCGACCCTAAACTATTCAAATTAAGATAAAAGTTTATCTGTGAAATTATTATATTAAACCTCTTTAACATAAATATTAAATGCTTTATAGTGTCGTCTATCAATCGTGGTGTCGATTCTCAACTGTTCGTGGTAATTTGCTAAAATTGATGAATTTGTCTGACACATGAATATTATGTCCACTATCCACCGATGGCATAGATGTCCAAGGCAAAATAAGTCGGCAGAACATCTCGTCAAATAACTGGCAAATATTTCACCTTCCATTAAATAAACCCCCTCGTCTGGTCTCCCCTGTCATAATAAAGTTTGTAGTATAATCTGAAGGAGTCCTCTTTTTGTAATTAGTAATTAGGTACTGTATTCTTTTGTATGACCTTGCTTTTGTTGCATTCGTTATTTTAACGAAGGGCGTACTAAAGCATAAATGAAAATAGCAGTAATAAGCATAGAAAAAAACTTTTTCTTGATGATATTAATACATCGTATTATGTTGGACCCGGTGGAAATCGAGCCCATGACTCCTTAGTTCTCGACAATTACTCATGCATTGCTACCATAACACCAGTTCGTCAAAATATTTAAAATGTCAACTATGTATTTGCTAGTTTAAAAATCTAAACTGTGTGTGACTTGTGACCATTTACAGTTTGGCATCCACGATTTATTCGATTGCTTGAATTTAATAGACCAAATCGTTAAATAAAAACAATTGATAAAAACGTGTTTTTCGCGATCTTAATAGTGTGATAAAAGTAATCATTAATGACTGCAATTCAATTGTAACTAACCGCTTGTCACTGTTTATTGTGATTCCGTCTGTAGATTATATTATATTAAATTAGATTCTTAAGAAAATAATGATGGCTTATCACTTTTAAAATTCAGGAGTTCATAAAATTTAAAAACAAAGAGCGTAAACAAAGCGACAAGATAAATATTGAGGATGTGAGGTGCGCAAAAGGGGATGTATGTGTTTCAAGCCGTTATCAGATGATGAAGATAATGTGACATCCAGGCCGGCGGCCCCACCAGTGGTGCTATTGATCATTCAACTCAGTAGCAGTCAATGCGCCGCGAGGCTCGCACGCCACGATAAGCGTATGCGCAACCGGCACTTAGTGAAAGTCGTACGCGCAGATTTCGTGTTCCGACATCTTCGGCTAGTTAATTTGCTAAGTTCGTTGCGCCAGTGCGACGGCGAAAGGAGGTCGCCGGTTGGTACCTGACCGTAAGACTGTGTTCTGTGCTCGCGGACATTTGGAATTTTCACATACATTTCTGTGGTAGCATTGTGTTAGTTTATTGTTTTATTGCATAGGCTTATACATTTTTACTGGATAGTAACGCTAAGGGTTCGTTATAAATTACGTACTGTTATTTCTTCAATCGTATACTACCCCCAATTTTTTAAACTACTAAATGAATACTTATTGTTTTCAATTTTTAAATATTCATTATTTTTTTGTTTTTAAATCAACTACGCTTTTTTGTTGTTATTTAACAATAGTATACTTTTCAGACATTTATCTTAGCTTATACTAGATCTATTATGCTTAATCAAAATTAGGTTCAACTTTATATTTCTGATAGCATCCGTTTAGGAGTAGGAGCGTGCTTTTAGTCACGTACCTACCCATATTCCAAGAACATCCAAAATGCTTACAGTAGCATATACTATTATTATTATTATTTTGTTATTAAGACGATGCCTTTAATTCGGATATAATACTTTTTTTTAAATAGTATATACGCGTTCGCTACGCGGGCTTCTACGGCGTAGGCGCTGTGGAAAATTACATAGACTGGCATTATATTAAACTCGAAGGAACTTTGGCTTTATCGTATAAATGTGCAAATATTGAAAATTATTATCCGCAAAAATCAGACTGATTCAATCAAATGATAGTATATCAAATGAACCAATCGTTATCTTATCAAAAACCTACTTTATTATATTCGATAATCCTTTGAAATAATCAATTAATTGCCTTATGCCATATTGGTCCAGTTTTTGTTGGCGTTCGGCATTTCTACCTCGCCGCGTACACGTCGTGTCTAGCAAATTACGAACACGCCCTAAATTAGATTTAATATTTTTATATCTCGCTTAATATAGAATGATAGAATTGATAGTACACGTCTATGAATAATTGCATTTGTTTCGATTAAGTATATTACATATAATATCATCCTTCATCGTGGATTGTTTATTGAAGTGCTCTGTAATCGAATCTCAATCTTTCCAATGTATTGTGAAAATAATATTGAAAGAGTCTTCATAATATATTTATCTAAATATGATTATTATCCTAATCGATGTTAAATGTTGCAATGGAATTTGGTATCTGTTATTAAATAACCACAAAAAGTAAAATACCACGTTACAAACTTATCATCCTATGTTAGACAAGGCGTAGCACGGCAAAGCCAAAGCCATTATTTTAACATGGTATCCAATGTCATAGCGTCGCGTAGGTGACTCGCTGTCTGCATTACCTTTTAACATATCTTTGAGTTTGTTATCCATGTACCGGTGTTCTTTGTAACTCAACACCATTGGTATTTTACTAGCAACTAACTGTAATTTGATAAATGCCATGTCAGGGCACACGCTGTTGTTGCAAAATACTTTTATATACTCTAACTTATAATTAAATAATTCAAATTCAAATCATTTATTATAAACCAAAGTTTGTAGTACAATAAACCATACAACATTTGATTGATCTTTCAGGCACCCCTTTACCGGACCAGCTAAAAATGTAAACATGTAAAATTTATAAATTTGAACATACACTGTTGATAAGCGGTTATTATTAAAGTTTTAGTAAGATTTATCATGAACCATTCTTATCGGAAAATCGTTTCACGATAAGTGTGATTGAGTGCTTAGTAAATTTTCTAAAAAGTAATTGCTCATACGATCAACACGGTGTTTTATACTTCGCGGATAAAAACTAGATCCGACCATTTACGTACAAGGCGACTCGCTGACAAGTACGTGTTTCATTACCTTTACGGTCTAGAAAATAATGTGCACTGGCTATGCCTAGTACATATAGCTCGTAGAACCTTCTATAAATAAAATTCTCCGCATTTAGCATTCGTGGTCATTTATCAATGAGATGAAACCGACTGCGTACTAACTGAAAGATACGGAAAGTTATTTTAACATATATAATTTAACACAAAATCTGTCAGACAGTTCTTGTAATAGGGATACGCAAGTTTTTTTAATATATTTACTCGGGATACATTTGATTTGTATTATTGAAAATCGACACGATTATTGGACTTGTCTTTATTATTACGGATTAAATAAAATTGTCTTTGCATTTCAAGCGCTACGGCGCTTATAACCATTACCCTTCCTTTTGCTGTCGGTTGATAATTCAAAGCATAATAGAATTGTACGCTTGCCTACGTACTAAACGTTATTTATTGTTTTACATGATCTGTAACCCTGATATTTCTAGTGGATACTAAAGTCATTTATTTCCTTTGCGAATCTGAATAATGATTCTATTTGTAGACTTCACAATCTGAAGGTTGCTACTAAATATATTTGATCTATATTTCTGTCACAAGATAATGAAAAAACAAATGACGTAATTTTCATTCCAGGGCGTCCATTTAATTGAGTTAGAGTAATGTTATATTCTTTTAATTGCCAAAGTAGTTACTAACGGCTTTGGTTTGCGTTCCCACAGATCACTTTTCGTAAGGTTTCTTCATCAATTTAGCTATTGAACCTTCATCGAATTATTAAATCCCTGTTTCCAGAACTTGAAACAAGAGATTCCTCTGTTCGATTCCCATTTTTAATTCTCAAATAGCTTCGCCGATAATCAACAGATTTTGATAATCATGTTTTTAGAATCCATCTATCGCGGAATTTTCTTCTTGTACATCTGTGTTAGTCGTAATTTATAAGAAGGAACTAGAAGTTTATTTCTTCATATGTGAATTTTAACATATTAAATAATGAGCTCTCAGATAGGCTATAGCTCATTTTAATTTTAACCTCCTCAGCTAAATTAAAACAACATAATATTGTACCTATTTTAGTTACACGAATTGGGAACGATGCGCACAAAAAGAGCATGCATGTAGATCTATTTGTGGCATTCATTAATTTGGGAATATTCCCACATATTTGTGTAACTCGTATAATTATTGCGTTCGCTTTCAGTCATTCGGTATGACGCAGTTGCAGCCATCCGCTGATGGCATTTGCAATTTTCTCACATCATTCCTTGAATTTACCGAAGTGCCGATATTTTAATGGAGATGTTCTGGTTTATGGTAGAATAATTGCCTTTAAAGGCGTTGACGATTCTTAAAATTGTTACTCGAGCATACTATAAAGATATTGTCAATCTTCGTCACAAAGAGACGCTAAAAATTCTGCCGTGATAAAGGCGTCTTTGAAGAATTACGCTCTGCTTGCTTAAGTAACCCAAATATTTTTGTAAGGTCTTGAAGTGTAAATATGTCTGCGGAGATAAGATAAATCTCTTTAAGACTTGTTCAGATATTTTAAATCATAAAGTAGTGGACCAATTAGCCATTTTAGGCATTAACGATACGCTTTTTAGGAATTGTTTTCATCGTTATATATTTTTAATTCATAGAAACGGAATCATTTTGACGAGTTCTTGGTCGATTGGACATTTCATCTTTGATTAAGTGAACTCTACGCGTTTCCTCCTAATTTAGCATTATCGACATTTTAAAAGGGATTTCATCAAAAATTTCAAATCGAATTAATATTATAACTAACAATCAAATATAACGTATAGACGTTTCCTTTTTCTTGTATTAAGAATTCGTTTTGAGCTCGAAAAGTAACGACGCGGCCATTGTTGAGACTGGTGTTGCTAATTGTATGTTTACCCAATCATTATATTGTAATCAGGATTTTTCCTATTCGTTAGCAGATCATGCGTAATGACCGTTCGATGTTTTCTTTGTCCTGCACAGGTCCATTGTTGTAAACAATTAATCTGTATTCTGCGTCTGCGCCGCTCCGTTGATGCTCATTGTATATGCGATCGTCGCCATCGTCAGGAACATTGTTAACATTTTATTGTATCTTCGTATCACTTTTTGCTCTTAATAAATTACGCTTATCATTTCAATCTATTAATTCTTCACAGCTGGGCACAAGTCGCCTCTCTTACGATTGAATATGATGACCCATCACTCTGATCCAGTGCGAGTTATTGGGCTATGTTTACAGTAGTTTCCGAATCGCGATAATTACACCTCCTATTTCAAAAGTTCCAGTTTGTTTTTTATTTTTATATTCAAAAACAAAAATAAATTAGCCCGACCAGTCGGAGAATACTTGCGAACATCGTTATCTGCACTCTAGTGCACAAACCACTAGACATAACACATATTATACGAAAGTATTACGTTTAATTTAAGCAGAATATCTGCGTGTTTGTTTTCAACAAGGACAGCGTGCGTCATGGGCTTGGCGTTTCAGAAATATTGTTCACTTTCAGTTTGATAAATAGATCGGTTTTTGTGTTTCGTGAATCCGAGATACTGAGATAATGCGTTCGAATTTTGAATGTTGAATTAAATTCGTTGCGGTCGTTATTCCTTTTGGTTAACGGCGAAACGGGTTGATCATCCTTAAATTAATAATCAAAGTAAAGTGCAAAGACGTCATATCTTCTATAAATATGTTCTATAGTAAAAAATGTTGTCCTCTAATTCTATTTATAAAATAAAAAATATATACCAGATTCGACTTAAAAATTCGCGTCAGTCCGTTACAAATACGCACACCAGCAAAAATCCTGACTTCGGAATTTACTATGATTACTTACACGTTTCGGTATCCTATTATAAGACTGCGCAAGAAAAAGCCGCCTGGCATAGAGAGCCTTGAAAATAGTGAACGTTGTAAAATTAAAGCAGCTACAGATAATATTGTCTAAGTGCGTAGTTGCAACTCGACGGTGAGGACGTGAGATAAGTTTGAACTAACGAGGTACAAACCATTGTGCGTGCTTTATCATGCCATTAGATGGCTATTACTATAAGCGGCGTAACATTCGCCCAAGTAGAGTGTATCTACTTAAAATGTGGACGTAACTTGGGTCTTCTATACTTTGTCTAATCTAGGATAAGACGTGTGACAGTCGTGATCATATTTTAGGTATATCAAAGCTATCTAGCTATGTCAGTGACTTCGTCCGCGCAGAATAGTTATTTTGGACATCCAAATATGTCTTTGCAAACCTCCTCCTCGTCTTTATGATTTTTAAGCTGTTACTCATGACGTCGGTCGCAACCAGTTGCAAGTTAAGGTATTAAGATAGGCATGTGTCGCAGACTTTTTTTTAGATTCTTTAAACACAACCGATTTCGCAGCATACGCAACGGAAACTCTCTAAGATTAATATTTTTTTCGTTTTTTCCACATTACCCGCTGTTTCTTTGCTACTATTAGTTACATGTGTATTCAATTAGAACCAGTAGTTCCTGAGAGCAGCGTGTTCAAACATACAAACTAACAGTAGCTTTATATATTAGTATAGAGTATAGATGGCACTTTAGTTGCCCACTTAGCGTTGTTAAAAAATCAATAGCGAATTAAAATTCATAATCTCGTATGATAAGAAAAATAAGGGTTTATATTTACATATATTTCTTAAAGTTATTGCAAATTAAAATATTATTGTACATAAAGTTTTCTTTATTTCCCTATACAACAATTTTATATTTTATCAAATAATCAATCAACCATAATCGAATAGATTGACATACTATTACAGTGAATTGACAAATGTATCATCCTATTTTGGGGGAAGTATACCCATAATTAAATTATGTTAAGTTAATATTGGTATTAAAATTTTACGTATTTATCAGTTTATTGTTGAATCATTGAATGAAAATGTTTGAAAGGTTTGTGTTGTTAATCATCTGTTACACGGAAATTCAAGTTAACAGTGAGTGATGTAAACATCCGAAACTATCATGAAAGATTTTGAAATGTTTATGATAGCTGATTGTATCTCTAATGCGTTTGATATAGTATATTGATATGTAGGCGTATGTAGTTTAGACTTTTCCTATTGGAGTTGAGAGAAAGTATTTTTTTAATATTATACTTTTAGAAACGGCAACATTTTTCACATGTTAGTGCACATGATGGCACTATATGAGAGCAACACCACGGATCGCTGTGGATGCCGGTTCAAGTCCTGCCCGTGTCGTGATTTTTTTCATTTTATAATCGAATTTTGTTTCGTTTAGTAATTATTATTTAAAAATCATTACTACAATTTTATTACAATATCCACCGAGTCCCATATCTTTCTAAAAGACAAATTAATCACTTTTCTAATGTTGGACTCGGTCTGTAATATCTGGACGTTAAGGGCCGGGTGGTAGTAATATCGAAATTCACATGAAAAAGCCGTGAAATTTGATCGCGTTGTGGTGTTCGTGGATTTGTGAATAAACCGTTTAAAACGTGATAAACATTAGTTGAAATATTTTTTAATAAGTTTAACTAATATATACCGCGTTTAAAACCGTTAAAGGTTTTTATTTAAATGTGTACTGCTCGCGTAAACTACAGAGAATATTTAAAAATCATTTTTACTTTTTTTTTCGCTAATGTTAGTTAGTTATACGCAACTGATACCGTGATTTCGAATTTTACGGCTTTAATAAATGTTTGTTGTAATAATTAAAAACGGAATATTAATATAAATGAATGCGCTTCATAAACTCAACGAGTGTCAATTAATAAACTGAATTGAAGCACGACCTTGGTGGAATAAGTCGGACGTTGTAACTGATTGTTTTTCTAGCTATTTCAAGCCTAGCATATGTCACAAGCTAACAGACAGCGTATATTAAGACATCTACGTTAGATACCGTCTGGTTGGCATTTGGAAAGACCACTAGTTTCCAATGTTTACAGCGAAAATGTTACACAAAGTTACAGTAATTACGATTCGTGGTCGAATTTCGACCGCGTATTGTAATCAATCACTTTATTACTGGTATGTTTGACATTCGGGGAAGACAAATACCTGTTATTAATCTATTCTCAATTTGACCACAGACATTCCGTACAGTCTGTTTGTTAATCTATGATAATCTATTTCCAGATTAATACAGAGTGGTAATTAAGTTAATACATAATATGCTCGTCTGCCCCATGTATTAGTATTACCTTATGTATTTTTTTATAATATCATGTAACTGTCTATATTAGTGTATTTTATAAATTCGCATATTTTCGTAAGAAGGGCTACAAACATATCATGTAACGTAAATACATACCTACATAAAACTACCTCAGCAGCGTAATTGTAAAACGCGTTAAGCGCGGAACGTCGTAGGTTTGTATCTCGGGAAAACAATAGTTTCGGTGTGAGGGTACAAAAGTCTGCGCTACTATGTGGATATATACTAGTGGATCAGAGATTGGCCGAACTGGTTTTCATTAAGCATTCTATAATTCTTCTTTATATTCTTAAAATCAATTCGCAGGCATTAATAATGAAGTTGATCATTTAGTAACTTGTGACAGTTGATACGACGTATACAACTTTCCCCGCGCGATGACGTCTGTGTAGTTAAGAAAGCTGCACCTGCTTATATGGTGGAGTATCTATTCTTGTTGCCATGGGTCCATGTTGAATAGTACAAAATATAGCCTGATACATCATGTTCTCATTACAGTCAGTATATTTTCTAGTTTCTTAATAGAAAATGCGTAACGTGAATGTTTTAGAGGGCTTAATTCAAAGGTAGCCATGTATGGGGATAACCAACATATTTTCACGTGATCCATGATGTTTTTACAACCCAACATCAATAGTACATTAATGTTAATTCCCGTTTCGGTTTCTCGCTGTGTATTTTCGAATGTCTAAAGCCAAAATGGGTGATAGCGCATTTGAATATATAATGTAGATGTTGTAGATAGGGATATTTTACGATTTATCAAGTGAACTGCATGATTGCATTTCTTAAAAAAATAATGATAAAGTAAAATAAAAAAAAAAACAAAAGATAAAAATAATGAAAAATACATACTATAAAGTTAATATATATATTTACGTAGGCTCCTAACTCGTAAAGGGTAATATGGAAAAATAAATACTTTAGTAAACTTAATAGGATTCAGTGTACCACAGAAATGTCTGTAGAAAATAATAACAAGTGATTTGCAAACTAATTAAGATAATTAATCAACCCGTCCCATTTCCAGATAATTTGTATCATGACGATGCTATTTATAAACGGTTAAATCGTTCGAAAAACTCTCAATTATTTTGTATAGTGTTATAAAAGTGTAAAAATCAAAAACAATGAGTGGCAGTGAACCGACGTTAACGGAATCGCCGGTTCCCCTGGCGCTGGCTCGCCTTCAGGGTCGGTCGAACCGTCTCCCTCGCGGCTTGCGTGCACACCGGCCGAGTTTGCCGCTCGCCAGCCTGCAAGAATCGATCGATGAAGGCCCCAGACGCTTCAGCGATGAACCCTTCAATCCCGACACTGATGACGATGAAGCGTTCGTTGAAGTGGAAGTCGTTAGTAGACCCTCACCGGCGTCTAATGGCCGTAGAGCCTCAGACGCCACTTTCGCCGAGCGCTATAGGAAGCTCAATGAATTCGATGGTGCTCCACCGGAAATGCCGCGGCGTGCATCCCTGGCCGTACCCGTTTTGAATGACGGTTTCGGACCAAGTGAAAAGGGACGGAGACGATCATGGGCGGCGCGATTACAACTCGAACGTAAGAAGAGACGAAAGTCTGGTGGCAACGACACGGACGAGGAGAGCGATGCCACAATATACATACGACAAAAACGACCCTCGTGGTGGAATGTTTTCGTACCGGATAACATGCTGAAACACAGGTAAAGACTTCACTTTGATTTCTACTAAAATCTGTCGTAACATTGTGTACTTGTGATTCAAAAGTAATAATTACGTTGTGTTATATCCGTAAACAAATAAATGCTTAATGAAATAGTAGTTGAGGTTTAAAATTCTAAAATATACAGAGGATATTTTTGATAGCACTTACTTACTTACTTAATTTGACTTCCTTGGCCCCATCATCAGTTTGCTATATGAAAAACTAATATATAGGGTTGATTAATTGTGTACCAGTAATTTAATAAACGACCAGAAATTAAAATAATATCTCGAGATAATATTTATAACCCTAACGCCTCGCTGTAATATATTAAAAATTATAACTTTGTTTATATGGGGGAAATTTATAATGGCTCGATTGTTTTCTTTGAAAATGTTATGTTTACTATCTTCTGATACTACATCATATTTTTTATCTTAAAATACGTCAAGCTTGCGTAACAATATACATACACTATGATATTTCAAAGATACAGATAAACGGTTTTTGATTAAAGTTGCACCAAGTCTATTTAAAGAATTATTATGGTCATGATACTAATGAGACTTAGATTTTGGGAGTGAAAACACATTGAGACATTCGCTTCCTTCCACTTTGGAATGTGGGTAGTTTTAGCTTTTAGATATGCTAAGATCAAATGTATTGTTGATTTATTTAGCTAATTGTTTATACGAAATCAGAAATAGATATAAGAAACGGTCTAAATAAATAATAATAAACAAAGTTTTAAACGAAATTGGCGAATAGTAGGTACGCAAAATTTAAATGCTTGGCATAAATACTTGAAATCGAGTGTGATATTATTGTTGGGTGAAACAATACTCGGAACTAAAATATTTACTTCATTAAATTCTTTATTCTATTTACACTTATGACCTTCGGTCGCGATGGAAGGTAGACACCGGATGTTTTTGTGAAATATTTTAAAATAGGTCAATTAATATTGAGCATTTGTCTAGAAATTTCGCTAATGGTTTTATGAACGTCGTCAAAATGCGTTTTATTCCTTTAGACAAATACTATTTTTTTACATGTCTATATCTTAGTGTTTTACTATTGTATATTTCTTTGTCGTTGCATTTTTGTAATTGTAAAAAGTATTATTATTTTCAAATAAATAAGCATGCAATATTATTTACTTATCTTTAAATTTTATTAGAGTCTTTTGAGTAATAATTCTTTCGGCTCAATCCTCAAATTGTTTAGCACTTTCGTTATGTTGTGTTCACGATTTCTTTTGACAGTATCGACTTAAACGTGTTTAGAATTTTAACAAGGATCTGTATATTTGAACATTATTTAGGATATAGTTATAGGCTTCGTTTCGTAAACATGAAACTGAGTTTATGCGAGTAGTACACATAAAAAAGGTTGAGAGCGCATCTCGTTGAGATGTTATACCCCATGCTTGTCTGGCCTAATCTCATAAAAAAACTGTGAAGTCTTTAGATATTCATTATCTTTTTAACTATAACCACACGTTTTATTGGCTCAGACATTTCTCATTTTACATCGTTAATAGTGTTTCCTTTATCTGGAACTGTTTAAATTAGTGTTATTCATTTAGGAAATATTTCTATCACATTTGACATATAATTCTAAATCCGTATTAGTCAGCTCAGCGAAGGTCGAGCCCATAATCGTAATCTTAGCATATTTGCTCGCGATTTGCATAAAGTGCCGCCCACTTGTAAAATTCATTTCCGCAAACATAAAACTAAATATTTGGTTCATTATGTTTCGATGTTTATGTAGTACCGATGTATCGATTCCGCGATAGCTCTGTACCAGTTCCCATAGCTGGGACTCTACTGTATAAGGCCTTAATTTGCTCGTTAGACACGTGTCACATCTGCTAACAACACTTTTTTTATTTCGTATTTCCTCTTGACAGTTGTCTTGCACACGTGTCACAAATAATGTAAAGTTAGTAATTTTATTGCTAGACCGAAATCGAACCCCGATCCCACGTCCGATGGATACACTAATAGACCATCATAATTTTAATTGATCTACTTACCGCGGTAGGTGTATAGTTGTGTAAAATGTAGTATGCAATAAATTTTTCGATGGTAACTGTTCCTACGTCACAAAGTGGTTTCATCATACTATGGCCTCCATTTGTTTCCGCAATCGTGCATTCACCTTTGTCTCTTTGTACGTACGCGTCATAATATTGTATTAAAGTATTGTGTGACCCCTTTCCTGAAAGTCCAGACGGTTAACCCAACAATTACAAGACGATAACGAAGTTTGACGGTGCGACGTTAAGTATTGTCTGTAAATTACGCGAGTAGTTCACATTTAAATAAAACACTTTTAACCGTTAAAAAAGCGAAATATGTTAGAAAAATGATTTGCAATTTATTTCACAAACGCCGACGTTTTGGATACTTTGCAGCAGTTGTGGTCTCGGGGGTACCGAAAATGGTGACCCTAATGTTAAAGTTCGACATGTTGGTATTTTACACGTTTGTTTCTCTATTAAATATGCATTTCCGTAATTCAAATATTATTATTTTCACGTGTTATTATCATTATGTAGATAGCTTTGGAATTAAAACCTATTTATATAAAAAAATCGATAACATCAACATGAATCGGACTCACGACCTCATTAAATTTGTACAGCCCACTTACATCTTGACTTTAGTATTAGCTTTTTTTACCAACTAACTGTACTTAACGTATTTCCATTGTTGACTTGGCTTCTTCAAATCGTTCCCTCGTCTTCTAATGACCATTTGTAATTATCTAAAGTAAATGCTGTTTATTATATACGTACGTGATTCACTTTAACGATATTCACGCTATCTGGGTCACGTATTCCGTTAACACACTCATAACTTATTTAATTGTATTATTCGTTTCATAAATCTTTCTTAATCCTTGGATTTGCATTAATGATTGTTTGCTGTTGTGCAAGTGTTGATAGTGCTTGTTTACAAAGCACAATTCTCTATGTTTACCTAAACTTGGCATTTGGCCAGTCTCGTTGGCCGTTTTAAAACTAGCCTATTCGCATATTAAAATGCTGTTTATGCCCACTCTCGTTCCTGGTAAAACACAATGAATAGCATTGCAGCAAACTCAAGATATTTAGGTTCTTTTTTCGAACATTCGAGAATTTTCATCAGTATAAACTGAGTAAAAGGGACAAAATTGTGTGCGGTCTATGCCAGGGAAAATCGAGTTCCACGGTTTTTCATACATAAGAGGTATTTACATACAATGTTAATATTTGTTGAGAGAAAAAAAAAACGAGTCGCCGTTAATAATATACCTAATGCGTCGCATTAAACCGTCAAAAGTGTTTTATTTAGTGTACACATGGAGACCCGTGTAATCTTCAGGAAACTGATATATTATTGCTGATAAATGTTAATCATAGTTTAAAGCAAGTCATAGGTCTAATTTTAGCTATGAGAAAGAATATTATGTTTGATATAGACGATAAACATGTCATACCTAGGTTGAACGGCGTGAATTTGCAAAACGTACTGTTTTAAAAACAAGTAGCTATACTAAATACTGTATGTAGTTTACGCGAGTAGTACACATTTAGATAAAACACTTGAACAGCTTAAAACGCGATATATATTAGTTAAACTTATTAGAAAATTATTTTAACTACGACCGGACGATTCGGATGCTTTGCAGCAGCCGTAACAACGGCTTGAAGTGTTTTATTTAAAAGTAGCTATACTTTTTACAAAAGATTTTGCATTTTGAAGGCGAGGTATTTGTGTCATAAATCCTTTATAAGTATCGCTTAAATCGGGGCATCCATTGTGCCCACACGTTTCAAATATTTCATCGCTAACAATCCGATCCAATATTCAAATACATACTCGGAATATCTGTGTGCCAATATCAAAAGGATTTAGAAAATTATTGATAAACGAGGCAATTGAACTCACAGCCCACGACAGTCAAAAACCGATTGACGGTTTTCCATTATCGTGGCTTGTCTTGGCTGTTATTGACATTCTATCATCCTAGAAGGCCTGTATTAAAGGTTTAAGTGCCTGCGTAGCGAAATGGTAAACGTATTGCCTGTCATTGCGTTAAGCTCGAGAAGTCCTGGATTCGAATTTCGGAAAACCAACATGTTTTTAATTAACTTCTTGTAAATAAAACGAAACGGATACAGAAATAAATGTGTTCGTCCGATACACCACGGTGAAATGGGATTTCACTATTCTCAAGTGCATTAACACGCGAATATAAATATTCAAATGCTGTATTATAGCAATCTGAATAAATTTAATGCATTTGTTATACCTTATATAATTAAACTTTCTCGTTCGCATTGATCGCGCGTGACTTTTATCAGTGTAGGAAACAAGACAATAAAATTGTAATTAGTTAAAACGGGAATAGTATATCACTGTTTGTCTTTCAATAGTCAGTCTATTCGCAACTGTTGTATTTGCGGAAGATAACGCGACAATCATTATGTTGGCTTTAATAAGCAAATAAATTCTATCAGCTAAGCGGAAACATTAGAACTATTTATATACATCAAGATTAAATGCTTCCTTCCGAATAAATGCGGATAGAAGCTGACCCATTTGCCTGTGTGTGGACGGCGTTGCTTGAGCAAGGACGGCCGCATTCTGGTTGCTTAGGAGTTAGTTAGTTATCTGATCGACAGGTACGAGTTCTATCGCTGTATCTCAAACAATATGATTCAATCAAAACTTACTTGCTGCTTTATTTAATTCGATACAATTAATTTTTAAGACAGATGAGAATAGACAAGGGTGTGGTTTACTTGATGGAAGGTGTAACCCTATGTAATATCTCGACAAGATCAGTCGACCTATTTCGGCTATGGATATTCGAAAATCTACAGACTGATACCGAAATGCCATTAAACTTCACGGATTCATCTATCGATGGTGGATCGTGACCCGAACGGGATTTTTGATTTTTGAAAAGTATAAATTGATTAAAAACATGTTGAACCCTATG